CCGAAAGAGCTTCTCCACCCGCTCAACAACCAGGCATGGCCCATCTCTTCTCACCTTTCATTCTATCCAACGTTTTGCGCATCCGGAAGTCTTGCGGTTCCCCGCCTTGCCCGCCACCTTTAAATCTCACACGAGGATCGAATTGGCCGAATCGCCGGGCGCCGAAGGATTATACGCACGGCACGGGACATTGCTTTGGTCAAGCCTTGCCTTACCCTCAATCAACCAGCGGCGCATGACCACGCCGGAGTAGCCTATGCTTTCTTCGAGTATTTGACAGATAATAATTGGAGGGAAGATGCCTAGCTGAATTGACATTCACGGCTCCGTGAACTCCGCAGCAGCTTTTATCGACGGCAGCGAGGTTGACATTCTCATAAGCCACGGCTGTCCACTCCCGGTTTGATGAGGTGCCGTCATTGGCGATCTTGCTCCGCATGCTCATACGGCACCAGCGGCGGATCCCCTTTCCGCCCGTTTGGCACATGGCCAACCAAGATTTGGAAAATTGAGGTTAGGAGATGGACCTCACAAACCTACGTTTTCCCCACTCTCTAGGGTCACAACGGCTTTGCTCACCTTTTGTGCCCCCACCACCCAACCGGGCCTTTGGCCGCTTCGAAACGCCGCGGTGAATCGGCATCGGCACTGACGTTACCATTTTGATGGTCCTCCAAAAGGTGGGATGCCCGACTCCCTTAGCTCCGAACGCTCGATACTAAAGCACATCCACCTCAGACAGCCGCGCCAAAACCATTACGAGACTACACAGTGCACTCCCAAGACTACGACGATCGCAGCAATGGGCCACCTTGGATCAAGTTCTGGGATGGATGTGTGGGGCGTGCCGTGGGTGTGGCAGGGGTCCACTGCATCAAGCCTAATCCCTGGTCTCGACCCCTGTGCTCTAGCAGCTCTCAAGACGCTTGCACGGCCTCCCCGTCGCTTTGACCTCTTTTCGAAGGTTCTCTCGAGGTTCGAAAGTGCCAATCAGTGAAATGACCCGACTCTCGATGCGTGCCGAACGACACCCACCTGCCCGCCCAAACGCCCCCCGAACTTGTCGAATCCTGCTCCCTGCTTCGTTCGTTGATGGTCGCCATGACAGATGATTCCATCATCAAGTCTCGTTTCAGTGGTTTCTAAGTGCATTTGCTCCGAGACGGCACAGAGCCAATTAATATCTGGGTGGCTCCGGCAGGAAACGACTCGAAACTGGCCAGACTGGCCCTCCTTTGGCATTCGTAGCGACACTAATAACATACGTGTCGATTGTCATGCTACGCCAGCCCTCCGTGCATGAGCTGGCGAATACCTTCGAAGCATGCCAAAAGGCGGCATCATTACTCCTGGTATCGAAGACGACGAACGTCAGCTACTCGATGTACGAGGACAACTTTTGTCCAACGGCGAGATGGACCGTGATGTGCGAGAGGGTTCTGGTCCTTTGGGATCCGCAAACATGCTAGCACATGACGTTGTTGCCGGCCCTGAAGTTTCAAGGACGACCCCCTTCGCTTGCTCTCCCCTGTGTGGTTTGCCCCGCGAAGAGTCAATTTTCCGACCTGCCATGGCTCGATCGCGTGGGAAAGATGCATTTCTTCGGGCGAGCCTCGTGAATTAACCGAACCCGGGACAAGGGGTCTACCAAAGCTGCAAGCAGGAAGGGCATCCAACAGGGTCGCATCCAAACGGCCGGGCGAATGGGGTCTGAACAGGGTGTGGTTGACAGCTTCAAGAGCCGCTTCGACCGAAAAGAGGCGGAAAGGGCCTTGCTCCAAGGCTCGAAAAGGCTAGGAGTCGACGCCTGCATTAATGCATGTCCTGTTCGTATGCAACGCACAGACGGTCGCAAGCTCGGAACGGAATCGTCGGACAGCTGGCCTGGCTCAATGCTGAGTCTGCCATTCGATTTCGACAAGACCAGCCAGCCCACGACGCCCGATGCCCACCTGCGAGCTGCTGACGGGCTGGGGTGCGCTGAGGGCTGCCACACGCTTCTGAGCCTTGTCTGGCCGCTCGCAAGCTTGCGTGGGAGGGAAGGTGGGGGGCAAAGCAGAAGGGATATGGAGGATGAGCACATTATCGTGTTCCCCGTAGAACGTGGGGGGCGAGTCGAAACTGGCGGACCAGGCCCAGAATCCAGATGACAAGGCGGGGAAGGGCTGCAGAGACAGATCTCAGCATCGTGAACATTAGCCACACCAGTCGACACCGACAGCAGGAACCGCAACGGTCAATCTTGACTCCCTTCCGATCGGAACAAACCACACCGGCAGGGCACGCACAGCGGCCTGAATGCGACCTCAGTCCCGGCAACTGGAAACATGCTGTCCTCCTCCTCAAGGGCCGTTCTCCGTGAACCGACGAGTGAAGGGGAGGACAGAGCATGAAGGGGACAAGGTGTCTGCGAGGGGGTGCGGGAAACCCCATCCCTGTTGCAAGGTACCTGGTCACTCGGAGCATTACCAGGCGCTAATCCAGGTTCAGCAAGGACAAGTGACGGCCGGTGGATGCAACGGGTCCGCCTCCGCTGTTGGCCGACTTCCGGCACATTTATCCAGAAGGGCATTGCCATCTTGGCACTGGACCGGGTACCTGCCTTGCACAACACCACGAAGAGAAGTTGTGGACGGAGGCTCGGGAGCGTCGGACACCCAGTTCTCTTGGGAATTAGGCGTAGGCTCGGGTAGAAAAGGACACAGTGCGGGGGCGCTGTGAAGGCTCACTTACTGCAGTTATAAGACGGGAGCGTTCTCCAAGAAACCGCGGTGTGTTCCAGAGGTTCCAGAAGCTCCGACAGAGAGATGATCATCTTGAGGAGATGGGGAAGACGGCCGTCTCGTCTCATCCTTGCCGGGGACAGAAACGAGATTCCCAGGACCGCAAACGCCTGCCAAGAGCTTCCCGTCCGTCAGCCGGGCGCTGGCACCACGCCCCCGCCCTTGTTCTTTCTACTCGCACACCTTACTCCCCATGCAACCTGTTCTCTTTCCCAGCAATGACGGCGTGATGCTTGACTGCTTCACTGCTCTGCCGTCGAGCTCCCGTGGCGAACATGACGACCCCTGGAGACAGTGGGGTATTCATGACAGACAGGGTTCGCGCAAAAGAGAAAGTCCAAACGGCCCACCAGGGAATCTGCGAGTTCGCGAAGTCCGTCCCCAAGCTCCCCTCCTCCCCTCCTTGCCTGGCAAGACCTGGCAGGCCTGGGCGATCGCGGGCCATCGACCATCTGGGATGCATCATGGATTCATGGGTGAAGAGGGACCCATGGAGTCCTGGGAGGACGTCAAGCGCGAACCGTGGAGTCCCTTCGGGGAGTGTTCCGAGGAGGGTGACCCTGTCGGCCCTGTAACTATCCATCCAGCAAGGTCATTCACCTGGCCGCGAGGGTCGAAGGGCCTCTCGTCCCCGCGGGCCATCACAGGCTCCATCCAATGTCGAGTGTCCAGTCTCCTCCGTACACTAATAACTATCCGTATCACTCACGAGTGGTTCGATTATTGACGTCTCCTAGGATGCGCAGGGAGAATTGGAGAAACGGCATTCGACTGGGTAGCATTCCCGGAGCTCCTTGTCGCCCGTTCTGGCCTTCTGCTGCTGCAACTGCTGCAATTGCTGCAACTCTGGGTTCCAATGCAACTTAGCAGACCGGGAGAGCTATATCTGATCGACCTCTCCAGCGCCCTGACTCCTCCGCTTATTCTTCCGTCCCATATTGGCCACACTGCTGTGCTCCGGCCACCCTCTGCTATGAAGGGCGAAGAAGATCAGTTCCAGGACTCCCGGATGAAGCTTTCCCTGTCACCGGGCCGCCCTTTTCTCTCCTCCCCCTCAACGTCTTCACGGCTAGGCGCACAGCACGCTCGCTCCTCAGACATTCGTAGACGGCCAACAAACTCCCACGCATGAGAGACGGCATATTGCCATTACTCGTTTGGGCTGTCCCTCACTCCGGGATTTACAACTGGACTTGCTTCCGTCTTCCAACAACAATCTTTGCTGAGCTGCAAGTGGTGAACTCACGCCACTCACCTCTCCCTGCTCGGCCTACCCCTGACCCTCCGCCTTAGCCTGGCCCCTCCCTCCTCTCCTCCCCTTGCAGACAGGCCCGTCTTTTTTCTTCTTCCTCCGGGGTGACCATTCAAAAGTCAATCGCGCCCACCAAACCGCAAGGAATACCTGATACTTGGCTACCAAACTTTATGTTGTGGACAACAAACAACCAGAGACCGACTGCCTTGGCCGGATTTTAACTTTAGACCTTCAACTAGTACTCGAGTGAGGCACGACATTACCCCCAACAGAGCGCCCGGAGAGAAAAAAAAACGGGAAGTGTGAGCACGAGAGAAAACGATACGGAGGAGAAGAAGCAGGCGAAGGACTAGGCGTGGCAAGACTCCGAGGTCCAATCCCCAGCATCGGGAGGTCGGAGCAGTGGCAACAGGACCCCCCCCTCCCCGGCTCTCCTCCCACGGCGCAGCCTGCACCGGCCCCCTCGACACCCACTTCGGGACCTGGGTTCTCGATCCGGCTTTCTCTCTCATAACTCTCGGAAGGCCCCACCCTTAGGGACCGATCGAATCCTCTCTGTGCGAGAGAGTGTGGTGAACTTCTTACTTCGTCCACTACTGTCGAACTAGCTGCAGCAGCGCCAATACGCGGGCAAGCTTCGCACCACGCACACACACCAAGAACGCACCTGCAGCACACTCTGCTGCTGCTTACTCTGGTCGGTGCCCATTAGACCCACGCCCCTCCACGAGGGACAGCCCACTCCTTCTGTCCCCCACCCCTCTCATACATACAGTACACCACAGCACTCATCATCCATCGCCTCCGAGCTTATACCATCCTCCGCCGCCCCCATACTTACTGACCCAACGGTTCTCCAGACGGATCCCCGCGTTTGTGCTCATTCACGACGCAAAGAAGAAGACAACAAACAACAAGCCGCCTCACTCCCCTGCTACCTCAGTCAGGGCACTTGCACCATGATGTCCACGTTAGGGCAAGGCGACTTCGAGCTGGTGGTACGACAGCAGCCGAAGTATGCATGCGTCGCCATTGGGAAGGGGAAAGGTAACGACCGTTAGGCAGTCATGAATACATCCTAGTGCGGTGCAGACGCGGCTAACACGAGCACAGAGCGGAAACCGATCGACCCGCCACCCATTGTGCAGCTCGCGGTCAACACCCGAAAAGACCCCGCGCGTACCTTCCTCCAGAACCCGTACCTCATTCTCACTGCCCGGCTGATCCGGAAGGGAGACGAGGACCAGGAGGAGCCGACAGGCCCCAAGGAGAGCGATCTGACGGGCACGCTGGTGTCATCGCTGTATAGCCTCAAGGACACGGACAACACCCAAGGCGGCTTCTTTGTATTTGGCGACCTGTCGGTGCGGAGGGTGGGCACATACCGCCTGGCGTTTATTCTGTACGAGCTGAGGCTGGCGGAGAAGGAGTGCTGGCTGCTGTCGCGCACCGTTTCAGACCCGTTTGTGGTTTACGCGACCAAGACATTTCCCGGGCTCGCCGAATCGACATTTTTGACGCGCTCCTTCAGTGACCAGGGCGTGCGGCTGCGGCTGCGCAAGGACTCGCGGACGGTCTCGACGAAGAAACGCACCATCAGCCAGACCGAGTCGATCCGCGCGGCGCAGGGCGCGGGGATACACGGGTATCTTCCGCACGACGGGGGCGGCCACGATCTTGGGCACAACGGACACAACGGGCACGCCCAAGCCCAGTCTCCGCATCATCTTCGCCGTCTCAGCTCCCTTCACGACCCGTCCCCGATCGACCGTTCCCGCAGTTACTACTCAGAGTCTCCGCAAATGCGCGCTGGTGAGTACGCTTCTGCCGCGTATGGGTATGCTGCGTACGATGATCAAAAACCGCACAAACGCGCACGTCTGGACGGATCATCTCCCGATAGCCCGCATCCTTCACTCGGCGGGGGCGCCTACGACGACGGCTACCATCACTCGTATGCCTCGCACCACCACCACGCGCACCACCCACACCCACATGGGCCTCACCACGCTGCCGGCCCACGCACCGTCCCCGACAACACCTCTGCCCTCGGCTCCATCTACCCCTTGGCCGGGGGGATCTCTACCACACCAACGACAGCAACAGCCACGTCCACCCCCACCAGCGCAACTTACCCGCTTCTACCGCCACAGCCGCAACCACCGGGCGTCCTCGGCCACGGCGGAGGTGGGCCAACATCCGTGACCAGTCTGCCTATGCCCCTGACCTCCACCACCACGGCGTCCTCTACCGCAGCGGGGCTGTACGCGTCGATTCCACGGTTAGATACGAGCCACGGGCATCTGCAGGGGAACCCGCATTCGCCTACCGTTGGGGGGGTCACGAGCGCGGGCGGTGTTGGTAGCGTGGGCGGTAGCAGTAGAAGGAGTCCCACTAGTGCAGGTGGGTATATCCCGTCGTCATCGCCATACCATGGTGGTAGTGCCGCGGCCGCCGCGGCTGCGGCGATGTTTGCCGCGGGGGTGTCCTCTTCACCTACCTCGTATCATGGGGGTGTTTCGATGCATGGCGGTGGAGGTGGTGGCGGTGGTGGCGGTGGGTATGGACATGCACATGGTGCTCATGGGGTCGGTCATCATGGTGGGCATGGGGGCCATGCAGGAGCGGGGTTGGGGTTGGGGGTTGTAGGGCTGGATTTGGAGGAGAGGTCGTAGGTGTCGTGGCTGGTGTTTTCGGCCGGTGTCTCGAGGATGGGGCGAATAAAAAGGTTGGGGGGGTTCTATAAGAGTTGGGAGGGTGGAATCTCGCTGCAGGGTTGAGAGAGGAGACGTCGTGTTTCTTCTGTGGATTGTGGTGTAATGTGTTTCTGTACGTGGCGGTGTGGCTTGATATGGAAGACTGATTTGGACCTGGAAGGAGAAAGAGGTAGGAATAAGGGAGGATTTGTGATTCCCAGTGTGGCTTCGGTGATCATCAGGATGGGTACAGATGCTGGTTTTTGCTGCTTATGGGCACGGTTACCGGTGCGGTTGCGTGTGATATTATGGGCCGGTCAACTTTGCTTGTCTGCGCAGACGAAACAAATTCCCCTCTTTTTTTTTTTTTTTTTTTTTTTTTTTTGGTATTTGCTTTGTCTATTTTACCAGATATCCCTTTTTCTTTTTTGGCTTTTGTCTTTTCCGAGCTAGTTACTGGTCCGCGGACTTGGGTTGTGATATCTCGGTACTGGGGCGGAACACTGTACAGCTGCAGGGGCAAGTAAGTGGAGGAGGTAGGATATAGAGTGTACTCACTCGCAGTGATATTCAGCCCCCTTGGATTTTGTTGGGTTATCTTTTGCTATGTCTTGTCTTGTTTTGTTACGGGTTGGACTGGGCCTGGGCAGACTGGACAGACTGGACAGATTGGATAGGACATACTACCGGGCGGGAGGGACGGGACTGGGACGGACTGGATTTCGACAGGACGGGTTTGGACCAGGTTGGAACTGATCAACAAATTGGGATGGACGGGACGGATTGTGCAAATAGGTGGTGTGGCTATTTGTCTTTTTTGCGTTGGTGTACGCTGTTGTGGTTGCTGTTGCTGTTGCGGTTGGGATTGGTATTACTACTTCCCCTGCTTCGGCTGCTGGACGTCTAGCTAGCTAGCTCCCTACTACCTACCTACCTACCTACCATATTCTTATTCTTATTCTTATTGTTAGTAATAAGCATGAGTCTGGGCTTGTTATTGATGTGTGCAAAGGTGTATAGTCCCAATGGGGAGAGGTTCTGGATAGCACGAGCTTGTTGTCGTTGGGCGAAGCGAGGGGCCCCGTTGTTTTGCCTAGGTAACTTGGTCTCACTCCCTCCTGCCCATGGCGACTCCCATGGTGTCACCAACTTTGAGACTAACAGATCCAACCACCACCCACCGAGTGGTAGTCCCGCTGCCCACTTCCAACCCCCGAAACACGAAAAGTCACCAAACAAATGTTTCTAGACCGGGCGGCAGGTGATGATGTGTTGAGGCAGAGGGGGTCCCACTATGAACCGCCTGTCCCAGTCAGTCAGTCGTCTGGATCACTCTCTCAAACTTCACTGCTAGCAGGCAGGTAGGCGGGCAGGCAGGCAAATACGGGACCAACAGGTTCTCGTTCCCCGCTCGCTCGCTCGCTCGCCCTCCCTCAACGGACTTCCCTTCCCAGACCTACCTACGCTAACGTTGGCCTATCTATCCTATCCTATCCTATCCACTCGGGACACAACAAACGAAACTAAACCGACCCGGACCGGGATCCAGTTCCGGCTGGGAAGCGGCGGCGGGGTGGATGGATGGATGGATGGATGGATGGATGGGATGTGATATGCCGTGCGTGTAGTGCGGGTACAGGTACAGTACAGTACAGAGTACCATCCATCCATCCATCTCTCCAGCATGTTTCCGGGTTTACGCAGTGTCCATTCCCTCACCCAACCGACAGATCTCATCATCACATCTTACCTAGCCTAACACCAGGACGTGACGGGGAGAAGGGGGGGGGGTTACAAACGATCAAACGACCTGAGAGACGATGAGCACGGTTTTAGCTGGGACGGTTTGATGCATCGGTGGTGGAGGAGGTTAGGCGGTCTAATTCGTGGGGTGTGGATGGAGTATTCGTATGGTGGCTTCACTAGTATGCTGAATGTCTCGGAATGGTGATGGGGAAATGTCTCGGGAGGAAGGGAGTGATTCGGGAGGGTCTTGGCATGTGTGTGTTCGTTCGTTTGGTCTGGTCTCGTCTAGTCTAGACAGCGATATTGGGAACTGGGAATTTGGAGGTTTGGTGAACTTTTGGTATCTCGGTAGATGTTTAGCTTGGAGGGAAAGGGGGTGTGAAGGCTGATGATATCCCGTCCCGAACAACCCCTCCCGTTTTGTTTTACTTTTCTTCTCTTCATCGGTAAACAAACCCTCTAAGACCCCCACTGCGCCCTCAACGCCTCATACGCCCCCTTCCCAACCGGCAACACACTCCCATGTCTCAGATCGCTGGGAAACGCCCCGCGCTCACTGTCTGTCCACGCGTTAACATCATTCCGCCCCGGGTCTGTGCTCTCAAACGGCCGGTATCCATCCCCGCCGTAAAAGTCCAATAGCAAATGCGCCTTGCCGGGCTCGGTATTATCCCAGCAGGCCGCGGGGCCTTCGACGTTGGACTGGATGATGGCTGAGTCGCCGCCGGGACGGGTCCAGGTGCCGAAGAGGCCCGTGGAGGAGACCTCGACGAAGACGGTTTTGAGAGTTTCGTCTTTCATGAAGCGGAGGAAGGAGGAGGTGGTGGTGTTGGAGGTGTCGTCGTCGTCGGGGACTGGGAGGATGGTGAGGTCGATGATGTCGGTGGGGGATTTGTCGATGAGGGTTTGTGGGGTGGTGAAGGTGGTGAAGTCGGCCGTGTAGGCGTAGCGGATGCGGGTGTTGGAGGGGGAGCCGGTGTGGTTGGGGTCTGAGGTTAGGTACTGTGGTGATGGTGAGTTGTGCGGTTCTAGGGAGTAGAGTAGAATTATGGGCTCTTACAAATTTGGATGCCCAGTAGACCAGGTATTGACCTTGCTCAGGATCCCAGATCGCCTCCGGAGCCCAGACCATGCCGGCCGTCTCGTCTTCCACAACCACAAGCCGCTCTTGTTCCCAGTTGATCAGGTCGGTGCTCTCCCACACATAGATCCCCCGCGATCCAGTCCGCTGTGCCGCGTCCCACGAGGTCTACCGCGTGTCAGGTGCCGTTCGAACGTAACGATATCCCCTCCAGCAATGATGATTAACCCACCTTCCCAATATCCAAATCGGTGCCAATAATGTACCACTTCTTGCCCGCCTCCTCTCCACCCGCAGGGATAATAGTAGGGTCTCGAACACCCCCAGTCCCTTTTGTCGGTCGGATAATCGGCGAGCCACCATTCAATGCGTTGAAAGCCAGCGGGTCGTTACCCTCGCTGAGGTAGAAGTAGACATAGGGATCGGCCCCGAGAAAGAACACGCCTAGATACCCGGCCAGGTCGGAGTCAGCACGGCGGGCCACTCCGCCGAGATTTGGGACGTCGATTGCGAATGCAAGGGCAAGGGAGAGCCATGATGCGAGGAGAACCGTGAAGGCGGGAATCATCTTCGAGTTTATTAGCCGCATCGTGAGGATACTGTATCGGCCCGGCCCGGCTCAACGTTGACACGTGAACCCAGTTGTTGGGAAGAAACAAATCGCGGATGCGTCCATCCCCGCATCAAGGAGATCGATATGGTTATATTGCTCTTGTCCATCTCAAGGTAGTATCCAACCTCGCAACTCGCGTTCGTTCAACATGATTCCCCGCAGGTCGTTCAAGGATCGTTCCATTTAGCCTCAAACAGCCCGGAGCGATTGTGCCCATCGCTGGCTAAAATGTCGACATTTTAAGTCAGCACATTGGAGAAATTCCCTGAAAAAAAGCTCTCGAGGGTCACTAGGTTCAAGTAGAGGAAGCTACCTCTTAATAACCCCGCTACGGCCCGTTGATGCTCGAGGATGGTGTGTTCGACCCAAACTCGCTCGGTCTTGGCGAGCGGGAATGGCGGCGGATTTGTGGAATAATTGTGTCTTGAACGGGGGAATGTAACTTCCAGAGCAGAGAGATCCGAGGTCCGTGTTGGGTGTTATTGCGGGGACCCGGCAGTTTATGCGGGAGTGGTGATGATCAACCTCTCAACCTAGAGACGAGTCACTACCGAGGACTGCGTTACCAAACTCAGTCACCCCCCAATTCAACATCCAGAGTCGAATGGTTGTCCGTCGTGGACATCAGTCTAATCTCACCACCACCATGCCCTCGAGCATTACTGAGCGCCGCCTGGAAGGCCTGTAAACGGGTCTCAAACGCCCAATCCGATACTCCAGACATTTGCGAGTCACCAAGCACAGCGCAGCTCGATTCTCCATTGCCTGCAGCGTTTTGCGACAGTCCCTCTTCGGCTCTAGCAACCTGGGAGTCAAGTCCGGGACTACCAGCTGCTTGAGGCGGAATGTTAGAGTCCAGAACAGAGAGCGGCACCTCGTACACTTTTGGTCTGTACTCGACGATAGAGGAAAGCTGAGAGGCCGTAGCGGACGAAATTGTGATTTGGCTTTCGGCATTTAGAAGGATAACGTCGGCGGAGTGTCTGTACCGCTCTTTCATGTACTCATCATGCCGGAATGTATCGCCTGAACAACACTCGGAGAAAAGACTCTCGATTGTGATTCCTTGATCCCCAGTGTTAGCTTCGTTACCTCGTCCATCCAACCCTCCTTAGAGCTAGAGATAGACACACCTTCTCGTATCCACCGAGGCTCGTCAACGGTACACGGCCAAACATCCCTCGGCTTAAAAGTCTCGGCAAAGTGGCGGAGCTCAGGGTACGACGAGTGGCGAGAATACGGGAATGTGACAACGCTGGGGAGATCCTCTCTCAGGCTTTCCGTCGGTGCTCCTTGACCACGCGTACGGAGCTTCTCGACAATGGACCGAAGGCCGCTCGCCAGGTCCGCTTTGTTGTTCTCTCCAAATGCATTTCTCTCCATGTCAAGCGGAATGTTTCGGCCATTCGCAATGACACTGTGGAGGAACTGGCCCAGTGACTCCCTCATGTCGTCAGATATCCCATCAATATTACCAAGCCTGTGATTATGTTAGTGTCTATCCGCACACTACGAGGTTCGTAGTACACTTACGCATTCATAATCGACGTAACATCGTCCGGGGAAAGATGGTCCAGTTCCGCTTCCCTCTCTAAATCATCTGCCCCTCCCCCTACCCCCACCTCAGCGACATCATGGCCGTCTGGAAGATGGGTGATAATGGGGCGGATCCATACAACTGGGGAGTTCTTTATGGTAGTGCAGTAAGCCCCCTTCTCGCAGCTGTGGAGCCGGACGGATTCGTCCCGGGTGAGGCAACCGGAGTGGTGAGCGTTGCCACACATAAATCCCACCAAGCCGGGCGCTTCAGGGGCGAGGTGGTTAAGGGGTGCGGACTTGTCGTCAAAATGGGTAGTTACAAGGGACCGAAATATCGACATTTTGTATTCGTCGACGTGGATCTATAAATTCTAGGTTAAATCACAACAGCCACCACTGATAGAGGGCGCGCACCTTGGATTTCAGAAACCTAGTGAGTGCCAACAAAACGTCTTCGTACCTAAAACCACGCGTTAGGATATGTAGCACCGCTAGATTTATTGAAGAACTCGTACCCATATGTCCAAGCCTGGAAATGAAACACCGTGTCGTCGGGATACCTAGACACTTTCCGAAGCAACTCGCTGATACCCTCCGCCTTAGTCGGAAAGGCGACATTCTCAGTGAACGATGTATCAAGGTAGATCGTGTCCAGTGTCTTCAGGCCAGACGAATACTCGATGAGATGCGGCGATCTCGCGATGGCATTGACGAACCACGGCTCACTTCTCATGTCCCCTGTATACAGGACGGCTTTCCCCCGACCCTCGAATACTTCCCAGAAACTGTTAACAAACGCGGGAAATAGCTTGTGACTTGGATGACGGCTGCTCACAGAACATGACGGCGCCTGGGCAATGGTTGGCGTCAAAGAGCGTGACCTGGAGATGGTTCCCAGGTTCAAGTTCGAGAACGGTGGGGGTAGCTAGGGGTATGGATTTCTGCGAGGGTGAGCCTTGGCCTCAGTAAATACTAAGCGCGAAAGGTTTGCCTACCAGGAGATTGCGAAGATGCCGATATCTTTGAACCCGAGCCTCTAAGATACCGGTAGCATAGTTGATCCGACATGGATATCTCTCAAGCCGCAGGAGCATTTGCTTCGTAGCAGCAGAGCAATAAACACTTTGGGGGCGTGTTAGAAGCTCCTGCCAATATCCTTTCACATAGGGGTAAGACCTACAATGGGGATCGCAAGCTCTCTAGCCCGGCAAGATGATCGCTATGAATGTGGCTCAGGAAACATGCCAAAGGGGGACGGAGATCAGGATGAGAACGGAAAAAGTCAACTGTTGAAGAGTTAACCCCTGAGATCAAGTTTCCTCTTCCTCTGCCCTACCATTTCCCACCAAACACGGAGCGAGGACACTTCGTACCTCTGATATCGGGAAACTCGGCCACAAGGCCATTAAAGGTAGACATTGTTTCTCCAATTAGTCTTTTGAATGAAGATGTTGAAGGGAAAAAGTTGTAGACTAACAGAGGAAGGCGCTCCCCGGAATAGGCAGCAGGTGACCCACAGGAAGTGTTTCGGTAAAACATGACTGAACAAGTTTCACAGCCTCATCTCAACGACCTGAACGACGACCATGGGGAATCCCTTGCTCTCTTTTATAAATTTCAGTCACATTGCCAGTAACACTTGGAAAATAGCCTCTTCCAGACAGTCCTTTCCCCCCCCAAAAGATCCTTAGGCGTCCCTTTTCCGCAGTGATTGCAGAACTATTTCTCTAGAATTATTCCGCTCCGAGTTTTAGTTCATCTTCATTCTAAGTGAAACGATGTCCCCGACTCAACACCGGACTTGTCAACAGAAAGGTGAATATCAACAACTTGGGAAATCATCGTGACTGATCGACAATCGCCAGCAAAAGACAAGGTGGTTAGAGGGCCTAGGCGTGGCGGTCCAGGCGCCCGGTCTTCGACGTCAGGGGCCCATAGCCCCACAAAATAGGGCCTCTGCACCGTTCTCCCCCTGCATATTGTCCCCAACTCTCACCTCCATCCTTAGTCAGTTACGACAGCCCTGCATGTCAGCTCGAGCTCTGGTTTCAAGTAGGTATCTCACCCGCCAGTTCTGACAAGCCCCTGGAAAAACAAATCGTCATGTTTCCGCCGACCCAACTCCATTCCGAAGGTTGCTGGCCGCCCTAAGGCATTGGCATTGAAAGACGAGACACGCCAGCAGATCAGACGACGGGACTCGACGCCTCCCGATCGAATCCGAGAACTACACCCCGCCGTAGAGACTGAAGATGGCCACCGGGATTAGCGCGCAGCTTCTTGAGTCGCTGACTCTGGGGCGGATTGTTGCAGCTGTTGTCGTCCTCACCATCAGCTCTTTCATCGTCGACTTCACATGGAAACCGCGCTATGCCGACTCCCTTCCGCGGGCTGGGTGTGGCCGTGGCTTGTTGGGGACGCTCCAGAACTGGTTCTTCTTTGTGACGCGGTACAACGACTGGGTAGCCGAAGGCTACAAGAAGGTGTGTTAATCGCCCACAATTCCATTATGGCGTATCTCTATAAGAAGCGCTCAAGCTGACCTCGACCCGTCCCCAGTACTCCAAAGACCAGCGCGCCTTCGTCGTCCCGTCCGCACCAAGCCGCCCGCACGAGATCGTTGTCCCTCGATCCCAGACAGCATGGATGCTGGAGCTTCCTGACCGCGTCCTGTCGGCCAAGGAAGCGCACCAGGATGTCCTGCGCAACGACTACCAATTCTTGGGTATCGACGACCATTTTCCTATCCAGACGATCCATAAACATCTGGCGCGCAATATCACCGGTCTCATTCCCGGCGTCCAAGAGGAAGTCCACGGCGCGCTGGACGCCGTTCTAGGGAAGGACACGGAGAATTGGAAGTCGCTGAACTTGTGGGAGGTTTGGCTGGGCATCGTCCCGCGGGTCACCAGCCGGATTATCGTTGGCGCGCCGTTGTGTCGCAACCAGGAGTTCCTCAGCGCCCAGGTCGCCTTTGCCGACGACGTGGTTCGCAACAGCATCCTGTTGGACCTGTTCCCGCGCGTCCTCCAGCCCCTTATCGGCCCACTTCTAGTCCTCGCGAATCGATGGCACTGGCGCAAGACTCACCTCCTTGCCGAACCCCTGATCACGCAGCGCATCCACGACATGACCAGCAACGACCCGGCGCACAAAGACTGGCGACCGCCAGAGGACATGATCACCTGGCTGATCCGCCAGGCCCAAACAGAGGGGTTCGCCAACCAGCTCACCGCAGACCTCCTCTCCAAGAGCATCCTCTCCGTCGAATTCGCCGCCATCCACACCACCGTCCTAACCGGTTTCAACCTCTTCCTCGACCTCCTCTCCTCCGACCCATCCCTCAACTACCTCGATACCATCCGCGGAGAAACCGCCCGTGTGTTCGCCGAAGAAAACGGCGCCTGGTCAAAACAAAGCCTCGCCCGTCTCACCCGCACCGACAGCGCCATCAAAGAGAGCATGCGCATCAGCCCTATCGCCCGCTCGCTCACGCACCGCAAGGTGGTGGCGCCCGAGGGCGTGACCAACCCGGCTGAGGGCTGGCACGCGCCCTACGGGGCATCGCTGATGCTGGATCTGGGCGGGACACACACCGATCCGACACTGTATGAGGAACCGGAGCGGTACGATGCGTGGCGCTTTTCGCGGGAGAAGGAAAGGTATGAGGCGCGGTCGGCAGCAACAACAGCAGCAGCAGCAGGTGAAAAGGGGGCGGATCGTGAGGAAGGGTTGCGGATTAAACGACTTGGTATGGTCACGACCAGCCCGGAGTACCTGCCTTTTAGCCATGGTCGGCACGCATGGTGAGTTACCTATCCCCGCTAGTATTACGAGGCTCTTGAGTTCGGGTGTGATACGAAATAGTGGCGTGTGTGCTAATTATTAACTAACCATTCGCGAAATTGACAGCCCCGGACGGTTTTTCGTAGCACACGAGCTCAAGATGATTCTGGCGTATTTCCTGCAGAACTATGAGGTCAAGCCGCTGGCGGAGAAGCCCAAGTCGATGTGGCTGGGGGTGAATGCTATACCGCCGGTGCAGACGAAGATTGAGATTCGGAGGCGGAAGGGGACTGTGTGATGTATGTCTATGTGCTTTGTAAGAATCCAATTCTTTTACGCTTAGTGCAGGTACTGCTTGCGTGAGTCCTTCACAATATCTTTTTCGAGCTTTGCCTGTGACACCGAGCGAACGGCGTCCAGGCGTCTGGGACTAATGTCCTGAGATCGCCGCAAATCATGAAGGGTTCGAGTCATACCATTAGACCCCGCTAGCTGCTGGCTCGTGAGTAGGGAATTAAAGAGGTACAGCCGGAGCCCAGTTGGAGGTAAGAACACCTCAGGGAATATGGGAGAACAAGTTAGGGTTAGGGTCAACCAGATGGTTCTGGTCTTCAGGGTTAGGGTTATACACTTAACCAAACTTGCCCCACTAGACTCGCTTTAAATTTGACCGAGCTCTTCCAACAATCATCACCTCCGTTTCACAACATCGCCGAGCGGATATCGCAACGCCTAACTCCCCCCGACAAACGAACACCCCATCCAATACCCACGCGCGATCCCAAGAACCGACCCCTCAACAACAAACGTCGGCGCAAGCCTCACCCCGACGAACGACCCTCCAAAGCCCCCCAAACCCTTCCATACCTAAGCAGCGGCCTCCCCTCGGGGTGCGCCAACCTCCCATCAAAAATGCAAGGCTTCAACATGGGGCGGTACCTCCCGCCGGACGCGCACGGCACGCACACCTCCGGCAACCGCCTACACTCCAAGCCCCACGCACTCGGCTCACGCGCATCGCGCCTCGCCTCCCACGGCATCCTGATCGTGCGCTTCGAGATGCCCTTTGCCGTGTGGTGTGCCCATTGCCCGCAACCGACACTCATCGGCCAAGGTGTGCGGTTTAACGCTGAGAAGCGCCGGGTGGGGGAGTATTACTCGACGCCGGTGTGGGGGTTTACGTTGCGTCATGCGGCGTGTGGTGGGGTGGTGGAGATGAGGACGGATCCGAAGAATGCCGAGTTTGTGGTTGTGTCTGGGGCGAGGAGGAGGGATTATGGTGGGGAGGGGAAGGGTGATGATTCGTTGGTGGCGTCGTTGTCGTCGGTTGCGCCGATTGTGACGGAGCGGGAGAGGGCGGAGCAGCGGGCGGGGGCGTTTGGGAAATTGGAGAGGACGATTGCTGATCGGGAGAAGTTGGTGGGTGCGACACAGCGGATTGAGGAGCTGCAGGAGGCTGCGGAGAGGCAGTGGGAGGATCCGTATGCGCTGAATCAGCGGTTGCGGAAGGCGTTTCGTGTCGGGCGGCATGCGAGGGAGGAGGAGGCGGTTAGGACGGAGGCGTTGACGGAGCGGATGGGGTTGGGGATTGAGTTGTTGCCGGAAGCGGAGGAGGATGCGAAACGGGCGAGGCTGGTTGATTTTGGGGAGGTGGATGTTGAGAAAGATGTCAGTGTGGGCAGGGCGTTGGCGAAACCGCTCTTTGCACCATCATCATCATCACATAATAGCCCGCCGAAACGAGAAGAACAACTCACCACAAACGCTAGCAACAAACCCAAACCCACCAGGACAACCGCAACGGTCCCAGCGAAAAAGAAACTCAAATCCGAACTCGCAGCTGCTCGCACCCGCGAGAACCTCGTGTCGGAAATCGTCAGCAACACCCGCGCGACACGCGATCCATTCCTCGATTTCGGTACAAAAGGTAACGGCACGCCAAAAGGTCGGCCGGCCCGGCTGCCGGGGATCAAGCGGAAGCGGCCTGTAGAGGAAGTAGGACGTGAAGGTGAGGAGAATGAGAAGGATGTGCCGGAAGAAAGCCAGGGCAGCTCGTTGAAATTAAGGGGGAACGGGGATGTACCGAAAGAAAAGGGTGCATCAGAGCAGGTGGCTAGCTCCACGTCTTTGGTAGATTATGGCTCGGACTCGGATTAGCCGCTGGGTGGCTTATATGATGGTTTATGGCATATACCATACGGTTGGGAAACGAATATGATACCCCTAGGATACTTTAGATGGATACCAATACGGCTACACAGTCTACGACGAACAGTTACACTCGGCTTCTGCTGCGGAATAGTTACAGTGAAGCAACGCCCCGCTCTGTGTTTGAGCAAAGATATGTTCAGTTAAAAACTAACCCAGCCTAGAAGAGTGAATTACAACTCCCATTCGCGCCAGAAGCCATCCATCCCGCTTGGATACCGGAGCTGCTGCGTTCATTATAGAATGGTGGCTGCCGGTACGGGGGAAAAAGCAAGAAAAAGCAGCCAGAAAGCACACCCTTCCATCCAGCCATATACAACTCCTCCCAGTCAGGTGTAAAAAGTCTAGAAAACGCAAGACCCAAAATCGAAAACAAGAGCAAAGCAAAGGCAAAACCGGGGCCCACCCCCCCCTCTTTCGCTAACCTCTCCATTCTGAAAAGGAGGCCGTACCGGAAACCAACGGACCCATGACTACCCACCCCCCTCCCCCCCTCTCCACAACACGCCGTCCATCATACGTCATCCATCTGTCCCGCTGGCTCTTCGTCGTCCTCGTCGTTGTAGCTACCCACCGAGGAGAGATCGTCGTCGTCTTCGCTTTCCGCACCGGCCTCGTCCGCCGCAGTCTTGGTCGCGTACCGTGTGACATACTCTGTGCAATTCGCCGTGCATGTTAGCAATCCCATTCCCTCCCTTATTTCCTTCTCTGAAGAAGCCTAGAAGGGCCCTAGGGCAATGGGAGCCCGAGAAGACCAAGGGGAACGTCTTACCCTTGACTTTGTTGTTATAGGTCGGTGCATCGCGAAGCAACAGGGCAGCGGCTTCGCCGTTGAGCGGGTCGGCCGGGTTCGGGTAGCGGAGCAGCTGCGGAAGGAAGACTTCGAAGATGTTGATCATGTCGTACATCGGGGACCAAGTCTGGTTGATCACATCCAAGCAGACTGACCCAGAGCTGGTTGTTGTAGGAAGAATGTTAACCATCGTTTCCTTTTCTTCTTTCCTCTCTCTTGACTGCGCTGCCCATCCTTCTCTTGGTATCCAACTTACAGTTCGTCGATATTCGGGTGGAAGATCCGGTTCACGAACCCAATACTTGGGGACTTATACGGGTACTGGTCTGGCAATTCGACGTGCACCTTCCAGATTCCGCCTTCGAAGGGAGCTGCGTAGATGTACAAGGTAAGTCTAAGCCTTAAAACTATCAACCGGCGAGCAGGAGAACATGTTACTGACTTTCTGTGGGCCCTTTGAACTTGACAAAAAACTCTTGCCTGTATTATCGGTGCCGTAAATTAGTATCCGGGCCCTCGTCGGGTGGGCAAGGGAATCTCGGGATGTTCGGTGCTGCGGTTCGGAGATATGCTTACACTAGAAGTGAAAACATCGGTTAGCTACGACCCCAGATAGAAAGCCGTTGGGCAGCAACCCTAGATCTAGCGGCAAGAAAAAGGTAGATGAGAGACGCACTATTGTCGTTGACAAGAGTCACTTCGTAGTCACTCATAAGCCTGTACTACATATCAGTACCGCATCCACATCACACACCCCCAACAAGATAAGCTGAGCGGTGGCTCGCCCTCTGGGAGCGGTCTGCCTGTGCAAGGAAAGCGTACATTTTCATGACCTAGAGTTTCGCATGTGAGCCATCCGTCCCAAGCTTAACCTGTAGCATAAAGTACGCGGAGACTCCAGCACCGGGTACGCTGAAGTTCAACTTACGTCTGTCTCGATGCGGCGGCGTGGAGATGCCATTTTGGGCGGCTTCCGGTTGGGTTCCCTCGAGGTTGTTTGGGTTAAAAAGTACGCTTGAAGGCGAAATAAGTTGGCCAAGGGAAGGTGAAGGTCAAAATCGGTGAGTAATCGTAATGATGGAGAGTGGGACTGGCCAAAGGAATGAAAGCGCGGCTTCCAACGGGAGGTGGCGGAGACGAGCTTAAGTTGACGGGACTGAAGGCGTGAGGTCAAAGAGGTGGGGGTGGGGAACCTTGGGGGTTGAAAGTGAGGTGCTGGCAATTAGTGGCACCCAGACACAGAACAGCGATCTCAATGAGGGGTTAGTCAGTTGACTCAGGCGCCGTTTCCCCAAACCGGTAGGCAGCTTTGTGTCCCCGTTGCGTTTGTGCCTTAAAACTGCGAAGTTTCAAGGGAGAACGCGGGAAACGAATAGTTGATGCTGCGGAACATCAAAAAACGGGTCGGGCCTCGAAGATGGCCACAAGCGAATGGGAATCTGCAGCTCCCAGCTGTTTGGGCAACAAAGAAGCGCTGCTGCTGTCACCGGCACACTCAGTGGCAAGATCCACCCTCACCCACTCGACTGGGGACCACCGTTAACCCGCCTTCAAGCTGAAACCGAACAAGCGGAAACCACCGGCGTTGACTTGCAGCCCGAAAAAAGAGAGCACCCGATCATTTGAAACTGGTGTTCTCCTCATTGTTAGCAAGTGAGACCTCGGTTTTTTTGGTTGCCTGGAAGACCGAACCGCCAAGTTATCTCGAGAATGATGACTTAATCGACGGGTGCTGCGGTGACGCAATGTCACGGATTTGCAGGGGTCTGCCGACACACTTTATTCCACAAGGGCCCTATGTCCGAACGACAAAAGTTGAAACTCGCTATTGTGGTTCAGCTCACCGCTTATTAAGAGATAGTCGGACTTGTCTAGAGGAGGATACGGAAACCACTCAAAGGAGACTACAATTTCCTGAACCCGGAGCTCGAATCGTACGGAATACTAATATGCTCCCGAACATCACCAAGAGTCCTTACTTGTTAAACAGCGCAAGGGAGCAAACCTCGGGCACCCATGCCTGGTAACTCAGGGACGGCTAACCTTCACGTCCTTTATGGTTGCAAGTCACGCGCCTTTTTTGCAGTGCGGGATGCATGGCGGGGCAAGCCAATCACTCAGCTCTCGCCCTGCTCCCTCGCTCAGCATCAGATGGGCTGAACGGAGCCCAGCCTTGCGGATCGAAGATCAGACGATATGCCACCCTTGTCTCCGAATCTGTTCTCTCTCCAATTTGTGTCTTATCTGAGTTGAGAACCTTCGGCGCCTTCCTAGAGACCTTCTAACGCCGTTGTGAAGAGCAAGTCCGAATCAATTGTGCCTCGGTACCCCTAGTCAAGCCTTCCCCATGAAAGGAAACCCACCCAATCAACTTAGCCCCATCCGGCGTGGTGGGGCTTGAGACTCCCGGTCAGCCGAACCCACCACACCCGCGACTCACAACTCCAGACCCAGATACTCAATTGTACGCAGCAAAAACCATCATGCCCTGGTAAATAAGACTCGCCAAAACCCGCCAGCCGATGGGCCTCTTCCATTTCCTCTCTTGCAAACGCAAGGAACTCACTCTGTCACACCCAAAATTTTGAAATTTTTTTCTCGGGCTTTTTTCTTCCTATAACCCTTTGCACATCTCTTGCTGTGCATCCAGCACCACATACTCTGGGACAAGAGTATTATAAGTAGTATCAAGGACCTCAGTTACCCATGTCACTACCGGTAGTAACGCGGTCGCTGCCAAGGGGCACGCGGCCCTCTCATCTCGCAGCCGTATCCCGTCTCCTATCCATTTCCCCAACACCACCACCTCTTGCCACAACAAAAATCCCGCCAACAACACCGGCATGGCCCGCCCAAACCAGATGGAGCTCCCACTCGCCCATGGGCTCGGCCCCGGCCAACCCCAGAACCCCCGTCACGTTACCGATGCTCAAAAAGATGCACAAGCAGGGTAACCCCATCACCGTCATCACGGCTCACGACTTCCCCAGCGCCCACGTCGCCGACGCCGCCCAGGTAGACGTCATCTTGGTTGGTGACAGCCTGGCCATGGTGGCCCTCGGGATGACTGATACGAGCGAAGTCTTGGTTGAGGAGATGTTGTTGCATTGTCGGTCGGTAGCACGCGCTACCAAGTCCGCCTTCACGGTATGTCCCTTTCCCTCTAGTTTGTGGTACCTCTCTGTTTCGGTTGCCAACCAAGTTCTTTTCGTTCCGTCTTCCAGATCGGCGACCTTCCCATGGGGTCATATGAGATTGCACCTGCCCAAGCACTTGAAACCGCTATCCGCTTCAAGAAGGAAGGCCGCATGCAGGCAGTCAAGTTGGAGGGCGGCAAAGAGATGGCGCCGGCGATCGAGAAAATCGTTAGTGCTGGTATACCCGTCCTTGGGCACGTCGGCCTGACCCCTCAGCGGCGGGATATGCTAGGGGGCTTCCGGGTTCAGGGCAAAACCACAGCCAGCGCGACTAAGATTCTCGAGGACGCCCTCGCTCTCGAAAAAGCTGGTTGTTTTGCGCTTGTCATCGAAGCGGTTCCCTCGGAGGTAGCCACGCTTATTACCAAGAGGTTGTCGATCCCAACCATTGGGATAGGCGCCGGCAACGGTTGCTCCGGACAGGTGCTGGTCCAGGTCGACATGACGGGCAACTTCCCTCCCGGTAGGCGCATTCCTAAGTTCGCCAAACAGTACGGTAACGTCTGGGCAGAGAGCTTCCGGGCCATCGAGACGTATCGGGACGAGGTGAGAAGTCGACAGTACCCGGCCCCTGAGCATACCTACGATATGCCTCAAAAGGAACTTGAGGGATTCGCCGAGGTGGCTGAGAGTGTGTGATTGCCTGGGCTGTAGTTGTTGTATTCTGTTTTCCTTAGGCGCATCTTTGGGTTCAGCGTTGTCATGGCGAAGCAAGTTGGCGTAGGCGGCATTTTATAGCATATTCAGCGGATATCATGTATCGGTAGTAGTAGACTTCTGTAGCAATCAACTCAAGCCAGCGATTGGACATTCGGCATCGAAATAGCCCTGCTTAGTCTCCTCACCCAAACGCCGGCGTGATGGAATAGGAGACGTTGAGATGATCACTCGAATCCTTGAAGCACTGCAACACTCATTAGTACAACCCAACGCAATTCATGACAAGGCGGCAATGAGACAAGACCTACCCTCCATAAGTTCCCCACTACCTCATCCAGCGCCGGCGCGAACGTGTTGTTCACATACAGAAACACGCTGTCCGTCTCCGCAACACGCAACGTCCGCCGCAAGTACGCCACGACCGACTCAAACTTGTGTGCGCTCGCGACTTTGACCAGATCCCGCTTGATCGGCGGGGCCGACCCGCCCACCGGCTTGAACCGCACCACCACTTTCTCCTGGGGGAAAGCGCCTGCCGCTGCGAGCGCTGCTGTCGCGTCGCGCGGGAGGGTTAGGAGCACGGTTGATGCTGTCATGGTGAGGGGCAGGTCGGGGGAGTCGCGGCCGGAGAGGGCGGGCGACGCGGGCGCGTTGTTGGATGGGTCATTGGTGCTGTCGGGCGTGAGGGAGGCCATTTTGAAATTGAGCCTCGGCGTCGAGGTCCTAGGGGTTCAACGATTGAGCTTTTTAGTGGTGATAATTTTGAGTGTGTTGGCGTGTGAGCAGCTATGTCAAGGAAAGCGGAGAAAAAAGGTTCCGTGTTCCTACGCTTTCGCCGGATGGTGAGGATGAGAATGAGAGGTGTTGTTGACGTTCAAGTGAGCTGGAGTGAGCTTCAGTGAGTGCCTCAAATCACCTCGCAGGGCCCCCACCTCCGCGGTATTTTGAGGGTTAGGGTTAAGACGATGCGACCTGAACGGAGATCCTTCCATCCCATTTGCCATTCTCCGGGCATGGAAGAATACGGTTCAGCGTTGATCGCTATCATGACAAACATCCTTCAGGAAAAGAGTTGATCCAAAACCCCCATCATCGAATGACTACACTACATAGTATCCATTCACTTTCCGTGGCTCGGCAACTGTGGGTCTGCAAACGGCGGCCGTTGAACCGCCAAAGCGTCATTGTTCCAGACCGGCCAAGTGAGGCTGACAGCCACAGTAGATCCATTCATCGGCAAGGTGAGCCAACCAGCAGCGATTCACCAGCCACTTTCCGTCTCGGCACATGAAACTCTTTCCCGTCATGGCACTCACGGACAAAAAGTGGCATGATTTTGGAAAGAAATGGGCCCAGTTTGAACGCTGTGCGTCAAAACTGCGGAATTTGATTGGCCTCTGGAGACACAAGCAATCATCGAGAAGGAATATCGGAGGATCCTGAAAATACCGTGAGTTGGCTCAGTCTTCAGACTTGTCACTTGTCCCCCATCGCCACAAAATCGGTGTCATGTGTGCCCCGAGGGCCGCGGCGCGCGGATTGGGAATGCCAACTCTCCTTGTGAGGAAGACCGCGAGACGGGCATTCCTTTGAAGGAGATTTTACATCCAAGAAATAGCTCGACCAGCCCAGGCTGGTCGTCCACAAGCTTCTGTGAATTGGTAAAGGTACTTAGAGGTACCCGGAATGGGAGGTGGTTCATGGATAGAGCTCTGAAAGAGAAGGGTCCTCGTCCCAAATCTCGATCCGTCGGGCATCGGGCCGTGGAATGGCCATTGCTCCAGGGAAGCGAAAAGAAATGGTGCCACTCCCCGGATACCATTCAACTTTTTCTCAGGCCACTCGGTTTCTCGTAATCCTTCGAGTCGGGTGTTCAATTGTTTGTGGCTCGACAGCCGGGAGCTACTCGACCCTGTCAGCCCACAAGAACACCCGCTCGTCTTTTCTTTCTTCCTTCATCCCGTATCGCTCCGAAATTCCGGCTCATGCCCATAAGTAGCGACACGATACTCGACCACAGTCAATTACCGTAGCATATCCCACGGTCCCCCGCAGAGATCACGATCCTCTTCTCAAACCGTTCCCTTTCCTCGCTGGAGTTCCCAGCCCACAAGTCCCCGGCCAAGACACATCATAACATCGCGCACCGCTATTCGCCCTAGCTCACTCAGACCGACAACCATCCGTCCACACACCCAGAGTTGTCGGCCCCCGGCCGTTTATACCGACACCTCGTGACACATTGAATACCCGCCGCGACCCTCTCCACGTTACCATTCCGCTACAGCCTCATTATACCCACATAACAGCGACCCTTACCATCACAAAGGGACGGCTGCTTTCAACGACATCTCACGTTCGTCTCACCTTCAAAGGCCGTCACTCCTAGCCCGGCCTGTGCTATCATTCCGCTCCCGTTTAGTTTATGCCACATAAGCACAGCCTTACCCTGGCCGGACACCTAGTAGGGTAGGCCGTGCCACCCACAGTTAACCTGAAGTGTTGACGCAACGCCCTACACTCAACTCCCGAGACATTTGTCCATTATTCACCCAACCGCCCGCCCCATCTGGCGGGTCTCAAAAAGGGGAATGGATTCATACCATCACAGACACGGCGAGGAGTTTATCATCTCCAATAATCCAGTATTCCTGCCTTTCCCTTCGGGTATACCGTTGTTTAGCTGACTCTTCCAGCCCGCCCACCTCTTTGGCCAATCTTTTCTCAACAATAGCCCCATACAATCTCCTTCAATATGGGGGGCGACTGAGCCGGAGCCCGGCACAACCCCTCTTACTCACCCGCCATCAGCAGCTTTCACCACCCTGTCTCTTAACCCAACCACGGAACTACCTCATACCTTAGGATTTAGCGCCATGCCCTCTGGCGGTTCTTCACAAACACCTTCTATTCAACGGCTCCAGTCTCGGCAGATTCTGTCACCTCATACCAGACGCAGAGAGGGACACGACAGGAAACGTTCTAGGTTGAGCTTGGAAACAACCACCGCACTTGATACGATTGAATACTGGATGGACTTTGACAATGACGATGGTCTTCCCGATAAATCCAAGCCTCACTCCCAATCACCACCGCCGGTGGAAGAAAAGGGTGCTGCCCCCATCATGGAGCAGTACGTAACCAAAAACAGCAACATTCATGGCAGTGTCCTCTTTTAGCCATCCCCATTTGGCTAATGTTTCGCCAGGATAGTGCGTCCAACATCCGTCACGGAAACCCGGGAATCTACCGATAACATCGTGACTAGAAACGCACCATCTGATGTTCAAGGTTCATCGTCCATCAACCTCCGCGAGCAGCTTGCCGATATCGATATGGAACCGCCTCTAGAAGTACCCCTTCGTGAGGGGTTGTACTCGACGCCGCTTAGCTGGGAGCGCCCACAGCCCGGGCGGCACCCAGAGCCGACTGTCTCTCGTAGCCCACCCTTGAACGAAGAGGGAAAGGGCGGGTTGGCCACCACTACTACCAACCAAGGACGGGGCCCAGATGGGATTGGATCTAACGTTCACATCGATTTCCACGGAACCAGTGAGACCACCCCTGTGGTATTCGGCGCATCAGAAGAGCCAGAAATCAGACAGAGTTTGAAGTCCACGCCCCTATTACGTCCGGCCCTATTGCAGTCTTATTCAGCACCACCCAACATCCCTAGTAGTAGAAGTCAAAGGAGGCTGGACAAAAAGGGAGGAAAAGAAGAAACCAAAGCGGCCGACCGAGCTGCGCATAACAATATTGAGCGAAAATACCGAACCAACTTAAAAGACAGGATCCTAGAGTTACAAAACGCGGTTCCCGCACTACGGGTATCCCAAGACAAAGATGGCGACGATGACGAGGAAACACACCCGGGCAACCCCCCCAAAATCAGCAAAGTGCGTGTCCCCCTTCTCCCCTTCCGCACTCTCTCTATCCCAGTCTAATAAACCAGCCCCTACCTCCCACCAAAACCGTAACTAATAGGCGGTCCTTCTCCTTCCCATAGAGCATGGTCTTAACCAAAGCGACGGAGTACATCCGCGACCTCGAACGTCGAAACAAGGATCTTGTGGAGGACCAGCGCGAACTCGTACGGCGACTGCAGGTGGTTGAGCAGTTGCTGAGTTCGGTGGCGCAGCAGCAGACCGCCGCGACGTCATCGACGACGTGTAGTAGGGTGTTGTTTGATCCGAGGGGGTTTTGTTGACCTCTTCGACTCTTGGTGCCTTTATTGCGCTTCTTTTTCAGGCGATTAGATATCGTTGGGTACAAAATTCTGTCCGGTATTTACAGCAATCGGTTTCGATTCCTAGTTCTGATAACCGGGACAGCCCGGCATCGTTTCCTGCTTTTTTTTTTTTTTTTAGAATATTGGTTTTCAGCCTCAAACCCAAGCTAGGGGTTGAGGATTAGTTGTTGGGAGTTATGGTAACTTGCACCACTGCTCAAACCTTAAATAGTATTCAGTGGCGTGCATCCTTCTCGGTTCAACGAGTGTAACAAAGTGCAGATGGCGACCACAGAGATATTGTGAATGCAACATGATTGCTATGCAGTGGTACTATAGATACATACCTCCCTTACAAGGGGGATTCTGTCGGTTTCGAACCCCACCGCAGCGCCTCGATATCATCCAACTCCTTCACCGCCTCAGGGGTCAACACCAACGGATCCTCCTCGCCCACACACACACTATCCTCGATCCGCACCGCCAGCCCGCGGAAGTGCTTCGGGAACCTCTCGTCGTCGGGGACATACACGCCCGGCTCGATCGTCACGCAGTGGCCCGGCTTCATCGGCACCGAGCGCGGGTACCCGGGCACATCGTGCACATCCAGGCCGACATAGTGCCCGACGTGGTGCGGGAAGAGAGTGCTCATGAGGTCGCCCCTGCTACGGAGAAGGCTGCCACTGGCGAAATCGAACCCGAGCTGGGTGAGCTCCTCCTGCAGCGCCGACTCCGTCACGCGGTGTACTTCGTCCAGCGACAACCCCGCGCGCGCCGTGCAGAGGGCGACACCTTTACGTTGGACGGCCAGCACGGCGGCGTACAGATCACGTTGTGGTTGGGTGAAGCGGCCGCTCGCCGGCCACACGCGCGTGATGTCGGTGATGTACCAGCCGTACTCGGCGCCGGCGTCAACGAGGATCATCTCGTCGCCGCGGAGGCGGGCGGTGTTGTGGGTGTAGTGGATCATGCGGCCGCGGCGGCCGCCGGCGATGACGGGGACATAGGCTGGGCCCGTGCAGTTGTCGTTGGTGAAGGCGTGAGCGAGGAAGTTGTGCAGGTCGGGTTCGGTGGACCAAGGGCGGCTCATAGCGGCGGTGATGGCGCGCCCAGAGACGCGGCCAGTGTGACGCATGACCTCGACTTCGGCGGGTGATTTGATAGCGCGGAGGGCGTTGACAAGGGGGCTTAATGGGGCCGTGGAGGGTGTAGTAGGGAGGGCGCGGATGATGGAAGGCAAGGAAAGCGGTGAGGAGAGCTCGGAGGTGGAAGACAGCGGTGCGTCGGTGTAAATGCGGTTGGCGGAGCGGAGGAGTGGAGGGAGGAGCACGGCGAGACTGTTAATATCGGCCGCCTCATCGGCGTTGAAAACGTCCTCCGCGGCACGCAGGCCACTCCAAGGCCCGGCCCACTGCTCGGCTAGGGCATCTTTAGGACGGCAAAAGAGGTGGAAGGTGTAGTCGCCGAGAGAAGGTCCCGTTTTCCGAATTACGGCAAGGGACTGAGGTTCCGAAAACCCGGTGAGGTAGAGAAAGTTGGATTCTTGACGGAAGGAGTAGAAGACGGCACCAGAACGGTATTTTGTCTCAGCCGAGGGCAGGACGGCCACGCCGCCTTCAGGTAAACTGAAGGCAAGTTTGGCACGGCGATCGGCATACTCCTGAGCCGTAATACCAGGTGTTACTGTAAATTATCAGTGTGAGAATTCGACATACGAAGGCAGACGAGTAATCTCACTTTCACCAGCCTGGAGAAGGTGAGGGTGTGTTTCATGAACAGGCTGCCCGAAATCCAGCTCAGCGGCCGGAATTGACGTAGCAAAGCCGCGGCTTGATAATATTCTCCTTGGTAATGTTGGGCTTGCCAAAGCCTGCAGTGGCTTATGTATTTGCCGAAATGCGGCTCTGAGAGACCTCATTTTGGGCGGAATTCAGATGTGGATGTGGCTGTAAGTGAATTGCAGTGACGACAAAAACGGGTTTCTGAATTTGAAGTTCAAGCTCTTGGCGCGCCTATCATTGCCCCACAGCAGCTAGACAGACAGCGTCTTGCCTGCAACTCGCACATGGTTTGGAACTTGGAAGGCTGAAGGTGGAGGACGAGGCCTTAAACTGTGGTCTTGTGTATCCGTATTTCACCTGTTTTTACAACCTGTGAGAAAATGGAAGCCAGTGCGTTTTCTATCTTAGACTCGGTTTCCTCCTGCCTTCCATGCACATAGTATTCCTTTCCAGGTTTCCCTTGCATGGGAAGGCGCTGTCAGCAGTTGCCAGCTGGTACTGGGATTTGCAGAGGGCGTTGCTGTGAGCGACAGCGTCGCTTGACTGGCAGCCGCGTCTGTGGGGCCCCCGTTTGTTGTGTTCCCCTCCAAGCTGGCTTAGCTCACGGAAGCTCGGGCCACATTTTTTCTTCTGCCTTTTGTCGATTTCGCGACCCGCACTTGCTCCTAAACAGTGCTTCCCGAACTTGGACTGCTCTGGGACTGGACCAAGGAGTAGCCACCCACCGACACACCTCCGCCTCGTCGACGCTCTCCTGTGTGGAATTCTGGCCCTTGGTGCTTGTCTTAAGCCATTGGCCATTCTCGCTGTGCCGTCGGCCCCGATCTCTTTTTTCCTCCCTTCTCCCATTCGCTGTGCGTAGCGCGGGAACCTTAGCCCGCAGCAGACGCGTTCTGGGTGTGCTGCACGTCGCGTGTGCTCGGTTGCTTGTTACCAGCCCACCCCAGCAACCTGGAACCCACACCCACAGTTCCCAAACACCAGCCCCTCCCCTGCTCACTGGTTTCCTCCATTTCCTGTCGAGAAGCCACTCGCCCGTCAAATCCCACCACCGCAGCCCGCACCCTTTTCTACCCGCCCAAAACAACACGGGTGTGGCATGTTGACGGGACATTCGTGGGGTACTAATATTTCTATCGCCGAGTTCACCTCCACCGTTCTCGGCCATGTCGACGAGGAGAGTTCCGCTCTCTACCACCAATCCCAATGTGGCCAATTCGCCCATGAGAGCCGCGGCTATTGCCAATGGCATCAAAAAGTCCCGTTCCCACGCGGATGCGGCGAGGGAGGATGTATACGGTCAGCCTCCGCCCGCAAAACGCCAGATGGTCGAGCGTGGCGTCGCGTCGCCGTCGCGCGTCAGGACGACCCGGACTGTTGTTCATAGGACCGCTACACGGGCGACAGCAAACCCCGCGGCAACGCAGAAGGAGTCGACAGCCGCTACGATATACCCTGAGGAGGCAGACGAAGAGGAGCAGGCGAACTTGCGGACGTGGTACACCCAGATTCGTGCCCGGTTCCCCAAGATGGTGTTCTACTTCGAAAGCGTCCCAGACGACACGCGGGCCAGGCTCGCAAAGCAGGTTGCCCGTCTGCATGCCGTATGTATTTTTCCTACGAGCTTTTCTAAGCTACCATAAGCTATCACAGGCGCCTGCGAGTGTACACATGTCAGCTAACGTACTATTCCCCCCCAGCGCGAGGAGAAATTTTTCTCCATCGACATCACTCACATCGTCACCACCCGGCCGATCCCACCTGACAAGTCGAGACAGGAACGCGAGCGAGTCCTTAATGGCCAGGGGGATAGCGAACAACCCAAGACGATTGACCCTGCTCTCTTGAACCGGCCCGTGGATGTTACCCGGAGGCGGTTGACGTACGACTCACTATCCGGCCGAAAGCCCTCGGCCTTGAACCCGAACGACCCGCTCCGGCGTCCCAAGATGCGAAGCACCGATATTCTGGACCGTGCCCGGGACATGGGGAAAAAGATTTGGTCTCTGGAGAAGCTGGTGAAAATTCTGGAGATTGCATTGAAGTCGGACCCGTGCACCAAGACAGAAGGCCGGGCAAGCACGCAAAGCACAAACAAACAGCCTGCTGAGCCGACAGCCAATCTAGCGAAACTTCTGCAGGAGGAACGCGTCAATGCCGCCGTGTCGAACAAGGAGCTGCACTCGTTCAAGGGCGTCTACATCTATGTGTATGACGTCGAAGAGAGGACGAAGCCTATTATGGTCAGGGAGTACCCCAAAGCTAGCGAGCCAAAGGACCAAGAGTGGCCGCAATTCCGTGTCGCATCACAGGGTCGCTGCCCCTTTATTTATGAAGAGAGCTGCGACGCGCCAGAGAAGGAAGATCGTGAGCTAGAGGCGGCCAGGGCCCGGGCCCGGGCCAAGGCAAAGGCTGCTAGAGCGGCTGCTGAAAAGCAAGCCGAGCAAGTCATGCCAAAGCCCAGAGCTAGCGAGATTCCGTCGAAAGCAACAACTGGAAAGCGTACCCTGACGGAAATGGAAGACGGCCACAACCGAGGTACTACGAGCTCTCGTACCGCCGAGCCGCTGGATAGGGCCAAGGTCTCGAACCCCCCTTCTTTCGACTTTCGCTCTCAAAACGCATTCATTAGCCATGCGAAGGCGGGCCGGTTTCTAGCGGGTGAGCCGGTGGCATCCGGCCTCCAGGCTTCCAACATCACGTCGGCGATCCGGTCCCAGATGATCTCATCCACTACAGGGGGCGTGTTAGGCGCCAAGGCCGGCACCAGCAAGGAAATTCACGGTCTCCAACGCAAGGTCGTTCTGCAAAAGGCCAGCAATCCCGCGCTCTCGCAGGATCTCAGCTCCCGTCGTTTGGCCGAGATGAGCCATGATAGCAACGCTTGCGTCCGATCTGCCAGCATCAGCCAGACATCGCAGCGGAGGTTGGGCCCGGTTGACGAGGAGGGCATGTCGAGACAGAGGGAGAAGTTGCGGCGGACCGCCAGTGTCCCGGTCTCGCAGCCGCGGCCGAAGCGCGACCCGAAGCCGGGGTATTGTGAGAACTGCCAGGATAAGTTTGCGGATTTTGACGAGGTACGTTTGGGGTTACCCTCTTAGCCTGCTTGAAGGAATTATTCACTAAATAACGTGACACAGCACATCGTATCCCGCAAGCACCGTAAATTCGCGGAGAATAACGATAACTGGACACAACTCGATTCCCTCCTTTCCCAGCTAAGGCGCGTGCCGCGATACTAAGAAGATTCGCTACCAAACAACATCGCTGCTATCTTTGCACCCACCCGTCTGTTGTCATGACCCCCTTCTTGGAACTCGAAGCAATAGAATCAAGTATCAGTTGGCGTCCTGCCGCAATACCGGCTACGGCTGGGTTGTATATATACTCACCTCCCTTCCTATTCTGGCTACCTGTGGCCACCAACAATCGCTAGTCCTGCTGAGTGGGTATGGCCCGGGCTAGTCGATCACGAGCAAAGCGAGTACATATCTTTTGAACGCATCATTTGGGCTCCCTGGAGCCGGTGTTTTACGGCGCGTGGTCGAGCTTGGCGTTTTATGTGTTTCACATTTCTGCCTTTTTTTGCTTTTTGGTCACTAGCCATACCAGTTCCTTATTCCCTTTTCATCTTCGCTTTGGCTGGTTGCCCGGTGTGGGCGAGCAGGACAGGAAGAGCATGAGATCACGCTTGTTAGCGGTGGACACGGTGGGAAATAGGGCTGCGAGGCATGATGCGTATTGCATACGTTGAAAATTAGCGGGTTGGCGTGGCTGTGGGTTAACAAATGGTGGTGGGTCCATCTGGGATCTGAAAGGAGATGGGACATGTCGAGAGTATTGTATGGATAGCCACTCAGGCAGGCGGGCGGACTCAGAAAGGGGCAACGGAAGCTGCCCTCTGGCCTCCTTGTGCCGCGGTCCGTGACGTCTCGGTGGTTCGGGGCGTGTATGTGCCCATGGATCGACTATAGTATGCTTTCTGCATGTGTATAGTTGTATGTTAGGCTAATGAAAAACACCTTGTTGACTGAAGGCGGGGCCGCGTGCTCTCTGTCTTCGCACTGGGATCTTATACGCTGATAGCCCCTCGCTCTTGCCGTTTACTTCATACCTAAAGTACATCGCCATGCGGAAGGTCCGATGGTGAATTGCACGGGCCGCCCTCATAGCTCTGACCTTGGTGTGTTATCAGCACACTTCCCGAACTATCCAACTGCTAATGTATGTATCCGACCACCCTATAATGCTATCGTCATCTTTTTGCATCCCTTAAAACAGCACATTATCCTCTGACGACGTCACTAGCCCTCATTTTTATAGCTCAAGCACCAACCACAGAAACCTGCGACCTCTTCTCCCACACCCCCCCCTTTTCCCCTCTCTCTTCGGCTACATTCCAGAATTCCCACGAGCCAGAGCCAGAAACCATCAACACCATGGCTTCCTCAACAAGGACTACCAAAGATCTCATGCACGATCAGTACCGGCGGGCTGTCCGCTTCTGGGTGATGCCGCCGGAGAAACCTGCGAAAAAGGAGGGCGCGCTGCGGTTCGGGATCTTGGGGGCTTCTGATTCTGCGTGCGTTTCTGGCCCTTTCTTTCTTCCCTTCATGCTTTCCCTCGAGAACCCGGACTCAAGAAATGAGCCGAGATAGAACCGAGACCGTTGGGCTAACAATTTCCCCCCTTTCGCGACGCAGATATACGATCCTCATTAAACCGGCGGAGCACAACCCGTATGTCGTCGTTACGGCAATTGCGTCACATAGCTGGCTTAACTGCAAAGAGTGGAGCAAGCGGTATAGTATTCCCAAGACATACACCATCTATCAAGGTGCGCTTGGAGCTGCTTGTGTCGTATTACATTTCGCGAGAGGATACGGGCTGATACGCTGACACTGCTAGACCTACTCGCGGACCCCCATATCGACGCCGTCTTGGTCTCGTGCGGCGTGCATTATGCCTTTGAGTGGACGGTGAGGTCTCTTGCTCAGGGCAAGCACGTCCTCCTCGACTCGCCCGGGGTGGGCACCGTGGCACACGCCGAGCGGCTGTTCAACTCGCCGCTGCTCCGGGCCCCGTTGCCCTTCTACCCGGTCTTTTCGGAGGTCATGCCGTTCCGCTTCCACCCGAGCTGGCTCGAGTTTGAAAAGGCGATCGATCGCGAGCGCCTCGCGCACGTCAAGGTGTCGATTGTTCTGCCGGTCACGTGGGAGCTGGACAAGGACGTGCGGTTCCGGTTTGAGCACGCGGGCGGGTCAAAGATGGACGTGTCGTTTGGGCTGACGCTGCTGCGGTCTGTGTTTGGGGCCAACCCCATGTCATGTGCACAGAGTCGCATCGATCTGTCACGTCGCGGAGGCGAGTGGGAGGGGGACTACGAACACGGCTCGGTCTGGCAGTTTCCGCAGGGGGGAATCGGCGAGGTAATGGGCACGGCACGAGTAGACTCCAGGCTCGGCGTGCCGGTGTTGTGCCCCGACGCGGGCGTCACGGTGGAGGTACGGCATTTCACGCAGACACTGTCACCGTCGGACTGGTCCCCGGCAGGGGAGCCGCCCAAGCCGTCTCCCCCGGCGGGATCGGCCTGGGAGGTTGTGCGCTCGGTCAAGCTGCGCTGGTTCGATGGTCCGCCATCGCAGCACTCGATCGTTGTGGAAGAGACCGGGATGCTGTACCACCTGGATACCCACAAGCTGATCAAGAAGCGGTCCAAGACTAAGAAGTTTCGGGCGTATCGGCTGGGGAGAAAGGAGGAGTATGGTGCTTCGGGCGTGACGGGAGAGGTCCCGGTTGCTTCCGCTCCTGCTACAGTCGTCGAGCCAACCCCGGAGGAAAGCAACGTAAATCTTCGTCATCGCAACAGCACCATCAACACGACCAAGAAGCCCGCTCCCGAGCCCGTTACCCCACACCGGCTGCTTCGCTCCAAGCCCTGGTGGACAGCGCCCATGTACCAGCTCGACAGCTTCGTCAACCGCATCCGGACATCACGCAACCCAGACGTGGCGAAATCACTGGCACTGTCGACGATTCACAGGGCGGCCGTGCCACCACCGTGGATCTCACCCACGGATGGTCTGGGGCAGGTTATGATCCGGGAAGCCGCGTACGAAAAGGCCAACAGGTCGCCGCGTACATCAGCACACGTTGGGTGGGAATCTGATGTGAAGCGGATGAAATTTGGGGCGAGACTGCTCGGGATCGAGCGCGAGAGCGATGACCGCCGGAACAACCGCCGGGACAACCACCGGGACAACCACCGGGATGACGGTCAGGACGACGGTGGAAGTGAGAGCGACGGTGGAAGTGAGAGTGACGGTGGAAGTGAGAGCGACGATGGGGGTGGAGGCAGGGGCGGAGACAGGGTTATATCTGTGGGTTCTGAGGGTATAGTCGCGAGGATCCGTCGAAATATGAATGTGGTGATGACCGGTGCTGCTGGTCCGGTAACGGGTGAAATTCGATCTGGGGCCAGGTCAAGGTCGGGCCCCAACCCCAACCCCTATCTTTACCGGCCGGATCCTACCCATCCTACCCCCACACCCACTCCCGCTCCCGTCCCCGTCCCCGCCCTAGACGCTCAGGGGCTGCCGGAAAACTTGCCTGGGGACCTCCGGAGTCGACTATCCGCCGGCCTCGAGTTAGCGCACGAGCTAGGGGTGGTGCCGGCCGTGACGGGGCCGGAGGCGGCCGCATTTGTCCTACCGTGGCTTCATGGCCTACCTGATTGCGGGTGGGTGCCGGCGAATGCGGTGGATAGCCGGTTGGTTCCTTCGGCGCAGGAACAGAGATGGTTTGATTCAATATATTCTTCGCCTCCGCAGGCCACGACTGCCGTTACACCGATGGATAATGCCACGATGTTGAATGTGGCCCAACCGTTCCAGGATCCTGGTCCGTGGCAAATAGGGACCCGGCCTTCCTGGAGAGCCCGTCGAGCGGCACTTTCGAGTGGCCAGATCTCCAGTTTTGCGCCTAGGGGCTGGGAAAGAGATTGGATTGGTCTGGGCAGAACTACTCTTGTGTCAAGTCGGACCAGGGACCGCGACAACCGCCGACCGGAAATACGCGACGAACCCCTCCCTATACACAGGCCGCCGGTTTATCGTTTCAGACATCCCCTTGACGACGACACGTACCGGAATTTAGCGCGTACCGATGAGAATCCATGGGAGCTGATACGCTCACCAGGGCCTTTATGGACGACAATTTTGGAGGACTACCAGACAATTGGTAGCCATTTTCTCCCGCCACCACAGGCTGATGGTGGTCCTGTACGAGATGATGACGGTGTGCAGACCCATGGTGGTAGAGGGGGACGACATCATGGTGACAGTTCAAGGCCACACGGTGATGGTTCAGGACAACATGGCGGTAGTGGTGGCGGTCCAGGACATCATAGCGACGGTTCACGACCTCATCATCACAGTTCAAGGCATCATGGTGAGAGTTCGAGGCATCCCGGTGGTGGTTCAAGCTCACATGATGCTGGACCAGGGCCAAGCAGTGCTGCTCCGAGGTTCCAAAATGGTGGACGCAACCCGAGGCCTATTGGTTCTAGACACTATAGGGATGGCTCAAGACACCACCATACTGACGGTCCAAGACATCCTAGTGATGATTCTAGACATCCCGGCGATGGCTCAGGACAGCATGGTGATATTTCAAAACAGCATGGTGGTTCGAGACATCATGCTGACGGTCCAAGGCATCATAGTGGTGGTTCGAGACAGCCTGTTGATGTTTCAAGACATCATGGCGATGGTTCACGACATCACGGTGGTGATTCCAGCTCACATGATGCTAGGCCAGGGCCGAGTAGTGGTGATTTGAGATCGCACGCCACCATACCCGCGCCAAGTAATGGCGGACCAGGGCCGAGTACCAGTGCTTTGAGGGCACAAAGCAGTAGACCCGGTCCGAGTGGTGATGGTTTGAGACCGCATGCTGCTGTACCCGTGCCGAGTAACAGTGAGCCGACGTTACAAGATGGTATGCCTGGCCCAAGCAGCGGTGCTCCAGGGTCCCAAGGGGGAGGACCCGGCCCAGGAGGTCCCGGGGGGGCGGACACAGGTTATCGGATGGGGTGGTTGAGATTGAGGGCAGCGAGGGCGTGGAACGAGAGACTTGCTGCTCGTGCTGAGGCTCTTGCTCGACTTGAGGGGGTCGATAACGACGGGACCGAGTGGATTTGAGGGGCAGCTCGTGGCGGCTATATTGGATACAGCGGGTATTTGTGGGAGATCGGGCGGGTGGTTTGTTATAGGGTGGTTTGTTTAGCTATCAGCGGGTTAGGATGCGAAACGTAGACATGTATACAGCGGAGTATAGATTTCGACTAGAAATCGAGAGTATTGGATTCCTGATGCTAGTGAGTGGAGCGCACAAATAAAATTTGAGACTACTTTACTCAAGGAAAAGGTTGTCACGAACACGTTGTATGTACCACCTCAGATTTGAGGTGCTGTGTCAGACTTTCAAGCATGGAGATGACAGAAACAATCGCGAATAAATCTCCTAACTCAGTCAGCATTCACCCATGAATGCCGCAATGCCGGTGCCTACTGCCCGGGAACCGAGATCGTAAGTACAAAGTTATCTTACAGACACATTAATCACAGTTGTGTAAACAAAAGCAAAAAAGCTCACCGCCAAGCGCCTATCCCCATCCGGAGGGATAGCGGTTGGTGGTTACGAAAAGCCGGTGTTTTTTCTTTGCTGGTCTGGGAATCGAACCCGGGACCATCTCGATTTACGACGGTAGTTGGCGGGGCCAGCGCCCCTCCCAATACCGCTGGGCCAAACACGCTGTTTGGCACATTGGGAGGAGTTGGTGACTGTTTTGCTGCGGGATCAAGTATATAGAGTGTGGGAGGGAAGGTGCGGTGAGTTTGGGGAAAGGGGTTGACTGGGCTGGGCTGGGATGGGGTCGAGTGTTAACGATCGATCACCTGGGTAGTGGATTGGGTAAGTTTTACAGGACGTACTGTATTCGAATGAGCAAACGTTGAGAAGATCTAGTCCCTAGCTGATACTCAGTTGGGGGGAGTTCTTCGGGACGGATCAATAGCTTTCAGCTGGGCGACTTCTTTGTGGCTGTTTCTGTCATCTTCATGTATGGAAATCCCCCACTTTCTGTTAGTGAATGAAAGCTGTGACGGTGACAGGGTCGAGGAAGAGGCCTTTTGCGCTGGCTGCGGGGTTGTTGGTGTTGGCTGGGACTGTGATTTGGAGGTATTGGGTAAGTTGTGTGAAGATGCGCCTACCTATTGGAGGTGGGAAAGAGTCTAGGTTAAAGTAAGGTTGGACTGCTAACAAACCACAAGGACGAAAACTACGGCGGGACAAAAACAACAAACGACAAAGGCAAAGGCAAACCAAAACGTAACGTATGGACGGTCCTCTCCAGCCCGCAAGTACTCGCCCTCGGCCTCGCATCCACCGTCTTCGAAGGGTCCATGTACCTGTTCGTTTTCTTCTGGGCGCCCGCTCTCAAGTCCTTCTAGCAGCCGTCTTCGTCCTCAAGCGAACTCCCCTACGGCATCATCTTCTCCCGCTTCATCGCCGCTTCATCGCCGCGACCCTCGCCTCATCACTCGCCTTCTACACCATCACCGAGCGCCGGCTCATGCAGCACGCCGCTCTGCTCGTGGCCATCCTCGTGCTATCCGCGGCCTGCTTCTTTCTCTCGGCCGCGCCAACATTAGAACAGGCTGCCTTTTGGGTATTTTGCCCGTTCGAGGCCGCCGTCGGCATGTACTGGCCGTGCATGGGCTACCTCAAGGGGCGGTTGGTCGATGACGCAGTGTGCGCTCAGGTGTATGGGATATTGAGAATACCCCTGAACATCTTTGTTGTTGTCTCGCTGCTGCTGACCGGGGACGGGAACTCCTTCGGGACAGTCTTCTCTGCCTGTTCTTCTCTCCTGCCTGTCTCTGCTGGCGCGCTGTGGGCGCTTATGGCAAATCATGCGCAATAGGCACAGAGACAGGAATGCATAACGTTACTGCGTGAATTAGCTTAGGGCATGCAGCTGCTGCGAGTAACGAAAAAAAGGAAGGAAAAAAAAGGTCGAGCATTTTCCAAGGCCACCAAAGAAAACAAGGCGACGGGCTCGTTCGACCTTGGCATCCCTCCTTTGCCTCAATCAAGTTCTTCCATACTGTGTACCAAAGTACACCGGTCCAACACAAAATTAGCCATCTGGGCGGCGATCTTCCCAAGCCTTGCTTTCCCGGCATGCAACGTGGGCGAAGCTCGGGACATGCAGTGTGGTCACAGCTTGCTTCGACGTCGTCCTGTCGTTCGCAGCAGGTACTCGCCAATCCAAACTTCCTTTTCCGCCAGGGCGCGCAGACTGACAGACACGAATGAGTACGAAATACTTCGTACTACCTTTTGACTTTTGCTGACCGCTCGTCTGCCCTTGCTCGCCCTTGCCCAGCTCGCAAGCCCCAGGCACGGCAGAAGCGTGGGATGGGAGACCTTTAAAATTATTAAAATGTTGGGGGTCTTACCAGGGAGACGTCAAGATGTCAACCCCTGGAACGCTTATTCGCCTTTCTAGGGAAGGCAAAAATTGCAGGTGATGGAGTGAAAAGTGGCAAAGCTGACTGAGAAGAGAGCCCGTGAGCCCGTCACGCCGGCAGCACCGCCTCGGGTCCGATTCCGGCCTGTCCATGAGTGAGATGTGACATGACGTCGCGTGCCCCTGAACGGCCGTGGGGGTTGAGGTTGTGTTGATCCTGGAATTGGCCAATCCCCTGCAGAATTGGTCCCAATCGGCGAGTTGGCCAATATGATGCACAATTAACTTTGGCTCGGAGCGGTCTGCAAGTCAGCTTACTCTCAATCGGTCTTTCGTTCATCTTCGCGTGGCCGTTGCCGGGTCCGGAATACGTGATAGTTCAAGCGAGACACAAGCCGCAAGTCAACACTGGTGTTCAGAACGCCTCGCGGCGCTCGGGGCCTCCCGGACGTCTGCCGGACGGGAGTCGGTGACGGCCGGAGCGGTTGTCGGAAAAGATGGAGAATTGAACGCTGAGTTCGGCCCACAAGCCCACCGTTGAGGTTCCGCTTCACGCCCCGCTCCGGCGACCTCAGGGACGGCCCTAATGTTCTCAAGGTCTCCTGCGACAGCCGGGCAAGACCCGATCCAAACCCAACCTTGCCAACACCTTCCAATTGCTTTTTCTCTTGCGTTCCTCCGCTTCCAATCGAGCTTCTTACCAGCACGTTCTTGAATATCACACCAGTTCCCCGCGCAGCCGTGCAACCGCGTAACCGCCTAACCGCGGGTTCGTGGAATTTTCCAGCGAAGGACCCCCCAAGCTAAACAGAATGAGAACTAGTCTCAACACAACACGCAAACCTTTTTGTCACCCGCGCATGTGCAGCAATATGTCGGTGGGGGGGCTCAATTCAACCCTTCCAAGCGATGATTGGGCCATGGCATCCAGCAACGTTCGTTCGTGACAGGTCGCATGCCAAGAATCGACTGTTCGGTCTGTCATTGCAGGGGTAGCTGCGAGAAGGGCAGGCTTTGTGTTTCCTTTTCTTGGGCACCACATGAGGTCCTGCCGAAAGGTGGAGTTCTGGAGGAAAGCCTGCTGTCGACAAGTCAGCGTCAGGGAGAACTCGTGACGATCCGCGTGCAGGCCGGTGGCTCCTTTCGCTGCCGCGTTTCCCTCGGCCACGGTCGGGTCTCAATGCTGCTGCTGATGGATCCAGGCCTCCTTGTGTGTCCTCCAAATTCGTAAACATACACAGTAGCCGCGCAACAAATCGCTCGTCGGCGTAGAATGCTCCATCACTTTCTCTTTTCCCCCACTGGAGGCGAGTTCCCCCAAACGTTTGGGGGTCAGCGTGGCATGAGTGGAGAATTCTGGGCTGTCCCAGGTCGCACAAGGCAAGCCAGAACAGTCAAACGGAAGATTGCACACTGTAAACTTTGTATCAGATCGCCTCCCGTCCTGCAGGTGCCGGTCGGCTGGGTGTGCAAAGCATTTGCGGGGGGTTCGCCGATGAGGGGCCCGGCGCTGTGTGGAACCCCAGCTCACCCTCACAGCGCGGCCTGTTAGCAAACTCTTACATAACTCCGCACACATTAGGGTCCGGGTTTGCTCCGGATGTAAATGCTGTCGCGTGACCTACCACCCTGCAACAAGAACTTCTTCAAACATCAAAGGAACAGGTCGCATTATGTCTTGATCTGTGTGAGACAAGGAAAATGGCAACCGGGTATGAATTGTGCTGTGGATTCAGGTCAGTTTACACACAAGTTGGTGTCCCACCACTTACATACATCTTCCCTCTCGATCTCTTTTATGGGCATTAGCCAGCCCTTCTTCTTCGACGCTGGAGCAGAACGGTTAAGGTCACACAAAGACGAAGACAAGGGACGGATGGGACCGGTTTCTGAAAGAAGCCACGCTGCGCCCAAATATCGTCGACCCAACGGTATCTTCACCCAGGCCTTGTTGGCGGCTCCTGCAACAGTGTCGAAACGTCACCTCGATATGGATAACGGCGGTTGACATCACTCTCAAAGTATATCGGATCCGACCCCGGCGAGGCTTCGGTGATGGTAGCCGAACAAGGGGTTAATCGGATGAAATCCGCGGGCCGAGCTGCAGGAGATGATACTCTTTCCGTTCGATCTCGCATCGGCCAAGCATCAAGATCGCAACCCTCCAGTTCTTCTTGACCACACCAACCACGTGGGGTCTGTGCCTCTTGCTGCAGGAAATATGAGACCGATGGCATCCCACTCTTCGTTTGCATGGAAACTCAACCTCGCTTGAGCCAGTTATCGGACCGCTTGGGTTGAAGAGGTTGCTCCCCGCGCCGAGGGCAGCCAATAAGGGCGGCTGTGGTTTGCCTCGCGACCTCTCCGACTCTCATACCGAGGTTCTAGTGGCTCAGCAGCATCCAACGTCGTCTTCCAACTTCCAACAGGTGTCTCGCCCCCGTGGCGCTCATCGATTCGGCGAGGTGCATCCCGCTAAACGGTGAGCCTCGGCAGGGGCATTGTTCCGGGCTTGAGCCGAGCCAGACCTTCGGTATCTGCACGTCACCATTGATGTGTGTCATGTCTCCTTATTCTCCTATTGGTGCTTTTGGTGCTGCTTTTGACGTCCATCAACCCCAACCTGGAAATATTACCGCCAGGGGTCTTGGGGAAACGGCTCGAAGAGACACTCTCGTTGTAAATTTCCAACCGCGGTGCCCGATGCTCGATGAAGAGTTCGTCGAGGTTGGGGAGTAGTCTTCCTTTTCCGTCCTTGAGCTGCATCGCAGTGTTCAGCATATATGTATTGGATACTGACAAGGCATTGAAAACAAAATGCGAAACTCGTGCATCGTACCGAGCTAGTGTAAGGGCGGGGGGAGGAGCCCGTGTGCCGGTAAGCCAGTCGACCTTTACGCCATTGTCTCAGTCCATTTGGTCTCAGGCCACCACATTTGCGTCGTGGAATCCCACGGTTGGCGGAAAACGTTTGGCGAGAACCCGATACTGATGTGGCAAGCCGACGAACTGGGACGCGTAGAATACTTGGGGTAAAGGTACCGTGCTCGTTGAAACATGCCAACGGTCATTGCCGACGGAGCTCTCGAAATTGATGGTCGGGACGTTTTCGACGTTATCCAGGTCCGAGGTCGCAAAAACGTGGGGGTTTGGGGGGTACACTGGGGTCAAAAATCCACCGGGCTCCAGTCAATCGAAGTCAGCGGTCATGTGTTCTCTGGTGGGTCTTCCTGGTACTGTACACGAAAGTGGAAGGAATGACTCTGGGATGGCTCGACACCGTCCTACACTCCTGTGTCCGTCCGTCTTGTCGTGTACACGTACTGTCACTTCGAATCTCTTGCTGCAATTTCTTCCCAACTCGGCGTTTTTGGGTTCATCAATTCCCCAGAATATGCAGGACTCGATATTGATCGATGGGGCAGCGAACCAGTCACACGATCGCCGATGCGAATGCTGACCCCAGACTGGATTCCGGGGATCTGCAAGGGGCACAGTGCATATCACAGTGCACATTCTTCCCAACACTTCCAAACAACAGGAAAACAGACAGACGAGCCAAGGAATTCTGATTTTGCTGAACCAAAACGCTGAGAGGGTGCCAAACCCGGCCGTTCATCTGTTCATAGTACCCCTTCGCTATGAGGTTTATTTCAGTGACGCCAAAAGGTTTTGTGAGCTGGGAACACCCCGACCACGAGGTCAAAAGAGAGCCGCATCCCCAGAAACCCCCAGTTTCAGGCACAACTGCCAGAAAGCGGGATCGTGCACTGACCAGTGCTCTAATTTCAGACGAACCGGGGAGAAGACGCACCTCAACGGGAATTTCCACTGGAGAATCAACTCCTCGCTTTTCGACTAATTACCACAAGCAGCAGCACCACCACAACAATGAAGCATCCCGGCCGCCATGCTCGGGCCCCATTGTCATTCTCTCCTCCTTCTCAATCCTCACACAGGATTTCCCCTCACCGCACGATGCGACGTTGTTGCGTTTGGCCAATATTAGCCCGATTTCGCTCCACCACAACATTGCCAATTCGAGGAAACACAAGCAACATCGCGCGAACAAGTCATCCTTGCAGCCCGAAGCAAGACTTGAAGCAACGTCGGTCAGCCGGGTTACAGATGCAGGAGCACTCAAGAGGCCGCCTCCGTGTGGCTGAGTGATCGGGTGCCGTGTCGAGATCGTGTCAGCTGCTTCAGCGACCCCTCACTGCCCCGCCGTGCGCGTCGTCGCTCCCCGAACCCCGAAACAGCCAGCCGCAGCCGGCGAGGACCGCCGAGAGCTGCAAGAGCGGAGAATTAGCGGGCGCCCTCGATGAATACTCGGGGCCATGGCTTGAAAGCTTCGTTGGCATCAGCCGACTCAGGCCCTTCGACATCCTCCTCTTTGCGCCAATTGGCCGCTCCAGGTTAAGAAATATCGATGCAGGCCATTCGAGGACATTGGTGGGTCCCTCGATGCTGCTTCGCTCGTACACGTTTGTATCGGGTCGAACGCTTCGAACATACCGCCCTTCCCGACCCTCGGTTGAATTTTGGATGGGCGAGAACAGCGATTGTGAAACCCACCCCGTTGGTGACCCCAACTCCAGACGACATCCCGGGGCCTCTCGACCACGACGCTCACCATGGCGGATCCGGGGAGACTGGCGTTCGCCGGAGCCAGCAAAATTTTAACCATCAGCAGACCAGAAATCGTTCTTCCCCAGGATCACCTATGCCAAATTGGGTGTCCCGGTTTGCACAGCCGGTGCGTGCTGAGCTGACCAGGGGATCAGAGACCAGCCTTAGACACAGTGTTATATCCGGTCCCGAATTTGGAAGGCCCGTCACGGCGGCTCGAGCAATGAGCGCCCCTGGGGCCTTCATGCCAGTGGTTGGCTCATGGCTCGCTACCCCCCAGCACAAGAACAAGAACCTAACTGTACTAGCAACTACAAAGCCAAGAGGCTGGGCTTCTAGCCTGATCACAGGCTGCCTCAAGATCGACACAGGGCTTCGAACCGGACGAGTCGATGATGTAATAAAGAATGATGCTGAGTTCGGACCATGGCGGCCACCTACTATGGACGTGCAGAAACTGGCGAGTAACACCTTGCGGCTCTGTTGGCGATTCGCGTTCGGGGCACCGCCAACCGGAGCCTCGAGAGGGACGGGAGCCTTGCAGACGGTTCAACGACGTGACAATACGGCGGTTGACACGAGCTCTTTCAGGCGTTCTCACGCGCTCAATTCCTCCACTCGTACTACCACACAAAAAGGTGCCGTACAATTGATTGGCGAGGAGGGCATGCGCAGATCCGGTCTCCGCGCATTTGACAGGATACCAAGCTGCCAGCGCCCTCTCAGTTTTTGACCGTCGCCGCATCGAAACTGTACCGGCCGTCCCGACTCTTAACGGTATACGTGGAGCCCAAGGAGCATGCCACATAAAGGAACAGGCCACATGTGTTATTCTTTGAGGAACATTACCGACCGATGCGCCGAGGGCAGCTGATCATGCAACGGCCATTAGTTTTTGGACCTGTCAGCACAAACAACCGCCGAGCACTACCAATCACGGCGAGTTTCTCCTTGTGGGAAATCTTAGGAACCACCAACAGGATGGCTCTGGAATGCTTCCTATTCAATGCCTTGTCAAAGTTGCTCCAGGTAGTCGATCGAGTTGAGGATGACGCCCTGTCTTCATGAATGCAGCTCGACCAGCAACGACATCTCTTTACTTGAGGCCGCAGCGCGCCCTCCCCCCCCTTTCAAGGCTCAAGCTCAAAGCAGGTTTCGTTTTCCCCTTTCCAGTCTAGCTTAAAACAGCTTTCGTCTTTCCCTTCTCAGTCTAGCCCCACGCCGCGCCTTGGCGAGGGGCGCTCCCCGATCTCCCACCTGGACCCCCACACTTGGCAACCGCTGATCCTGCACCAATCCTTGTCCTCGCTGGGCCCAGACAAGGGAGGCACCCCGGATTTGAGAGCCTGGCCAGTTCTGGAGCGCGCACTGTGCGCAGGTACTCTAGCGCCAAGGTCAATGACGGCTCCGGCACCCTTGTCAACAACCCACAGGAAAGAGCGGACGTGATCCCATTCTCCGCGGTTGTTGGAGCTGGCTATTCCTAGGAACTTCTCAGGTCCAGACAAAAAGTCTGTCGGCTAGCTGGCAACGGATATGTACACGTACCTTCATGGTACCTCTGCGTCCACAAGAGACATGGGAGTTGGCCTTGCTCAGAGCCGCGCGCTGGGCGCCATCCTCGGGTCAAGTTTACAGCGAAGTGACCTCCACGCGGGACTCCACCGGGCCCAAGAAGGGGGTGTCCAACACAAGAAACAAAAAAAGAAAAATACTTTGTTACTTTCCCACACACCGGTAACTCTAGGCATCGGATCATGCCTTGATCCTTGTCATCGACACTCCATGACTCCCGTTCCTTGCTCAAGCCCCCCTGACCTCCTTAGCCCAAGAAAACTGTCCTCCTTACCCGCCACCCGCTCTCCGTTCTCATAAGTCGTCATGTATACAAATAAGCTGCTCCCCTCTCCCTCTTCTCCCAGGACAATATCTCCATCATCCTCTCGTCTCTCCAAGATCATTCATACCTCACCAGTTCTGGTTCGGCCTGTTATTGCTCAAGGAACTTATTCATAATCATAATTATCATCATCAACAACAACCACCAACCGCACCTTCCACAATGTCTCCCCACAACGACGCACCTTCTCCCAGCGGCAGCTACACCGCTGGCTTCAACAGGATGCAGTTCAACTCCCACCTTGTGACAGGACATCTCTCGGCCATGGAGCCTCACTCCCCACTCAGCAGCTCTTTCAGCACCACTTCCGATTCCACAGACTTCCACATGGATCGGCCACTAGTACCAGGCGTCTATGTGCCCACCATGTGCTTCTTCGAAGAGGGCACGGAAGACGTTGACACCGAGACCATTGCCCGGCACGCCGTGCGCCTGGCTCGCGCTGGTGTCACCGGTCTCGCCACCCAAGGCTCCAACGGTGAAGCCGTCCACCTCACGCACGCGGAACGCCAACTCGTCACCGCGACGACCCGCAAGGCGCTGAACGAATCCGGACACGCACACATCCCCATCATTGTTGGATGCGGCTCGCAGTCCACGCGCGAGGCTATCCAGCTCTGCCGCGAGGCCTGGGAAGCCGGCGGCGATTACGCCCTCGTCCTGCCCCCATCGTACTACGCCTCGCTCTTTGCGCCCGCCTCAGAGACCATCATCTCCTACTTCACCGCCGTGGCCGATGCCTCCCCTATCCCGCTCATCATCTACAACTTCCCAGGCGCCGTTGGGGGGATGGATCTCTCCTCCGACGTCATCCTCAGCCTCGCTGAACACCCCAACATCGTCGGCGTCAAGCTGACTTGCGGCAACACCGGCAAGCTCAACCGCGTAGCAGCTGCCACGCGAAAGCGTGCGGGCGCGGCTTACAACCCAGCCAAGCCGGACTTCCTCGTCCTCGCGGGCTCGGCCGATTTCACACTGCAATCGCTTGTCGCGGGCGGGCATGGCATTCTCGCGGGGCTGGCCAACATCGCGCCCAAGGCGTGCATCAAGACGATGGAGCTGTACGCGCAGGGGAAGACGGCCGAGGCCCAGGGCATGCAGGATATTGTTGCGGAAGGCGACTGGACCGCCATTCAAGGCGGCGTCGTTGGCGTCAAATCTGGACTGCAAGGATGGATGGGCTATGGCGGTGTTGCGCGCAGCCCACTGCCGCGCCCGAGCGGGGAGCAGGCGAAGAAGTGGAAGGAGGGCTTCCGGGACCTGGTCATGCTTGAGAAAAGCCTCTGAGAATGAGAGGGCAAGAGATGTAATTTGGGAGTTTGAAGAAGGGGACATGCCTGATTTCTTACCCTCTACGATCTTTTATTGTGTTTTTTTCCCCTCTTTCTCATCGCATCACCACCATCACCATCATTATTTTTTTCCAACATCATGGAACAGCATAGCACGGTCTTCCGTTGGGCCGGACGGTCAATGGGGCTGGGGACACGGGGGTGAAAGGGGTTTAGGGGAAGGGGGAAGGACCGGAAACCGGAAATCGGGGACACGGGCACATACTCGGCGTTCATGACGGATCATGGAAACCAACTGGGGGAAAACCAAAAGAGATAGACATGGTACTATCTCTCGGCGTTTACGGGATCAAAAACTAACGGACACCACGGGATTCAAGCTTACTTAGCATTTTATTTTTAATATCAATATCACACCTCACTTCCCAACTATCTACTCGATACCTTGTCTCCTTGACCGTGGTCCAAAACTCGGATATAACGTGATCTACTATGTAAGCTTTCGCCCAGTGCCTAAGTCACACACATCCCCCGAACACCATAGATTCCACCAATCACCGGAACACCGTGCCCCCCAACGTCAGCGAAGACCGCACCGGCCTGCGCGTCTCGATCAACCTCTTCTGGCCGCGTTTGCCTCGCACGCAAGCAGTGGAGCACTCCAGTATGACAAGCCGCGTGGCCGGCCGCCTTTTTTCGTCACAAGTGCCGGCGCCAGAACTCATGAGACACCTGCAGGAGAAGGCGAAGAAAACTTGACACTGTTACAGGCCTGGTAGGTAGGCAGTGGCAATTGCGAGGCCTCCGAGTAGCTGCGCGGTACGAATAGTTACTCTCTCTCCTCTTTCCTTCCTCCTGCTCCATCTCCTGCTCTCGTGCTGTGAGCCCAAACTGCGCACCCCTGCAGGTTTTGGGTAGCACCACAGCACGATCGCCTGCTACCCACTCGACGAGAGCGCAGTCCGCATTAACGTTATTACCTTGCATCGCCAGAAGAAAAAAAAGTGAGAATACATAGTAGGAATAGGTGATGTTTGCTCCCACTCTATTTCCTTTAGGGGGAAAGGGGAAAGGGGGCCCTCTGGAAGGGGTGCAAGGGTCTGGTCATTGTCACAAATTGCTTGGCTCTCTCTCACCGGTCCCGCTACGAGCTGCTGCTCCCGCGGGGGGCAAGCCACTCTCTGTCGGATACGATGAAACCAAATACCACGTCTTGCTGCGCGTCTCGATGAAGAAGGAAACGAAAGAAACAAAAAAAAAGTGAGAGAGAGACACCCAATGCGGGAATGTCTCGGTTCCAGGAACCTAGGCCGGTCGGCCGGGGTGTCTAGATGCGAGTGTGGATGGATAGGTGTGTGGTGCCACTGCGAGGGACATCCGCCTAGGTGCGTACCCCTCACGTTCACACGCGCAGATGACAGAAGGTGTCCAAGCGTTTCCAGGTACACTACCCGAAATGTGTGACATTGAATGGGGGAGAAGAAGGTGGGGGAGAAAATGCTGCCAGGGGGTTGAAGAACCGCAGAGCCGGGTTAGGCGCCATTGGATGGCGGGACCTCAGTCTCGGGGGTAGTGTGAGGCGGGCAGGCAAGGCGGGCAATGCCGGAGCTGGGGAGGAAGGAACGAACGGCATGGGTAGGTAATAGTGATGGAAAGGCGTGAATGCGGGAACGGCTGGAATTTTTTTTTTTTTGTTGGCTGCGGCGGCAAGTCAACATCAACACATGCCCCTGTTGTCAACATCATCGCCGATCGGCGGGATACTAGTCGTAAAAAGATACCGGGTTAGAAGTGGGGGTCTGAGGTAGAGAACTTGTCCTACTGTGTACTATGGATGTGCTTGCACGAAAGAAAGTATCCTGCAAAACCTTGGGTACCTCGAAGTCAATTCAACCAAACTGCGCTGGGCGGCCAAGTGAGGTTGCAGTTGTTGATTTTGCCTGACGCCGACGAATGATGATGAGAAGATGAAAAGTGTAACATGGTGCCCGAGCGCCAGTCGGAAATTCCAGAATCCGCCGAGCTGATCGAAAACGGAAAAACACTAACCACCGGAACCAGGGGAAGAAATGCAAGCCACCTTCAACGTGGGTGGGAAATATTGTACCCCAGATGACCCCGAGTGACCCCAGTGGCTCACGGGGTTTAGTTACATTCCTTCCCAGTCGCTCGGGGGCTCCTTCCGACGACTTCAGCTCAGCGTCTTGACCTCGGCAGGCACGACATCGCAAGCTCTTGCCGACCTTTGGATGGGGGTCTCGACTCGCATCGGCCTTCCTGCTTTGGGGCGAGAAGGAGGAACCAACACGAACCCCCACGCATTGAAGGGCAGCGGCGAGGTGGAGTGGGAACGAAGAAAGAACCTAGCATTCTTACCTTCATCAGCATTCTAGTCTCGATGCAAAGTTTTGCTCGCAAACCGAGCCGAGAACCGGCTGCCCTTACCGCTTCTTTCGCCGTCTAGCCCAACCGAGGCGTGACAACGATGTCTTCAGGGTGTACAATACAACCTATCTAATTTTGTACCAAACTGAGAGAACATGGGACCTCTGGTGCTCACTTGCTTGCGATGGGAGCGCGTCGGATTCCGGGCCAGTCTCCTTTCTGGGACACATATGCCTTAGGTTCCCCCTTTCCCTGAAAACCCATAGCTAGATGCACTAGAGACCTAAGCAGGAGCTAAAGGCAGCCATAGTAACAAGCACATTCGGGGTATCATAACCCCATCATGGGTGTATGGGAGAGGTTTCTCAGCTCAAGCAGACCCTCTTACTGCCGCCACATGGACACAGCATTCGGTTTCACAGAGATGCTGACCACTTCTTGTCAACGTTCCTTGTGTACCAGGGCCGCAGAGTTTGTCATATCGTTACAACTTCGCCTTGCGGGAATATGCTATGACCATGGCGGATCCCGCGGCTCCTCTTTGTGATGACTCGCTGTTCAAAATAAATCACGAGTCCCTCCGTCCATCCCCTTTGCGTCAGCTGAGCACCGCTGTCAGTTTCTGACCCCGCCTCCAGGACCCCCAACTCATGCCCAACAAGAGTCTCCTCACGCCTCGCCGGCCGTCACGGTGAAAGAAGATGCGGAGAGCTGCAAGCTTGGTCACCGCGGCTTTGTTATGGGCAGGGATCCGATCCGAGTCTCCCGCCCCATCCGCTTCCCCCTTTCCAGTGGTCGGTGTCAAAAGTGGGATAAACAAACGCACAGGAGAGGCGCCGGCAAGACTCAACGTCAAGACGCTATGGGCGCGGGGAGGGCCGCAATGGTACGGAGCAGCGCTCGCCGCGGCAAATCGAGAATGGGAAAAACAGGTTCTGATTTGTCCGCAGGGATCTCTACATGCTCGCCCTGGCCGAACTTCAAGCCATGAACGAGACCGACGAGCTTTCTTACTTTGGACTTACAGGTACTTCCTCTCGACTCGCATCCCTTGCTTGACTAACACTTCCCCAAACGGTTAAACCTCGATACTAACCACCCTCCAGGAGTCCATGGGTTTCCTCACAGTGCGTGGAACGGAGTCGGCAATGTAGACGGCGCCCCCGTCACGGGGTTCTGCCCTCACGGTGTATGCGAGCCCAACGAGGACGTTCCTTTCGGCGTCCTTCGGCTGATCCGTTGCCCCTAGGACATCATGTTTGTGACTTGGCACCGGCCCTACGTGGCCCTTTTCGAGGTTAGAAGAGTACTTTCCGTCCTAATATCTCATATTGCGGGCTACAGCTAACGTGGTGGTAGCAAGTTCTGGTCTCCCGCGCGGCAAGAATAGCAAATGAGTATCCCCCAAACCTCAAGACTGAGTACGTGGCAGCCGCCCAGACTCTTCGGCAACCCTACTGGGACTGGGCTTCTGATCCCGCTTTGCCACCCGCCGTTTATGCTGTCAACATCTCCGTCAGAGCGCCGAGCGGCAGGAGGAGAATCCCCAATCCTCTGTACAGCTATCGGTACCAGCAGCCCAACGTTGTCTCCAGCTTCGGCGGTTTCCTGGGGACGTATCCCCAAACGATCAGATGTCTTGGCGATGGGAACACTTTCTGCAATATCACTACATCCAACCACGCGATGGCCAAAGTGGCACAGGATTTAATGAGTGATGTGGTAGGTTATTCATTCGGGTGCCAGTGACCCAGCCTCTCTACCTGAGGACTAGCCGACGTGTCGGGAATAGCTACCTGACGCGGGAACAGTATGATATCTTTGCCAGGACCAGAGTTTTCGACAATACCGGGTGGCGAATTTCGAGCCTCGAGTTCCCTCACAATCTAGTCCATGCAATGTCAGTGTGCAATGGGACCTTTTCTGACACTAACTGGTCAGCATTCGACCCCCTTTTGTATGTTAACTACATCCCCACAGCATCCCAAGACCCTTTTTGCTGACGGAAACAGCATGTTGCACCACAGCAATGTCGACCGCCTTGTAGCCTTGTGGCAGACAATTTATTACACCGAAGCCGTATTTAATGTCACAGCTTACTCGACCGGCCAATATGGTACCCCGAGGGGGACTAATATCACGGCCGAAAGTCCGCTGAAGCCCTTCTTCGACGAGAACCTGAACTTCCACACGACCATCTCGGTGGCCAACATCTCCAGGTTTGGGTACACTTACCCAGAAATGCCAGACTGGAGGATGCCACCAGAGGAGCGCGCCAGCCACGTTACGGCGTACATCAACTCGCTCTATAGCCATAGTGACAATGGCGTGGGACATGTTCGGGCGAGTGGGGAAGGGTGGAACGTTGCGACCAAGAATTATTTTACGGCCGAGATTACCGTGGATCGAAGCGAGCTGCCTCTTCCTGTCATACTGAGACTTGCCGCCGGGGATATTGTAATAGGGCGTGTATCGTTGCTAAGCATGCCCGTCGATGGTGTGGCATCGATCAGCGTACCGCTGAAGAATGTGATGGTGGGGGACCATACGTTGAAAGATTCCCCGATGGGAGAGGCGATAAGTTTCCTGGAGCGAGAGTTGAGGTTTGTGATACAGAGGGTATGTTCCCAGGCCGGATGACTCATGAACTTCCCACGAGGGGGGTTGCTGCAAGCCTTCCAAGCTAACGGACGATTTAGAGTGACGGCGAAGACGTTTCATTCGACTCAGTACCCAGCCTCAAACTCCAGATTCAGAACACGGCGTACTTAGCTCGGGCGAACAACTCGAGCTTTCCGGCTTTTGGAAATACGACAAGATGGTCGATTGATTTGCGTCAGAACGAGCGTTAATGGTGTTGACGGTGGTGATTTTGGTCTTAGCTTCCTTGGCTAACAGGTAACTTCGCAGAAACAGCATGAGGAATTTAATAGTATCATATACTATGTATTCTTTCATATTGCGTGTCTTTTCTTTTTTTCTTGGTCCCGACCGGTGCTAGAGGGGTACATAGGGATGATGTGAACCAGTATGTTAGCCAAGGAAGAGGAAAATATTAATTTTTATATGTTGACCTCCATATTGAGAGCAGAGTAGGAATGTCGAGTTGGCGGAGTATATTACCAGACCATTTAGCCTAACCTTCATCTTTTTTCCCGCTCCTCTCCCCTTCCAAGTAAACCCCATGCAGTCCCTTCCATCCATAGCCGACAATGCTCGACTTTCCGGAAGGCGAATATGGGGTTCGTGGGCGTCAACGCGCGCGCCACGGAACTTAGGCTCCCGATCTCGCCGAAGCATAACTCACTTATGGGTTTTCGTCACCGATGAGCCTTTCGGCTTTCGGCGCCTTTTCATTTCCCCTATCGTTGCATTTCCTCTTGTTTACCAGGGGCTGTGGGACACTCCAAATTACCCTTTGCCCCGCGAGTATGACATTGAACATTTAGACCTTAGGTGATGAGATGGCACTTGAGCTTTCTAAGCACACGGAAACAGGAAGCTTTAGGTGAATAAAGTTATTCTTGACGTTACTTAGATCATGTTTCAACGGCGTGGAGCGCATGTAGACCTCTAGAGATGCGAGTCTTTACAAAAATGCCAGGTTACTACCGGGCCCTCTGGAACAATATCTTCTGCTTTTCCGCTACAGTCCGAGAGAAAGAACATTTTGGAGACATGTCAATCATCGTATCTACCACCGCCTAGCAGCTTGAGTATCTTCTGGGGGTCGGACGATTCTTTCACAATTATTGGAAAAAAGGGGGTGCTAGGCCTGAGGCAGGGCAGCAATCCGTCGTGGCGCACCTGCGGGAACTACGCAGTAGTCGATCGAAGGCGGTCCTCATAGCTAATAGGCGTTTGTAACTGCCATGTTGAGTCGGCGGGTGAGGGTGATATTGGATTCGAAGGTGTCGAAATCTCGGAGAGGGTGCGGGTGCCCTAGAGTCAACATTGATGCCGTCGTTGCGCTCAGCGAGGGCAAATGTGCTACTTCTTTGGGGATCCCCTCTCAGGGGGGCTGAGAAAACACAGAGAGGATAGATGAAGTGGGAGACGATGCTAGCGGACCAGAAGCGGTGGAAAGGCACGATATTGACGTGGCGATAAATCAAGTGGCGTAGTCTTCGAGTAAACATCAACCTCGAAGCATGATATTGAGTCATTCGATGACGTTGGGTGGACAGGAAGGGGCCATGGAACGAATGGCGGTTAGCTGACGAAGAGAACTAAGTGAGCATTTCTGATACAAGCGGTAGTTCCGAGATAACGAGTCTTTGGTTGACGTTGTTTGGCCTAACAAATCGTGCTCGAAGTCGAAGACGGTATGTAATCGGCGTTGGAGAACGTTGTATGGCCCATAACCCGTACAAACACGACAAGCCGAACCCGCCTCGCTGGGACACTCTTCGCCGTGGTTGGCAACATTCGAGGTGTGGGGTGAGTGTATGAGTTGACTCGGCATTGGTGGTTCAGGTGCGTTGTCGTGATTGTTTATTTCCGGTCTCGGGGCTCCTTGGAAGGTGTTGTGTTTCGACATTGAAGTAGGTTCACTGGCCCTCTGAAGACACGCCAGCCATCGCATTACCGCGGTGACCAACTGTATGTTTTCCAACAGTCTCACCGCCCTCGTTGGACAGATACTCGTTGTCCCATTCCCCTCTTGATTTGGTGCTCCTTTCATTGACGCCGGGGTTTCGGATATGTTCTCAGTCTCAGACCTCGTCGGCCCTACACCGCTCTGATGTCTCGTTCACGCCCCGACAACTGCGAAGACACTTCCTCGTTTGTTATCATTTCCAAAACCGAGCTGTTGGAATGTTTGCTGTGCGCCTTGCCTGGGATCAAACGGCGAGTTGTAGATCCTCACTTGGCTGTGCGAAGATCTGCAAGGCTGGGAGAGTAAGACGTGCAAAGAAACGGCCCAATTCTCGGGTTTGTCGGGTTGTCTAACGTTATGATCCAGCTGGCGTTTTCTGAACGCTGAGGACGCTCATAAACATTTCGAAACTGACACCAAAACGCGCGCTGCAGTGACTGCCAGGCAGGTCCCCGGAAATCGGGCTCATGTGGCAATGGGGAAAATGGCCGGCTGGCAAGATACTGAATGTCTCGGGTGTTGGCAGCATTATACTGACGTCGAGCAGACAAGCCATTCACGTTAATACCTTGACAATCACGAAGTGCTAACTTGCTGGTGTGGTTGTCGACGGGTTGACTAAAAAAAAAGAAAATGATCAGGGGGTGTGATGGAAGTTAGAGCATGAGGCTCAGTGAGCAGCTTGATATACCTCGGATTCGGTCGGCGTTCCAACCAACCAGCTACGGCGGATGATCACATCCGCAAGTCTTCCGTAGTATAGTGGTCAGTATGTGAGCTTGTCAATGAGGCAAGTCCCCATAACAACGCTCGAGACCCGGGTTCAATTCCCGGCGGGAGAGGCCTTTCTTTTGCCATTTTTTGACCCCATTTTCGCTTGTCGTTTCGGGCCACGTCTCCACGGCCGTTCTGCCTCATCTGAACTTGTGCCGTGTCCCGGCCAGTTGGACGGCCACCTAACCCGGAAACGCGCTAGTTGTGAAACGCATTGAGACGGGCCGAAGCACAAGATCCTCGCGGTGATGAACCGAAATTTTGGTGGGCTAGGCACCCAATCCTTCAAGTCACCGGACTTGCACGATAAAAAAAAACTCATTTCTTCACTTCCAAGGGCAAGTAGGTTGACCACGAGATCTCGTGATGGTGTTTGCTGGCGATCCATCAACTATTGCCGCCGGAGACAGCCGACAAACAAACTTGAAATTAGAGCCTGGCCGCTCACAGGGCTGAGGAGGGCTGAGTGAGACAGCGCTAAAGGCTGGGGAACAGCATTCGGCCGGTCCGAGCGACTAGGACAAAAACAAAGTTCTGGAACGCCAAAGATAGAAAGGGCACGAGCCTTTTTACGGAGAGCTCGACCAATTCAAAATGACCGACTCGCCAAACCCCGAGGCAGAATTGTATCCGTAATTCCGTATGCACCAAACCCGAGGCGAAGAGTTCGTTATCTGAGACATCAATTCCCCAACCACCCACGATTGCCACTCTTGTGGGCGCCGGAGACAAGACGGCGTCGCGTGACGGCGTGAACGTGGACGGGCCTAGAATACGAGACGAATTGTTGTTTCGCCTGGGTTTTCCCCCACATGTGCGTCGAATTCCCGTTAGGTGCTGACTGTTGCCGCCCGAGAGAGTGGGAGCCGCTGGTAAAGTGACGCCCGCGTCGAGACTCGGGACGGAGGCAATTGAGCGAGACCGAAGGGAGGCTGAGCCCTTTATTCGCCTTTGACAAGTTTGACAGCGCATGAGGCAGCCCCACGACTCATCCATTCCATCCTCTGTACGAAGGAGTTTAGAATGTACAGACCTTTTACTCTAAAGCAACTCGGGGTTTCCGTCATTTTCTGATGGAACGTTCCATACGACCGAGTACGAAGGTGCCCATCATCAGTTTCCCACGCCACCTAACTAACGGAGTGGAGGACGAGCAAGAGGAACGAAACTAGAAACGGGATTCGATGATCTTGAAACGCACTTCTTGCACATCTTTGATCAACAGAGTTGGGGACATCTTGCCCTGTTGGGGGAGTGAGAGAGCAGGAGGGGCATTCGCTCCGTCTTGGCTGGCACGCTCTCCTGTTTCAGCAGGCCGAGGGGAAACGGCGAGGTTGAACGCACATTTGTCCATTTGTCTCCAACAACCGGAAGAATTGTTTCGGCGGCTGGCTGGTGGAAATTCTTCCACAACAGGGCAGCAATATGGAACCCGCTGTGTGTAACAAGTCGCCAAGTGGAAGCAGCCTGGCCGTCGGGCACCCGGGTTGATCTGGCCGCGAGGGCTGGTGTCCGCCTGGTGAAGCCTGGCCTTTTTGTTCCCCACCGTTCTCGCATGATTTTCACTGCACCGTTTCTGCACTGGAGGTCGCGCTCGGCAACTGGGCGCGAAGGCGGATCTGCGGCAAGGGCTCAGGGCACTTCTTTGATTGGATTGGCTGAAAACCCGCAGAGACCCCTATTTTTGTGTTGCCGCCCTGGAGCCGCTTACCTGGCGCGATGTGCAACCCGTGATATCATGGATTTCACCACACAGGATGGCGAGGATGGGCGCACGAGGAAGCCAACTACACTAGTTCTGGTTGGAACTCGTGGATCGTTCGAGAAAGAAAACACCAACTCCCGCGGCTTGCCGTCTCGGATGCCGGGTTTCCGTGAAATCCGTCTGTCTTCGGGGTGGACCCACTTTTGAGTTTTTTGAAAGGAGCCTGAGGGTGCAATGGGGAAATGAAGACGACGCCAACGCTCCCTCGCCGACGAGCAAATAACAGCAAGATCCAACTGCCGTTGCTGCATCATGGCTCATTTGCAAACACGTGTACGACCGACTCGGGACTGCGAAGCGCTGAGTCGCACGGCAGGTAAAAATAGTCACACAAAGAGAGAGGGAAGGGCGAATATACGTTACCAGGTGAGCGGTTGGCATTGCGCACACGACGTATTGTGATAGGAATGTGGGAGGGAAATCCCATCCTGACGCCCGTCGCCGTCGTGGTCCGGCCACGCGAGTCATCCGCAAACGGCGTTCGTATCCAGCCTTCGGCGTTGGCTGCGAATAGTTTAGCTGGTTATTGGCCCACTCAATGCATCATGCCTAGATTTGCCAAGCCGATTATTGACCGTGGCCCAAGCCCGCAAGCTTGCGCCGAGGAGGTCGGGGGTCCATTTTGGGATGCAGTGCATGACCAGGAACAGCAGGTCGCCCCTGGCACGCCGAGACGGGCTGGGAAGCAGGGCAGCAGTTCATTGGCCAGATAGACAAGTGACTTGCTGGATTTCGCGTTTTTCGGACGGAGCAGGCTGCAGGCTCATCCACCCTGGGCGGCCCCAGACGGAGTCCCAGCCCAGGGGCAGGCGCAATGAAAGCTAACACGAGCAGCAAAGCCCCCCTTGAGGGCGGCGGAAAGGGCGAGCGAGTTTTGATTCAAATCGCGGATGGAGCCCGGATTCCATGTTGATCTTGCTCCTCCTTTGCTTGTGCATCTTCAACCACCGCAACATTTCTTGTGCTCACCCCCCCCTTTAGACCCGCCCGGTCTTCGTGGCATTCAGTCGCTTCTTTCACCAGTCTCTCGTTCACAGCCACCTCGCTGACAATATATTTTTTTCTTACAACCCTTTCATAAACCCCAGACACTCGCTTTTTTGGGCCTCCGATCGAGTCTACCACCTTTAATAGACCCGTAGATCCCGCTCCACGCAGATCGATCGACCTCAGCACCCACTTAGTGACAGCCACCCCCAAACAAGCCAAACGCCACCAAGACTGCAACAGCAACAATGCTTTCCAAGATCTTCACCACAGTGGCCCTCGCGGCCTCGCTGGCCTCTGCGCAAACCTTCACGGCTTGCGATCCCACCAAACGTGGTGAGTCTCGAGTCTCTTCTCCCTCGGCTTGCGTGGCTGAGAGAGAGATGCTTTATACCAAAGAGTGGCTGTGCTAACGAGCTATCTTGCGCAGATGGCTGCCCCAACCCCAAGGCTGTCGGCGCTAAGCCGGTTGATGTTGACTTCCGTAAGGGCGCCAACAGCTTTTTCAAGCCCGCTGATGGCACCAGCCTCAAGTATGACAACGGCCTCGGCGCTGTCTTCTCCATAAGCAAGGAGACGGACGCGCCCACTATCTCGTCCAACCAGTACATCTTTTTCGGCCAGGTCGATGTGACGGTTCGCGCCGCTCGTGGTGTTGGTGTCGTGACCAGCTTCGTGCTGCAGTCGGACGACCTCGACGAGATCGACTGGGAGTGGCTCGGTGGTGATGCCACCCAGGTCCAGACCAACTTCTTCAGCAAGGGCTGCACTGACACCTACGACCGCGGTGGTTTCTCGCCGGTCGCCGACCCGGTGAACCAGTTCCACACCTACACCATCAAGTGGACTCCCGACCAGCTCGACTGGATCATCGATGGCGCCGTTGTGCGCACGCTCAAGAACACCGGCGTTGCCGGCTGCGCTGGCTACCCCCAGACCCCCATGCAGATCAAGCTCGGCACCTGGGTTGGTGGCCGCAAGGACGCGCCTCAGGGCACGATCGACTGGGCTGGCGGTATTACCGACTTCACCGATGCCCCCTTCGATGGTTACTACCAGAGCCTGCACATCCAGGACTACATGGGCGGCCAGGGCGCGACCAGTGCCTCCGAGTACCGGTACACCGACCGCAGCGGCACGTGGCAGAGCATCAAGGTTGTCGGCGGCAACGGCGGCGACTCGGACAGCAGCAGCTCCGTCAAGCCCAGCTCGACCAAGTCTACCTCCGCTAAGCCCACTTCCACCAAGGCCAGCTCGACCACCTCGCACACCTCGACTGCCACCACCCTCTCGACCAAGAGCTCGTCGGCCTCGCACAGCGCTAGCAGCTCTGCTGAGCACGCCACCACCTCTGGCCCTAGCAAGACCAGTGGCAACGGCGGTAGCGCTACTAACTCTGCCTCCTCGACCGTGTCCACTGGCGCTGCGCCCACCATGGTCGGCAACATGGCTGCGGTCGGTGCTGCCGCTCTCTTTGGCTACCTCGCCCTCTAGTTGCTGTGACGACGTAAGGTGAAGGGAGGGAAAAAGGCTAGCGATTGCCGCGTTCGGATATCGGCTGTGTCTCCACTTCTTGGACCGATGCTATTTTTGCAGCTTCGCCACACTCCTTTCGGGCCATTTGGTTCTCGGGTTTCGGGAAACAAAACAATTGCGCCCCGTTCATTCCAAGTTTAACCACTTCTTTTTTTTTAATGCCGGTCACCGGGAATGGGGAATGGCAGACGTTACACGTCACGCGCGCCAGTTGGCATGGCTTTTTTTTCTTTTCTACCTCTCCGCGCAAACAAAACGGAGTTGGTCAATTGGAACGTTGGGGGGGCAAGGGAACGGAGAGGACGTGTGGGGAGGCTAGCGATGATGACATTTTTCGGGTACATAGTTGATGGCCTGGGGACGTGGCGTATGTGTGCATGGGAAATGTCGACGAACGAGGTTTATGAGGTGGGAATGGAAGCGGATAACGGGCTTGGTTGGTCGCCGAGGTCGTTGGTAGTTGTTGTCTTGGGTTCTTGCTTACTCTTTTGGAATGGAGCGTTGCGTTTTCTGGAGGTTCACGAAGGATGGCATCCGTGATTGATACCTGCCTGACTTTGACCGCTCGATTGATACCTTGGTGTGGTTTGTGTGCTTTAGATCCCGTGCGTTTTATCTCTTTTTATCTCGTCCTAGGCTAGATCCTGGACTACACCATACTCCTGGTACCAGGTAACATGGAAGACTAGACAATATTGATACATGACATCTCTACAATTTGCATCAGCCTGGGTATTGTGAGTGAGGTTTGTACCTGGATGTATGAGTTGGAGAAAGAGAGGGTCGTCCGAAGCTTAAATCCCTACCGAGCAACAAGCAAGGAAGGCACAGCAACGAATTTGGTGCTTTCGGGGAAAAGAAAACGAATGCTTAAAATGTAAGTGCGAGTCATGATTTGTATTTCGGAAGCTTCACCAACTCTTTCGCGTTCATTACTGGATTAGGTTGTCTGTTTCCTGGTCTACTCTTCTCAGCTGGCTCACGCATGTTACTGCGGCTGCGGGGTGACTAACACGGCCCCTTCCTCAACCCCCCTTTTTTCGACTAACAACGTCAAATGCCCAGAGTCAAAGCACACAACTACATAGGTGTGATTCCATTCCCGTCTTCATTCTCACCACCATCCCCCTTCGCAACCCTCCTCACCAACAACGCATTATCCACCCATTTCCCACAAAGGCACCCAACACACCACCACCACGCCGCAACCACAATGCCCCCCCACAACCCGAATTACAACAGCGTCCCGGCGTTCCACGCCAAGCTAGCGACGAGCCGACGGATCCTAGCAGTTTGTGGCGCGGGGCTGTCGGCGTCGTCGGGGTTGGCTACGTTTCGTGGGGCCGGAGGGATGTGGCGGAATTATGAGGCGATGGATTTGGCGACGCCCGAGGCATTTGAGAGGGATCCGGGGTTGGTTTGGTTGTTTTATGCTTATGTGAGTAACTCTTTAATCCCGGGCGTTCGAGTTGGAGGGGATGGTTGTGAGAGATGATGATACCTACTGATGGTGTGAGTTGTGAATTTGGAGAGGAAGGAGGCTGACGCAATGAGATGTGATCTAGCGACGACACATGGCTTTGCAAGCGAAGCCTAATGCCGGACACTATGCCCTCGCTGAACTTGCGAGGCGAAACCCGGGGTTTTGGTGCTTGTCCCAGAATGTTGACAGTCTGTCCCCTTTTTTTCACGCTTGTCAGTGACTTGAGATCACCGCTAATGTATAGTTACCTTGATAAGACCTCCACGTCCGCGCGGATCATCCCCCCTCGCAGCTCAAACTCCTGCATGGCTCGCTCTTTATGCTCAAGTGTGCCTCGCCTACGTGTGATTATCAGACGGAAAACTACGACTCGCCGCTGTGTCCGGCGTTGGCCCCGGCGGCTGTCAACGCGCCAGCGTCGGCAACCGAGATTCGTACGTTGTTATTTCTTTGCTGTATCTATTCCTAACCCTCACCCACCGTTTCCCATCCATAAACTCTCCATACTAGACACACCAAACCAAGCTAACCACCACCCTCTCTCTCTTTCTCTCTCAAGATCCCCTCCTAGACCCCTCCAACCCCCTCCCCCCTCTCGACCCCTCTACCCTCCCACACTGCCCCCGTTGTCCCCCCAACACCTCCCTCCTCCGCCCCGGCGTAGTCTGGTTCGGCGAACCCCTCTCCGACCCCCTCCTCACCTCCATCGACACCTGGATCGAGCAACCCAACACACCCATCGACATCGTCCTAGTCATCGGCACGAGCGGGGTAGTCTGGCCGGCGGCTGGGTTTGCTGAGCAGGCGAGGATGGCGGGACGGACAAGAGAGGAGAAGGAGAAAGGGATTGGGGCGAGTGTGGTGCATGTGAATTTGGAGGCGGAGGAGGAGGGGAATTTGAGGAGGTTGGAAGAGGGGGATTTTGCGTTTGCTGGGGATGCGGGGGAGGTTTTGGGACGGTTGTTGGAGCCTGTATTGGGGAGGTGGGAGGGAGGGAAGGGGGGGAGGTTTGTGAGGGAGTAGAGGGGGGTTATAGGTATGTCTGAGAATAGATAGATGTCTTGGTGAGAGGGACTGGGCGTGGCGGTTTGTCGGTTTGGAATGAACTTATGATGAACGAGACATGGCTTGGGTTCAGGAGATACTCCGTGGTAGCGCGGGTGTTAACGTATTGGCCATTTCATCAACGGATATCCAGGAGGGCGGCTTTTGACGGGGTGACTCTGATCTTATCGAGGTGTTGAGTTTTCGGCGGAGGAACAAGAGAACGTTCAAGCTGCCAGATGGAAGGTTTCACAGCCCACGGATACCATACCGGGGTATAGAAGGGTATTGCGGCACCAAGCATTCAACGGAAGGAACGACTTGCTTCCGAGTTTCAAGAGAGGGCCTTAGGTCACGCTCCCTCGACCCCTTCGTCCCTGCCTTCTAGGCTAAACCGCCCCTTATAACCGCGCTTCTCATCATTCCTTCCAACCACTCCCCAGAAAGCCCATGTGGCGCATCTTGGGGGTGTGTCGTCGGCAACTCGGCCACCTGGGGTTCGAACCCCAGGTCGGGCACAAGAACAAAGTCAAAATCCGTTTTTCCGCCAAACGGATTTTCGTAACCCCTGGGGCCGACCCCATGGGTGAGCATTTTGATATCTTCCTCATTTTTGCTTTGTACTAAACGTGTTGTTCTCTGCGTTCTTCTCTTTAGTTTCGATGACCACATCCATTCCACACACCCGCAGACTAGCCGATGAAAATGTGCACCTCAACCCTCGATTAATTCTCGGAAGCGGCGGTTTCGTTGATGCTGCGCTTGGGTGTCGGGAGATGTGCTGGTTGGGTTCGGCCTACATCGTCCATAGGTTCAAGGTCCCGTGGCCTTTTCACAATGTATTGGTAATTATTTCTATTCAAGCTATCCTTATGGCGGATCAACCACTCGCCTTAGAAGTAAGTATAGCCCATATTGCCGCATCATCACCGTTTCCTTCCGTCCTCGGCTCACCAATGCAAATGCAACAATAAAATAACCCAACCACGCCAAAACGAAGTATAAATATATACAAATCCCAATAACACGCCATTCCGCTAATCTCCCGTTATCATCTCCTTGTCACCCACCCTCCCCCTCCGACGCCGTGCCCCTGCAATTCTGCTGCCGGCATCCCACTTGGCATCTCCGCCAACCTCGACTCCCCATCCATTTCAGTCGGCGGCGGTCCCCCACTTCCATAATAATAATAGTCCGGATATTTAGGCTCGACTCCCGGTCCGTTGCTGTGCACATTCGCACCAGCTCCTGCGGGGTAATCGTACGCGGGCGCAGCCGATTGTGGGAGGGCGGAGTGTAGTCCGGTAGCAGAGGACGGGGGAGGGTAGGAGGCTGGGTAGGATGTGTGGTGGTGACGGTCGTGCGGGGGGCTTTGCGAGTCCAGTTCTTCTGGTTGGAGTTGGCGGTTCTTTCGCTTGCGTTTCCAGGCGAAAAACCCGAGCACCGCAGCACCGATCACGACGAGGGGTACGACGGCCGCAATTGCTGCGATGGCGCCTGTGGAGAGACCACCACCACCGGATGTCGTGGCTCCGTCCGTGGTGGCCGGGACGGCGGCTGTGTCTGTTGCTGCTGAATTTGTGGTTCTGCCGGCGCCGCCTGCTCCTGTGGACGTCGTGGGCTCTGATGTTGTCGTCGCGGATGTTGTTGTTGACTTGGATAAATCGCTCGCCTCATGTACCATGCGCACACCATACGCATTCACACCGCCCGGCGAGGCAACCGACTGCAGCACCGTCGACGTGCGCCCCCCATTGTCGGAAAAGGTCACGGGAATCTGGGTGCCATCCCCGCTCGGTGCGATCCATGTGCAATACAGCGTCTCCCACATATCGCTCAGAATCTGCGGCGACGGCACACATGATAGTGAGATGTCGCTGCCGATGGTCGGGCAGCAGGTGACGGTAGTGATGGTAGATACCCCCGCGGTGTCGTGACAGGCGGTCCAGTACCCGGACGGGCAGGCGATCCCGGGGGAGTAGTAGAAGGACGCGTCGGAGGTTGAGAAGCGTGGTGGGAGGCAGGAGGGCTTGTCGTCGACAACGTAGATGCGCGGGGTCTCGGGGAGGTAAATACCGCCGCAGTCGCCGTCGGGCGGGGTGAAGGTGGTGGTGAGTGGGATGGACGGGAAGCTGGTGATGAGGAGCGGATAGCCGTTGGTTGCGCGGGCGACGAGGGCCGCAGCCGTGGGCGTAGCTTGGGGCGGGAGTGTAATTGTCATGGTGATGGATGACTGCGGTGTGTTGACGGTGGATATTGCCCTGTCCGGCGGTATCGCCGGATCCCTTCAAAAGAAAACAAACACGCGCGGCCTTTTTACATGGGCGCAGAGAGCCGAAGCATAAACAAGTCTCTTCTCACAGAAACACGCTCACGCAAGGGCAATTCCGACCTGAGAACCCGACTACAAACCAAGAAAAACAAGAGGAAGACTGAGAGGTAGAGGTGAGACCAGACAGCCGCGCGGATGTTGGAAGAAAGCGTATTACGAATACATTGCACAACAGTTCCTCGCCTAACTATTCGTAGGAATCCCGGAATCGTCTACCCCCTTGCCCCCGTCTCATCCCGTTCTTCCTCCACTCATCTACCCGCAAAAACAGTTCCCTCGCAAAAGAAGCCGCAAGGCAATTGGGACGAATGCTCACACCGCGCGGCGCAGCAACCACCAGCGCCAGGGGGGGAACTAGAAGTCCCCCAGCAAATTCACATCCCAGCAACGTGGAATGCGCACATGTGGATGGGCGAGCCGCTCTGATGCAACCCTCCCCCCTTTCTGCCCTTCTCCCATTTCAGGTTGGAATCTGCAGCCGTTGCGGAGACACTGGGACACACATATGCAACACCGCAACATGCGGATACTTGCTTAGCGACACAGCCGAGCCGAGCACCAAGGCGCAAACCGAACATTGCAGCCACTCGACGGGGCATTGACGGGTTGCCTGTGCGCTTTGTGTGAGGAGGCGGGCCAATTGATTCTTTTTTTATAACTAATGGCAACGCAGCCGTTCTCTCGACTGTTTCCTCTTCCTATTCCTCGACGGATTGCTGTGCCCCGCCTAGTCCAGGGAAGGATCATCGGCAATAACGAAAACGACCCGAGGGAAAAAAAAAAGACGGGAAACCCCCTGCCCCCCCCCCCAAGACGCGCAAGACGCAAGCCAAAGGGCTGGAACCACATCATCGCAACACACCACAAACCTCCGTGCCGCCGGGCTCGTCCGGTGGGAGCTCCGGGCGCCGGGGAGACCGGCGCTGCAAACGGCGCGGGATCGTTGAGACTGCACGTGAGCTGCTGCAAATGCCATGGGCAGCTGGTCGCTCGTTTACACTTGTCGACAGTTGATGTTCAAGCACCTGGAGGGAAACGAAGCCCATTCATCTCATCTCATCATGCTCAGGTTTTGCCGGATCCATCTTCCTGGATGGAAAGCGTAACGATTGAACTGGTTCGTCTGATCTCGTGGGCCTTGGACGGTAATCTATGCCGAATATAGCATGGTGCTAAGCGGCGAGTTAACGCTAACGTTATCTCCGTCTCCATCTCCAGCGGGGAACGGTTTGAGGACCGACGGAGCAGAACAGGGGGCAATGGTCAATGGATTTGGAATTGGAAATTCAGAGTTGGAGTTGAGTTGGAGACGGTGGAACGCTCAACTTGGACTTACCATGATGTTTTGTTTGACCGGCAAAGATCGATCCTGCTCGTTATTTCTCATCTTCTCCACTATTCATAAACCAAACCATCCACTCATCCGCAAGTTCGGGAAAGCCATCCTGCCCCAATCGTCTCTGAAGCCGCCTCCTCCACTCCTGTCTCGAGTCTTCGTCCTCGCCCTCAAGATCCATTCCGCTGGAAACGCGGACCTTTGTCCTTATCCATTTCCGAGGAACAAACCCCGCCATCTCCCAGTCAACCACAGCGAGAGATCTCTGTTCAGGCTCCACGATGATGTTCCCCGGCCCAAGATCACAATGGTAAAAGACGAATAAGGAACAATCCATCTTGAGATGGGCGCAGTTGGCAAGGAGGTTCCGAGGACTCATATCCTCCACCCCATGGAGAGGAGTAAGATAGAGATCCGACAGATTCCGCCCGTCGACACCATGAATGCCGTTACCTGTCCAAGCAGCCAGCTCCTTGCAGATGTCGGCGACCCGTGAGACGTAGTACTCCTTTGTACTCTCGTCCATCGACGGTCATGCCTCGGAAAGGGTCACGCCCGGCACGCGGCTCTGGATGAGGAAGTAGCGGTCTCCGCTTCCCACATGGTGGATGACATTCGGGATGGCGAAGCTGAGCTTCCCAAGCGGGCATTTGGTATGGAGATAATCTAGCGTGACGTGCTCCCAGGTCATATTCGGGTCTGGGTGTTTCCTGGCTTTGCAGATGGCATCGCCGATCCTCCAGACTGCAGACACGCCGCCTGCATCGTAGAGTTTCTTGATGTGGCTTTCGGCTGGTAAGGGTTGACACGGAGGCAGAGGGCTTGGCGGCTCGGAAACGAGGTAGTAGAGTCCGTTCCCGTCCCCCCAGGATGGGCAACCGGGAGAAGGGGAGGCCTGCCGGGTGAGGAGGATCTGGTCCCCGAAGAGCCAGGAGTTCTCGTCGATTTGTTGGAGGGACTGGTTGATAGGATGGTCTGGGCGCATTGTGGAGGAAAGCTCGAAGAGAAGATACAAGCGGCGAGCGATTTGTGGACAATGACGTAGACTTCTTTTTTGGGTGGTCAAGAGAGACGTTGCAAACCTGAAGTGATCTGTTTGTTGTGGTCGTTGGTCGGCACCATCATGCAGCCAACCAGACTGCAAACCGCCGACAAAGACCACACAAAAAATACAGCCTCAATCACCTCGCTCTTCTTCAAGGGGCGGCTCTCCAGCACTGGTCAGCAGTCGGGGTGTTGAGGGGCTCCGAACAGCGTAGGAAAGCACCCGGGTACCCCACTTATTATCCTATCTAACTAGGTAGGAGAAACCTCATATGTGGTAGCCTTCCACATTTTCGACGAGTTATGTAATTCATGCGCACTTTGCGATCTGCTCTGGCTAGATTTGCGAGACCCCATCGCTAATACATGGTCGTGATTACGGCCGTTGGCAGCGTTATGTTCGGCCCGTTCCAAATTCGGCCGAGTTCATCTAGCGTTTCGTTTTAACCACGAGGGTGCAAGAGCGGTTGTGATTGCCTCTTGTAATCAGGAATGCATGAGCCATTCTACCAAGAGAATTGACCTCGCACAAGTGGTTAAATGATGCATGCTGTGCAACCATAAAGGTGTGCTGAGGGCAGCCACGACCGCATACTCGAATAGCTCTTGACAGAACTTTGGACCCGCTCTTCCCGCGAATCTACCTACCTACACATTCCACACCCCTACCTCAGACCAACCTCTCCCAATGACGACGACGACGACGATGGAGATGAGCAAGCCTCAGTAGCCAGGCGAGGGGCTGCCGATTCGCTTTTTTATCGCCTGCCCCCGCAGCGGCTCCACGCTGCTCATGAGGATATTCGCCGAATCACCCGCCTGCACAGTTACGAGCCGGTTGATTCTAATGGGGAATGCGAACTCGAATGCAGCTTTCCGTCCGGATTACTCAATTCTCGAAAACCCCTCCCGTCACCATGTTTTCGCTGACGCCATGAACTCCGGCAAGAAGTTTCTCATCTCTAAGGAGGAGCTCGGGAACGATAGCGGGAAAGGAGAATGCCTATACGACGTTTGCCCACGGTGGGCATATCCCATAGTCTGACCAGTCTTCATAGTTCGCGATCCCATCCGTGTGTTCGACAGCTGGAAGAGTATGGGATGGACGGATGCAGGCAGCTTGGTTGGTTGCTTCACCAACATATTCCGGATGCTCGGGCAAGCGCCATCGCACGACATTTCGTGCCTTTTGTACGAGCGGCTTGTGCGTGAGCCCGAGGGCGAAATTTGACGCGTCTGCGACCGCTGGGGAGTTCCGTTTTCCAAAAACATGTTGCAATTTTTGCAACCATTTGGATCTTCGTTCCTCTTCGCGACAGAGCGAGAGAGATCCATCTATTGTGAAGAGAAGCCCCCTGGTCTGTTCGAGACCGTGGAGTCCAACTCGTCTGTTATAGAAGACGCACCATACCATGGCCTTCTATCCAACACGGAGAAGGACAACCTGGAACAGCACCTAGAGCGATTGTACCTAAGTTGCTGGCAGAGCGATGTGCTACGGCTGCGGGCAGTTCTCGCAGAGAAAACATGGATTAGCTTCGATCTCGACGATACACTGCACGAGTTTCGTCGCGCCTCCGGGGCAGCTACCACCAAGGTCCTCGAGGGCATCTCCAAGCGATACGGCACCGCTATGTCTGCGCTGAAGAATGAATACACCAGGATCCTCAAGGAGAAAGCCAGCAATTCCTTCTCCGACGGCAAAACATCGTTTCAGTATCGCAAGAAGAGATCCACATCAGTCCTAGCCCATTTTTCCATCCCGCTAGATGCGGTCTTTATAGAAGAGCTTCTGGAGTCTTACGAGGATACACTCGTAAAGTCGCTTGAGTTGAAGTGTGGGGCGCTGAGCTTGCTTTCGGCAATCAAGGATATGGGCAAGAAGGTTGCCATCATGACAGAAGGCCCGCAAGATGCACAGGAGAGAACAATTCAGGCTCTCGGCATCAGCCAATACGTCGACTTCCTAGCCACTACCAATCATTTTCGGCTGACCAAAACTTCAGGCCTCTTCAGTGCGGTTCTGGGGCATCTGGGCATCTCAGCTGGTGACATTGCCTACATTGGCGACAACGAGCAGCGGGATATGCGGCCCGCTATGGGCGAGGGCATTTTTGCGGTACATCTCGCCGAATCGAAGCATGTTTGTCTCAACTCATTCCCGCCGCAAGTAAACACCCTGAGAAAACTGGAGTACATCATTTGCAGTAGCAGCCCATGTTAGGTAGGTTATCCTTCCACAGCTATATGATTGTGTAAGCCGCTGATTCCTAAATTTTATAGAACGATTGCTCTCGGAACCGTGCAGTGGCACTAAGCGTGCAATTTCAGGGATTAATCAAGGGGAGGTTACAATCAAGATGGTGAGAATTTTCAATGTAGGGGTGTATAGGAGGATAAATTAGAACCTGATCGGAGGAAGGCCGTACCTCTTTAGAGAGTATGACAACTTCCGCACCCGAACGAGGTCCGGTGTTTATTTTGATGCTTATGCGCAAATGCAATCGTTGGGAATACCGTATTTTTTTTCGAGCGGCTGTATATTTGTCAGAAAGAAGGGGTGTTGTGGCTCCAGGTGTTGCAGACGGCATATGGCAAGGCGGCTCGTGATGTTCTCCACCACGTCTGGTTCAGCAGCTCGATATGTCGGCAAAGAAGGGCTGTCTTGTCTGCCTAGTCCTCAACAAGCAAGACGCAGAAGCGCAGACGGCGAACCCTGTCCTCTTCCAGGGGCGTCTTGACGGATAAAGGCGCTCTGCGTGCGATCAGGGTCAGCGCCGGGGATGCCTTTGGCTTATCCAATGTGTACCCATTGACACATTCGCCCAAATCGCTATGCCTCCCAAACGTCAGGAGAATTTAGCGCCGTTTTTTTCAGTGCACACCAAAACTTGCACACGTTTAGCCCCAACGAACAAAATCACAGTTTTCCCGAAAACATCCCCAAATTGAAGTTTTCCGACCCATTTTGATAAGATCTATATTGCCTATACTCGTACCTATCTTTTGATATCTTTTTTTCTGTATTAATGGCAATGTATGTATACTGTAGTAGTTTAATAGCCTACTAGGCCTCGGATAGTGCTAAGACATTAGATAAATAATCGAACTTAAAATCAAAGGGTATTGAACTGTACGTGTATTGCCGTTAGTATAGAAAATCGGGTATCAGAAGATATATATAGGTGTAGGCGATGTAAATATCAATTAAAACGGATCGAAAACTTCAATTTGCGGCTGTTTTGGGGCAAAACGCTCAATTCGCGAGCAGATGTCGAGGCCAAACGTGTGCAAATTTTGGTGTGCACAGACTCAAACGGCGCTAAAAATGGATTCTCCTGACGTTTGGGAGGCACAGCGGGTAAGCAGGCGTTGGTGCAGATCCCACCAGACAAGATATACGGGCGACGCATCCAGCTGGCCGGGTCCGACAAAGAAAGCCTTTGCTTTATTGTGTGGCTGGATCAAGCAGTGCAAGGGGATGGGACTGCTGCCCACACGCCTTCTTAACGTTAGCCAGGCGGGCGACGACTACATCAAGCTCGAGATCCCCGCAAAAGGTACACGGGACAATTAAATCGCTCTCTCGTATTACTAGGGCCGCTCGCATCTGATCTGTGCGTTAAAGGCCAACTACACGTAGCACCAAAACGAATCCCGTTATCTCGTCATTACCGCCGCCTACAAGCAACATCAAATCTGGAGCAATGCTCGACAATTCGGCCTGGGACCAATTTGGCCATTTTTATGTATGGGACCAATTCTGGGCTCGCTCGGCTAGAATTAAAGTAATTGTGCATGCTGCGGCGCAGCCTCCCGGAAATGGTCCTTAGGCTGAGCAAGCCTGAGCAAATCCTAAGCAAATCCTGAGCCAATTCTGAGCCGCGCCTGAGCTAGGTATGTAGGGTAAACGAGGTACGAAAAGGGAAACTTGGTGTGTCCAGATTCGTCGCACAAAACAGGAGGAACAGCGGTGATAACCCATGTGTCTTAGCCACAACAATACCATATATGTATGCCGAAAATATACCGTCGACTGTGGTATCTAATCATTCTGCTGGGAGGTTGGAGGATGAATTTTCGTAACTAAAACGGAGCGTTCTTTTCTTGCTTCTTCAGCGTCCCTTCTTCGCTCCTCCAGCGTTCCTTCCTCACTTCTTGAGCGTTCCTTCTGCGCTTCTTCAGTATTTATAGTACATGTCGAAAACTCATTAGGAAGCTTCGCTCAATGAATTCTTCTTGCCCTCAATAGGCCCGTTTGCACCTCCCTATTATTGTTGTTCCTGAAGGGCCAGCTACTACCATTGTAGTTCCCATCTTCACTGCCTACAGTAAACGAGGAAGTGGGAAGAAAGAATGAGGAAGAAAGTTAAATCCTCCAAACACTAGAGCCACTACAGTGAGACGAGAGAAGACCTCCCTGAGTCCCACCCGTATCGCAAAACGGCCGGATGATAACAACATTTAAACAAAATCCCACCCTCTCTCACTTCTAGCCAACAGTAGTGAATCATGATCCGAACTAGTCTAGAGGTAACTTCCCTTCTGTGTATGCTTGGGCCGGCTGGCCGTCTCAACCACCCTCCGAGAGTACGACCTGATAGACACTGCGCCTGGATGAATCCAACACGACGATGTCTTGGCGTTCCTACGGACAAGCTATTTAAGTCAAAAGGTAGTCGTTCGCCCATTGCCGTAACGAACGGTACCCGTTTATACTGACTGTTACAATATCAGATTCGTCGATTCATCATCATCCAAACTCTGCGACCGGCACCTCGAACGGGGGGGGGGGGATAAAGAGTATCAAGCCAGGTGGTAAAAACTCAATCGACGATGCAGGAGTTTGTGGGGAAGGAAGGATTGTAGTTGATTGCTAGGTGAGGGGGAGCTGTCACAGTATAAAAGGGAACCATTCAATGTGGCAAGAGACGGTTGCCGTTTGCCTCGATAGCTGTTTATGTATGGCTGAGCTAAGCAGTGGTAACAATGGAGAAGAAATAATCACACGTTCGTTCAGTTTTTTTTTTTACGGACGCAATCATTAAAGAAGCAGATCATCCTGTAACTTGGGAAAGCTCCACTGAACACCCCGCGCCCCTAGTGATGTGAGCGGATCACAGATGGTGACGGCGTTGAGCTTCCGGGTAAGATACATTACGCAATACTGTGCGCTATCCTCGATCCTACCGTGCGGAATCACCCTGCCCGCGCCGTTCCCTCTCCAGCATGGCGTCAAACTCTTTCTGCGCCTGCTCTTGTGACGTCGTCTTGCCCTGGTCTGGGTTCCGATATGTGTACTGATCAGCAGTCTGCTGCCCGCCAGAAGGGTCCTCCTGGCTACCCTTAACCCCCGATTGCTGTCGAATTCTGTCCCAGGCCGAGCCAGTAGTGGTCGTTGGGGAGCGTGATGCCGTCGGCGCCGTCTTCTGGTGTGATGGGGCCACAGGCGAAGCGTCATCAAATATGGACGAATTGTCGCTACCGAGGTCGTCGCTACGGGTCTGACTGCCGTTACTGCTAGCACCGCTGTTGAAGGTGCCGGTGCCGGAGCTACCGGGGCTTCCGCTGCTGCGGCTCCACGAAGATTGCCTTCCTTGATACCGATCCTTGGAGAACGCCGGCGGTACTTGGGCTGCCGGTTCCGGTGGTTGTTGTTGTTGTTGTTCATCTGATGACGGTGGCGGCCAAATGGGATCATTCACGGCGGGCGAGACGCCCTCCTCCTCGGAAGGCAGCTTATGGGACTCCTTTTCAGCGCGCGTGAGGGACTCTCTCACAGCTTCGAGTTTTGGGTCATTCAGCACCTTGACCAAGTATGACGACGTGGCTACTGAGGCCATGATCGGTTGGATAACGAAGTACGAGGTCAGCGTGTAGGCCGTGAACCGTAGGGCATGCCACAGTAATTGCGCCTGCACGCCGCGCACGATCGGCAACCGCTGGGCCGGGAAGACATCCGGGTTCAGTGTAGTCGCTGAGAAGAAGGGGAAGCGGTATTCGCGGCGTTTGTTGTAGGTAAAGTAGGCCGCCGCGGTGAACGTGAGGGGTAGGGTGTAGGCGCCCAGGACCAGTCTCTGGCTGCGGTACAGCGCAAGCGCGTCCGCCTCAGCCGGCGTCAGCACGCGGTTCATGTAAGACGAGGTCTGGACTAGGGTGGATGCGACCATCCCCTTTTGCCACATCTGGCTGAAGCCAAACGGCCGGGACACGAGCGGCATCTGTGGCAGCCTGTCAAAGGGCACGCTGAGCAGCTTGAGTCCTTCCTCGGCCTGTGCTGGCGTCATGCGAACAAGACGATTCCCCCTAAACGTGCCCATGTTCCGGACGTCCGTGGGCCGGTCCGCCCGGTACCCATCGCCCGTGCCGAATCCTTGTCCGGGCGCGTCGTCTGCGCCCGGCCACGACATGGTGTCGTTGTTTTATTTCCTCTTCTGTGGGGGGGTGGTGGTTGATGGGGACTTGGGGAGGGGCAGAGGCTTTTTGTCTGGAGCTGTTAGCCTCGGCGCATGACCAATTGATCAATTGGGTGGCCGCGGAGAGGGTGGTGTTTATACCTACGATGCGGGGTTAGAACAGCGCCGGGTTTCGTGGTGGTCTTGTGGGAGGAAGTGGCATGACGTAAAGCAAGGAACTGCTTTTGGCGAGAGCTTCAGTCGCTTCTTGTTACATCCATAATTAACCCTAACCCTTAAAAGCTGACTGTGGGCCGCTGCGGAAACTGTGGGGCATGTTTCTGCCGCTTCATTCCGCCTTTGGCCGGGAGTTGGAGCAAATGCGCAGGGTCGCGGTCACTCACGTCCCGCTCGCGGCAGAGCTGCCCCCAAAAGTGGACCAAAATCCTCACTCTTCACACTTCTCGCCCACCCTTACCCCCAACACCTCGGCTCAGAACACAACTCTGGTTGTTGGCTCTGGGCGCCTGCCACTCTCAGCCTCACTGACCACCTCCAACATTCAAAATGGCGTCCCAACAACAGGCCTTGGTCATGGAGACCATCCTCGCGTTCCGGCGGACGCTGAAGCGCAAAGCCTACGGTAAGCCCACCCTTGAGTACCATGGAATCTCCCGTCGCCGACGGCATTCTCACTGACCGCACCTTCTTTCTCCAGACTCCGACTCTGACTCGTCAATTGATGGAACCACAAACCGCGGCAACAAGCTTAAGAAGCGGGCGCGGTTCGTCCGCCAGGGTCGCATGACCTCATCTATGGGCCCAGCCGCCTACAAGCAAGTTGCTGAGCACGCTGGCTACCACCGCTCCATCATCCACCGCAACCCGCCGCTGATCGACGAGGACGGCTATGATATCGAAAGCGACGACGATGAGGAGCAGGTCCAGGAGGCTCTGGCCTCGGCGCTAGAGGAGAATCCCTACGCCAACGTCCGGCTGGAAGGTGGGCTGCAAACATTACGTTGCCTAGGGTATTGGGAACCCGGAACTGACATTTGTTTTAACACGCAGATATCCTTGCCCCCTTAACCGCCGTCACCGACTTGCCATCGCACCCGACCTTTTCTCGACCGTATACCTCGAAAGCGCTCGACGAGCTGATTGAACAGGGGCGCAACCTAATGCAGAAAGAGAACAAGGCGCTGTGGAAGGCTAAGCCCTTATTGACTAAGATGGTCGGCGACAACACATGGGCCCCCTGCGGCCTCATGGCAGCCCCCGACGACCGCGACGCTTTGCTGTTTAGCGACACTGCCAGCTTCTTCAACCGCGCTGCAAACCGTCTATTGACTGCCCCCAGTACCAACGGGAACCTTTATCCAGGTCCCGCAGAGTCTGCGGTACGCGGGACAGATGGGATGAGAGCGCCGGCACAGATTGTGGGGCAAGAAAAGGCGGACACAGCAGAAAAGGTGCAAGATCAGGATGGGGAAACCCTGCCAGATGCGCATGCAAATACAAATGGGGAGAGCAAGCCTAGCGGGGTAGAATCAAACTCAGAGCGGAAGGTCAATGGGGCCACAGAGGGGCAAGGCGAAGCACCCGGCAAAGACGGACCCTCAAGCAACACAAGGGACGGTGACGGCGACGTGGATATGGCCGAAGCAGCTGCGAGCGCCGCTCGGAACGAGAGGCTACCCGCAAAATCAGCACCAGCACCAGCACCGGCACACGGGGTATTGCCCCCTCTCGACCAGCACGCTCCCGACCCATCCTCCCCTCTCCCCGAATCCCTCGACGAACTCTTTATCCACCCTCTCTTCCGCCTCCCGCCCGCAGCCCACCCCGACCGCGACCTCGGTCTCCCCGAGCAGGAAGCCGAAGAAGTCCGTCGCCTTCTACTGCTCTACGTGCAAAAACAAGAAGAAATCTGCCGCGGCACCACACGCCTGTACGAGGGCCTTCTACGAGCCGACCGGCTGCGGAAGACGGTGTGGCAGTGGTCGAAGGCCGAGGCGCACTGCGGGCCGGATCGTGACATGTCGGATGGCGAGGACTGGTATGATCGCGAAGCGTGGGGGTTGACGGAGGATTTGAAGAAGGGCGAGGATGAGGTTGAGGAGGAGGCGGTGGCCGCGGCCGCTCAGACGCAGAAGAAGACGCGGAATCGGAAGTAGACTCCAAAATATCCCTTGACGGGGGGAGTTAGGAAGGTTGGGAGTGGGTTGATGGAGTTAGCGGTGTTAGATGTGGGATTTATATCCGGAGTTAGGAGACAAGGGACTGGAAGGCAGGGTACGGGAATTGGTATGCATTGATGAGAACTGGATTGGGGGAGAGGATCATTGCACTGCGTGTGTTCAAGACCTTTTTTTTTTTTTTGGCAAACCTGGTTACCTCTTTTGGGGGTTCTTTTTCCTTTATCGTTTATTTTCATTTTTTGGGGGTCCTTCAGCTGTGTTTGGGTGAGATCTCTCCCCTTGATAGGTATCCAGGGTTGAGAGACGAGAATAGATACCATGTGCTTAACCCTCGATTTGCTAGTGCCGCTTGCTGTCTTGGCATAGTTAACTTACGCAATTGCCTGGAGACTTTGGCGAATGCGAGATTGCGAAAAAGGTCTGAATCAAAACCATGTGTTTGTTAGCCAACCTCGCAGACAAGCTCAACCTCTCGGCCCCCAAACCCCGAGCCGTCGATCAAAGGACTTAACGTCATAAATCATAATTCCGTTCCTCATCGGAATCGAATCTCGGTATTACCAGAATGAAACCATCTCAGCCTTGCCACGCTCCGCAATGAAATTCAACAATTGGCAACGAACAGCCCGAAACGCAAGGACGGTTTGCCTCCCGCGTCTGGAACAACCCCAACTTGCCCAAACAAGTCTAGCGCGCCCGCCATCGGCACGCCAAGAGTACCGAGCTCCGACCCTGTTCACTCCACTACCGGCCCAGCACGGCCTGTGAGTGGTCCTTCCCCACGATTCCCTTGCCATTTTCAGCAGGGCCCTGAACCTTTTCTTGACCTTCAGATCCCTCGAGTCGGGTCAGCCTGTCGTTCGTTACGTGCTGCCGCGTCTGTGTGTTTGCTCTCTCCAGAGGGATTGATGAAGGAACCGAAATAAACCGAGATTTTGTGGCCAATTGTTGCGTTCGGTGGCTTTTTTCTCTGGGTTTGGAGTTTATTTTCGGGTCGTTTTTTTTACGCACTTTGACACTAACTAACTACCCTTACCCCTCTCTTGCTCTCTCGCTTGCGTGTCGCTCCTTTCTTGAACGGCCCGAGCAAGCAAGGACCTAATGTTTTGGGGTTGGTTGGTACGAGGCAAACACGTTAGTCACACACGGGATAGGCGAGGTTGATGGCAGGATTTGCTTGAAGTCACTTCAGGGGGGCGGCTCGTTCTGCGAATGTGTCCGAGGACCGGGTAAGATGAGGAGGTTCGTGAGTTGTGGCTTCCGCTTCACTTCGGTTGATGATGGGTTGGGCTAGAATAGGCACGCACACCTCGGCTCGGCTCGTTGTTTGTCGGAATGGGGTTGTGTGTGTGTGATGGGTTCATAAAGTTGGTGGCGTCGCGTTTTTTGAGAAGTGGCCTGGATCGGTTGGTTCATTCTTTTCTTCGCTGTCTCTTGGGGGTTCGTTGTCGTACATCGTTGTCGTCATTGTCGTTGGAGACGCGTCGTTCGATCTGAGCCGATTCGAACTATTCGAACTTGGGCTAGCTATCGAGCTATTGTTTTTTTTTTTCATTTGACCCCACACACCCTTCGACGACGTCCGGGCTTTTAACCAACACGCAACCGCAACACTAACGGCCCCTTTCGCCTCCTTACGGACGGACGCACAGAGCTGCTCCAACCGCACGAGCACTTACACACACGGGACGAGACGCACCCTCCCGTGTCTCATTTATTCACAACGGCCTTCATACCTCAGCCACGCTCCCTTGTTGGCGTAGAGGCGTATAACCTCTTCCCATCCCTCTCTTTCTTTCCCTAGCACAACCAACATGGCCGAAAAAGACGCCATGACGACAGATACCGAGCTCGAAAAGCCCACCCCGCCAAGGGGCCTCTCTCCCAGCCCGAAAGACGATACGGATACCGTCCACACCACCAAGCCGGACACAGCAACAACAACCACAACCAAAGCCCAAAATGGCAACAGCACAACAGCCGACCCATTCACAACCGACACTGCCGGCCAAGACTCCGCCACCATCATCTACCCCACGGGCCTCAAACGCATCCTCATCATCGCCTCCCTCTGTCTCGCCGTCTTCCTCGTCGCCCTCGACCAAACCATCATCGCCCCAGCCCTCGGCGCCATCACCGGCGAGTTTTCCTCTGTCGGGGACATCGGTTGGTACGGCGCCTCCTACCTGCTCACCACCACCGCCCTCCAACCCACCTACGGCTCGCTCTACCGCATGTTCAGCGTCAAATGGACCTACCTCGCCGCCGTCGCGGTGTTTGAGCTCGGCAGTTTGGTGTGCGCCCTCGCGCCGACGAGTAATGCCTTCATCGTTGGCCGCGCGGTCGCTGGTATGGGTACCGCGGGCTTGTTTTCGGGAGGCGTGGTCATCTTGTCGTATACGCTGCCGTTGCGGGTGCGGCCGCTGGGGTTTGGGATGATTGGCGCGATGTGGGGGATTGCGAGCGTGGCTGGGCCGTTGTTGGGCGGTGCTTTCACGGATCATGCGACGTGGCGGTGGTGTTTCTATGTGAACTTGCCTATCGGCGGGGCGGCGATGCTGGCGATTTTCTTGTTTTTGCATATCAACCAGACGCGGAGACCGCAGGACCAGGGGTTGAGTGTGGTGCAGCGGATTTTGAGTTTGGATTTGCTAGGCACGGCGATGCTAGTGCCAGCGATTGTGTGTTTGCTGCTGGCGCTGCAGTGGGGGGGTACCGAGCACCCCTGGAATAGTTCGGTGGTGATCGGGTTGTTTGTGGGGTTTGGGCTGATGGCGATTGCGTTTGTCGCGATTCAGATCTGGAAGGGTGATAGGGGCACGTTGCCGCCGCGGTTGTTTAAGAACCGCGACGTGGTCTGCGCCATGATGTTTGCCTTTTTCTTTGGTGCTGCCTTCTTCCCGCTGGTCTATTATCTGTGTAAGTCCGCCCCCTTTTACGCTCCTGAAATAAACAAACAGCCCCCTAACAAGGAACTATCACAGCCCTCTACTTCCAAGCCATCCAAGGCGACACCGCAGTCCAGGCCGGTATCAAGCTGCTCCCGTTGCTCATCTCCGTCGTCATCACCTCAGTCGCCTCCGGCGGCCTGATCACCGCAGTCGGCTACTACAACCCCTTTGTCCTCCCCAGCATGGTGCTCTTCACCGTAGGCGCAGGCATGATCACCACCTTCACCCTCGACAGCCCCTTGCGCGTCTGGTTCGGGTACCAAGTCATCGCCGGTATGTCTTCTCTCTTTTTCCCCTTCCACACTCCTCACTCACTAACACCCTCCAGGCCTCGGCATAGGCGTCGGCTTCCAAACGGGCGTCCTCGTAGTCCAAAACAGCGTCTCGCACGAATGGATCCCCCAAGCGACCGCCTGCGTACAATTCTTCCAATCCATGGGCGGCGCCATCTTCATCGCCGTCGCGCAATCCGTCTTCCAAAACGGTCTCACCACCGGCGTCCAACACAACACGCCGCAAATCCCGGCCGAAATCTTCATCCACAGCGGTGCGTCCCAGATCCGTCAGGTGCTGGCCCAGCTGCACGCCGAGGATAAACTGAGGGATGTGTTGGCTGCTTACTTGGATGGGTTGAGGGGATCGTATTTTATTACGGTGGGGTGTGCGGCTGCGGCGTTTGCGGCGGCGTGTGGGTTGAGTTGGAAGAAGATTCAAAAGAGGGGGGCGGCGCCTAAGAATGAGCCAGATGCGGTGGAAAAGGGGGAGGTGGGTGGGGAGATTGCAGCAAAGGAGACTGAACACTAGGGGCTGTCTATAAAAGGGCGTCAGGATAGATGTGTCTGGGCATGTATCGATAGATCGGGCTGTCATTTCACTGTACAGATGGGTGGGCGTCGCTCATCTAAATGTAGAGAATTGTATATAATTAGCTTGAAGTGTTGGAAATAAGATACCCTACTCTTGTTTGCCTGTACATCACGCAGTCGCCCCTAATCCAATTATTAAACGGCCCAAAGGCTCGGGGAAGTATTTGATGCTTAGATATAGCTAACAAGCAACGCCACCAATCGCTACTGTTTCACAACCCGTATATCACGACCCAAAGGACCCGCCCTAGCCCTCCTGGACTGAGGAGGATAACAGCCCAACATTGAATCTTGACCCTTCCACATAGATAGGTTCCACCCGCTGTTGCAGCGACCATCTTCCCACGAAGACCTAGGAATCGGCAAGGAAAAGAGATCGATTCGCCCGTTCCTAACATCCTCATCCCAAGAAAGTAGCAGAGCACAAACGCACCATGATAGCATGTCAACAACTCCTTCACTTCTACTCTAGACAGTCTGAACCCTAAATTTAACCTAAATAATCCCATCCCACCCCTCTAATACCCAACTCCCAATGTGATAGATATTCCAGTAACAAACAACCAGCCTACCCGTCGCCCCCCCTTCTTTCCTACCTACCTACCCTGAAAAACAAATTGTCTATCCTGCGTATGCTGGCGGGTATCAAGCCTCCCATCACCCACAAGCGAAAGAAAAAAGGAGAGAGCCAGACAACTCAAAAACAGAAGTCATAACGCATTAGCTCATTTGTTCATCCATTCATGGCTGACATCTTGCTCATCCGACTTTACCAACCATTCAACCAGTCATTTGCTCCATATCCATACCCTTGATACGTTCATCACGATAAGTATCTTCTCCTTTAGATCCAAGTCGACGATGCGGGTTGCCTTGACGAGATAGATATATCGTATCGGCGCGACAACATCGTCACTTTCGCGGCCCCAAACCCGGATTCCTTAATCCTCCAATCATCGCATGTTTTGATAGTCTTGCTTCAAGTCCAAAAGACTTTCAAGCTCCGGAAAAAGGCAGGGCGTCAGCCCTGACTGGGATGACGCCATCTGAACCCAGTGACACCTGATCGCAGCCTGACAATCCGCGACTGGTCGCCCCACGGAATCGCGTGCTCCGCACGTCATGCAGCGCAAACATTCCCCTTTCCCACGCCCCGATTGAGTTTGGCGATCGCTTGTCCGCGGCCTCGCCTGGGGAACGGCTTGAGCAGACCCTTATGTTCCCCAACCCAACCCGCGTTGTATTTCTTGTTTTGCAGTCCCCGCAGGACTCAGCTTTCAAACTTTCGATATTCATGGCCCAGTGCTGAATACGTCATGGCTCTTGGAGCTTCTACTCCCCGAGCCCAGCCATACCTGCCGTGGCCGAAAAGTTGCCATATCCCTCCTCTTCTTCGCTCTCGCTCTCCTCACTCAGCGGACTTTGCATTCCGCTAGCCTCCGTGCTATGGGCTCTTCCAAATTCTATCCCGCTCATGCTCCCACTTCCGCTACCGAATCCACCCATACTCAATCCACTTCCTCCAGCCCCAGTGCCGCTTCCTCGGACCGGAGCCCCTGTTCCCCCAAGGGCTAAAAGACTTTGCCTCCTTGCCGCGTCGATATCCACCGCGCTCGTGCTCCGACTCAGCAGGGGCTTCTCGGGAAGCTTTTTGAGCAGCCCCGTCGAGATATCCAACATACCCATCGCGAATTCGGTTAATCCCCTACCCTCGCCGGGCTTGGAGCTCACAGACAGTGTCCAGCGGTATTCACCTAACCTTCGTCGATACCACTCTCCCTCTTCTCTCCCTGGGGACGTCGCCCAGAGCAGGGAGCCAAACGTGCCGATAAGAGCAAAGTTGGTCTTGGAAGCGAAGTACCAAAAGGCACGGAGGTGGGATGGCGTGAGTCGGTTCACAAAGTCCATGGCGGAGATAAGGCGGGCTTTGGCGGCGCTGCGGCAGATATGTTGGATATAAGGGTCGACACCGCCGGCTGTAGCGACCGGGGAAGAGCCTGGGGTCGCAGAAGCAGCCGACGTTGTGGCAGCGTCCATGGACCGGATGATGCGACGGTGGAGGGTGATTTCGGTGGCAAAGTAGGCGAGGTGGAGATAGCCTATACTGCAGAGACGGCTGGATTGGTTGAGGCTGCTCTGAAAATTGGAGTCCATCCTCACGACAGCCGGGAGACCTGAATACCACTCCTTCAGCTTAAGTTGGATCGGTTTGGCAAGAGAGAGGATGAGTTGCGTCGCTTGAGCCCCCGCGTTGGCCGCGGTATGGGAAGCCTGCAATGTGTAAAAGGTTTCAAGGATCTCGGCCAGGATCTGCGAGAGCTGCACCATCTGCCCAAACAACACTCGCCCGCGCTCAATTTCCAGCCTCTCCTCGACATCGTTATCGTCCCATTCCACGTCCGGAAAGTCGTTCGGGTTCAAGGACTGGACCGCCCAATTGGAAGCGAATATATGAGACGGTCGGCCATGGACAAGCGCGCCCCATTTGTCCTACGGGATTTGAGGTGTTAGAACCCGTATGTACATACCTCCGCCGCAAGAAGACGAGGCGGGGGCAACTTACCTGCATATACAACGCCCACGCCAGGCGTTTCCGGAGCCCGCGTTCCCATGGTGGGATCTTCCAGTGGCTGCAATCCAAGTGCAGGCCAAGTTCTTGCCCGACGGCAACAAGTTGCGCCGTCGGTGCCCATTGGTCGCCCTCGGGCCGCTGCGAAAGGATCAACCCAGCTTGTATCGTCGAGAGTTTCGGTCGATACATGGCATCTGCAAGAGTGGTCCGGACTAGCCTCTCAAGCTCGCGGACGTTGGGACGGGGAAGACCAGCCAACTCTTCCGAGTGCTCCCACCAGTTGATGGCCAATATGTACACAGCGGCAAGGAGCGGCGGCGAGAATTCGCGATGCGATCGCTCATATTTTTCGAGGAAGACGTTCTTCTGAATTACGGGGAAGGCCGGGTGCACGACCCGAAAGTACAGATCGATCAACCTGCGGCTATGGGGCGCCACGATATTCTCGATCTCGTCGACATCATCGAAGATGTGGTCATAGCCGGGCGTGTTGCTATCGGGGAGAAGCAGGAAGGTGTCATTGTCGCTCACCCTCCGGAGGGTTCCCCGCGCGAGGAGGCTTTCGTCGTGCGGGTCGAATGGGGAAAGGCTAATGAGGGATGGCTCAAAGTCGGTGGTGGGCCCGATATACTGACTGTATCGGTCTGCTTGGAGGCCGAGTGTACGCTTCAACAATGTCGGGCCCCCGAAGTTCGCCATCTCCTCAATTAGGGAGCTGCTGGTCGTTGTGCACGAGAAGCTGTGCTGCTGATGCCGCCGCCTCCTGATATCAGACCGCCCAGGGGAACTAGATTGGCCAATCGGGTGTTAGATAGTCGGTGTCGTGTGCTGGCCCGGGGGGGCGCAGAGAGGAAGCATGGGGGGGTGAACTGAGGCGGGGGAGAAGAGGACAGCGACGAGGCAAAGCGTGGGGTGTATTGGGGCTAGGCCTGAGGACGGGGGAGGGGGACGGCTCTCACCTTCTTTTGCTACTGCTGGTTTCGAGGTCCCCGTTCAGTTTGCGTTTCCGTGGCGCGGGGCTGTCGATCAATGAACACTCTGTCCCTGCTACAAGACAAGCAACACAGCTCTCTTCTTCTTCGCCCATGGCGCAGTCAGTCCTCCGGTTGAGGCAGGCCTCGCAGGGCGGTGCTGAAAAGCCGCTCACAGAGTCCGAGTCGGGCGAGTTGAAGCCGCTGCGGAAGGAATCTAGGTGTATGCTGCTCTGACGACTCGGAGGGAAGCGTGGCGGTTTTGGCGCAATGGCTATGGGAGCCGTCCGGGGAAGTGCGCAAGGGGTAGACATGGTGAATAGTAGATTGGGGTCTCGGGAAACGGCTCACTAGTACAGCGGTGGGGGGTGGCCCAAGTTGGCATCTGGCAAACTCGCTGCAATCCGGTAAGATGACGACAGATGTAACCCGGCCAAATAAGCGACTCGAGCCCGCGGACTATCACGGGTCGGTCGTATGGAGGCACGCACGGGGATGCTGATAACCCCGGCCAACGAGCTTGGCTCAACTTGTTCCTGAGATCAGAGGCAAGACCCCGCTGGTCGGTGCGTTGTGGCGGGCCCCAACGTAGAATGACAGCCAAAAACAGAAGCCCTTAGCCGTTGGAAAGGTCGAGGAAGGCCTTGAGAGGAACACGGTCCTTGTTCCAGATGCTGCGTTGATCAGCCCTGGAAGATACCCCAGCGGCGACGTTGGTAGGCTGATCGACAGTCAGGCCTGAGGAAGATAAGAACCGGCTCGCTGGTTCGTTGATAAGGCTAACGTGCTGTCGACGCTTCCTGCGCTGCGGACAGCTGCAGAGGAGTGTTCTCAAGCAAAGTCTGTCTCAACCCGCTGACTTCCCCACGCCCGTACTTTTCTTCAAGTTCAAACAAGGGGGAACGTCTGGCGTATGATTCGGTGATGGTACCCTGCTCGGCCCGGCAGCGAGCTAATCCTTATCGTCGAGATCTCTCCGGGCTGGCCTCTAAGGGGCCCTGGTTGTTCTAGATCAAGGGGATTCGTTGGCCGCAGCGTGTGATCCGTGATCGTGTGTGTTCGACAAAAAGATAAGATTGAAGAGAGAAACACAGCACCCAGGCGGCGTGCGTGGAGAAAGGGGAACGAAGAAGTGATAGGTGACCAGTAACTATCGGTGATATGCAGGGCCGTAGATTGGGAAGAAGAAGGAGGCCACGGCACCCCGCGAATTTGGGGGCCCAGATCTAGGTGATGATGGAGGCGAGCACAAGATAAGCTAGGCTTATCTGCGTCATTTGCATCAGGACAACAGTGCGGCGGTTTGAGGTTTCGGCCCTCTGTATTGCTCGAAGAGACAAAAAAGGCAACCTGATATGCGGAGGTCTCGGAGAATGGAAAGCGCTGTCTAGGTCCAAACAGTCTCAAATCATCACATTTTCTGTGTTATGACTTAGGGTCGAGGTTCCCGAAAAGTGGTCCGATATTTGCCGTTGTGAATATAAGAGGGTAACAAGGGTAGCGGGACAACGTTAGGTGTTCATTGAATGGAAGGAGTCAATTGACGAGTTGGGAAGGAGCTCAGATGGAGAAAGAGCAAAGAAGCCCCAGTGCCCTGGGCCCGCCAAATCAAATCGGCAAGTCCGGGAATTAAGGAGGGGATAGCTCCGAGATGGACAGAGGTGAGTGATGTCAATCTCTCCGCTGGGCGAAACAACAAGGGCGCGCTATCACGGAAAAGAGGACAAGAGACGGCAGGAAGACCAAGATTCCCTGGGTTTGATGCCGGTTTTTTCCCCCGCCAGTATCGCCCCCGAGCCCAGCATTGCCGTGCTCCGCAGTCGTCTCGTTAACAACTAGTGGCTTTGGGAGGTGTTGTAGATCAATTTCCCTGCGTCAGGCTCAGGACACCCGCGATGCCGGAGCAGCCAGAGTGTTGAGCACAGCGAGTTGGTTGCGTCGCGACGCATGGAGATAAAGACAAGAATTGATGGGAAGTGGTCGTTGTCATGCGGGATGCCCGCATGCAGTCCGATAACGCCCAGGCGATCTTCGGTAGCTTATCGTGGCGTCGATTTCACTTTGAAATTCCTCCTGTGTAATGGCAAAGCAGAGTGAGATAACGTTGCAGCGTGCATGCGACCTGCAGGGACTTGTACCCTGCCTGCCGGGCGCCGCTGCAATAACAAGCCGCTTGCCCCTCCACACCGAAGCCAGAGCAAAACCACACCGCCAAGTGCTTGCCCCGGGAGGCTCCTCTGGTGGTTTAACAAGTCACCTCCAGGTCACCTACCAGGGGGCCACCACCAAACCCTGATGCTCTCCGCATTAGCCCCGCCATCATTGAACCGCTGCTGCGGATGGGGTCCTGATTACCAAATAGAAATGCACCGAGATGCCCAACGCCCAGCCCGTTTGTCCGTCCCCGATTGGTATGGAAGTCGTTGCCGGCCTCCCTTGTCGGAACTTACCAAGAAGGCCAAGAGACGGGCACGCGCACAAGAAACATGGGACTGACGAAACAGAAACAAGAAAATAACGGTTACGGCAGCCTCATGCATACCTTCGCGCCTCGTCGCTCAGCAACCTCTCTTCACCGCGATGACTGACCAAACCCAAACGAAGCAAATACGGCCCTTCCGAAGGCCAAGGCCAAGACAAAGGGCCTGTTAGTGAGTTGACGGCCCGGGGGGCAATGCACGACACCGGAAAACACGGCCCCCAGCGAGGAAACGATGAAACGGCCCCGGCGCCGTGAGATTGGGCACAGGCCAATGATACCGCCGCTGCCGCCCGTCGCGGCTCCGAGTATTTATCGTCCTGCCTGCGGTTGAGAGCCCTGAGGGAGCATCGGACAGCACAACCGTGGGGTGGCTGCGAAATTGCACATGCAACTAATTGACCGCTGGTTGGACCAGTTGAGGAGAAGACGACGAAACTGTCCCGACCGGGAGCTGGAAGCGCAACACCATTTGTGGTGCTCGTTTATGGGGGAGGAAGGCCCGCTAGCCCGCTTCGCGGAGCGAAAGGGAAATCTCGGGGTGATCATGGCCTTTTTTTTCCCCCATCGTGCCTTAAAACGGTATGTTACGCAGTTACCTGAGTACGTTACACATTGCACTTCCAGATCCCACCCACGACAATGATCAAGCTGAGCACACGACCGACACATCGCCGCACATGACTTTTTGCCAGAAACGATCTCCCTCCCTTCCCCGCGCAGAGGTGGCAATTTTTCAAGAGTGGCCGCGTGTTCTTGTACGTGTAGCGTATTCCCAAGCCGGCAGATCATCCGTGCGTTTGTCATTCCCAAAGCATCATAGTCATCCCCGAAACACAACAACCCGGAAAAAGAAGAGGAAAGCGAGACCTCGCGAGGACCAAACTTCGAAACGCACCCCACCCCTCTCCTGCACCGCAACCTCAAGACCGTCCCACCCGTTGTCCAGGTCGTGACACCAACCCCGATGCAGCCCAATCAGGTTATCCAGCCAGCCACCTTCTCCCCCGGATTCGCACTCCTCGGCCGACGCCGGGGACGGCACGGGGAATGAGGGGGCCTTCGTTAACGGTCTGGGGAGGAGGGGGCAAGCATGCACACCAAAAAAAGAAGAGGAAATCAATAAAAAAGGGTCTTTGTCCGACTTCGCCAATCTCCATATCCAGCAGCAAAAGGGTCGGTGTCAGCCCAGGACAAGAGCGGGGGATCGACAGAGCCGGAGGGTTCAACCCTTTATGGCCCCTCTGATTCGTCGGATATCGGAGGATAGGAATGACGCAGGAACGCATGAAAAGAAAAGGTTTGGTGGAAACACCAAAACCGTAAGAAGGGGATCATCTTCTAAATGGCCCTAAACAGACTTTGCCCAACCCGTCAACCCTCTTGCTCACCGAAGTTACAATGGAGCTTTGAACAAGAAGCGGGAAGTTAACTCTGTCTGACCTGACCGACCCTTGACGCAGCAATGATACCTGAACTCGGTCGGTGCCTGACATCGAGTTACAGAGTATACCCTCCAGGTTCAACAAACAACAAACAATTCCACTCAGAATCCACAAAACTCGCCTGCCAACCTGCTAAACGAATTACACTACTCCGCGGCCCCACCCGAAGAAAGGCTTGTCTGTGTACTATGTACGGATGAAGACAGACGATCATCGGGCCGTGCACCGGTGAAGCCAGATGAAACGGGGTACCTCACTTGGTATATTTGGCTGTAAGGGTTCCTTGGTGATGATATGTCTCAAGCAATGCTCGGGCCGGGTTCGGAGGCAAGCGAACGGGACGGTTGTTGCGGCGAAACTTCGGCTTCTACTCAACTACAAAACCGTCGGGTGTGGATAAGATCTGCTGTCAAAAAAAAAGGGGACGGGTCTCCGTTAAACTTGCCGGGTTTGCCGATGTATATTTTCCGGTACACTGCAGCGGAGATGGAAGGGATGGGCCTTGTCGGCGCACGACTCACCAACAATGCTAGCCGACGAAGTAGGTTGTGTGCAAACTCCATGCTAATATCCTCGACCCTCTCATCACATCAACCCCCCCAGATCAACCCGGCCAATCCCTCATACATCCCCATCAGCCTTCGATGGAGGTGTCCAGAGCATACACTTCTCCCTATACCAAACCTCTTCCTCACCGCCGCCAACCTCGGCAACAGACGCATCAGCGGGCCCCAGCCGCGGTATCCTCATCTCAAACCCATCTAGCACCCGAAACCCCAACTTCCAATACAACGGTACCGCCACCTCAGTGCTCTCCAGGTACACCGGCAACCCGTCGGCGGCCGCCAGATCGAGGACGTATCGGGTCAACAGCGCGCCGGCGCCGCGGCCTTGCCATGCCGGGTCAATGCAGACGAAAGTGAGGCCTGTTGTTTTTGTGTTGCGTATGAAGAGGTAAGTGATAGGCACGAGATGTGTGTGTTTGAGAAATGACACGCTAGGGAAGGTGGTATTATATATCCATGTGATTATGACTTTGCGGTCATGGTTCCTTGGATCCACAAAAAAAAGCACCCGGACGATATCCGGAGTACCGGCCAGGCGGGGCGGGGTTACTGGTTGGAGGAAGGATGACGAGCGCCGGCTTGCAACGGGCCGGGCCGAGGAAAGGACCCTGGATGCCATATCCGGGGTGTATTTCCGGGCCGGGTATCGGGAATAGAGGCCCAAGGACAAGAACCCCTTTCCGGAATAGAATAAACAAAACTGTGGCACACGGGACGGAAACAAAACGGGACAGGAAAAGGTAAGAGGCACAAAAGACTTGTAAGCAAACTTACAGTAATGATTGCTCCCATTAAAGCATCTTCCCTTGGCCTCCTCCGCCAGCGCAGCATACCCTTCCAAAAATTCCGGTCTACACCCCTCTACAAACCGTATATCGCCGTTCTCTAACTTGGCTTTGGAATTCTCGGCGTTCCCTGGCGAGTCTGACTTCACTTCCACATCCCACCTGATATACCCCACGATCACCCCCCTTTCCACATCACGCGCCACCGATATTCCCCCACCGCCATATCCTTGTCCTTCACCTACGCTACCACCTTCCGTGCTAGATGATGGCAGCGGCCCATCGCCCAGCGAGGCCACATGCTCGGAAACCTCGCTCTCCAAAAATTGCCTCAGGCCTGCCAGGCCCGTGGGACTCGGGAACTGGGCGTGCAGCAACGGGTTGGCGTCCATCGCGGCCAGGTGGATTTCAGCGATGCGGGGTGCGTCAGCCGGCCGAGCGCGAGTAAGCGTGAATCGGGTGGGGGGAGGGGGGTGAGCCATCGAGCCGGTGAGGGAGACGGTGTGCGACGGTGAGATAGTTTTAAGGTGAGAGAGCTAGGATGACCCGCGGTTTTAGTTTCGGATGTCACAATGGCGGAAGCGAGCGCGGGAACGGGAACGGGAACGGGGATGGAACGGGAGACGGGAGCTTAGTTTAGGTGCTTTAGCTGCCGTGTTCGATTTAGATGGTGCTTGGTTGCTTTGAGGCCGAGACACTAAGGGAAAGGAAAACCGAGCTAAGTGACGCAGGGGGGTCATGTGACGGGTGCCAGGTGCCACACACCACATGTCGTGCATCAACATGCTGCTTGCGAGTGGCTAGTAGCGGGCCCAGACCCAGGCCCAGACTCAGAGTCCCGAGAAGGAGAATGGCCTGGGTCGGTTCCTGTTTCAACGTCGCCTACGCCTGTTATTTGCGACTCCTTCCCCACAGACTCCTGCAGCATCCTCCATGGCGTTTCCACCCAGGAATACCACTCCCCACCCCGGAAGTAGTCTACTAGCAGGCCCAAAAAGTGCTGGCCAGCGCCGTCCATCAGCCACACACCCCGACAGTGGTACATGGCTAGGAAATAATACGCCAGTACGGCCAGTGCCTCTGGGCGGCGCGCCTCGAGCATGCGAACAAACGTTCGGTGGAGCATCGAGACCCAGGAGCACAGGACATATGCCCTGCTTTCGCGCGTGGGCTGTCCATCGAAGACCCACTGGATTAGGTCGACGGCGCGTAGTGATTCTTTTAGTTCTTCCTCTTCCAAGTCTGCCGAGGTTAGTCTCGCGCGAATATCGTCGCAGTCGTGACCCTCGCTGGTTAACTGAAACCACTGAGGCACAAGCTCGTCAAAGATGACCTTGAGTTCCGTCTTCCGTAGCTGGTCCCAGTAGCCGTCCATGACGGTGTGCATGCCACGGTGGAGCGTGAGGTATGTTAGGAATCGAGTAATGGCGGCGTCCGGCGTTCGATCGCGGTGTGCAAGCGCATCGCAAAGTGCGTGGATGCCGAGCACGCTCGAAAACATGAAGGCCGGAACGCGTTTCTCGACTGAATCCCCCCAGAGCGCAATGTCGATGCTGTTGAAGAGGGAGAGGGCCTGGGTCTGGAGTTGGATGGCGATGTTGTGGTAGAAAGACTGTTTCTCCGGGTGTACCACGCTGAGATGGTGGGCAGAGAGTGCGAGCACGGAGTGCATGACGTAGGGCTCCCGGACGGCAACCTTGGCGACGAGGTTTTGCATACATGTATCTATGAGTGGATGGAGGGAGTCGCTGGTCATGTAATGATGGAGGAGCTCCATGTGAACCATGTCGACTCGTGGGTACGCATTTTCGGGCGGGGCCGCCGGTTGAAGCCCAGGGAACGGTGTCGGTGATGGTGTTGGTGCCGGCGTGCTCATTTTTGAGGACACCCTTATCTGTGGGCTGACCGACCGGCCTGATGACTGGCGCCCGTCGTCAAGCCAAGGCGTAGAGTATTGGCATTCTCGGGTTACCGTTGTGCAATTGATGCATTGTGGGCGAGTTTCATCACACTACAACACAGGATTAGCTTTGCATTGGGTTAGCGATGAGTGGCGAGTCGCCTACTTTGACTACCGAATACATGTCAGCGATGGATTTAAAAGGCTCCAGGGCAAAGCGGTGACCTACTATGGCGCTTCTTACACTCAAGACATCCTTTTCGGGATTTTCTATGAGCTCTGCGCATTGTCTGTCCGAGGTGCTGGGGAAATCACTGGTAATTGAGATGATGAAGGGTTCCGAAGGACAATATCAGTAGAATCGAAAGAGACGGTATCTCAATCAAATGGGCGCTGCTGAAGGTATGCCCGTTTACTGGCGGCCGCGTTGTCGTGATTTTCGACATGACGCGTTGCGTGGCTCACAGCCACAAATGGCTCGCTGATACCCCGTGGTGTCAGGGGAAGCCGGGCCGGGCCGGGCGGAGCACCCTCCGGGATTGTGGGGCTGTTCGAAGGCCGTTAGTTTGAAAACTGCAAAGGCCCAAAAGTTTCGATCGAAACCAAAAGTCCGGCGCCGATATTTAGGTCAATTGTGTGTCATCGGCTGGTGGCCGATTCCAACGAGGCCCCGTGTCCGGTTTGTTACTGCCGCTCGTGGCCCCTCGGCCCACAAAGTTGAGTATCCAATCCCGGACAAGACGAGTTTTGTCGAGTTGTTGGTGGACCCCGCTGGTGGAAAGGTCGGAGGTGCTATAGTGCCCGCCCACATCCCGAGAGTCAAGTTTCGTCCGGTAGAGCAAGTACATCCTGGTAAGACCTTTACGAAGACTATGTCCGTAGACCTTCTTTGCGAAAACATTGAGCCCAACGTTTTGGAAAAGGACAATATCCCGGGGTCGTAGGCCGGCTAGCGGGCTTTCGTCCAGGTTGTCGGAGGGTAGCCAGTAAGTAATAGAGAAGCCGGCCTTGGTCTCGTCCCCGACCAGAATCTCGACCAAGTACCTAGTTCCCCAGCGGGTTTTGACGGCTCGCGGCAGGGGGATAGATATGAGACCGACAATGATATTGATAGTCATAGTCTGCGGCTGTATCCCGGCAATGTGGTTTGGGGAAGGAATGTTCTTGAGATTACAGAGGTTATCGCTGCCTCGGAACACGATCGGGGCCTTGATGGGGCCGGACTGGCTGCCACAGCCGCTCACAAAGGATGTGGTGGCGTCGCTTGTGAACGATGTTGTTTGCTCAGTTGATTGGAAAACTAAGTGAGAGGAGGTTACATCTTCGTGGGCAACGATAGACTGCTCGTAAAACTGAGATAAGGAAGGGCCAGTATCGCCTCCACCATCTCCATTATCTGAAGCGAAAGAGAACGAGGCCGTGGTGAAGAATTCGGGAGCCGTATCCGGAGGGTAATCATTGTACCCGTACTGACGGGCATCGGCGACTCGTTTCGGCGAGCAAGGTCGGGATTCTTTCGTTTTGTCGATAGGCAACAACCGCCATAGGGCATGGTCCGGTAGTGAGAGAGCTGGCTCAGGTTGATGATCGTTGGTACCGATCCCAGCAAATCGCGCGATGGAGTCTTGGAAATGGGAGAGTAAACCACCGTTTTCCCAATCAAGAGTGCTGTTCTCTGGGGCCCCAGTGAATATCAAGACTTTGCCAGTCATGGTGAAGAGCCACGGGAGTCAGAATAAGTACAGCCGGGCGGGAGCTCGGGACAAAGTGGAGGACCCGGGAACAGAAAGTGCAATCCGCAGGCAGCAAATCGAGAGATCCAGATAACAGTCTGGCGACTGTGCATTTTACTGTGCGGAGTTTCTGAGAGTGGGGCTTGAGATCGCGTACCAAGATCCAATATTTTCAACCCTTGAACCTTTAGGCAACCCCATCGTAAAGCTGCGGAGAAAACGAAGGCTTATTTTGTTAGGATTGTGATGGGAATTTCTTGCAAAGCGAAATTTTGGAAAGGTTCGGATTTTCTAGAGCTTTGAAGGCTCTCAAAATGTCACCATGGAGGTTCTGTGGTACCTACAGAGAAGTACCCCTGCATTCACACGTGCGATGTGCTTGGACGTGTCAAGAAAGGAAATTTCTCCATCAGGGGAAATCAACAAAACAACTTGCTTTCAATGTGTCGAACCCACGAGACTACTAACAAGACCTGGCCCGAACACTGACCGAAACGAAAAAGGCCAAACCGCTCCTAGAATAAAATAAATCAATAATGGCTCTTGCACCGTGGGACGAGCTCCCAATTGAAAACACCCTCTTCGTTTTGGTGACGGGCGGGAATAGGTACGTTTTGTCGTTGTCCTAAGATGCCCGCTAATCCAATTTGCCGTCTGATATCTGACACCAATTTCTTGTACAGTGGTATTGGCTTCGGCATTAGCGAACGCCTCATTGACGAGTACCTGACCACGCGTTCGCTCTCGTCGCATATCGTCGTCATTCCAACCACCCGCAGCGCCAAAAAGTCCCGAGAAACCATCGACGGCCTGCGCAAACACACCAGAGAATTCGCAGCCACCTCGACCGCCCTCCGCGTCCGCACCGGCCCGAACTACGATCCCCGCCAAACTACACGACGAGTCCACATCCTAAGCGTCCAACTCGACCTTTGCAACCTGCCGGCTATCCGCCGCTGCGCGACGCAGCTCGTCTCAGGAACCCTCAGCAGTCCCAGCGATGACGATGACTTCGTGCCTCTCACCGACGTCCGGATACCGCGATTGGACTCGATTATTTTCAATGCCGGTATGGGAGGATGGTACGGGCTCAACTGGCCGAAAGTTTTCCACAACATCCTCACGAAGGGCCTCGTCAGTGCGACGACCTGGCCGACCTTCAAGGGTGCCCTCAGCGGCTTCGTGATCGACCCGATCCACGGGAAGACAGCCAAGAACAACAATGACGAAGCCGCAACAGCCCCGCAAATGGGCGAGATCTTTTGCGCCAACGTCTTTGGTCACTACCTCTTCGCCCAACACCTCGTACCACTCATGGCGCGCCGGCCCCAAGCCGGCATCCCGCCCGGTCGCATCATCTGGGAATCCAGCATCGAGCCGGACTGGGAAACCCTGTCACTCGATGACTTCGAAGCCATCAAGACAAACGCCGCCTACGAGTCCACCAAGCGCCTGACCGACCTCCTCGCGCTGACCTCCAGCCTCCCAGCCTCCAAGCCCTACGTGGACAAATACCTGACCCCATCCACCACAAAAGCATCACAACCATCACCACCGACAGGAGCCGCAACCCCACCCAAAATCTACCTCGTCCACCCAGGTGTGGTGCAAACCACCCTATTCCCCCTCAACGCCTTCATGTTCTTCTGGTACAACGTCGTCCTCTACGTGGCCCGCTGGCTCGGTTCCCCCTGGCATCCCATCACGGCCTACAACGGCGCCTGCGCCCCCGTCTGGCTAGCCCTACAGGAACAAGAGGACCTCGACGCCGCGGGTGCGCAGCGCGTGAAGTGGGGCAGCAGCACCGACTTCTGGGGCGAGTGCCGCGTCAAGAAGACCGAGGTGGATGGGTGGGGGTGGGAGGGGAAAGTGGAAGGGGGTCGGGACCAGTTGAAGAAGGAGCAGAAGATAAAGGGGCGGAAGTGGGACGCGGTGGATGTGACGGAGGAGAGGCTGGCGCAGTTTGAGGAGTTGGGGGCGGCGTGCTGGAAGAAGATGGAGGCGTTGCGGGCGACGTGGGAGGAGAGGACGTTGAAGGCGGTGAAGGAGGGGAACTAGGCAAAGTGAGGTTGGTTTATGAAACGAGATGAAGTCGTTGGGCTGGGTAGAAGGGGAGGATTGAACATGAATTGGATATTCCAAGATTTATTGTAATGGTAATGCTAAACAACTATGCCAATCGTGGGGATATAATTATGCAAACACGGAAATGGCCACACTAATCACGCCTGTCTCCAACACCTTCTCCCCTATCATCACATCATCATCCATACATTTCCACCCGTACATTCACAAGCATACATATCCAAAAAAAAATAGAACCCATGACCCTGCCCCATCATATCCCAGTAATAACCCAAATACCTCACGCCTCGCCAAACCGATCTGCCTGGCTATGGCGGTTCTCATCCCCATGCCCATGACCATGATGCCCATGATGTCCACCCCCACCTCTCCCCTCATCATCCGATTCAACCCTTCTCAGCATCAACTTCTCCTTCCTCCCAAACAACCCCAAACACAACGGAAGCGGCAACGCCACCAGCGCACACACAGCATGCAATACCAACGCATCCTTCATATCCCCCGGCGGATCACCCTCAGGACCCTTCTTCAGCGCCCCCGAAGCCACAATCAAAATCCCACCCAACAGCTGCCCGCCAGCCCACCCTAACGTCGACGTCACAGCCGGACTGATGGGGTGCGTCAATTCGACGAGATACTCGACAACAACAGGCACGAGGGAGAAAGAGGACGCGCCCAGGATGGCCATCATGACATACGGCCCGGCCACACTGCCGCCGCTAGAGGCACGGGTGCCAGGCATCCAGATGAAGATGAGGTAGCTTGCCGCAATGATGGGCACGGCGACGCGGACGGCGAGTAAGTAGGATTTGGTTCGGTCGATGATGGGGGAGGTGAGCGCCGACGTGACGAGGCCTACGACGATAAGCAGAGCGCCGGCGATGCCCGCTTCTTCCTCGGTGTAGCCGTGTGGAAGCAGGATCTGGTTGATGAGGGACGAGATGGAGTTGAAGAGGCCGACATAGATGGAGAAGGGGATGAATAGGAGCCAGAACTCGAGCTGGCTAAATAGCAAGCGGGCGGAGGCGCGGATACTGAGTTTGGGGGTTTCCGAGGACGGTGCTGCGGGCGTAGGTGGTCGAGCGGGGATGAAGAAAGAAGGCACTGCGCAGACGGAGGACTGTTACGTTGTTAGTTGTTGAGCAAGCCCGTTATCCTTGAGTTTGATTCTGCTATGGGAGAGAGTTGAGGGGTCGGCTTACGATGATGGAGACGTAAAGGACCATGTTGGAGATATCGCCCGGTTTCGAAACCCAGAAAGGATTAATCAGTTGGCCCAACGCAGCACCAAGAGGATTTGCAAGACTTGTCAAAGCTGTGGCAGTTACCCGCCCTCGGTTTGTAAACCAAAGGTCTGAGTATCGTGCCGGGGCCGCAAGGACAAAAGGCTGGGCTAGCCCAGTCAGAATCTGGCCAAACATGACCACTCCGAAGAGCCCGCCAGACTTGGAATGGCAACCGGCATAACGGATCCAGTTCCCGACGAGTACAAGGCTGGCAGACGTAACGATGGACAGTTTCGGGCCGAGATGTAGCACGTAGATAACCACAGGGGTGAAGAAGGCGAACGCAAACAGGAAGGCCGTGCTCAGCCAGTTGATGATGGTATCCGTGGTGCCAAAGTAGGTTGCTGCTTGGGAGGACACGGGCGAGAAGGTAAGCCACTAGCAAAGGTGAAGGTAGGTTAGCACAGATAGGAACTGCATTATGGCTATCCCCCCTCCTTGAAGCAAGCTGGAAAACAGCAGGCGTCGATGGTCTGATAGAAATGCGGCTGGCTGCTTCGTGGCGTGCTAAGATGCAGCGCAAGACCATCGAGCCCGCAGTTTCGGCAAATCGGGAAGCGCAGACGGGATGCAAACAATCGGGTAAACGCTAACTAAGCGCACCCATACGGCAAACAGTCCTTCGCCGAGTAGGATAAAAGGAGTGAGTGTCCCTCACGATCTTCCGGAGCTCGTTTGACCCGCCCACGGACAACCAACCTTCCGGTGCAACAAATGACCAAAAAAAGGGGGTGATAAGACGGCACCACTTACGTCCCAGCTAACAATGATATTCAACAGCGTCAACTGCAACAACCCGAACCACCGCCGCTTGTACACCTTGTACTCCACCGTCGTCTCGTTGTCGGCCCCGGCCCGCACACCCCCATCTTCAACACCCTCTTCCTTCACCAAACCAGGGCCAAGCGGCCTCCGCGGGACCGGCCCGCCCGGACTTCTTGTTTCCGCCGTAACGGAGCCCAACTCAATCGACTCTGTGTTGCCCTGCAGCGCCGAGGCACCGGCCGCATTGCTGACGCCATTCCCGTCGCTGCTCCGGGAAGAATCCTTTTCCGTCTCACCCGCGCGTTCCTCCCTCAGCCTGAACCAGCGGCGCGAACGGCCGCTACCCATCCCACCGGACCCAAGGCTCGCTTCCTCGATTTCGCTGACGGTGGGGCTGGTGTCGGGTGAGTGTGAGGGATGAGATTTCGGTAGGTGAGTATCGGTTATTGATGTCTGGCCGCGTCGCTTTTCATTATAGTTGGTACCGCGGTTCCCATGGGCCATACCGGGGGCCGTCCGCCCCGGTGCGATGATGCCTAGGTTGGAGTGTCGCACAGCATATGATAACAGGCTCGGGTCTTATTCGAACCGAGAACGACACTGCAGCGAACGGTTACGCCGACCAGTACTGAGGCCGTCAGTGAAAATGACGGCGGTGGTTGTAGTGTTCTTGTCTCGTCTGTGAAAGGTTCACGATGATAGAGAACCCGACCCCGACGAGCAACTCGGCCGCCTGAAGTCGGCTCTGAACCTTCAGATGAAACGGCCATCGGCATGGGGCGCGTGCCAATGTCCCGATTCCCTGCTATCGTCCCATTTTCGAGTCCTTTGCCGTTCTTGGCAGCTCAAAATTCCACCCAAACAAGGAACTGGCCTGTCGAATTGGAGGGATCCCCGCACCGAGAGAGCGAACGAAGACGACCAGAAGCCGAACCCGAACCACCACCGCTTTCCGAATCGGGAAGAAGTGCGAGAGACGTCGAGTCAAGTGATCTCAAACATCGAAAGAGCTCCTCCACGTGCACGATCCTCAACACCAACCGGACTTCGATTTGGGGGATCGTGGTACCTGACGAATTTCTTGTCGGGCATTTTTCAACAGTTTCTCTTTTGAGTAAATGGTGGGTTCAAATCTCAGCGAGGAAGGCGCCCCTGCTTAGATCGAAAATCCTCCTGCAGGTCGAGTGCCTTCCAATTCGACGCACCAGATCAAATTAACAAGGTCGGACAAGAGCCGTGCATTGAGATGCTGAGGTACATACCTGTATGTGATGGGTACCTTATCCAAGCTCTCTCCATCAGGTAGTAAGTAGGCTTTCGTCCGAAGCGCCGACCTGCGCCGAGCAAGTGATCTTGTTCTTCGGACGCAGGACACCACAGAGGTACTTCGTACCTATCGTTATCCGACTCTAGACAGCCCTGTTTCGGGGTTGACTCAATTGCCAGACAAATTCCCTCCCAAAATCACCAACACACCTCCGGACTACAAATCGTTACTACGCAACTGGCTGCCCCCCAAGACCTCAAAACCACCTCGTGCCCCCCCATTTCCCCTCTCCCCCTCGCCCGGCACCCCCAAAACCCGCGACCTGCAAGTCATTCCAGCCCAACCGCTTAACGGCATGCATTAGCATGTCTCTCCCATGTGTTTCCTGTGTAACCCAACAGGGTGCCGACGCATGCGGGGGATATTTCTGCAGCAGCATGGATGATGGAACTTATTCTCAGCCTCTCATGTCACCCCTTCCCCCCTTCACTGATGAGTTTGATCACTTGGTTGGTTCCAGCCCAGAAATGGGCTCTGCGTCGATGAAGAAGGGAGGGGTAAGGAGGCGGGGTGAGAGTTGAGGAAGAGGAGTCGTGAGCGAAAATTGAGTAAAGAGGTAAATAAGAACGAAATGGGATAGGGACGCGATTTAAAAGAAAACGAACTGCGGAAGCTATTGAGGAAACGATGAACCGAACCCCTCCCTTTTCTTGTCTCTTTATCTCTCAAGGAAAAACCACCGCCGGTATTTTCACCTCGGAAAAACTCCCGTTTATACACACCCTCGCTGTGGCCAAAAAAAGCGACACACCAAAACGGAGGGCTCAAGTCTAATCCATCAACATCGGATCCAATCTTGATAAATTTTGATTGATATACTCTGTTTTGTCTTTTTTCACTTTCTGGATTTATTCTTTTTTCTCTTCTTTCCCTTTTTTTGGTTTATTCGTTTTGGTCTTTTTTCACTTTTCTAGCAAAGTTATCCAGGGACTTGGTGTGCCGCTTTTTTTGGCCATAGCGAGACACCCAAAGAGGGCGATTCTATCGGGATATTCCCCGCCCACACGGTACCCCCAACGATCACTGCTATCCGGAGTAATTCAGACGCATCGTAGATGAGGCTAGACCAACGGAGCTTACTTTGTAAAAGACCCTTTGGTACACAAATAGCCATGCTCACGACGATCCCTGGTGCTTCGCATGATGCACTGGCACCCCATCCCATCCAACGTTACCTAGCCTCCTAGCTCTTAGCTGTAGTGTATGCAAGACATTTTGCGCCCATTCGATTCACGACTTTCATGTAGGGACCGAAACTCGACCATTGCGGGGCCTCTCTTGTTGTGCCATTTGACGCCAATATGTCGGCAGCCCGTTTCAGCTAAGAGGAAATCCAAAAGGAGAGGGGCAAGCCCAGTCGTTACGTTGGCAAGGTTGGTTATCGTTTCCGAGGGGGCGGGGGTGTTGAAGGGCAGAGAAGAGGAGCGAATGGGGGTTAGGAAGAGCTGAGTTGGTCCGGAAAAGCCATGACGTTAAGGTCCCCCAACGGTCGCACGAAGTGTCTGCATGGAAATGGCTTAGGGTAATCTGTCGTTGCTGCGTACATATGCGTGTGTGGCCTGATGTGAGATATGTCCCGCAGGCGTCGATCCCACGGCAATGGGACTCGACGTCAGAAAGAAGGGTGATTACGACTACCCATCATTCCGATGTCCGGTTTGGTGTGTGCGTGCAGCAAGCAGCCGGGTCCACCGGAATCGTGTTCGGGGGGTGGAAGGATTTAACTCGTGGAAACGTCTTCTGCTTTTTCTTTTTCTTACCTTTCGCTGCCCAGAGGGGAAAAGAGGGGGCTGGGCTAGAAAGTCTGGAAGGGGATAGAAAAAGAAAAGGTTGACAAGTTGAGACACCCACCTCTGATCTTGGTTGTGGCTGCATTCTGCCTGAGAGAGAAAAAGGCACTAGGGATCTGGTCTGTATATCTCCATCGAAGCGCCGTTGGCGCCATGCAGCCCTACTAGAAAGGAAAAAACACCTTCATCTTCGGGGAAGACGAAGTGGGGAAGCGGAGATCCGAGACGATATCTGCGACTTGAAGCCCGAATGGGTCATAATCGAGAGGAGGAAAACGCCCAAGGCGGAGAACTCAGAGCGGAGGTCTTGGGGGTCAGTGATATTCGAGTATGTCATTTTTGTTTCGCACGGTGTAAAGGAGACGACAATGGGATGGTAATGATACAACAAGCCCGAGCGGACGGAACCTCCAGACAAACCCGGGCGAGTTCGGTTATACAGGGCTGCGTCGTCTCACCGTCCTGGATGAAAACCCCGTCTCACGATGTGCATCGGCCAAACAACCCTCGTGTCGCAAACAACCCGGCCAGCAAACTACTCCCGTCTCGTCTATAGGAAGAAGCACCTTCTATAGAAACCATATTCATCGCATCGTGAAACCAGAGATCAGCACTCCATCTATACTCCTGGGCATCGCTGGTCGTAGTTGTTGTCGGTCCGGGGGTAGGTCGGCCTAGTCGTGGGGGGCGTGCTGGGGCTGGTTTATTTGAGAACAGACCACAGCTTGGGAGCAGCGCATTGGGTCGCACAGTGGGCAAGATGGAAGACTGATCCATCAGGTTAGTGAACGTGGTCAAGGGAGACAAGAGGGAGGTGCAAACAAAAAAGACTTACACTCCTCAACGCAGTCCTCCTTGTTGTCGCTGTCAGCTTCAGCTTTGGTAACGCGCTCAACGCACTCATCGAAGTGGTGCTTCGCCGGAGCGCACTGCTTAGAATTCCGGCATTCTATATTTCATCGTCAGCGACAGTCCACCCTCAGTGTCGTGTGCCGCATCCAATATCCGCATGTCGTTATATGGGTTACGGCTAGCCGTGCCCAGTAACCCTTTCTTCAAGCAGGAGCAAGCATTAACCCCCCAATGCGCCTTGCCTCCCAGCTGTGATCTAACGACCTTATATCGTGATGATAGCGATGCCAGGGGTGGGGTAAAACAATTAACCCACCTTCCTCGAGAGTCTCTTTGGGGTCAACTGGCTCCTCCTCCTCCTCCTCTTCTTCCTCCTCTTCCTCTTCAGCCGCCTCCTCCGGCTCTGCCTCCTTCGCCTCGGGCTTGGTCTCAGTTGCCTCCTCCTTGGGGGTTTCGGTGCTGGTCTCCTCGGGCTACGAAATCACGAAATCGAGCTGTTAGCCATACCCTCACTCAACGCTCCCAAAACCTTCCTCATAGCATCATGGAGAAGCCCAGGTGCTGGGCAAGCCTGGGCAGTCGTTTCGGCAGCGGCATGGCGGGATCTAGGAGCTGGCATAGAAAGTGACGCATAATCGGCATACCTGGTCGGCGGGGGCCTCGGCGTCAGCCGTTGTCCACGGGGTGGCAGCCTCGACGAGGTCGGTTATGGTGTCCCAGAAGCCCATTGTTGCGATGTGGCTGGTCGGGGTTTGGCGGCAAGCGGTGGGCGGCGGTTGTCGATGCTTCGGTTGGTGGGTTTGGCAGGGCACGCCTGAACGGGGTTTGCGTCGAGTCGGCAATCGCGCGACGTTGGAGCTCTCGCAAAAATCGGGTCGGCGAAACCAGCCCGGTTCTTCAATTGACGGGCCCTGATTGGTTGATTCGTTGGCCGATCGAGCTCCGGGTCATTCCGCTCATCACGTGATTTTGAGACAGCTCAAAGCTCCCTGTTAACCCTCATTCTTTTTTTGAAGCTTGGTCCGTGAGCCCCGGCCTATGGCATCATGCCGCAAGCTGCCAGCCCACACCAGCGTCCGCTAAACACCCCAGTGTCTACGGCGACATTATTATCATGGAGTTTAAGGGGTAGCGGACGTATAATTCTAGCTGAAGTTAAAAGGTCTAATGGTGAAGCGTCGAGTTGTCTTTTTTTCCAAACTCTTGGGGAGTTTCGGAAGGATTGTGAAATAACATTGTACTCAAAAACGCCAGCCAAAATTGATGCAACGCTCGTCCTCATTACCCACCGTCCGCAGTTGAATTCAAAACACAAGACCGTTCAAAGCTGATGGATGGTATCAACAGTTGCAGACTGTCACAAGAAACCCCCAAAAATTAAGAGAAGAAAAGGGAGAAGCGGGGGAAGTGAAAGGTTAAACAGAGCAAAAAGAAAGGGCTTTGGAACCCCCACACCCCAGTCCCCTTTAAAAACCCGTCAATTTCAACACTATCTTAACCCTTCAGCCCCTCTCAGCTTCCTCCCGCGCACGTTCCTCGTACCGTATATTGATGGCTTGGGTTTGTGCCTGAACGTAATCCGGAGGCGGTTCGTCGGGAGCTGGTTGGGGCTGCTGCGCTTCTTGTTGTTGTTGCTGCTCCTGCTGTGGCTCCTGCCGTTGTTGTCCCTGTGTGCTAGGCTGAGTGTCGCTGGTGGAAGTGGGGCTCGGGCGGTCGACTTGGTACGGCGGCGGAGGTTCGAGGTTTTGCCCGGGTACCAGACCCAATTCCTGGGCATGATGCAGGCGCTCCTTCAGCCACTCAAACTTGGCTTGGAAGTCGCTGTGGCCCCCGTCCCGGAAGACGAATTTGACATCCACCCGCGGAATATGCATGGGAATGCCTCCCCCAGGAACCGGTCTCACTGTCCCGCCCCAGCTCCAGGGACCAATCCATGATGAATGAACATGGGTATCGGTAAAATTCAGCGCGGGGGTAAAAAAAGACTTGAAATCCTCACTCGGCCTAGCCGGCAAGAAGATCACCTGGGCCTGGTCAGCTTCGGGCTCTACATAGTAAGACCAGTCCGCCCTGCTCTTCCGAAACCCGGGGCCAAGGACCCAGGTTTGGAGCCAACCTAAGAAAAGCTAGTGGCGGATAGGGCGGTGTACTTACTCGCTCATTCGTGATGTAGGCGATGCCGTTGTCACACTTGATGGAGAACGGGTCGGCGATCTGGAGCTCACGGGGTGTTGTCACCTCGAGGCTCACTCGTGGCCGTGAGGTATGCAATATCTTCTCACCTGGGATGGGAACGATCTCACCATCCCGGGTCAACATAACCCAACTGTCCGCTTCGTCAGATTGCGAATTTCGAAATAGCGTCCATGTGTGCTGCTCCGCCAGGAACTGGTCTGCCATTATCCAGCAGGAGATAAACCAGGGTCGACGGCGTGTGGCCCAGGACAGAAGCCAAAAGGGCGTGTCAGGTAAGGGAAGTGATGTGCGGCTAGGGCACTAGCAGGTGGGAAGAGGCGTCGTGGGCAGCAAGTGTAAGGGATAATAGATGGAATGGGAGGGGGGGAGGAGGGAGAGAGAGGGAGAACCGAGGACTTGGAGGATGGTCCAGCTCGGAGGTATAGAAAAAAAGGCTTCAAGGAGTACGGAAACACTACTTTCGAGGATGGAGGAAGATAAAAAATCACCACTTACTTTATTGACATGTTGAGGAGGCGGGTGGCTTGGTACCTAGGGAAGGTAAGGTAGGTGGGAGGTGGCCGCAGAATGGCCCGCCGTGCCCGCAGAGGTGTCGTCTGGGTGTCCCACAAGAGGCCGTTCGATGGGGTCTCGATTCGTCAGATTCGGTGCCCGCTAGCACCATCCACCCCAGCGCAGGGTTCACACAGGAGCGGCACACGCAAAAAAGGGGAGCGACCAGTTCCTCCCGCACCAGGCGATGCCTTGCCTGCAGTAGACCCAGCCGAGATTTCTTGAGAGGTCTGGGAGCGATGCGTAGGCTGTGGTATCTGTGGGGTGGGCCGGATTTGCTGGAAGTGCTGGCAGCCTATGTTTACCTGCCCTCCTTGCCCTTTCTTGCACCCAGTATTGCGTGGAATTCTCGGGTCGGTGGATAGATAGAGGTGCGGGACTTGTTAATGCGCCTCGGCGACCTAGAACACAACTTCCAACCTCTTTGCGCCCCGTCCGTCCTGCCGGGCCTGGAAAAGAAGGCCGGGTGCCGAGGCAAAAGAAGACGATGCCTCTCTTGAGGAGGGGGGTGTCCGAAGAGGATGGATGGAACCAGCGCGAGGCCGATCCGTGGCGGGAGAACGATTGATTGACAGCGCACACAGGCTTGAGCTAGGCGCAGGAAATATCGTGTAGGCCGTTGCGCGTGTGTGTTGATCTTGTGCGTCTGCGGGGTGGTGGTCCCGGAGCTTGACACTCGGGAACTGGCGAGGAAGGTTGCCGGATGGGTTCCCAGGTCCAGGGTAGACAGAACATGGGCAGGGGACGGACAGGCCAAGCAACAGCCCTTGCTGTGGCGTGCCATCCTGGCCTTTGGAACCCCGCGCTAACAACCCGTGGCCCGCAGCGGTTGAACTGTGGGCCCCATTCCAGGAGTGGACCTGCCGGTGACACCCGTTCTCATGGAAGGCGCGGACGGCAAGACGGCTGGACGGGTAAGGGAGGTAGTTAACCTCTCTATGCATTAACACGCAAACGCGCGTTTGATGGCTTCAAAGAAAGCCGCGATTTTCAGTCAACCAACAAACGCAGAAAAACATTAATATCAGAACAAGGGAGACGTCAAGGGACTTCCGAAGCTTGAAAATAGATATCTCCGCAGATGCATAACCCCGCGGCCATGGGATGACACAGAAATATTCCAGACATGTATCTCGCCGTCTCGGTACCAAAGACGAGGAACTGCAACAATGAAAGACAGGCAAGTGGAATTCAACGAGGAAGAGATCGCAGGTCAAATCGAGATAGGCACGCATCCCGACCGAAGCAGCTAGACACGGTCTGTCTAAGGAGTTGATTCTGCTCTGCTGACACGGTCCACTGAATGTCGGGCCACTTCCCTTAGCAAGAAGTTCCTTCCCGCCAAACGGAAGCTTCGACAGAATGCGTGGAAGGCAACGACGACTCGGAGACTCCCCCGAGTTTTGTTTTGTCCGGGAAAGGGCAGGGAAGCGCTCCCCAATTATCCATCCAACTAGGGAGGAAGGTACGGGACGCCGGTTTTGCTTCTGCAGCCCAGGTTAAAATTTCATGCTTCCCTCATAACTGCACCGCGCCAAAGCGAACACTCCACTGTCTCCCGCGACATACCGCAACGCTGGTTATTTAGAAATGTCTTCGACCCCCAAGCCCCCGAGTTACATACACTATGTAGTATGATGGGCCGCTGGTCCGGCGATCGCCACAAGCCACGAGCGACTGTCATCGTCCAACCACGACCAACACCACAGCCACGGGAACCATTCCGTCACTCAAAACAAAGCGAGCATTCCTCGACGACGTGCGCTGGATGGATGAATGGGGATAGATATCCGATTTGTGCTCACGGGCGTACAGAACCCCCGCGCAGGCCCAGCACCCTCCTTCCCCTTCGCCGTCCGGCCAACTGGCAATGAAGCAGTCGAGCCAAGATAATTTTAGTTTCCCTTTCAACCCCATCATATTGTTCTCGGGGCATGCCTCACATTTGAGAAAGGAACGCCAGCCCGACAGCCATCGCCCCGGGCATCCGGCATCCGGCATCCAGTTTCCGGCTTCCGCGCAGATTCTCTTTTCACAAACCAACCTGTCGGCCTCACGCTCTGATCGTGTTCGCTTTTTGTCTCGTCGGCGTCATCTAGCGCCAGCTCACCACTCAGCACCGGAGGAAGAGCATGGCGGTGGATCGTGGAATGCATTTGGGACGACAAGCTTCCATCTGGCCCCTGTCACTCTGCACCCATGCCTCCACGAGACGTCATTTAACTCTGATGAAGCTACCCAGGGCTGTCCGTTTTGTGGCTCCGGTGTTCCGGGTCGCCCTCCACCATGCATTCACTGGGATCCAACAATCCACCACCGCCGTTGGTGACCTCATTGTTCCTCCCTGTGACACGGCCCGGATTATCTTGGGTGAAGCCGAGTGTACGAAGACACAAGCGGCAATCTCAACAACGGACCCGGAGGAAGAAGATACGACATATCCGACACAGAATTCTCAGACCTAGTTGGCCAGGTGCTGGGGCAAAGTTTACGCCGTCCCCCGACGTTGTTTCCTCCTGTGCATATTTGTTCAATCTGGGTTGCCAACGGGTCCATCTTCGGCGTCATCTCGTCACCTATCAGGGGTTGGTTGGAATTTTGACACCTAGGGCAAGGGACACAGGGCACTTTCCCGAAACGTACAAATTTCGCCAGCTTGGTCGACGGCTCACCGCCGCCCAGGACGATGTAGGGCAGCAAGGGCAAGAGTCCAGCCCCACCTTCCGGAGCTCTCACGTCCCCTCGCTCGTCAACCACACCAGACACTGACCGGCCTTGCCGAGCAGGACGTGGGGAACTGCCTCACCCGCGACCGGCCCGAGAAGAGAACAGAACCTTTGCCATTCAAACACATTGACAATCCGCGATCTGTTCGCCGGGGAAAGCAAACTGATGAGCCGAGCCATGGGCCAGGGCCTCCGGCCGCCGGCTGGTGGTCCCGCCGCAGAGAAGACGGGCCGCACGAGAGATTGCTGGCAACCTGTGGTTTTTGCCTGCCGGTCAGTCCGTGGGGCTGGCACATGAAAAAAATATCCTCCATGGGACCCTTTCCATGCCCTGGGGTGTGCAACGGCACATCTCGATTGAGCAATCCGGATGGGGACAGGCGGCCCAGGTCTTTGTTCCACAACAGGATTGACGTCCCGGGAGCTCATCGGTTTTGCCATTGCCAGTTCCACTTGCGGACTTCATCCCCGACTTCGGCTCGGTCTTGCCGTGAGTTAGCCGTGTTTATTGCATTCCTCGAACCCTATCAAACCCAGTATCCGCTCTGCTGGATCCCATCTTCTCAACTGGGGCACGGGATAGTCTAGTCACCCACCAAACATTCTTCGTCGTCACCCAATAACGGCGAGAAAGGCGAGACTGTCCTTGGCGAGCTTGCAGAGATGCGCACGCCGGTTACTCTCCCTGAGCACCCCCGCGTCTTCCACGGGGATAGCTTGATAAAGTTCACCGACATGTTTGAGCAATGAAGCCCGCCAGACGGACGCCCTCACTTCACACAAATTTTAACGCTTATGCAGTCCAGGAGCCTCATCACTCCGCGACGACGGCGAGGGTTGATATTTGCCAATACTGCTAGCCACTGCGCATTGCTGTGAAGTTATGCTAGGGCTTCGCCAGAACGCCGAGGCTCGTAGTCTTGCTGTGTGTGGTAAGAGATATGCACCCACTGGGAAGGGAGTACAGTGACTCCTGTCGTAGACCATACCCGGCCTGGCCATTGAGAATTGGGATACCCGAGGACACGGCTGTTGCATTTGATCGTTGTCTTAGAGAAGCTTCTATCTTACGCCGTGCTTTAGTTCTGACGGGCCGCTTGCGCTTGTGAACAAGGTTCCCAGATATCTTAGGCTATGGATCTCCAACAACACAGCCACCTTCCGTAGCTCTCTAGCTCAACGACTACAGGCGAACGCGCTGGTTCTTCATGCGATTCTCTTTCCGCTTTGCCAAGGCGGCGATGGGAGTTACCGGCGGCTTCTCGGCGGCCAGCCGTCGGCAAGCCATCGACCAGCCAGCGGCCAACGGACAATGCCAACATGGTATCAATCGGCCTCCGTCCCCCGGTCGAGGTCCAGTGACCGGGATATTTCGTGGGGGGGCAGTGAAATACAAGCCAGTGGTTTATCCTGAGTCCTGACACGCGATCCCGGTCACACACCCGCTTCCCCACGAGAATTGAGGACATGTGGTCCAACCGTTTGCTGGCTTGAACAAAAAGACTGGCTGGTCACGAGTAACAACCACACAGTACACAGCCGGCATGGTCTACCTTGACCTATGGACGGGTTTGGTTCCACCACTTGCCTCAACAGTCCCTCACCTCGCCCCTTTTCCGGCCGCATTCTTCCAGACTTGGTCGGTCAGCATCGGTCTGAGAGTCTTTAAGACAGTGAGATTTGCACCGAGGGGGCGGTGGCCAATCCTATGAGGTGCAAAACACGGCGGATGAGCCTATGAATCGGTTCTCTTGACCTAGGCTCACAGGGAATTACCAGTCCAGTCCATTTTAGACGGAGGCCTCTCCCGGACCGTCTCCTTGTGACCTGTCTCGCTGGCTGCTGTGGATATAATTGGTTCCTGCCGATGACGCAGGGTGTCTATGAATCAAGCAGCATAGGGACAGTCCGCGGAGGCGCTTTCGATGGAGGAAAAGCCGGCGGGACAGCGGCCTATTGCAGGAGAGGGAGGCACGGGGCTGTGGCGGTTTCGCCAAGTGTCGAAGAGAGCAACGTGACCTCGGCGGCCTTTTTCGGACTTGTTTGTGCTCAGCTCCAGGTTTTGTTTATTGTCTCTTTGCCTCGGAACATTTAATTCCACGTCAAAGTCCTTCCTAGTTGTTGTCTTCTTGTTTACGTGTGGCGCATCGTTTATTATTTATCTTAGTCAGAGCCGTGTCATGTGTCAATACGTTGGGGTAACACAGCAGCAGGAGCCTCATACGCCACACCACGTCTAGGAACCCTGAGGAATGTTGTACGAGTGACATCTGAGATTTTCCCTTTCTCTCATTATGCATACAGTCATAACCTTCATCAAACCTAGTCTTCCCTCGACCAGTGCCCGAGGCGGGGGTAGGGAGGAACCCTCAGCGAAAAAAAAATACCCCCCTCTCCCGTGCTCGTCTCCTTTACATTTTCCGTCCTTTCCCTTCGCCTATGTGGCGTAGACCCGGACTTAGGGAAGACAGGTGTGGCAAAAACAAGAAACCCAGACCAAATCCAGCTATAACACCCTATTGCCAATGCAAATGCCCCTTTGCCCCCATATTCACAACACGCTTTTCCCTCGTTCAGTGGCGTGGCCATCGAAGTCGACAAACCCTCGTGAACTCCATCGTCCTTAAAAAGTTGGCGTACGAAAGCAAAAGCGATGGCGGCCGCAGTGCCGGCTTTGCCATTCATCAATGACCCGCATCCTCCTGTTTCCCTCGGGTAGCGGTGTTTCGTGATGAAGCAACCCCCGTGAGCACAGTCGGTTTCATTTTGTCTGGTCGCGAAAGGACCAACAAGAGAAAAGAAAAGAAAGACAGCGTGACCAACCAAATCCGAGGAAGCTCAATCGGTCGCGTGCTCTCGTCTTCTTCCTCTCTTCCCCCGAGAAGACACCCCCCTTCACAGTAGCCAGTAGAGAATCGCCATCGGGCTTTGAATCGTCCCCGCCCTTGCCGATGCCTGTCTGAGACCTCCCGAGCTGGCTGACTGGCTGGGTACCCTAACCATATTTTGCCACCCCGTCGGCTGTCGGATTTGCGGGAGGGAGATCCAGGGGATGCTCTGCTCCTGTCTCGGCCCTGGCTGGCCATTGAGAAAAGCGCTTCCCGAGCTACCGTGAAAATAAGCGAACAATCCAGAGCCCCAAACCGGACGTACCAAAGCCGTTCAGGAAAACGGAAAGAGGAAAAGCAACGAAAAGAAAAGACAATAAAAATAAAGAAAAGGACGAAAAGAGCGGAGACAACGAAGAGAACAACACAGACTCAGCCCAGCCACGGTTCGTTGGGCCGCACTCCTCCACTTCCTGCACCAGCAACAGGGCCCCCAAAATCAAACCGGGGCATCTCGATCCTCGGCGGCGCCACAGCCTCACCACCCCCGTTCCCGTTAGCAGCGGTCTTCTTCACCGGACTCTGGCCCCTCGATTTGGCCCCTCCTTCCGGTGGCGGGGGTCCATAGCGCACATCCCTGACACACCATCCATCCTCGACCCCAGCAGCCACCCACCGTCTCAAGCCGTCATGCACGCCGCCGTAAAACTTCTCCTTGCACAACCGCAAGCTGCCGCCAAGACAACGCTCCCAGCCGGAGATGCGCAGATCAGCGCGGAGGGCGTTGCGCTCGGCCGCGGTGGGACCAGTGCAGGCCAGGATGGCATTGAGCAGGTCGAGGTGCGAAGCCAGGTAGTTGGTGGCGTCCCATTCGACGCCGCCGACGTAAGGGGCCGCAGGGACGGGGGGCCGCTCTTGCGGGAAGTGCCGGGTCATGTAGGTGAAGGAGTCGGAGTCGGCGGTTGAAGGTGTCGTCGTGGAGCCTGAGGTGGCAGGGGTGGTGGTACCGTCGGTCTTGATGTTGTTGATATTGTTGTTATCCGCCGGCAAAGCAACAATGTTCAAATTGTGCAAAAAGATCCAAAACACCTCTTTGGTCACGTTGACCACCTCCTTACACCACACACGATACGGGCGATCGCGCCTCATCTCCAGCACAAAATCCACCGGCCGATCCTCCTCCTTGGGCTCGGGGTCCCTCAGGAACCCGAGCACGGCCTTGGCACGCGCTACCCGCTCTAGGGGCGTGGCACACTCGATGTAGGTCAAAAGCAGTGAGGTGATAATGCCGCGGGTGGTGAACTCGCTAGGGCCTTTCTTCTCCGGGTCGAAGATCATGTGCAGCAGGGCTGGGAAGAGGGTGGTGTGGATGGAGTGTAGGTATTGAAGAGCCATGTCGGTCGTGCAGAGCGCCTTGAGACAGAGCAGGGTCTCGTGCAGCAGGGCGTCCTCGTGTTCCTCTCTGTGGTGACGGTCAGCGTCGACGAAACAAGAAAAAAAAGATAAAGTAACCGAAGAAAGGTAGAGGAAAGAAACAAGACATACCTCCACTCAACAGCCATGATCCGATGCAACAACTCAACCATCTCCTCCATCCCGCCGAGCCTGATAAACTCCTCGGTCCACGCCACCGTCTCATTCCGCAGCAACAGCCTCAATTTATGCAGCTTCCCAACCTCCACCAACTCCGGTCGCTGCACCTTTTGCAGATACGCGACAAAATCTCCTGGCAACTGCTGGCCCTTCACCTTAGCCAGAAAACTGCTACCATACCCCGAAGGGAAGGGAGAAGAAGGGGCTATGGTACCATCACCGTTGCTGACCAGGCTCTCCGTGGACTTGGAACGAAAGTGTCGGCCGAGACTGGTAGTGTGGCCGTCATTGTTCTTCTGCTTCTTCGTCGGAGACGATGGCGTACCGTTGGATTTGTTGCTGCCGCGGACAATCGTGAGGCTGAGACCACGGCCGTGTTTTTTCTTGTCCTTCTTGGGGGCCGCGGTGTCACCTTGCTCGTCCTGCTGCTGTGCCTGCTGTTGATCGAAGCCATTGACCGCTCCATTTCCATTCCCGTTCGCAGCCACACGGCCATTCCCACTCCCCATTGCACTCCCTGAGCCAGATCGTCTACCCGCAGCTCCCAATTGCATGTGCCCGTCGTGCGACGACGGCCGCTCTCCCGCACTGCGGCCCATCATCTTGGCCTGCATCTCGGCCCAGTCCTGGCGGATAAACTCCATCTTGATGGTATCGCTCAAGTTGCGCATCTTGTACCGCTGGTTCTCAGGGATGTTGCGGCGGTCCAACATCGCCTCGAGGTGCTTGTCGATGTCCTTGGGGTCAATCACAGGCAGCTGAATCGCTTGTTGCGCGGGTGTCTGAGACAGATCACCGCCAGGACCCTCTGCTGGTGTCATAGCCGACACCCCGCGTGATCCAATCCCAGGCCTCGACGCAGCATTGGCAGACCCATTCGCCGCCGTTGACGACGAGTTCCCCTTACCCCAGGTCAACCGCTTCGCCCGGTTGCTGCTGCTGTTGTTGCTGTTGCTCTCTCTACCCCCTCCAACTCCAACTCCGCTACCCGCAGTCTTACTGCTATCATCACTACGCTTCCGCATGATATACGGCTGGAACGACTTTGGCCGCGGCTTCTTGCGAAACGAGGAGTCTGGCCCGGACGATGTCGGCCCAGATGCGGCAGCGGCAGCGGCAGCAGCAGCCCTGTCTGCCGCAGCAACGGCCGCGGCGACCATCCCTGTGCCGCTTCCTATCGGTAAATCAACAGACGACCCGTGTCGTGGGAAGTGTTGCGAGGAAAACTGCGCGTAGATGGGCGTGGGCGGGTACCCTGGCATAGCTCCTCCAGCTGCTGCTACTGCCCCAGCACTAGCAGGAGTAGTAGGAACACCAGAAGAGTCGCTGGGCGACCTATTCTCCTTATCCTTGTCCTTCTCTTTATCCTTACTATCATCCGTGAGCAACTGCTTCAGATTCTTCATCGATTTCGGCCGCAGCAGCGAAGCCAAGTTAGTCGCTGACTTGGCCTTCTTCGGCTTGGTCGGCGAATTGTCGCGCGTCTTGGGCGGCTTGCTCGTGTCCCGGTCGCCACGACCAAACGGGCGCAGCGAGATGGTCGAGAACCCGCCTGTCTTGGTCGGTGAAGATGGTGGTGGGAGCGCGGCTTGTTGGAGATGCGAACCGGCCCGCTCGCGGCGGCCCCGTCGTTCGGGTGACCGGTCGTTGCTGTTGATATTGTGATGTTTCCGGTTCTGCTGCAGCTCGCCCAGCGCGTGGGCGTATCGTTGTGGCTCCATGGCCGCGGCGGCTGCGGCGTCGAAGCCGACGTGGAAGACACCGCCGTTGCTGTGGCTGCTGCTACTGTCCCGGTTGCTATTACCGTGGGCGAGGTTCTGCTGGGACATGTGGAAGGCGGGGGTTGCCATGATCGGGGAGATGAGCGGTGCGGCGGGGAGGGCCGTGCCGTCGGAATTGTTTCGTTTATGCCCACCGCCGCCGACGAGGGACCGTAGGACGGAGGACTTGGACTTGGATCGCTGTCGGGATTCGATGATTGGCGCAGGGGCTAGGAGCGGGAAGCCGTTCTGCTGCTGCTGCTGTTGCTGCATTGCGTTGAACCCGGCCATTGTTGGGTTTGTTCGTTTGCTCCTTTTTTGCTAGGTCTATGCGTGTTTCCGTGGTGGGTGCGAGACAATTGCTGCACCTGACCGACAACTCGAAACGTTGGGGGGGTCTTGGTCTCGGAAAACCGTTCAATTGCCGTCTTTCTTCACCTTGCGTGCTTGGGGGTCGCTTGAGGAAATGCAAATGCCAGTGCCAATGCGAACACGCCGATGCAAATGCTAGAAACGAACAAGAATAAAGGGAAAACGAGTCGAAAATGGAGAATGGAAAGACAAAAAGTCGGACACTAGAAAAGATGCGGGCGTCGAAGGTGGAAATACACCTGGTGGTGAGAATGAAGCGAAGAAGCAGTCGCCGACGCTATGCCATCGCCATTCAAGCCGTGCAAAAAGATCTCAGCGGCATGCCCCCAGAAGACCCAAGAGGCCGTCCGGTGGAAAAACGTTATATGAACGAAAAAAGGGGGCGTCTGTTCTCTTCGTTTCGTGCTCTTCTTTTCTTCAAGAAATCGGTTTTGGATCGGTGGCGAAGAAAAGGAAGGGAGGGGAGGGGGATCAATCATTCCATCCCAAGTTTGGGCGCGATTTGGCCTTCTTCCGAGTGAGACCCTGCATTGGGTTGCGGGCTTGTCCGGTTGTTTACAAGGGGGTCATCCCGGTTGCCGGGCAACTAACGCACCCCCGACCGTTGTCCCACGGTCCCCGCTACACCCGCTGCTGGCGAATTCCCATTACGGGAATAAGAAGTGCCCCGCACACTCAGCACATCAACCCCACTTCCCCGCGTCACTTTTGACAGAGCTGAGAAGCGGTCAAGAAATTCTTTTGGGGGAGGCATCCCGCGTCCTCACTTCCACGTACGGACAAGACGGAGTGCGCAAAAAGCAATTGTCCGCGCGTTCTGCAAGGCGCTGCGGCGCCTGGGCAACGGGAATCGAGGGTGATCTGTCTCGGGATCCTGAGATTCTGTTACATCGTGGAATTGGGCACGTGGGAGACGTTTTTGTGGTTGTTTTTTGACACTATTTTTATATTATTTATTTTCTATTTTGCTAAAATCACTTCAACATGGTCCTCGTCAACTTATGAGCAGATCTCACCAACTCAACAGCCCCCTTTCCCTGTCAAACCCGCCCCGCAATTGGGTATCTGGCTTGACGACCTTCCCCTGCAGCACCGTAAACTTCACAATACCCTCGCAATCCTCCGGCCGGACCCTGGCGAGCCAGATGCACTGCGCTGCTCCAACCTCCCCATCCCCTTCCTCTTCTTGACTTTCCCCTGTCTCCTTATTGTCTTCTTCTTTATCCTTGTTTTCTCTCCCTTTCTCTTCCCCATCGGCCTCCTTTGCCTCCCCCTTCCGATACACCATCACATTCGCACTATACTTGTGCCCGCCCACATGGCTAATAAAATAAATCCCCACCCCACCCGGCCGCTCATCGTCCAAGTCCCGATATAGCCCCAGTGGCTGCAGATGCCGCTGAAACTCTTTCCGCAGCAGTGGCGCCGACTGCCCACAGCGCGCATCGCGGGTCTTTTGGCTGCACAGCAGGATCAGTGCCTTGTGCGGACAAGGGCGCGTCGTCAGGTCCTTGATAGCTGCGGGTGTGCCTTCGGGTAGCGGGGCGGGTAACGAGCGCGGGAGGGAGAAAGGCGCGAGAGGGGTGGTGTTGGTTGGCGCGTGGGAGACGATGGAGGTGAGTAGGGTTGGGACGGTCGCTGGTGTGACGTTTTCGATGATGGTGAAGGCTGGGAGGAGGAGGACGGTGGTCGGTTCGGAGTAGGAGGTTGTCTGGTGCGGCGTGGGGATGTTGGAGGCCGAGAGCATGAGGCGCTGGAGTTATATTGTAAGTCATGGGTCCCGGCTTTTCTTAGGAGGCTAGAGAGGGAAGCTAGAAAAGAGAGGGGTTGAAAGGCGGATACACACTCCATTCGTAGGTGCCTTGGCGGCACCAATCGCCTGCATGACACTCCCCTTCTCATCGGTGACATCGCGCACCCAGTCGGACTTGCCCGTGGCTACCAGCAGATGGGTGCTCCAGCCCTTGACAAAGCCGTACAGCTCGTCCGACTCATCAATCTTGAAGCCGCGCGGGTACTTGACCGAGCAGCTGTCGCAGTCACGGTCGCAGTCCTCACCGTCGACCGCCTTGTCCACGACGGGGAACAGGTCCTGCAAGCCCGCCTTGCTGCCCGAGTTGCCGATGGCCAACGCCTTGGCGCTGTTGATCAGTGATTTGAAGGTCCCCGCCATTGTATCTTGCCTCTAGCGTCCTTTGTCCGTCTGAATAAGTTGGGCTTTATCGGTGGTGTTTAGCCCGTCGTGGGCGCGTGGGATCTTGGAGCCTGCTTTAGGCTGCTGTGGGCTTGTTGTCTGAAGAATGACAATTTGGAAACCCGCTTCGAGGCAAACAGGCGGGATAGTAGGACCCTTAAAGAAGGAATCCCCAACCGCTCATCATCCGTGCGTGTTGAAATGCGCGAATGACCGCGTCGGTGACTTTGGTCGGAGGTAACGGAAGACATCTGGTGGAGCCGGGGAGATATCTGCACCTGAGCGGGCCATATCCCTGCAGGTGTTTGAGCTGCTTGAGCTGCCCCGAGCTAGAATCACACCCCAACAGGAATCAACCAAACAATACGACACAATGAGGAATACTGATAATTGAAGAAACCAACCCAGCCAATGGAAATAGAATAGTAGTATTTTCCTGAGAAAAAGTACCCGAAATAGAGAAACCTCACTCCTTCTCAGTCACTGACGCGGCCAACGGCCCCTCAAAAAAACAAACCCCCTGGTCTTGAAGCCGATGCACACCGTAACTCCGGCCGTTGACAGCATGCGGCCCCGCCCCCACCTTCCCAACACAGGAGAGAGTTGATCAGACAGGCAAGACAAGCAACATGACCAACTCATCGTCTTAGACAACAACCTCGTAACGCCGAGCAAAAGAGATTGAACGGGGCCTTCCCTTCCCACCCTTTCGAGGGAGTTAATCTTAAAACTTACCCTTTGGGGAAGACTGCATCCTCCGGACTGAGCAGGAGAAATCTGCTGACGGAAGCTGGCGCAGGCATTGCGTAATCATTGCTTATCAGATCATCAGACAAGTCCTGCGTAATTTTCCGTTGCGTGTTACTTTCCTGTCTTGGCTAAACTCGCGCTCTGCACTTCGTTTTTCTGCGTAGTATTCATTCTTTTGTGTACGTACTCTTCCACTCAAATGAAAGGATGGGCTGGAAATTCTACCATCCTCTAGACGCATGTATGTACCATGCTTGCGTAGATGCACAGGAATACAAGCCATAGACAGGTAAAATCCTCGCGATTCCGTCTGGAGTTCAATACACATTCATTGTTTTCCCCATGAACGGCTCTACTCATTCATTAGCTTGACGACGCCGGGCTGAGCAAGTCCGTCTAGCTCCGGGGCCGTTACGCCCTCCTTACCGTGTCTGTGTAATGGGTCGACCGTAAGGTATTCGAACCAAGTCTCCCCTCCAATACATGGGCGAAGATTTCCCGAAGTCGAATAACATAACAGAGTTAAATTCATGCCAACGCTACCTCCAAGTTTTAGTCCAAAAAATAGAAGAGCCAACGGCCTGAACACCTCTTTCATTACCCTTGTCCTCATCAGCTTGCTTCCCCTTCCTTCCGATCCTCTTCCACAATCATACCACCTGCACACCATCACCACCCCTTCCAGACCTGAAAAAGACGACCGACCACACCCTACTGAGCCTTCCGTGCCTCCTCATAATCGGCCAGCCCGCTCTCCACACTCTCCACCCCATCTTCATCATCGTCATGGGCCCCATTGCCATCCTCATCCTCACTCCCACTGCTCAAGCCATCCTCATCCCCCAACAACACCTGGGACCGTTTCCTCCCGTGCTGTTGTTGCTGCCTCCGCTGCCGCAGCTCGCCACGTTCGCGCATCGCCTCACGGATCTTCTTGTTCGCCTGGTCGAAACCTTCTTTACTATCCAGCGTAGTAAACCCGCTGATGGGGAACCCGGCTCCGGGTCCGACAGACCCCGTGAGCCCACCGCCCGCACTGCTGCTCCGGCTACGGTTGCGGCTAGGCGGGCGTGTGGCAAAGATGGGCACTTGGCCGATATTGTTGAACGACTCGTTGCGCGGGATCGCGCGGCTCGACTGTGTGGTGCTGCGTCGCGAGATGGATGGGCTGTGGGGTCCCGGAGATGACGCGCCGCTCTGGCTGCGCGAGTGGGCTGGCGAGCTGGGTCCCGAGCCGCTGCCGCCGTGGCCGCTGCCGCCTGTGTTGTGTAGGAAGGCGTTGGAGATGTCCGTGGAAGCACCGCGGGCGAACGAATCAAAGACGAGCCGGGTGTGTTCGAAATCGGGGAACATCTCCGGGCCAATCTCATTGATGATATTGGTGACCTGGGCGCTGAGCTCCACGCGTCGCTCCCGGAGCTGGCTGATGCTATAGCTGGAAGACGGGTTGATGCACAACGCTAAGGGCCGCAGCGACTTGAGTATGTCCATGCCGACTTCGCCGAATCGTAACGCGGCGAACGTAATCGCTGGGAAGACAATCCAGCCCGCCCAGAACACCGACCACAGGGACACCCACTCCGGCACGCGACCGCCAAGCCGATCCTTGTAAACCAGGTACATGGTGAGGAAGGTGTAGGTGCCGTAGAGGATCGGTGCGAGAGCGAGAGACACCAGCAGTTTCCACGTCGCCATGACATCCTTGCCCTGGATTTTGACCGAAGACCCGGCCAGTGCTGTCTTAGCCTTTTGGTGGCTGATGTACTTGGTGGCGATGAAAATAGGCGCGAAGAGGATGAGGCCAGGTAGAACGCCCGCGGAGAGGACGATAAGCTTGAGGATCCGGTAGATGAAGGTAAACACGACAATGGGCCACGACATCTTGCCATACTCGACCTGGTGATCACGGATATTGAGATACCTCAACGTCCTGTTGTACTCGGTGACCGATTTCCTAAGGCTGACAATGCGTGGGTCTTCCTTGTACTTCTCGTACCCCATCGCCAGCCGACGGTTCAACTCGACAACCACAGGCAAAGGAAGCTTCTTTCCAGTAGGGTTGTACAACCTCCGCGCGGCTTGAATCACCATTAGCGTGTCGTAGTCGGGCGTCGAAACAGTTACGGCGCTCAGAGACGAATGAACCATGTCCAGAAGCTGGCCGATCGCGTCTCGCCTCCTATTGCTCTTGTACATCTCAACTAGCTTCGCAGGAACCTCAAACGGAGGCCCAAATTCGACGACGGCCCGTGAGCGGAACTTGTGGGCGTGGAAGTAGTTCATGCCCACGGGAACAATTCGAAGACCGCAGTCGGGAGACTCGGCAAGGGTTCCTAGCGCCATAATAGCCACACCGGCCTTCAGAGGCAGGAGTTCAGTGCGGTCATGGCTGCCACCCTCTGGGAAGATGCCGACACAGCCGCCCGACTTGAGACGGTCAAACACCGCTTGGTAGACCTTTGACTGGTCAATGTGCGGAGCTACCTTGTATTTGGTCCCTTGGTATCCCGGCTTTGGCCCATCCTGGTCCACGTTTCTGAGGTTTCCGTTCTCATCAATATCGTCTCGAGCGGTAAGCTGGCTGACTCCGAGCTTGCCCTTGACGGCACGCTTGATACGGATCTCTTCGGGCCCGAGGATATCCGCAATATCAACACTCGCACCGCTCTGGCCCTTGGCAGACGGCAAAAAGAGCATGCCGCCCACCTCGGCCTGTTTCTCAAAGTCTGTGCCAATTCCACGGATAAGGGTCGGGTCGTTAATAGGGTCGGGGAGGTAAATGGTTCCTTTTCCGGGCTTGGCCGAGTCTTGTGCGCGGCCGACAGGAACGGAACCGACCTGGCGAGAGGCCCACCCGATAAAACCATGCACCGACTTTTGTGCGATCAGGAGCGAGACGCGGCGTTTGGCTTCCATCTTGAGTGTTCGTTGAAGGATCAAGGCGTCGACGAACTGCAGAATTACAACGCCGTTAGTTAGGAGCTGTAGAAAGAGTAGGGTGACATTGACGTACCTGGTTTGCGTGAGGGGCAGCAACAAAGAGGACAGGTCCATGCCTGGGCACTTTCCATGCTCCACGAGGGTGAACTTCCCGAAAGAAAAAGTCCACCAGCACAGACATGGTCCACAAGAAGCCGTCATATTTCCAGTTGCTCATTGGGTAGAGCTCTTTCGTCTTGTTGGGGGGGGTTGAGGAGGTTGCGCCCTGTTGGGCGGTCCTCGGCGCCTCTGAAGACATGGCGATGATGCGACCGGAAAGCACAGACGCCCTGGGTGTGTGAAAAAGGCGGAGGCCGCTGATATCCCTTCTATCGGGAGCTTAGTCCGGCCCAAGAAATTGTATTAGAAGGGCAACACGCCGGAGAGCTCGGGCTCGTGTGCTACCGGGTTGTCTCGTGATGCTCGTCTAATGCGTCGGTCGTATTAGGTCATCCGGGGGGGGGGGCTCCAGAGAATGTCCCACAAGCGAGTCCTGTTTGTGGTTCTGGTCGAAGGAGAGGCAGGCTCTCTCAATTTTCTCGTCCTCGTCCGTCGAGCTGTTGGCGTGGCTAATCGATCAGTGGCTCGCGCAGCCGAAGTCTCAATTTTGCGGTCGGATGGTTCGTGTCAAGGCAAGTTCGCGCAAGAGCCACAGGTGAAACCTTTCGCGGGGCAGGGGATGGTCGCAATGGCCCGAAAAACAAGTTTGAGTGGTAGTTGAAAGGGACGGCGTGCGATAATGATAAATTAGATCAAAATGGCTGGACCGTCTGGGGTATCAAGCAAAGACATGAGGAAGAAAAACCAAGCGGTTGAAGGCGTTGATGACGGGGTAAGAAAGAGGAAGAGGGAAAAAACGAGCTGAAGTCTCGACAACAATGCGACATTGGAAGACCAGAAACCCGGACCCATCCATTACCGAATGGAGTGTTACAAAAAAAGCAGATGTGGGCCACAACGATGTCATCCCCACCACATGGGGCCCAAGCTCCCCCTAGTTTCTGATAGAGCCGTTGGTCCGGGCTTCCATGAATCTCTCACAGTTGCACAGAAACGGCCGGCACGTTGCGAACCCCAGGAAGCCACAGTGGGCATTTGACACTCGGGAGCCCGCCCAGCGAGTTTCCATTGGCGGATGCCCCCACAGCAGCGCCTGGCTGCGAACCTTTTTTCTCAAAATCCATGGGGTCCAATCCGCTGCTGAGCTGCCCGCCTGCTGCTGCATTGCATTCGATCATTCGCATGCCCTGAGGCAAGGAACGCAGGAAACGTCAGAGGGACAATGAAGAGGCGAATGGTAACCTGACCGTGGTGGCTGCGCCTGGCCAGGAGCGGAAAGGCGCATCTGCAGGTTTTCCCAACAATTCGCCATCGCCCCCAAGACGTTTGAAAAGGAGATCGATTTTTGACACTCGAGAACATCGAAAATTTCGGACACCGAGTTCCCTTGCTTCGAAAGTTCCATGGACCGTTGGCCGCCAACCTCGGAGGCCCCTCTTTGTCAAACTCGGTTGGCCCTCTTGGCCTGCTTTGGTCGGGCCGGAGATGCCCAGTAAATTTAACGGCAGCACCCATCCCCAATTTTTCAACGGCGTGCTCCTATGTATGCACGAATATAGATGGATGTCACACAAGATACCGCCTCCCCAACACTTTCTACACGTGTACTTACCGGAACTCCCATGATACATCTCGCGGCTGTGAAATATCGGAACCAGGCTTTCTTTCCACTAGTATGTGCGCTCTCTGCAACATCGAATCCGTTCTTCCGGACATACCGCCTCTCAACCGCCTCCAAGTCCTCGGTCGGTCGGTCTCGCCGTGAACCACGGCTTCCCGTTGCTGGCCCTGGATGTAGTTGAGCTTTGTCTGGTCGCGTTCATTCCATCGTGGGTCGTGTCACCCTATCATCCCCACCAAGCCTCCAGGGTCTATACCCTGTTTAGCGAGATTGGTAGCGAAACCCCCTGTCTTTTAGCATGTGATAGAGCATCATCCGCTTGTCGAAACCCACGATGTTCTTGTGTTGTCTGTCAACAAACAAAACTCGGCACACAAATTCTGAGTTGTTTGGCCAAGTTGGATATCTCCCTCGGTCTTCCCACCAAATATAACCGGAACCTCACTTCTTTCTTCCCTTTCCCTTCCTCTTTCCCCCACCACTCCCGCTCCCCTCCGGAACAGCCACGGTCCCGTCCTCTAATTCCCCCTGTTGCACCATCCCTTCCTTTTCCATCTCCTTCAACTTCTCCTGCCCACTAATGAACATAGTCAGATCTCGATTCATCTCTTTGAGCTCCTCGTTCTCTGCCCGCAACTGCTCTACCGCACGTCCCGCTCCGGCCGACTCGCCCTGGATATGCTCGATGCGTTTCATGAGACCAGCGCTGACTTCTTTTTCCTCCCGCAACGCTTTGCCCATGTTCCGCGCCAGCTCGCTTGACTTGGTGGCGCGGGCCTTTTCCTTGGCGAGCTCACGCTCTAACGAGGGTATTGTTTGATCACGCAGGATGTGATGCTCTTCGCGGAGCGTTGCAAGCTGTTGTAATGCTTCGCTTGCTTGTACGGAGGCTGACTCGGCGGCTGCGGAGGCCTTAGCCGCCTTGTCTGCAGCCTTGTTGACCATTTCTTCGAAATACACCCGCTGGCTCTCAAGCTGGCTGGTGAGGAGATGTGTGTACTCGAGACCAATGGTGTCAAGTTTGGCCCGGGGTACCACATCTTCCTGAAGAGGGTTACCGCCATTCCCTCTACCGCCGGACCCGGGGGGTTGTCGGTCATTGATATCATTTCGCGGCAGCTCAACCACTTTTCCGTCGCCCTTGTCGCGGATCAACCGGTGCACCCACATATCGCCTGCATAATCCCACACATGCTGCGTCTGGAGCTCCAGGCTGAAGCTATGTGCTGTCCGCTTCCAGTGCTCCTTCGCGTGTCCGCCGTTGTAGCGCCCGCAGCCGACGTTCCCGCAGATGAGGCAGATCCACAAATCGTCGGTGCAGTTGCAGTTGGCGCAGATGTTAGACACACCCGATCCAAAGGGCTGCGAGTATGGGTTGTCACGGTCGTATTCCTCCGCTGGTTTGGGGTTCGTCGCCCGGCAGACGGGACACCCCGAGCCTTTCCATGTTTGGAGACAAGTGCAGTGGAAGACATGTTGGCATATATTCGTCATTAGGCCGGCAGTGTCATCCATGCGTTCGAGGCAAACAGCGCAGGTAGGGAGTTCGGTGAGGTCTGGTGTTGGTGGTGGGAATGGCTTTAGGTGAGTGGCCAGGGGCGATGCTGGCGAGAAGTATTCGTTGTTCGCTTCCGAATGCTTTCTTTGGCCGCCGCTATGGTTCGGGGTGTCAACGATAATCGACTTGATGAAGGTGACATGGCAGATCTCGGTCTATTCGCATAGCTAGTTAGATCCCCGATGCTTCTTGAGAAAATCACAGATTCCGTAAAGCTCACCTCGATACTGTCAAACGGCTTCCCGTCAAACTCTTTCCGCCACACTTTCGCGTTCCTACTATCTCGAAACTTCATCAGAACCATATACCGGCTCATTCGGCTAGTCATCACCATCCGGTAATGGCTGACATATCCCCGCCACCTCTCCCCGACAAACCCCAAGAAGTCACTCGGGGACATGTAGCTAGGTACAGCCGGGATACACAGGATAGTCCCATCTTCGTCGCCCCCAACGCCTGTGTCCACCTCTTTACCGTGTCCCTCGTCAGTTACCCCTTCATGTAACCCTTGCTGATCCGCCTTCATATCAGCCGACTCCTCGCCTTCCCGGTAGAGGTGCACCACCCCCCACCCGGCCTCGGTATTCTTCGTTTCGAGAGGGGCATACCGCGCTTTTGTCGCGAGACCCATACCGCCCAAATTTGGCCCCAAACTCGCGGCTGGTGTGGCCATGGCCGCCCCATGAACATTATTTTCCCCAACCATGTTCGCCGGATTATTATTATTATCGTTCCTATTTTTATTCCCCTCCTCTAGGTCGTAACTTTCCAACCTCACTCTCCCAAACCTCCAATCACGGACCGCCTGATCCGGTCCAATCCCGTCCGTCTCAGAGCCTGGCGGAGGTGATGACGATGATCGACGAAGAGATCGTGGTTGCCCGTTATTCGGCCGAATTGCATATGCTTGCCGGTCCTCCTCCTCCTCCTCCTCGGCAACTACCCTCGTATCTTTGTGCCTCCTGCCGCGTCGAGAACCGCAGTCGATAACCCTCGAGTTCGCGGCCGCAGCAGCGGCAGCTGTGGCAGCGTACGTCTTCGGTCGACCGTCCGTGTCGTGGTATTCGTTGTCTCCGTATTTGTTGTGTGCGCCGTCCCGGTCTGGGCCGTGTTGTCGGCCCTGAGTCTGATCCGCAGACGAAGATCCGTCGAGGTTCTTCCACTGCTTCCACCCACGCGGAATCGGTCGGGCCGCGGCGTGCGGCTTATGCGGGTGGGATGGTAACTCGTCAAAGATGCTCGCGCCGGGGGTAGGCCTCCAAATCTCGCGGTCGTGGTCGCGGTCGCGGTCGGCGTCGGAGTCGAGAGTAGAAGTGGGGGGGGGGTTGAAGCGGGACAAAATGCTCTCTCCCGCGTTCGTTTTCTCGGTTCCGTTCGCAGCCGCCGGGTTGGGCGTTGGGTACAGTTCGAATTTGATGTGGTAGTAGTATGGCGGCATAGCAGCGAGATGGGCTGTTACCGCGTAAGAGTAAGCCGGGCGCGGGTAATCTGGGGTAGATGTCGGACGTGGATGGTTTCAGTCAAGATACTGTAGGGGTTGGGCGGGGGGTCAAAGTTCGCACCGTAGAATATTAGTTAGGAATGGGAAATCAGGGTGGCAATACACGTGTTAATGCTAGAATCTTCCAGGACCTCATCATCAGCCGTATTGTGGACGAAATACTGCGTCGTGCACCTCCCCCAACGTTTCGAAGAATCCCGCGGCTTCAGGTGTTGAAGCTGCTGCAGTGCATTTCTGCAGATGCGGCACGCGCCTGCTTCCGCACGTGGAGCCGAGTGGAACCGCACCATGCATGACGCAGGCAAGCAAGTACGTACTAGAATCACAACACACGCAGGGACAAAACTGAAATTTGACTCCAATCAAGTCAATTCATCATCGGTATCTCAATGGTACCGTGCGATTATGCTATTATAAAACCAGAACCCATATGGCACCCTTTGGTTGGCCATCCCGAAGCTGCTAAAACAGCGCTATTCCCAGCCCCCGCTTACTGACCGCCACGAAGGCGGAGCACCAAGTGGAGGGTGCTCTCCTTCTGGATGTTGTAGTCGGACAAAGTCCGACCATCCTCCAATTGCTTGCCCGCAAAGATCAAACGCTGCTGGTCTGGGGGAATGCCCTCCTTGTCTTGAATCTTCGACTTGACGTTGTCGATCGTATCCGAAGACTCCACCTCCAGAGTAATCGTCTTTCCCGTAAGGGTCTTGACGAAGATCTGCATACCACCGCGAAGACGAAGCACCAAGTGCAAGGTGCTCTCCTTCTGAATGTTGTAATCGGACAAAGTCCGACCATCCTCCAACTGCTTGCCCGCGAAGATCAACCGCTGCTGGTCAGGTGGGATACCTTCCTTGTCTTGAATTTTCGACTTCACGTTGTCGATTGTGTCCGACGATTCGACCTCCAACGTGATGGTTTTGCCCGTGAGAGTCTTGACGAAGATTTGCATACCTCCACGGAGGCGGAGAACCAAGTGCAGAGTGGACTCTTTTTGGATGTTGTAATCCGAAAGAGTACGACCATCCTCGAGCTGCTTGCCAGCGAAAATCAGGCGCTGCTGGTCAGGAGGAATACCCTCCTTGTCTTGGATCTTCGACTTTACGTTGTCGATGGTATCCGACGACTCCACCTCGAGGGTGATCGTCTTGCCAGTCAGGGTCTTGACGAAGATCTGCATACCGCCACGGAGGCGAAGGACAAGGTGGAGCGTCGACTCCTTCTGGATGTTGTAGTCGCTAAGGGTGCGACCATCCTCAAGTTGTTTGCCGGCGAAGATCAAGCGTTGCTGGTCGGGCGGGATGCCTTCCTTGTCCTGAATCTTCGACTTTACATTGTCGATGGTATCGGAGGACTCCACCTCGAGGGTGATGGTCTTGCCAGTCACTAGTAACTCTAGTTAGTATCGCGTTCCTTTGCAGCGAATCCTGCAGCGACTGAATCGGGCGAGCGAGGCTACTCACGAGTCTTGACGAAGATCTGCATCTTGTCGTTGGTATCAAGTGTTGATTTGTGCTGGAAGGGTTCTTGCTTGAATGATGCCTCGGTGATGGCAGTGTTTCAGGAAAACAGTAGGTGTTGGGGAGAAGAAAGTTGGAGGCGGGAGGAGGCAGTTGGGAAAGGTTAAATAGGTGTTGGGCAAGCAAGGAGGCAAGGCGGCGAGCCACAGGCTGCCGCTGCGGGCGGGGCTGTGAGTGAGCCAGGAAGGTGCGACAACCGCTGGGTGGTCAATGCGCGGGCAACAGAAGTGGAGCGAACCGCCCAGAACAAGCCAGTCATGGCGGGGCAAAGGGAACAGCCTCGCTGGGACCTTTCTTGCCACAGCGTGGAAAGTGATGTGAATCAGCAGTGGCGGCTTTTTCGACTACCTCTCAATGGCCAAAAGTCGCTTTTCTCTTTCAGTCTATTCTTTTTGATATCTAATGAGTTCCCTCACATCCTTTGTGCTTCGAAACGCTCACTTTCCATCCCCGAAACCCAACACCACTGGAACCGCGTTGGCCCTTGCGCAAACAACACTCAGCTCCGCCCCCGCATTTTCTTGATAAGCCAGCCCGGCGAGGCCGGTGACGTGGTCAGCAAGCGAAGGTTGCAAATCCGGCCAGGCCATCGTGGAAGGTGCCACCCTTCGGGTGCGGTCGGACGGCCAGAGGGGTGGCCTCGAGGAGTCTCGAGGAAATCCGACTTCTTTTTCATGCGTACGCAGGAGGTACTTGTAGTTGGCATTAAGAGGGCGATTTCGCCGCGTCTCAACCAACCATTTTGGTAGCCACGTCCCAGTCACATGAAATGAAACAAAGCCCAGACGATACACATATGTTTGCCCCTAGTGCCCCTCTTCCCCTCTGTACACAGGGACACTGAGTTCAGCATTGGCGCTTCTCGTCCGTCTTGTTCGCTCATTTCCTCTTATCGCGGCCCCAAGACCGCGACTCTCCTACTCCCACCCCTGACCGCCTCTATCAATTGCCAGCCCCCTTCTTCCGCCCACGACGACCATGCCGAAACTTCCGTTACGACCATGACATTGGAGAAATGCCTTGGAAAAGGCCCCCGTAAGTTTTCTCCGGCCTGATGCATCGAATCCGGAGCGAAGTCGCAGTTTCGTGACAAATCGCGCCGTCTCGCGAAGGGAGGGCGCCAAACAGGAACGGGTCATCTGATCGACGTCATCGTCCGCAGCCCGTTGCATAGCTCCACAGCCATCCGTCCGCCCCTGTCCATCTCAACCGGTCTTGGTTCCTGAACACCCCGTTGGGTCTCGCCAGGACGTTAACCGAGGAGGGAGGATTTCATGGCCTTCGACGCAAATAAATAACATCTAGTTGGCGAAAGGCTTTGGTCTAATTATTTGGCCGGAGGCAAACCCCTTGACTCATGTTGTTTTGAGGACTAGAAAATACCCATACGTTAGTTAACCTTTGTCTTCACCATGCACTGTAAACTGCGCCTTCCAACGTAGCCACATGAAGTTGCCCAAGTACGCGACGTGTTGTCCTGCTATCCAGCCACAATCGACTGAGCCCCGTTGCGTTGAATAATCTCCCATGACACATCTCACACTACCCAAGAATATTTTTCAGCAAATAAATGAATTTGTTAAACACTTGATAAGCATCAAGTTCGTAAATTTACCAAGCTAAATAAATATCTTCACCGCCAGCTCATTTGGGAAAGTGAGAAGTCAGATTATACGAACAGGTGGTGCGGTTGAATTGCCGCAACCCCTGCCACTCACGCATGAGATCTCGGGAAAAGAATCATGCTTCAACCCCAACATTTTGAGATCTGATTTTTATGAGGGTTAGTTAGTTAGCACATTGTCTATCCAGCCAACCTCAAGTCGCTCTCGTCAAAAAGGCATAAGGCGGGATGTCAAGGCCTAAACAACAGGTCATTACATGTCTTGGGCGAGTATCGGACTCTAAAGACGGGAGTACTCAGGCCTTTTACCTAAATATCAACACAATTCAAAACATATACAACAAAACAGGACAAACCGACCTGAACATGAAGTCGGGATGGTCAGCAGATTTGTCCCCCACCATCTGGACTTTTGATTGAAGTTGGTATCGCATTGGAGTCGCATCACGAAGTGAGCAGCAACATGCAAGAGGCCCAGAATCAAGTCAACAACAGTGTAATGTAAGATTCGCTCTGCCATGCCCTAAATAGTCTCATGTTCCTCGACCTTACTTTCACCACCAATGCCTCTCTCCCAAAACCCACAAAAAAACCGATAATTCTCCCCTAAATCCCCTTGATCGCCGCCAAAACTGATGGGGCGTAAACCCTTTAGGTTCTTTCTGTGTCTGCAATGCCAAGTACGGCTGTGCATGTAACTATGTAGTGTGTGCGCGTGTGTGTCTGTCTAACCAAAATCATTCCGGCAGTAAAAATAATCTTGTGCGTGTGCTTTTTTAGTAGTAGTCATAACTCAATGCCCTTTCCGTCATCATCGACGTTCAGTCATTTTCGTAGCAGCGTGGATCCCGTCGTGTGGGTGAGCCAGCCCAAAGTGAGAGTAGCGAAGAACAAAGATAACGAGAGTCGTGTCAAGGGAAAAAAAATAAAAGAATAAGAGGAAATAAGAACGAGAAATAAAAGTAAAAGCAAACAACGCCGTCGCTTAGCAGCAGTTCAAACTGGACATATGAAAGAGGGAAAAAAAGTTAACGGAAAATCATTGCCTCATGGGGTTTCAACAAAATGTTTACACCATCAACGACAACGGGGTATCGTAACGGAGTAGCATGTCGTTAGAAACAGAGGCGGTACCTAGTTGGACCGGATGACGAGCTTTGACAGCAGCTTGTTTGATAATGAGTCAAAGTCGTAGCGGTCGAACTTGGATTCGGAGCGGGTCTTGAGATATGCCTCTGGATATGGAGTCAGTAAGCTAGTACATTAATGGCTTCGACGGACATCACAACTTACCGTGCTTGATAACATGCTGCCGGACCTCCGTCATGGCCTCGCAGACCGCAGGGTTGTTGTTGAGCAGCTGGCCGTGCCTCCGGGTGTCCCATTCGGTGAAGGCGGGCAGCTTCTGCGAGATGGCGTGGAACAGGCCGACGATAACGCCGACTGGCACCGTCTCCATGTCACTGCAGAACTTATCGACAGCAACCGGGTCGGGGACCCGGTAGTGGCAGTCAAACTGGATCTCCTCCCAGACAGCAAGCAGGATGGAAGCCAACATGAAAATGGTGGGCCAGTTCTTCAACCGCTCACCGCTGTACACGCTCGAGTAGAGAGCCGACAGCTCCTCGAGAATGTCCTTCTGCAGCTCGCGCCACATGTCGGCCATGGCGCACTTGATCTGGAAGTTGATCATGACTGGTGCGACAACCTTGCCGTAGTACTTGGAGTCTTCGTCGTCGATCTGTCCTTCCATAGGCTCTTCCGTTTGCGGCTGCTCAACCATGGTAATGTGCAGGGTCAAGTTGTAGGCAACAACGAGCTTCAGGGCCTTGCGAATGACGGGGAGCCTCTCCTTGGTGTAGAACCGGTAGGCGGTCTTGAAAATCTCAGTGATGAAAGGCGTGCCCTCGAAGTGATCATCGATGAACTGCTCGAAGCCCTCGTCGATGTGCTTGTCGAGGTACTCGTGGAGGGTCTCCATCGAGATACCGTCCTGGCCAACATCCAGGCGCTCGGTGCGGATCTCAAAGTCAATGGGGCCCTGGTCCTCCAGCGTCGACTCGACCCAATCAAGCTGGAAGCAGCTCTCGTCCGCCACGTACACCTCACGAACCATGACGGGGAGGCAGAAGCCGTAGCCGTGGGTGATCCACATGAGGGTTTCCTTTTGAGCAAAACCCTTGACGTTGAACACGGACATGCCGCGGCCCAGGTGGCGCTCGTAGTCGGCCTTCCAGTCCTTCATGAAATATCCAATGTCCTTAATATCAATGCGAGTGCAGGGGACTTGCCACAACCGAGCGTGAGAAGGCTGGCAACCAGCACACGGCTCGCCCTTGTCGCACGTCTTCTTGAGGAACTTGCAGCGGAGGCACGCCCTGAGCTTCCGAATCTCACTTGCTTGCTTCCGCTGCTCCGGCAGCAACGGACCGCGTCTCCTGCCGACCTTCTTCTCACCTGTGCCATCCTTCTTCCCGGTAGACGTTCTCCGAATGACCGGCTTCGTGGCTTTTGCAATAGGGCTCTTCCGGGTCCCCGAATTCCGCCTGGCGGGAGGCGAAGTCGACACAGAGCCGGAACCGCTGGAACCCGAGGCAACCACAGGCCGGTTAGCCACAACCGTCTTGACGGGGAGCGGCGCAACAGCGGTGGTGGGGCTGATGAGTTCGGGAGAAGTCGATCCGTGGTGGTGGTGCTCTCCGTGCAAGCAATTGCGGTGGTTGTTGGTGAGGTCAACGAATCCATCGGAGGCGGGAGAGAACGGGGAGTAGGGGAACGGAACCTCCTCGTAGCCAAGCGAATTAGCATCCGAGGAGTCGGAGTGAGTCCGCAAATGCAGGGTCTGGCCGGGGTTGAAGATGGCCGGACTTTGCGAGGGCTGCGGCTGGCTAAAGGTGTCGACGTTGCCATACATGTCCACCGAAGTCCAGCCGTTGTCGCTGCCCGAGCCCAATGACAGCACCTCGAGGTAGGTACCCGTTGGCGAGTGGCTTCCCAGACTCCTTACCCGCGGCAACCCATCGTGCTGCTGAAAGCCGAGCGACTGGTCGAAATCCTGCCAGTTGGGGCCCCAAGACACCACCCGACTCGTCGTGTCAATTGGAGAAATCGTAGTGAAGCCGGGCTCCAGCTGAAGGCCAGCATCAAGGGTGGCCTGGGTGGTTGCCGGCAGGTATTCGATCGGGGGCTGCTGGAAATTTGAAGCATACGCATTGAACCCAATCAATGCTGGATCTTGGATGAACTGAGAGAGATCCGCAGTCGGCTGCTGCTGAGAGTGAAGCGGCATCGACCAGTCCGAAATCAGGCCCGTGGTCTGCGGGAGGGTGGTGGTTTGATACGGGGACGGCTGCTGTTGGAGTGGGCTCGACATAGTGCTGCTCTGGTGGCCGGGCGAGCGGGCGCTCTGATCTTCGGGGGATGACGGCGTCCCGCTGGCGGAGTTGGGCGAGTGAATCGACATGGGCGCGCTGACGGTGCCGGCCAGTTCAAGCGGCAGCCAGCTCGACACCGGGCTCAAGCTTTGGCGGTTGACCTGAGGCATGGTGGTCAAGGCGGTCGAGGTGGTGAGATCCTGAGACGTGGGCGCGGCGGAGGATACGATGGGATATGAGTAGCGATCGCGGTGGTCAAACACAAACTGTTCCAACAGTGCGGCTTCCCCCCCAGCGGCGTTGAAGTCGAAAGTCATGTTGCCAAAAGTCGGAGGGAAAATCAACAAAAGAAGTCGGTCAAAAGGGGATTAGAAAGTGCCCGGGAGGCTTGAAGCGCCGGGTCTGGGATGGCGAGCGGACAGCGGGGGGTTGACGAGGGGGTTCGATGGACACCGCTCTTTGCTCTTCAGCGGGCGCGAGTCGGTCTGGAGGAGAAGGGGGGGTTTCGTTCGATTCGTGATATCGTCGTCGTTTCGTGCTCGTCTTTCCCACAGCAGGGCGCCACAGACGAAGAAAAAGAGTTAAAAAATGGACTCCGGCTCAGACGGGGTCCTGCGCCTTCGTCCGCGTTGCTTGCGGGAGAGGGGAAAAGGAGTCGCGATGTCTGGGGAAAGGTGTGGGAGGAACCCCTTCGGGCGTTGGCGAAAGCGTGGGACACCAATCCTGGGCTGGGTGCAAGCAGAAGATCACTGGACTGCTGGACTGGTGGAGCGCAGATGCCATCTTGCTCTCTCCCCGCCCAAATGGCCGCGCCCTGCAGCTTGCTGGTGCTGGTTGAAGAGGCGGTGAGAGTGCATCTTGACCCTGGTCCGGAGCCCTGCGTTGATTGGCCTCTGAGCAAGAGCGGGTGGGTGCAGGGCTGCCCCGGCCAATCATTGGACGCCAGCATGGTTGCAACCCCAGCGCGGGATCGTCGTGCCGCACTGTGCTCAAAACCTCCCCTTCGCCTGGCGCACCCCACGAGGATGGCGGGGCTGGGAGCAACGGACACTTGATACCATCGTGAAGTCGAGGCGCACAAAGACGGGCATGTCAAAATTGCTGGATGAAGCATCCAACAGGACGCGCTTGGCAAAGGCAGCTTGGCCGATTCAGCGACAAGCCCAAAATAGTGCTGTGTATTCGTATCCGTACGATCTTCGCGATCAAATCTTTTTTGAGGGCCGTCAATGTCGAGGCTACACTACAATCATCCACTGTCCCTCTTCCGCATTCCGAGGTTGCGAGCGATTTCCGAGTTGCTGACTCCAGTCTTGCATTGACGACAACCATTTCAAAACTACAACCAGGTTCAAAATGTGGGGCGTCTCTCGCCGTCAGCTCAACCTCCTGTGTAGATGTTGTGCAGATCCGCCTCCCTCGTGCCGAGTCCCCCACGAAAGTTCCCCCTGATAAACAACACGCTGTGAGCAAACGATCTATCGAACGATGGCTCACCACGCTCGTTCCTGTGTCCGCCATCCGAGCTCATCGGGGCCCAAGAATTGGCTGACAACAAGTACGACGTCTTCTATAACATGGCAGAGCCGTTCCGTTTAACAGCACACTGTCATGGATACGTAGTGGAGAATGACACATCGGCTTCTACCGAATCACCTCGCTCGTACTTGGTCTTGCGCAATGCCTCATTGGCAGTTGTATGCGCTGTCACCGTTGACCATATTTCGGCCATGCGGGCCTCCGCTTCGTTCCACTTTCCAGGGGGGTTCCAATTGGTGTTAGCCCATCAGCTGGAACAACTCCTGTGGTGGTGAAGCATCCAAACAGCACAACTTCACAATTGCAGGGCAGCGGCTCTCGTATCATATCAAGTACTGTAGTAGTATGTATTGGAGAATCACCGTCACCTACTTGGTTTCCTGTTGAGCTATAGTGAGGAGAACCTCCACAATGGCTCTCTGCTTGTCTGGGCAGAGTTTTGAGCGAATCATGACGACAAAGCTGTGACACAAACTACCTCACCGTCAGCTCGAAAATCGCCCCTATGCAGAAAAAATTGTTTGCAACGTTAAAGAAGAAACTTCCTGGACGAGCTGGGTTGCACTCGGCTGGCTGGCTGAGAACAGGCTCTGAGCTCTCGGAGGATTTACAGGGCGCTCGGCCCCTATTCCCACTGTGCGCGCCAGCTTCGATCTGCGTCAGTCTCCACGGGTCCCCACACTTCCCAGATCCCACCCGAAACGGACTTGCTCTTGTCTCTCTTGAACGCGCGAGACACGCTTGTTGAACCTCAAGAAAAAAAGGGAGCTGCGTAACGAACGTGAGTTATTGGCTTGCCCCGTTTGATTTTGCGAGCCCCAGAATGTCGAGCATCAACGCACGTGGATTGACCAATCGATTGGGCTTTTGCTCAACCTCTCGTCATCCTCGCGCAGATACAATTGGCGATGAAGAGAGATCCATCACAACCGTTCCATCGATCATCCGTTTGGTTTTTGCCTCCTTAACGAGCCTCGGCGGACAAGGCAAATAAGCCCCTTGTCCGAGATCCGCCAACCGAGAAGGTACTGAAGGGGAATGGGAAAAAATCCAACCCCGGGGACAATTGCCCCTTTCAAGAAGACAAAAGCCAAATGCCCCCTTTTGCATGGGGGTCTCGAACGACATGCGGAAACTGGCGAGGACTCCACCTTACAACCTGGTACATATCACCGCCACCGTCGTCTGGCGCGCAGGCGGCGAATGCGGGCCTACTTGTTGTGGTTGACCTAGGCAAGCTAGGCCAGCGAGGCCGATGAAAACGTCAAACTGATCGAGTTCGGAAGAGTCCCACCAGCAACACCCTCGCAACTTTCCAGCGCTTCAGCAGCCAGCGACAGGTCAGGAAAAGCTTCAAACAACTCATTGGGCTCGAGTTCTTCCCGCGTAGAAGCCCCGTTCTGCCGCGCAACCACGCGTCTCCCCGTAGGCTACCCGAGTGAGCTGGTCTGGGCATGTGGGTTAGTTATTGTTTCCTTTGGTTAAATACCAAGCAGGCTTGTCGTTGTCCCACGCACGCCATGACCCATGTAGCAGTTCGTGGCCTTGGCTTGACCTACCAGAGGACTTCATAGGATTCCAAGAATCCATGGTATTCTGGGCCGCGGAGAGTCAACCGGAGGGGGGAATCCCGGCGCCCGCGGTTGCCTACTCGGAGCTGGCCCCCAGCCCCGGGCGTCAACCGATCCCGGCCCCTCCGCTTTCCTAGACCTCCTAGTGTACATTTCCGACAGTCTAGAAACATGTCTCCTGCACCTCGGCCCCAACCCGGTACCATCGGACCATACAAATACAAGATCGTCAGAGTTCTCCAGCTGCCAGATGCCAGATGGCACCCGGTCGTAAACCGCAATGCACGCCGCAGAGTCTGGAGACGGACTCGCCACGTTCGTGGGTTTCACGAAAGACGTTTGTTTTGGTGGATTCACTGCCCAAATCCGTCCAGGGACTTGGTTAGCGCCAAAAAAGGTGTCTCAAGTAGTCCCCGCAGCCCAGCCGCCGAGCACAGTCTCCAGATAACAAGCTCGACCGTGCTCGACCCAAGGTTTTCTGTTCGGGTCCGCCGATCTGTCTGATCTGCCGGGAGTATCGGCGGGCGGGCGGGCGGGCGGAGATCGCCTTTTGAGAAAAATCGCCGCACCGCACGGGCGGCTGAGACGCGCCAGACCACGCGGATGCCTCGTCGGCGATAACTCATCGGTTAGCGTGAGGCTTTGGAGCTGGCCAAGCTAGCCAAGAGGACGGCGCAACACGATCGCCTCGTCCGGTGTGTCTCGGAGGCCCGTTTGTCGAGCCTAGGTCCCAGTCAGATCGGACGAGCTTCACGGGAATCAGCTCCCCGAGGACGGGTGGCCGACTGACTGATTCAGCTATCAGAGGGACGAGGCCCCTAACGACACAGTGTGTGGTGAAAAAGGATCATCCGTCGGGGTGGTTGGTCCGCCGGCCCGAGTACATCGCTGTTGCCGAGGGTGGCCCGGGCCGATGCACCTGACGGCCGGCGGTACAGCCGGGGCTCAAAGCACGGTCTCCGGGTCGGAGCGGCTCCGGCCGCCGGGTCGCCTCGACGCCTCGACGGGGCGGGATCGGGGGAAGGGGGAAATCCCAGGGTTTAATCCCTTGGGGGCCGCCCGGCTTCTTTCGGGATTTTGCAGGGATGCCATCGGTATTGAAGAAGAGGGGTCTCGCCTAAGACAAAAGCAAAGGGATAGCGGCGAGAATCCAAAGATCATATCTTCCACTTTTAAACACGTGAATTTTCCAAGGCGAGTGCATGAATGTAAGGGATGAACTTGGAAGGGATGCATGTTGACGAAGGGATGATGTTGAATTGAGAATTGGAGAACTCGGGTTTTTCTCCACTTGTCTAAGCACCCGAAGTCTTGGCACCTGCCCCTCCAATACTCAGAAAGCTACCCCGCGGGGGTCCATCATCCAAAAACTTGCCGTTTGCGGCATGCTTGATAGAATAATGTTAACGCGCAAAGTCATCACAACTATTGTTCTCTACTCGGGAACACTCTCCTTCTCCGGCGTTTGGTGACGGGCAACCCCTCACAAAACACAGAGGGCGCAAAATTATTGGCAAGAACAGAGGCGGGGCAAGTATGCGTCAAAAAGGCGTCGCCTTCCCGTGGAAAATGGCGGCTGCCGGTCCTCGTACTAGTACCCCACAACGGCGTCGTCCAGCCCCGGCCATCTCATCACCGTCCTCAAAAATAAGAGAAATCGAAGAAGACGAAGGCGAAGAAGAAACAGACAAAGTGGTAGACTTCTCCCACGCTAGAACAATGGCCGAACCCGTGATTCCCGACCTCTTCACGCAACTCCCGCCTGTCCGGGAAGGTTACTTGACGGACACTTTGGACGTCCAGCTCGAAACCGCCAGAGAGTGTATGAAGTTTTTAGACGGACTCAACACCCGCGAACCTCTCGTCACTCGAAATGAACACGGCGTGCCCAAGCTCGCCCGCGACCGCCACGTCCGCTTTTTGCACATGGCCCTCGGCAACCTACCTGGCGGTTTCCTCGTTGCCGACGCCAGCCGGCCGTGGTTTTTGTACTGGTCCCTATCTGCACTGGTGATGCTGGGCCAGGACGTGACATCCTACCGCGACGGCCTAATCGTGACGGCGCGCTCGATGCAGAATGATACCGGCGGATTTGGTGGCGGCGGCAGGCAGCTCTCGCACTTGGCTACGACGTATGCCGTGGTGCTGTCGCTTGCGCTGGTTGGGGGTGGAGAGGCATACGATGTGATCGATAGGAAGGCCATGTGGAAGTGGCTCAACAGCCTGAAGCAGCCTGATGGCGGGTTCCAGGTGTGCCTTGGTGGTGAAGAGGACATCAGGTTAGTTTTGGCTGTGTTTTGAAGGGCCAGAAAGGAAAGAGAAACAGCGAACTTTCACAGATCTGACTGCAATCCAGGGGGGCATACTGCGCGTCAGTCATCATCACACTGCTCCGCCTGCCTCTTGATCTTTCGCCCGAGTCTCCGGCATACACGGGAGACAGCAACGCGAATCTCTTCACCGGTGTGGCCGACTACGTGAGCCGATGTAAGTCAGCAGCTCGGAGGCTTGTCGATCGACCTTGTAACCATTACGCTAATGCACCCAGGCCAAACATTCGAGGGCGGCATATCAGGTCAGCCAAATGTCGAGGCCCACGGGGCGTACGCCTTCTGCGCTCTCGGTTGCCTGGCAATTCTTGATCACCCGAGCCGCAGCATCCCAAGGTACGTACATACCTCCTCACCATTGACATTCAAGTATGCAGTGTCCTCGGTGCTTGGTGCTTGGTAACGCTGTATACACCCACCCAATCTTTGCCCACCCACGCGTGGCAAAGCTCGCACGACAGACAAGCTGCTGACGATCAAATTCTGCAAATCCAACCTTCCCAGATATCTGGACGTTCCACGACTGGTCTCTTGGCTGTCGTCACGCCAGTACGCTCCCGAGGGCGGCTTCTCCGGCCGCACCAACAAGCTCGTCGACGGCTGCTACAGCCACTGGGTTGGCGGATGTTTCCCACTCATTGAGGCATGCCTCAACGGCAACCCTCCGAGCGACCGGCATCGGCCCGGCGATGGCGATGGTGGTGTTGGTCGTGTCGGGGGTGGTGGGGCCTTGGCCGCAGATGGCCCGGCCGCCACCGCCACGACCACAACAACGGCCACCGCGACGGCCACGACGGCCAGCAGTAGCGGCAGAGGCGGCCGCCTGCCGCCCGCAGAGGATGGTCTCTTCCATCGGGAGGGCCTAATCCGGTATATCCTCTGCTGCTGCCAAGACACGACTAAAAGGGGCGGACTGCGCGATAAACCAGGAAAGTAAGTCCACGTCGTCGACTTGCCCCCTCTTTCCCCTCCAATCTTCACCGTTTCCCCTCTCCATTCCCGCTCTGCCCGATGGCCACTGTTCCGGCCTCGTTTCCGCCTCCTGTACATCCACATCCCCTAACGTGCCGATCCCCGTGACAAATCATGTGCGCCTCTCTTACTCACATGCTTCTCTCTCCTTCCTCTCCTTTCTTTCTATAGGGGATCAGATGCGTACCACTCTTGTTACGTTCTCTCGGGTCTCAGTTCAGCCCAACACCAGTGGGAGCTTGACGACGAACCGCGGCCTCCTCTGGCGGAGTCTCCGGCAGAGACCAAGGACGCCGAAACAAGCAAGATCCCTAGTGATCAGGACATCGACCCAGAAGCGCACCTCGAAGCGGTGTGGGCAGTCCTCCCTTACTTAGATGGTCCGCGGGTCTTCGACAATGACGACTGCGTCCGCCCAATCCACCCGATCTACGCCATCCCACAGGGTAGTGTGCGGGCTATTAGGGCATATTTTGGGGAGAAGGGACAGGGTGTCGTGTTGTGAGATAAGGAACGGGGCTCTGGGAGCGAGTAAATGGGGTGTGGGTGGTTGACACTGAATACTAAGCCGAATAGTCGAGGCTGCGGGGATGAGATAGCTCCCGTTGACTAACTGGCTGGATATTTCTCTATTTAACTATCCATCTCCTTGGTAAGACGGTTGGGTTTAAGAAATGGATGGCTCAGTATCAGGGGAGTAAACAGTCCAATAAACAAGTTAAGCTATCACGTATATCGTTACTGTTGCTGTTTAGGTTGACATTGATGTGATGGCTCCCCCCAGATCACTTCCGCTTCATTACTCCGAGAGACGCCAAGGCGCAAGGTTACCGCTCCCCTAGGATGAGTTGCAAGAGATACGTTACTCACGTGTTCCCGGATCGTTGCTTAGGGATAGCCTTAAACCGATCATAGAAACACCGAGAGAGGGACCCTTCTCCTGGTATCGGGGGCGCCGATGGTCCCTGATGTTGGATATGAGATGATGGAATGTGAGATCAGGCTCAAATACCCGGGGCCATATACCTCCTTACAGGCTCGACCATTGGGACAGGAACCAGACGTTGAATCAGTCTAGACCTTATCAGTGACCGAGGCATGCCCGGAGAATCTTTCACGAGCTGCATGCTTCGACTTCTCGTTTACTCCAGGGCATGGGAGTACGGCCCTTGTTCGGGCGGTGGCGTCCACCATGTATGGTCTGCACCTTGGGGAGAGAGTGGCTCGAGGGGAGATGGGGGAGAGAAAAAAACACTTCGATGGTAGCCCTGCTGCATTTTTGCCCCTTTGATTCCTCTCAACCTCGGCCTCCTCCGTATGACAAGCGACGCTAATGTGCCGTCAGTGGGACTCACCCACACGGATGATCCACGACCAGAGAAAGGGAGAAGCAGTCTAGTCCCGAGACTAGCAAAACTGGCCCCCTGAGCTGCCCCGAGGCGCGGTCCGCATTTCTGGATCTCGGGCGTGCAATTAAGCCCGAAAGGAGGTCATCTCAGTCCCACGGCTTCACGGAATCACCACTGCGTCCTGGCCTCCTCGCTTGCTGTTTTGCCGATCACTAGTATGTGGAAGAGATCTGGCCTGATGCATGCAGATATTGGCGGCCTGGTACGACGGCATCCAGCAGGAGGACAAGTGCGCCGACATGCAGTTCTGTTGCCCCCAGACCATTCATGCGGCGCACCGGGCAAATCCCAGTCCCAAGATAGTCGATTCCTGCGCTTCTGACGAGGTAATTCCCCGAGATGCGAGGGAAACCCCTTCTTCACCAGCTCTGGCTATAACGCCACGCCCGGGACAAATGAGAACTCTCCTTCAAACTAGAAGAAGAGGGGGTAGGTAGGTAGTGACGGATTCGTTGCAGACAAGAAAGTACCAAAGTACCAGTTGGACTTCATTTACGGGGCATAAGGTCTTGAGTCACAGTTGAGCAAAGACGACCCCAGCCGCCGAACATGGTTTCGTTAGCTAAAAAGAGCCATGTACCGCGGTTGCTTGCCATACGCTTGTTAGCCGATGTAATTGTCAGACCCTATGGCAAGGATTGAGCCCTTCCTCTCTTTTTCTCTGTCTCACCGTTGGACCTCAGCTGGTGCCATGGTTCTGCACACCAGGCCGCGAGAATGGGCCTTGGGATGGACCCCGGTCTTGTCTCCGGAAGACGACCGCTATTATCCTCGAGATCTTCAGTGGGCAAGGATGCAGATTGAGCGGCCGCTTGCATGAGCTTGTGCAGTACGAAGGTAGCACCGCAGCATAGCTTGTTCGAGGAGGGACATTTCAAGGGCAGGAAAACAAATTTGCCGCTAGTTAGTTATCAGGGGAATAAAGAACCGCAGCTTGCGGAAAAGGGCAGGAGGCTACCAAATTGTGGAAGCCCCTATCACCGACACCATTTCCTGTCTCCCGTTCTGCCCGTCTCCGCGGCCATCGCCACCAGTACTTCCAGCGAGGTGTCAGAAAGTTTTGAGGCAAGCCGTACAAGTCCCGTTTAGAGCCCAGGCGGCCGTTCCCAAGAATGACGTTGTGGGGGCGGGAAGCTCTCGGCAATCATGAGGGGTTCAATTTTGCCCCTCATCATTGACATCCCCTGTCGAGCTTTCGAATTGGGGAACCCCTCTCTGCCCTGCCATCCCCACAATACGCAGCCGTTCGTCTTGAGTTTGACACAAACGGCGTACGCGGGCATGGATGGAACATGCGCGTCCCGGAGACCTGTTTCGGACCTCCTCGGTGTTGTATCCTCGATGGCTGCGCGACCACGAATGAGCGATTGCCGCTCGGGGTTGCTGACGGGCATTTGGTGGTGTCATTTTGATGTTCTCGGAGAGACGGGCACGAATAGTAAACCGAGTTCAACGACATCTTCTGTGGGATCTCCGCGTGGCCCCATGTCAGTGGTTGACCAGGACCCCGCTGCTTGCAAGGAGCGCTCCGATCCAACCACCAGGCGTTGCTACCATTGTTTGACGTTTTGTTTGGGAGTTTGAGGTTGAGCGGCCCATCGGATTGGACTATTGAAGATTCCAGAAGTCTTCCTCGTGCTGCTTTGGTGGACCGGCTCCCACCACTCAGGTGGCAGACAGACACCGGAAATTCGCATTGATGGTCAAGGGAAAAAAAGGTTTTGTGCATCCAGATCGCGCTTTCCCTAGCTCTGTGGCTCTCTCACACAGGTCCCCAAAACTTGTTTCGCGTCGTTCAGTTAGACCTTCCGCCCCGGCATTTTCTTCCTCGTGTGCCTTCCTTATCGAGCCCGGGACGTCGTTCAAAGCGAGGTGTTGTGGAGGAGTGCCTTCCGTTCTGATGGTTCAAGTGGGGTTAACCCATGTCGAGGCAATTTCCTGCCCGCACCACACATTCCCCATGAAATCGAACTCACGCACCGCCTGGCAGAACTCAACCTTCCGCCTCATTGCCCTTCATCGCTGAGAGTCTTCGCGCCCTCTACCGGCGGCTCTATTAGCTGTGGCTCCTTCAGCGCAAGTTGATCTTCAGGCGTTCTATTCCTCTTCCCATCCGTCTCTTCCCTTTCCTCGCGTCCTCCTCCCCCGACCTCGCTTCGCCGGATGAGTGTCGTGGGGCACTAGGCCGGTCGTGGGCCACGCTTTCGGTGCAACCATTCGTCGAAGTCGATTCGCCATGTTTTTGCCCCCCTCGGCCCCGATCCAGACCTGGAGTTTTGATTTTAATATCAGGAAGCATTGCCAACTCATCATTGCATGAGCGTTAAGGTTGGCCTGTGCCTAGTTGCCTTGCGAGCGCGTCCGCCATTCACAGCTGCCGCTCGTGGTGAGGGCCAGATGCAGGACATGCAAGGGTTCCCGGCCCCCAGCCACTGTTCATGCATCTCATTCCTCTTCACCGACTTCGTGGTGTGGCCTCAAGCCAGTCATTCTCGCTGCTCCGAACTCACCCCGCGGGCTGTTTGGTGCGCTAGAGAGGGGAACAGAATTCGCCATCCAGACGATCACAGTAGCTAGCACGTCGTACAGGGCCTTCCGTATGTGGGTCTTGAAACGTCTCCTCAAGCGCCGGTCGCTGTTCCCAGCGCGAGAGCTTTTGTCCCAGAAAACCGAATTGCCCGCTTCTGATTCGCCAACTGCACAAGCCCGGTGCCGTTTGGGTGTCGGTGGGAATGTTTCCAGAACCGCTTTCCGGATCCCGGTGCTGTTTTGAGCGTCGCCTGCCGACCGTGACGGAGATGCGAGGGTCTGGCGAATCGCCCAAGGCCCGGTTCTGCATGGTCCGGACCCATGCGTCGCGTTGTAGCTAACTTTCCTCAGCATCGAAGCCTTCTTACCGTTCCGCACTGGTCATTCTGGACGCTGATACTGTACTCGTAGGCCGTAAACCTGCCGCACATATCCTCTTGCAGTCTGCCCGCAGCGGAGGAGACCGCTTGGCAGGGAGGCGAGCATGGCCCGGATGTTCAAAGGATGTACGGAATTTGTACGTTGATGTCCTTGCGACGCTGCGGGCGGCACGGCGGCTGGGCCGGGCTGTACATCAGACGGAGCCCACAAAAGACGATTCGCTGCAGCTGCGTCTTCCTTTGAAGTTGGTCGCTGGGGGAACCCAGGATCCTCGGAGTCCCGTCTGCTCGGCCACACTCTGCCCCGAACCACACGGCGTTACGAACAAGGCCATCCCTTCTTTCGCGCCCACCGGACCTTGAACCAAGAAAGAGGTGGGGAGTCGACGGCTGACCAAGGCCCAGCGCGAATGGCAGAACAACAACCAAGAGCTTTCGAGTTTTTACCCCCTCCCGTCTTTGCTCTTCCGGCCAATCTCCTGTTTGAGAGCTTGTGTCCGAGTCGACGTCAAACGGGGTTCTCGGTAGTCCCGGTTGCCACTGTTGAAAGTACAAAGCCAGCCCCCAAACAAGCCGAAGCTTTATACACCGGCCCAGGTACCGGACCAAAACAAACACGAGAAGTGCATGTGGAGAGAGGTTTGAGGGTCGAGTGGACGTTGCAGCACCTTGCCCAGGCCCTTGTCTTTCCCCAATCCAGACTGGCCCGACTTATCAAACTACGAGATCTTGTTGCCCGGCGGGTGCATCCCTTCCCCCCATGTTGATGGTGTGGAGTTGGCCCGGCCTCTGCGGTTGTATCACTGGCAGCGACAGACGCCAGCACATCAAGATGGGTCACACTTTGAGCCGCATCTCCTTCTTCAGTGGACATGCGTCTGACGACCCCTTTCTCCTCTCCGTTCGAGCTTTCCGTCATTTCCTTGTTGCATTTTTCTGATCTGGGCTTTTTTTTTGCCATCCCCATGCCCCGCACCGGCTCCTCGTCGCCGCAATAAAGCGCACTTCTTCCGCCGGTGGTGACCCATCCATGGCTTCCGTCCCTTCCTGCGTCGGCCTTGGATACGTAGCATATCAGCCTTCACATCTTCCCGGTCTCTCCCAGCTCACACCATCCACCTGACCGTGAGACAAGTTTTCACTTACGACATCGCCCGGTCCTTTACCACTCACCTTGGGTTTATCTGCCGCACACCCCAGAGGTTAGGCTCGACTGCAGCACATCCTCACCATCACACCAATTTCCGGATCCTGGTCGACATTCTTTGTTGACACTTCCGCCCACTTTTCCTTTTTTTTCACCTCGCATTTTCTCAGGCTGCTGGGCATCAGCCGTTGATTGACACGGTCACATCAACTTCAGTTTCATCTACTGCAATCAATTGGCATCATGGGCGGCTTCTACATACAATACCTCGAGAGTAAGTAGTTACCCAAAATTCAATAGGTGTTAGACCGCTCTTATGTTGTCAACACCACCTGGCACGACCACACATCCATCACGGTGTGGTGGGGTGTTTTGTAGAAGGAGGGAATCCCCACGTGGTCAAGCCCCCACACACATCTTGACGATGTCCCTGAACTGAGCCCCTCCCCCCGGGCCTTCACATCAGATCTCAGCCCTGTTTGCCGTCTCTCAAACTTCTGCCCCTGCTAGTCGACCACGTTTATCAGGGCCGAGAGGGGTCAGTGTCGGGCTGGCATGCACGTTGCTTCGTGTCATACACGTTTCGTTTCCCGTGTCCCCTATTTATATCCAGGGGCAGGAAATGCCCAATAGCGGAAGACGAATTGAGTGCCCGGCTAACCAAAGTGACTTGTAGGTCTCTGCCGTCGTCGTGGTTGGCACGATCCCACATACGAGTGTTATCGCGATACCAATGGCTACACCTGCCTCGTCCTGGTCAACGGGCGGGAGTACCAAACGGATTTAGCTTACGAGTCCGGGACCCTAGCCCAGGAGAACGCTGCCATGCGTGCCTTTATGGTCTGCCGGAACTTCTCCGTGAATGGAGGCATGCTTGCCCGCAACGGAATTGTCCAAGGCCTTCCCGCGGATGAGACTGGCCGCAAGACGAGAAAGAGCAGCCGGCACACATCCTCTTCCTCCTCTAGCCACGGGCACAGGAGCCGGTCTGGACACCATTCCAGCAGCAGCTCGACCACCTCACTGGAGTGAAGTTGAAGCAGCCGCACTTTTTCTGGGTATGTCCGTGTGACAAGTACCGACCCCTCGCCAGCATTTAGATTCGCTCGGAAGGGCGAGCAAGATTGGATCCGCCAACCAAACCACCTAACCGGTATTCCTGGAGCAGCCCCAATCGACAAAAGGGAACTCAATGATAGGAGCAGGAGCTTCAAACCACTCAATCCATTTGGAACAGGATCATTTGATTTGATATAAATTTCGGACAAGGCTTCGCAGCGACACGGAAAGAAAGGCGAGTGCAGGAGGCGCCAGGAAGAGCCGTGGATTTATACCCTCCCTTATTGGTGTGGCAACGGCCAATCCTTTCCCGTTTCCTGGGACTGGGAGATTACGCTGGTTCGGTCTAGCATGGGGATATGGCTATGTTGTTTTTGTGTTTTCCGTTTCCCTTGTTGAATTTCTTTTTCCTTTTCCCTTTTTACCCTCAGACAGCGTTCCAATTTCCTGCATTATGACGACGATTTACGACCTGTTACGACACGACGCCACTTAGACAACGGCCGTTTTGGCAGCTTTACGACCCATGACTTTCTTCATTGGAACCTCCCAAACCAACACATTGCCTCTGCCGGGCTTTGGGTGTGTGGCCGGTTCCAAAACTCGTTCAGTTTTCCGGATTTCCTGTTTACGATTTTCTCTGCATACAAAGGGACCCATTCCCGGCCACTTGGGCTTTTTTTCTTTTCTTCACTTCTCTCTCAAAACCAGCTGGGTTTCACAGAACCAGACAGACACGGAGGGCAATCCATATCTGCCAGAGGCAACTCCGGGCGTTGGGACCGCTGGCGAAATAAATCGGACCATGAGCGGACCGGGTTGGGCTGAACGAGCTGGGACTTGAGGAGAAAAGGGAAAAGGCGAGCTGGTGGTTCGAGTTGCGAGGCAACCAACCGTAGAGAGCTGCATTTGCCCACCGGGCTTACTGCTTGTTCTTGAAGCGGACAGAGGGGTAGATATGCACTATCTGCTCGTGGCCTGCTCGTTCCTTGGCCTGCGCTAAACTGTGGAGAGAAAACTCGGGGTTTCTTTATTTTACTTTGCCCGTTGGGGCTTTTACTCATAGCGGGGTGGGTGATTTCGTGGAAAGACGTATGAAAAGATTGGAGTGGGTGCTTTTGTTACTGGGAGGAAAGGTCATCGACAAACCACGGGGTTGTGTTGTTCTTTGACCGGTACATGACGATTATGACCAACGAAGATTATGGATGATGAGATACATTTCAAAAAAGGGTTGCTAGCCGAGGTTTTCAAAATTATACTCATTGTCAACGGGGCTTATCAGCCCCGACCAGTCTTGAAATATTCACGCCTGAATTCGTGTCTAGTAAGTATGAATAACACGCAACGTTGTGGTTTTCAACCTGTAGTGTATGTGCCTAAATGCCTAGCAACAGGATCGCCAGTCCTGATGACGTTGTCCCATCACATGATCGCAGGCCCCATACATATGCTAGGGAGTGAATGAGTGAGCAAGATGGTGTGTAGTCAGTGTAACACACATGTTACCCTGCTCGCCGTCCACACACACACATATTTAACCCAAATCCCTCCCTGGCCATCCACCATTCAAGTCGGTTAGACCGGATCCAGATCGTCGGGTCAGCCCAGACTCTTATTAACCCCCCCTCTTGGTCCTTGGTCCGGGCTGGCTTGGTGGGTCCGGTCAGTGTGTTGAAACGACTGGGGAAGGAGACGTCGTCGGCTAGCTTGATTCTATGACTGTAATGGAGCTGACGGTCTTGCTACTGGGTGACTCTCTACGGCATGTATTGTACTTGCTCTTCCGTTCATTGTGGAGTACCTTTCCACCTTTCCGGCCCCGCCCGGGGCGAGCGCCGGTTTTCCCGCGCCGAAAGCCAAAATGCGGCCTCGTCCGGCAATTGCCGCCTCGAGGGGGCGTTGTTGCCCAGATCCTACGATCAGCAGGTCTTTTGCATTTCCACCACGTCCCTTCCATGGATAAGTCACAAGCGATGCATCTTCAAACGAAACCTCCAAGCCTGGTTTGGGAATATATTTCCCAGTGTCACCGGTATAAAATGAAATTTTGAACGGCTTTACCAAAAATAGCCGTTGTGATTTGATCCTTTCTAAGACTTTTAAAGTTGAGAGCCTACTTGGCTTTGCAGTTTTTAGGTATGTACTTTCATGGGGGTTGAAGCCCCTTGGCCAAAATCAGCCTTTTGGCAATGAATATATGTCGGGGTGACCTGGATAACAACGACCAGTTCAGGTTGCTAGAGTAAAAATTGAAACATGGCGTGGTTCTAGCAATAGTGTATGATAACTTGAACGCTTGTCTCGGCCCTGGGACGGCACTTTTTGTTCATTTCTTGAATGCTCGTTCGTCGACGCCCCCTGGTCAGTCCCTGCAAAGTAGACATTGTTTGAAGCTGGGACTAGAATCGTAGTCTGCCATGCCCTGCACGCCTGGACCGTGAGCTGGTTTGGTAAGATGGTTCTGCGTTATTGAGCGATGGGGTTCACCACCCTGGTGACATAAAAAGTCGCGGTTTGAAACATGCCCTTTGCCGTCTCAGTATCCAAATCGTACCCGAAGTGCTTGAGATGATCACCTTCAGCTCCTCTCGAGTTGGGGCTGGGAGCCAAAAGTGGAAAGCAGCATCGAAACCTTACTGTAGCAGCCCGCATGTGTTTCAACTGCAAGAACGTGCAGAAAGTGAAAGCGAAGATAGGCCAGTTGGTCACAATGGAGGTCCTCGTTCGTCAATAATGCAGTGTCCTTGATCCTCACAAGCTTTTTCCGTCAACCGGTCTCAGCGATGGCAGCGCGCGCCGTTGGCTGTGAAAGTATTCTCGGGGTCAAGCCCCTGACTTTTTTGTTCCTGCCCCCTGTTTTCGGCAGAAAGTAAAGTTAGGGACCCACCGGGGGAGCTGGTTCTCGGTGCGCTGTGGTGCGATCCAATCTCGCAATGAAAGATGACGCCCTCTGATTGGCTGTTCCTCCGGACATGTGGCCCAGGGAAGGGGCTCTCCTCCTTCTGCCCAAGCAGCCCTGTGAAGCCCAAAGGGCATCCACTAACGGCCACTTGCCAGCCGCGATGCGAGGGGTGTTAAGGTTGGGCCCCCAAAGAAAAAGGTGGCCTTCTGCTGCTGTGTTGAAGCTGATTCTATGCACTTCTTGCCACCTCCCTTAACTTCAATATCTCGTGATCGTGCGTGTTTTTCTAATTCCTCAACACACCCGCCATCTGTGACCTCAAAAGCCCACCTGCGGCAGTCACTGCTTTAAAAGCCCCGCCAACCCATCCCCTCGACATCTTTCGTTCTTCATCCACTCGTTGATCCCCGATTGCCCAATTCGCTCGTTCCTCCCCAACAACTAAACATGAAGGGTAAGTGTAATATGTGCACTGCTTGCACTGCTCCCCCCCTGTTTTGCACTGGGGCAGTAGGCTGACACAAGTTTACACTATGCAGCTTTAATTCTTGTCGGCGGCTTCGGCACACGCCTTCGCCCTCTTGTACGTTCGTCAATGGCTTCCGACCCCAAGTTGCGCAACATCCCACCTCGCCCCTATTAGCGCCGCTGTCCCTTGCGAATGCGAACGAGAACACAACAATGGGCTATATGGCTAATCTAAGCACCACAGACCCTCACCCTCCCCAAGCCCCTAGTCGAGTTTGGCAACAAGCGCATGATCCTTCACCAGATTGAGGCACTCGCTGCTGCCGGTGTTACGGACATCGTGCTGGCTGTGAACTACCGACCTGAGATCATGGAGAAATACCTTGCCGAGGTTGGTTCCAATCCACACCCTGGGATGCTAGTTTGGCGCGAGCGAGATTGCCGACGTCTTATAAACACTAACACGCCTACCCCCTGACGAACAGTACGAGAAGCAGTTTGGTATCAACATCACGATCTCCATCGAGAGCGAACCCCTGGGCACCGCTGGCCCTTTGAAGCTTGCGGAGGCCGTATTAAGCAAGGATGACACACCGTTCTTCGTCCTCAACTCGGATATTACCTGCGAATACCCCTTCAAGGACCTCGCCGCTTTCCACAAATCGCACGGTGACGAAGGCACCATTGTTGTCACGAAGGTTGAGGAGCCGTCAAAGTACGGTGTCATCGTGCACAAACCCAGTCACCCATCCCGCATTGACCGGTTCGTCGAGAAGCCAGTCGAGTTCGTCGGCAATCGCATCAATGCCGGTATCTACATCTTCAACACCTCGGTCCTGAACCGCATTGAACTGCGTCCGACCTCGATTGAGCAGGAGACCTTCCCGTCCATGGCTGCCGATGGCCAGCTCCACTCTTTCGACCTCGAGGGCTTTTGGATGGATGTTGGCCAGCCCAAGGATTTCCTAACTGGCACCTGCCTCTACCTCTCTTCCCTCGCGAAGAAGGGCTCCAAGCTGCTCGTACCATCCTCGGAACCGTACGTGCACGGCGGCAACGTCATGGTCGACCCCACCGCCAAGATTGGCCAGAACTGCAGGATAGGGCCGAACGTGACCATCGGCCCCGGCGTCGTGGTTGGGGATGGCGTTCGGCTGCAGCGTTGTGTACTGATGGCCGGATCCAAGGTCAAGGACCATGCTTGGGTCAAGAGCACCATTGTTGGCTGGAACAGCACTGTGGGCAGGTGGGCACGTCTCGAGAACGTGACGGTCTTGGGCGACGATGTTACCATCGGCGACGAGATTTACGTTAACGGCGGCAGCGTCTTGCCACACAAGACTATCAAGGCCAATGTCGACGTCCCTGCCATTATCATGTAAACCGGGCTGGCGTCATTTTTAAGATATCCGGTGTCGGCTTTCTCTCCCAAGGGCGCTGCCTTTTTTTTGACTTTCTTCATAATCCGAGATAACTTACGCCTTTTAAATCACCTTTTGAAAACGCTACTTAATACCGACTCGAAGACGGCGCGGCACTTCAAAACAAACAACTCCCCTCTCCCCCCCACCGAGACAGAGAAAAGAGAAAAATCCATCTTTTTTGCTATTTGCGAGCCAAGTTCTCCAACACAGCGCCGCATCCGCCCGCCCTACGATCGATCTATAAGCATCCTTTTTGATTTCCTGCTTTTTCTCACCTGTTTCCATCATATCACCTTCGAAGCTTCAGAACCATACCGTGGCCAGACTAGGGAAAGGAATACCGATCAAACTGGTGTTCAGAAAGGCAGGCATGGGTGGGTATATCTATACGCATTGTTGGGGTGCATTAAAGGTAGAGCGGGTCATGGGTTATGGGTCAACATTCACGCTACTATGCCATGAGCATGGCCATCATCACGACCATCATTGGGAAGAGGCGAGGTCGGCGACGAAATGTTAGTATGTATGGGCAAAGTGGGAATGCGATGATTTTCTGGGCGGTATTCCGGATTTTTCTCCATCTGCCCTCTTTTCTTGCTCTATGTTCGTCGGTTTAGGCATTTTGTTGGCTGGCGTCGAGTCCGATGGCACGACCATGGAATACCTATGTCTCTCTGGGGCCTTGGTGCGAATGCAAACGTCATTGATGGAACCACGTGCCTCTATTTCCTTCTCGCGTGACTTACGTGACTGTCACATCAAGGGCGGAACACGCGTTATCGTGAAGTAACCGCCCAACCGGGCCATCGTAAGCGAGTTTCGAGAGGAACAGGGGACTGGCAAGTAATAAGTGTGGCAGTGTTTGGGCATGCTCGAGTCAGGAGCACACCCACCTTATGAACCCCCCCCTCCCCTTGGGGAAACTTGGGGAGCTGATCAAGTTTTCGTCGGGGTCTTGAGGTTATGGCTATGCATGTGAGCCACAGAAGCAGCATACTTATGGGTTCAATGCATGGGTTGTTGTTTTTCTCTTTCATGTTGTTTCTCGTGATCATTGAGCAGCAATTTCCTGGCTGAGCTTCTATTGTAAAAAGGAAGGGAAGGCATCATTAATTCGGTAACATTCACGAGGGATTTAGATGATGCACAAAGCTTAACCATATTCTTGGCTATGACATGTTTGTGGTATGTTAGGACACACTGAATACTCACCTCAACAGACCTTGGGGTGAATCTTTCTTCACACCCCTTTGCGAACCTCCGAACCGCGCCAAGGAATTTACGGCCCCTAGGGGAAGCCGACAAGCTCACTCAAGCCCGAAGGGAAGAGCAAGGTGATGGTGAAGTTACGTGAGTGTATACGGGTACGTATTGATACGCACTGACATGTGGCCGGTTTATGATTGACGAGTGCTGGAGGTGTAAACCTCTTGGTAATTACATAGGGAAAAACATATCCTGTATTACCTATGTATCTTCATGCATTCCTAGGCTGAGCTTCAAGGTAGCCTGCCTCTGATGGGCCTTGGGAGATTGCGTGCCGAGGTCACTGATGTCACACTGAACGTACAAACGAAACACAGGGGTCCACACAAGCTGCACCCGATATACCAAAGAAGTGCGGGCAGACTGAGTTCATACCACACTATGAATCTCGAGAAGTGGGATACGGCGTCTTGGGAACCTAGGATTGGAGGGAGGAGGGGGTTCACAGCCGTGTAGTTGAGCTAATTTGTCTGCTCTATTCTACCTATCTTCGTGCTCTTGGGCCGTTTGTCGCATCTCGACCGAGTACAATCAACCCGTGCTACAGGTCGGGGCCGGCTTCGCACTACTAACCGTTTGTGTGTTCCTTCGTGATGCACAACTTGTAGGTCGAACGAAGGCAAAGTTGGAACTGTGCATTGAAGGATTTGGCCAGTGTCTAGTGCTCCGCTCCCATAGATGGAGAGTCTCTATACCACCGAATCCGTGAAAAAAGGCCTCCTCTGTACCACATGGGCTCAACCGCCCACCTAAGATACCACTAGATGGTTGCAGTTGCGGGACACAAAATGGATATTCGAGAAGAAATAAACTGGGCCTCCTAACGCCGCCATGCGTACCGACGTTCAGCCTCCACGAATTGAGGCACTATACAAAAAGGAAGACAACACTACGCAGTAAGTAAAACGGCAAGAAGGATGACGACTTTAAGATGATCGTCAACAAATCTTTCTATATTGATCCGTGGAGATGTGGACTTGCCTGTGGATCCCCAAAGACTCATGTGAATACGTAGACACCCCCCTTTGCCCCCCTCTCCTCACCCATTGCCCTCAACTCATCGGTGACCAGCTTTACTACAGTAGATAAAAATCAGAAACAGAAAAGCCATCATAGGGTGGCGGGCTACAGGGTTGTGGTTTCTCCCTAAGTCGAAAGTTGTTTGCACGAATTCGGGGCGTTGTAAGTCAGTTCAACCTGGTTGTTAGGGATAATCATTCTCGGCATGTCATGCTTGTTAACCTACGTAAACTATGTTAACCAATTCCCCCTTTTAACCTCTGACGGTGTTGGTGTTCAACAGCAAATTGATATCTAGATTGGTGGCGAAAGAGTGTTCGCACCGATAAGGACACTGCATTCTGTAAGCACTGAATTCTTCTAGGTGTCGTTGCAGATTCATTAGTCTACAGATGACGTAGAGTAACAGCCATACAAATTAAAGAGGATTGGAAACTCCCTTGTGATAGGGGTGGAGCAAGGGTCGCTGAAGTTTCGCCCCCGGGTTAAGCCGACAGTTGAAGAGGCAAACGATAAGGAAAACCTAGAGACTTGGAGAATCTTAAGGAACTGATCAATATTCGCCATTATTTATACCTACATGAGTAGTTGAGGACGTTGAAGGTAGGTAGCCAGGTTTGATAGCTTACAAACATGGGCGTTGACAGTCAGACAGTCAAATAGAACACTAATATGTAGAGTAGATTCCCATTATCGTATTAAATCTCAGTCAGGAATGAACTAAACGGCAGCTGCACTGCCCCGCTAGTTCATCCAAATATGCCCGTTGTGTTGTTGGCCTTGACTGAAGAAGTATCGTACCGGCCAATGAACCCCAATAACGCCAGATAATCGTTAAGTTCCCAAGACATCCATTCCAAGCCTCAAATCGCTGAATGCCCTCCCCCCCCCCCACCATGGATCATGCAAAACGCCGCTCAAGACAAAACCACTCGCTTGCCGTCATCAAAAAGCACACATATACTCAGGCATCTTGCCTAATCCTCATGCATCCAACCCCTACTCATCTCAACAGCCTTTTCCCACCTCTTGAACATTTTCTCGGCAATCTCCTTGTCCATCTGGGGCTCGAAGACGGTCCGACCAACTTGGTTGACCTCGTTGAGCTCATCCAGTTTCCGCCACACGCCGGTAGCAAGACCAGCGGCAATGGCGGCTCCTAGAGCAGTGGTCTCCCGCATACCGGGGCGGTTGACCGGGATACCAGTGATGTCTGCCTGGGTTTGCATGGTGAGATCCGAGGCGGACAAGCCACCATCGACGGCGAGAGATTCGAGTTTCTGTCCTGAGTCCTTCTCCATAGCTTGGAGGATGGCGCGAGTTTGGAAGCAGGTGGCTTCGAGGGTGGCGCGAGCAATGTGGCCCTTGTTAGTGTGTTGGGTGACGCCGACTGCACAGGGAATTAGTCGTGTTCCAAAGTAAAAAAAACGCATCAAAATTCAACTCACAGAGTGTGCCCTTGGCGTCGTCAATCCAGTAAGGAGCAAAGAGACCGCTGAAAGCCGTGACGAACACAACACCACCGCTGTCAGAAACTGTTTCAGCGAGCGTGGAAACTTCGCTAGAATCCTTGATGAAGCCAAGGTTATTCTGGAGGAACTTGACTCCCGAGCCAGCGACGGCGATGCTGCCCTCTAGGGCGTACACCGGTTTCTGGCCGCGGCCAAAGTCGTAAGCCACCGTCGAGAGAAGGCCGTGCTTGGAGATGACGGGTTCCTCCCCAACGTTGTATAAGAGGAAACATCCAGTTCCATACGTGTTCTTAGCCTGACCGGGTTTGAAGCCGCATTGGCCGACCAGGGCGCTAGACTGGTCACCCAAACATCCGGTAATGGGCACATCAGCCAACGGCCCGTTAGCGAGCTTGCCGAAAGCCTCCGAGTCCGACGACGGGACAATCTTGGGTAGCTGCACTTTGAACTTGTCGATGCCAAAGAACCCCAAAAGTTTGTCGTCGTATTGCAGGTCGTGTAGGTTCACAAACATAGTCCTACTGGCGTTGGTGCTGTCGGTGACGTGAACGGGCTTCTCGGCTTTAGCACCGCCGTTGAGCTGGTAGATAAGCCACGAATCGACCGTGCCGAACGCGAGGCGGTTCTCCTGGTACGCTTGCTTGACCGACTCGACGTTCTCGAGGAGCCACATAAGTTTGACGCTACTGGGGTAGGTAGAGAGGGGAAGTCCACAAAGATCCGTAATGCTCTCAGCTCCGTCGCGCCCCTTGAGCTCGCGCACAATCGAGTTTGTCCGAGTATCGGGCCATACAATGGCATTGTAGAGTGGCTCGCCGGTTTTGCTGTCCCACACAACTGTGGTTTCGCGCTGGTTGGTGAGGCCAATGCAACGAACATCTGATTTAGAGTGACCCTTTTCGACAAACTGCTTCATCGCCCCCTCGATACATTTCTCGACGGAGTCAACAAGCTCATGGGGATCGTGCTCGTGCCATCTATAATTCGTCGTTGTTAGCACCATTTTACGTGTTCTGACCCTGTCGGGGAAGGGGCGATAATGCGGGGCCCGTTGGAGCGGCAAACATACCCTGACTTGGGGTACAGGTTCTTGAACTCTATTTGATGGCTCGCCACGGGTTCACCATCGCCGTTGAAGATGAGGAAGCGAGACGAAGTGGTGCCCTGGTCAATGCTGCCAACATACCACTGCTCCTTCTGCGAGTCTTCTGTCACGAGTATCCCTTGTGGGAGGCGGGTCTCCTCTAGGAGGGTGGGTGTGCCGTCGGGGAGTGTCCGAGGCGTGTCCACGGCGGGCTTCATTAGAAGGCTCTCGAGGTTTAGGGTAGGGGGCCCGTTAAATGGCGTGTCATCGAAACGAGTTGGGTTACGTTCTGGCACATGTACCATGGTGTGTGTATCAGTTGTAGGTGTGACTTGGACAGGTTGTTGTCCCTGGATTGGTGTCTTCGGCGTGCGATTGAAAAGGGAAGTACAGTGTTGGAAAAACCGGCGGAGTGTTCTTGGTTGGGTTTGAACTTGGGTCTGGATTCTGGCTGGTTTCGATTGCGGACGGCGTAGCATTGATAAAGGGGGCCGGCGTGGGGCGTGGAGCAGGTCGAATCTGGGGATGCTGGGGGGGAGGATGACAGAGGAGGGGGGTACGTCATCCAAGGCGTGGCCCTAGCTATTTGTCGAGAGGAGGTGCGATCCGTCGCAGTTGCTCCAAGAGCGACTCCGCTGTGATGCGTGTTGTGGCGTGGCCCGTTTCCACGGATTGAAATTTCCGGCTTCGACTGCTCGAGGAACCAGTAGCCGCCAAATCGGTCGCGCGCACATTGGGGGCAGCGGTCTCCTTAAAAAGCGTGGGCAGGTGGTTGTTTGGTGCGGTGCTTTACCTGCGCAGCCTGCCTCCGGGCTTAATTTTCTGCGCTGGCTGAGAAGGCGGCGCACCACGGCTGCTTCTTCCTTCCAGGGCAGCTTGAGCCTCGGCCCTAACCATTGGTGGGTTTTCTTTGCGGGGGGCGGCTGTCTTACAGGCAATTGGCCATCGTTACGGGAAGTGAAAGCCACGGGACCCCACCTCTATCTAACCCCGCAGCCAACCCCGCCAACTACTCCGCACCCAAGTCTCGAATTCGTTGACAATCGAGCAATCGAAAAATTGGATACCCTCTTGCTATGGATCGTCGATCACCGGACCGTTTCACGCCACGACAGGAAAGAGAGCTCCGGCGTTGGAATCTCTACATAGTGTAGTAGGTTGACGTCTTACCTCCAACCCTCATTGTGAAGCCCCTAAGTTGTTTCCCCTCAACCCCCCGCCATTCCTCGGTTGCTTGTGGATGTGATTGCCCCGAGACTGTACTACGAGAAGGTTACGTGATAGAGCACGTTCAACTTTCAACTGCCTAGACTCTGCCGATCTTGGGATTGCACCGCCCTCAAACACACATTTAGATGGTCACCAGACCAGAGGAAACTGCAAACAACACTCCTTCCTGACAAACCTCCGGTGCAGAGAAGGCTGTCTAGAACGTTGTATTGTCCAGGTTGACCCACGACAGCGGGGTTCTGGCATCGGCAAAGAGCCGCCCGAGCGGGCTGCACTCAGGGGTAAACCCCTGAGGCGAATGCCAAAAACGGAATGAGTCAGGTCGCAGCTGGTAGTTGCCCCGATTTCTCTCGACCTCGGCCCTGCAGCGCGTTGAATGGTCTCATATCCGCGATTCAGGAGTGGCGGTCTAGATGATTGTTGCAATTCTAGATGCTCTGTCTGATCTGGAGTTGATACGGGCAAGGTTACAGAAACAAACAGACTGACTCCTATGCAAAGAATTGTCAAATAGCAAAAGGGCCGCCGGGAATACGGTAGAAAACAAGCCCTCTCGGAAACATGTCGGAGAAACACATGTGGACGAAGGGTACTACTACGTGAGCTTTCAGATCGAGGACCGCGGTGAGGATCGAACGGGACTCCAAGGGGTGGATTAGAACAACACGACAATAAACACGCACGACAAGCGAAAAGGCGAGCGCGACGGTCAACGGGGAACTGACTCGTCTTCGAGCGAATATCGGAAGAGGACGACCCTCCTAAAAGGAACACCGACGAAGAGAGGAGAAAAGGGCGCCGCTGGGAATTGGAATTGGAGAGCAAAAGAGTTTGTTGGGTGTTGATCAAGACTGTAGAGTTTGACGAAAAACAGGCAAGAAAAAAATTATCAGATGCAAAAATTGCAAAAAAAGAGGCAATCGCTTGCCGGGAATTGAGCCCGACGTGGGGGTCGAACCCACAACCTTGAGATTGGTCTGAATGACCGCGTGATAAGAGTCTCACGCTCTACCGATTGAGCTAGCCGGGCAGGCTAGGTGATTTGTTGAACGGTCCATGCTCGATTTTTGACTTATTACAGGAAAATCTCGCAGGCACCATGGATTTTTTAAGTCTGTGTGGTGTGTGTGGATTCAGGTTCAAGACTGTGTGGGGTGGGGCTTTTTCGGCTGGACCCTCCCGTCGGTACCCCGCCGTCTCGGTACGTCTCTCCACCCTTGATCAAGACGGGAACTAGTTACGGCTCAAGGAGGGCACTTTGGGGGGAATTGAAGCGTCTTTATCAATCATAAATCCTTCATCAAGCTGACGTGAACTCATGAAATACTGGGAGTATTTGTCGAAGATCGCGGCTGGGACCTTTCCAACCGCTTGTTGCTAAACATTTTTCAGATGCCCAGTTGTTCATCTAAGTGGAGTATAGCATCATGTGTAAATGGCACCAGGTTTACAAATTGCGAAAAAGACACCTAAAAGACATTGGGAGCCCACTGTTCATATTGATTTCTTTGTTCAACTATTACGTTGTATCTGCCTTACCACCCTTCCCGTTATTCAACTGATAAATCACGCTGCCCGTCTCATCGTCTATCGTGCGGTCAAGAAGTTATATATTGTACTGTCAAGTGAACTTTGACATTATTTACAATCGGATTATTCGATTATGTAGCCCGGGCATGGCCTTAAGGGCCTACGGCATAATAATTGCGGTGGTACCGGCCCTAGGTAGTGTTGATCGTCATATGATCAACGAGCCATCAGAACGGGCTACCTAGGTATGCAAGTGGATGCTCCTGTCCCCGTCGTTTTAGCACAGGAGGAAATTTGAACATTATCACAACTATCTGCCCCATCATATCGTTGTTTGAGAGTCATCATGTTCCCCGTGTCCGCTGGTCTCGATGACCTTGGCGTACCGTTCGACGACCTCTTATGACAGTGAATTTCTACCGGCCACCATACTCATAGCCGTTGACATGGTTGACGCCGCCGTGCTTCTCCTTGCCAACCCTTGGGATCCATTAGACCCCACCCCGTCGACACCACGGCTCAGGGTTGGGCTGCCATTCCCACTGCGACTCGGTAGCGCGTTCCCCGTGCGACGCTCTTCCTCGCAGTTAAAGCAGGGGCCGGGCTTGTCGTGGATGTCGTATAAATGGCGGAATAAAGGGTACAGCTGGTCAGCATCTGGCCGCCGCGTCTGGACCGGATCCATCATACGGCGGATGTGGGGGAGGACGGCAAGGACGCCTTTAACAGACGCTCCAAGCGCTGGATCTGGGGGTAAAGTAGTAGCAGGAGGTGGCCTCGGTGTCGAGTTAGGGGTCGCAGCAGGTCTAGACGGGGTCAAGGTGAGGGAAGAGGAAGCCGAGGTATCGGTGACGGGGCCACGGGCGAGGAGAGTGAGGATGTCGAGATAGGCGTCGAGATTCCGCAAGACGTCGCAGTATTTGAACTCTGTATTGGTGCCAGTGCCGGAGGAGGAGATGGATCGGGCATCGGCACTGTCCAGGGTGTTGATGGAGAGTTGCTCTTCGGCAAACTCAGTGGGGTGACCCAGTAGCACGGTGGCCATCTCAAGAAAGACACAGCCTAGGGAGAAGATATCAGAGTGGTGGTCCCGAGGCGCTTCATATATAGCCTCTGGTCCGGCATATTTCAGGGTTTTAGGGGTAGGCCCTTCTGACGCTTTGCCTGTTTCAAAATGCCTCGAGAGACCGAAGTCGGTGAGTACAGGCAAGCCGAACTCATCAATGACAATATTATCAGGTTTGATGTCTTTATGGCGGATCTGGATGCTTTGCCGGTGAAGGTACGCGACGGCCTGGGAGAGACAGCCAAAATACGTGTACAAGTGTTGCCGCTCCCAGACGTCCTCGGGAGCCTGGCAAACTTCTTCCATAAACACGCGAAGGTTGCATTGGGCTGGTGGGTACATGGCGATTCCGAGAATATGCTTCTTGATCCGCTGGTTCACACGGAAGGCCACCATATTGTGTGGTCTTTGCCGTGGCCGAGGCGCCCGTTGCCTGATCTCCCGGGGTTGGATGCAGCAATCCTCAAAAGAGGCCACATATGCGACGATATGCGGGTGCCGGAGTTCGGACATGGTTTTGACTTCCTTCAACGCATCGCTGCGAGCTTTGCTGTCGGGCCCCGGAGGCCGGGAGCTTTCCTTGCAGACGATAACCTTGAGGGCAAGGGCCCGGCGGTATGCGGAGGTCTCTGGCGCGGTGACCTTGTACACAATGGTGGAGCCCGAGTCACCGAGTTCCTTGATTTGGACAAAAGGGTCCGGCGGCGTTAGATACGCTTTGCCGCCATGGTTGAAGACTTTGTGCTTCTTAGCGTTGAGCCCAGCCGCGTCGACTGCAGTCAGCCACTCCGGGGATGTCTCCCGGTCTGCGTCGTCCCACACAAAGTGTTGGTCATCGTGGGTACTGAGAAAGTCATGGAGTGGGATAGGGGCCGACTGAGATGACTGGCTCTCGCTTGACTCGAACGACGTCGAGACAGTTGAGGGCATGTTAGGAGGCCGTGAGAGGTGTATTTATTGGCGGTAGGGCGAGGACGGAGCGTGTACGAGGTTGGCCAAGGACCTAATTGAGCGAGCGGTGGGAAAAGACAACGGAGTTGGCGGGGTGGAGCGCATGCGGCTCACAAGCACACCGGGAGGGTTATCGACATTTGAGTCCAGCTGCCGGGATTTTGACAACGGGGAGAAAACTCGCCAACAAAAAATGGTCAAGACTCCAGAGGTGCCTGAGAAGGACGCCAGGAAGCTGTGAGGGTTGGCCCTTCCTGAACTGCAGCAGTGCGCCCCGCTGGAGTGGGCCCTTGTACGGTGGTCTTTAACAGTAACTGTCGGGATAGGTACGCCAGGTAGCTTGAAGATTTTCGATTATATTATCCATTCTGTTGTCAGTCATATTCCTTTTATTACAGTGTATCAGTTCATCAATCACGTTGAGGATCATACACCCGGTCTTACACTAGTTGAGGTAGTCAATTTATATGTTATCGGTAGTACAATATGTTTGTGTCAAGGTCGGATACGTTGTGCCTCTTCACCTGGTAGAAAAGTTTTACTGCCCAGGGACTGTAAATCCCAGGCGTTTGCAGTCATTCGCAGTTAAATGCCACCGTAGGTAGCCTTCCATGTTTGGTTTCACTACCGACCTCTCGGATTGACATACGGTAGATTGGTCAGGGGGGGCATGTGCAGACACGACAGTACAAAGAATGCACAGGCTGGCCGCTAGAGGCCTGACGGTCAAGCCCCGGCTGTGTCACCATCCCCGATAGGCCCGGACGTTGATGTGCGGCACAGCGCTGCGGAGTGGTGGACTGGGGGCGGCCGGCAGTCAACCCGCCTACAGCCCGAATGGGCGATCCAGATTGGGGCTGCATGGCGATGTGGGATATCATGTGCGGCTTCGTGAGGCGCAAGGGAGATTAGCCCCGGAGATGGAATGGAACTTAAAGCCGAATGTTCTTGTCGTTTCGTCAATTGTTTCTTGCCCTCGGTCGAAATTCTCCTGTTCAGGCACCGCTGCCTCTTCACTCACTCAGATCTTAACTTGTTGTGGCGGGACCCTGCAGCGTATCATGTGCCCTAACCCTGACCTGACGACACCTTTCCACAACAAAGGACTTGCCTCGCATGATAGGAAAGCGCGACCAAGAAGTGACCTGTTTTTCGTCACCAAAAATAATCGAACCATTTTCTCCTATGCTGACCAGGGGTGCGTGTGACTCAGGGCTACAATCATATGCTCACATTGTGAACATGGATTGAGTCAAAGGGACTGTCGCGTGAGAGCGCCAGTAACTTTCTCTGGCTGGAATTTGTCACTTTCATTCAAGAAATCCACCATTTGCAAGTACTAATCTTTCAGCGCACCCCGTGTTTCCCGATGCGTACACCTTCAGTATTTTCCCCCTATGGATTACGGTGTCAAGCCTGGTGATAGGGCTAGCAGGCACAGTTTCCTAGGGGATGTGTCTATTGAATATTATGAGAATTGCAATATGTACAGTACCAAAGAATGTGAGTGGCCTCCCATCACACCACGGCGTTACCGTCTCCCTACATTTATCTTCCCACAATTGTAACCTCATAGGTCTGTCGGACCGTTCCTACGGAGACTAGGATCACCAAATAAGAAACTCAACAAAAGCTCAACTTACAGGATATCGAGCAACGAACCCGCTCAGAGCCCGCCCAACGCTACAATACAACTCGTTAGTTGTCAAATCACAAAGGGGGAAATGAAGGGAATACTCACCAGCAGAATAACACAAATACCACGTCAAACTTGCCCCGCCATCCAACCAACCCGGGTCAAACCCAGCCCTTCCCACAGCCTGCTGTTTGTTGGGATGTTCACCCCTTGCACCAGCAGCAGCGCCACCGCCAGAAAAGAAGGTATACGCCCCTTTGGGATCAATCGTCGCATAATTCCCCCACAACACGCCCTTCCACCCACCCTGGATGGCATCCACTCGCCCTTGACTAAAGTAGGTATCCCACTCCTCGCGCACAAAGTCCGGTGTGCGGATGAAAGGTGTGTGCGGCAGCAGGGGAAGCATGTGGATGCCCTGAATGAACTCGATGTTGGTGCCAAAGTAGGTGGTGTGGTCGATCTTGTTTTCGAACAGGATGCCGGCCGCCTTGTTCCCGATAAATTCGTGCGGCTGGACCGTGTTGGCGCTGGTGTAGAGGTAGTAGGAGCGCAGGGAACGGCCTTGGACAGCGAGCATCAGGTTGCCTCTACAAAGGACAGAAGCATTAGTTTGGTGTTTGAGATAAAAGGTATGGGTATCAACCCAGGACAAAAGGAGTCCACTTATTCAACTTACCGAGCCTCCAGGTTCGCATCACCCACGACGGATCCCCACATCTTCAGCGCATATGCATGCATCGTATCCTCCGAGCTCGACTCCTGGTCCTTGCCATCAAGCGTGTCGAACAGCCCATGAGCCCAGCTGTGGCCGTGGAACCAGTCGAAAGATCGCCACAGAGGGAAATAGGAGTCCTGCGTGCTAGGATTGGCAATATCACGCACGAGCAGATTAACATACGCCTTATTGGCGTCGATCCATGACGGGTCCAGGTGCCCGATGGCGGCGGCCGTGTAGATGAAGTAGCCCCAGTGGAAGTGGTGGTCGTTGTACAGCGTATTGCCGAAGTCAGCCCCTGTGTCACCTGTCGAGTACGTCGCAGACGACACTATGCCGCCCCATGCGCCTGTGTTTGTTAGACGCCGAATTCAGGAGACCAGCGGCATGATGTAAGAGGGGAGAAGGGACGCGGGGGTCAACACTCACTTTCGTACACCAACGGATATTGTTGTGTGTTCTGCGCAAACCGCGAGAATGCCTTCTTTAGCTGATCCAGCCCGGCCTGGGCCAGCCCCTGATCATCCAGCATCTCCTTGGTAGCCACGATGAGACTAGCAAATTTGGCCAATGCCTGCCATCGTACACACAACTCGTCAGCTCTCATCCAAGCCAAGGTTTTCCGACCTCTGTTATCACACTCCTTACCTTCCCACTGAAGTACATCGAATTCTGATCCGTTTGATCCAGAATATTCTGCGATACCTCCTGCTGCGCAACCGTATGGATGAACTGTTTGGTAGCGTCCGAAAGGGTGCTGAGACTGCCAGTCTGCGGTGTCCACGGCAGGAACCCAATGTTCGTCGGCAGATTTGACTCAACCAGGGTCCAGCTGTCCGCCATGACCGCGGCTGCTATACCTTTGGTCGTGGTCTGCAGCTTTACGCTGGTCACCTTCCCCTTGGTGGCGCCGTCAAACGAGTCCTGGTGGTGCGGCAACGCAAACATCGCTAGTGCAGTGTCGCTGAGACCGGCTTTCTGGAAGGCGAGAGTGTATGACCCCGATGCACCGGATACTGAACCAGACAGCTGGACCCCGGTTGGGTATGCGCCGCAAGCCTTGTCAAATACCGCCTCACCACCACCGGGATCCTTAGTCACCTGGATGGTACCGGAGAACGGGCCCTTGGCCTGGGCCAACGTGTTGTCGACCACCTCGAGATCTAGGGGATTCCCTTTGCTGTGGTAGGCATATACGAGCCAGGTCGCCCCGTCCTCTAAAACGAGCTTGTACTTGGTGATGCCCTGCTTGGGGTCCGTCGTCGCGCGAGTGACGGTCCTGTAGTAGACGCCCGTCTGGAGCACCGGAACCGCGCCATCGTACAAGGCCGTGATGAAGCCGGAGCCCTGGACTAGAGGGAACCTCACTGCAGGAGTGCCACCGGTGTTGGGGAGCAGGTTAACTTGCGCGGAAAAGTCCGTCAGGGCGTCGGTGTTCAGGACAGTGCCGCTTCCAAGCTCTTTCGCCGAGAGGATCACGGATTGGATCCCAATGGGGTTGATAAAGTACGACACGGCCCCCGTGCCAGGGCTGGCTTGGCCGTAGACCCGCTGCTGGGCATCGATGTGGGAGACGGCGAGGCCCCAGCTCTTTGCGGCTCCCTGGCCCCGAGCCCAGGCGACTGAGTACGGGTGCAGGTAAGCTGGAGTAGTCTGGTTCCCGAGGTGGAAGTTGTTGTAGAATTTGTTGGTCCCGATGGGACCGTTCTTGTTGGTAATGCCTTGTCGGGGCACAGGGTGGTCGTCCTTCCTGGCGAAATTTGCAAGTGGCGCATCCGTGGAAATGGGATCGGCAAAGATGTCTGAACTCGCCGTCGGCACGCTTGATGAGGACCCCATGCTGAAGCTGATGCCCACCGAGATGGGCAATGAGATGGATATGATCACAGTCGGCTCGGGGATCAGGTCTGTTAAGAGCGGACAAGCGGTGACGTGCCCAAGGGTCTCAAGCTCAGAAGGGATGAAGCCGGGAGCCGGAGTGGTTCTGCTGGGAAGGATCTGAACGGTGCCGTCTGGGCCAACGCTCGTGATAACTTTGGCCGGAGTTTTGGCAACGGCTTGAACTGTTTTTGCCGGGAGATGCGCGGATAGGGTTGTCGAAGAAGGGTAACGGTTGATATTATTGCGGTCCTCTTCTGATACCGGAAGAGACGTGACAACCTGCAACGCGGTTAACAACGCGGCCGCTAACCGCCATATCCGCCCCATCGTGAGTTAGCGATGCATGCAGCATCTGGGAATACGCCTGGGAACCCATCTTCACTTGAACCCGGGACTACCGGCTCATCATATAATGTTGACGACCCTTGAGTTTCTGGCCCGATAAAAGCGTCTTGTCTTGGCCAGTGCGGCTAGCCCTATGTTTGTTTCGGCCATGATCAACCTAAACGCGGTCTCTGCAGGTAGGGGATCGTCGTTGTGGCTGACTGGAGTTCTGCACAGGTGGGGCTAAATATTGGTCTGGATTCGGGCATGGGCCGTCTGATTTCATTCAATCCAACAGAGGAACATTTCTCACCTTGATATTGTTTCAGGAAGAGAAACCGGAAGAGGCGCTCGGGATTGAGGATAAAAGGAATACGAGGGGAAACTTGGTTATATACGAACCGGGAATAAGAGAGAGGTACCTATGTACAAGGAAAACAAAGGGGGTTCGGAACGAGGCGAGGAGAAGCTCAATGGGACCGTTGATAAGGGCTGAAGTGTGGTAGGTGTTGAGTATCAAGTTGACGAGGTGGTGTCCCAAGGGGCGGGAGGCATCTTAATAAATATTTCAAAGCTGTAAAGAGCTTTATTCCATGTTTCCATACCTAAAGTCAGGTCCTGCTTCTGACCTGGAAGTTGGTTGCTTCGAAGTGGATCCACAGGTCTTAAGCACTACACCTCTTTGCCAGTCAAAAGGATGGTACACTGGTCCCCAGGTCAACTTCAGAACCATGTGAGGCAAGCACCTCCCCCACCATCCTTGTCTAGTGACATGCTATGGTGCCATTTTAAGATGCGCGAGATCGAAGATCATCCTTCTCGAACCGGCTTTTCGCATGAGAAGGCGATGCAACGCAGCCATGGGAATTTCCAATGGACAAAAGGCCGGTTGAGAAAGTGCCATAAAGACGGCCTGTATGAGGAGAACCGCCTCGAGCAAACAAGTCATCATGCTCCGTAGCGGGCAAATTTCTTCATGAATTTTTGTTGGATTGGGCTGGGCATTGTATTGCTGGTAGAAAGGCGATATAGTCCCTTCGTGTCGGCCTCCTCGGCGCAACAAAAGAGGACGTTCACTGTGTAAGAGCACGATTTCTGACAGCCAACCAAACGGACGTAGAGAGCACGGTGTACGTCAGAGATGCAAGCTCCGCAGGCCAATAACTTGTCATGCTAGGCCACTAGCTCCAGGGCAAACAGGATAGAGCGATATCCCCGCAAGGTGTGAGACAAGGTGTGTACTAATGCGTGCGTGCGCAGTTGGAGAAAATGTGAGCATTCCGATTTAGAGCCCCAGGGCGTCATATTTGCCCGTCACTGGAATCTGTCTTGTGATGGGCTCGACATGCCGCTTTTTCTCAAGCCCCGTCAACCTGACCGGTCGAGGTGGCGGCGGGCATCCTTCTCGATAAGGGTTTTGGGGCCCCATACTTTCGCTGCCTCCGTCTCGGGCTTCCGTTTCCGCTCTACGATATGATCCCATCCTCTCTAACCCCGTCCGTCGCTCCTGGCTAGCGTTCCACCTTGTCTTGTTTCCCAGTCCCATGTTCCTCACCGGGTCCGAATTCCCCCCCAAACCGGTCCTTTTCTCCAGCGCAGTTTTTGTCTCCAGCCCCGTCTTTCGCTGCCAGCCGACTGCTTTCCCAGACTCACTTCTTCTCTCTAGACCACTCTCGCGCTCCAATCCTGTTTTTCGCTCGGGTACGCTCAGCCCCTCTAGCCCGGTCTTCTTCTCAAATTTCGGTCGACTTTCTGGGGCTGCTTTGCTGTTCAGGCCCATATTCCTTTCCAGACCGGTTGACCGCTCAAGGCCCGTTCTCTTTTCCACCCCGTTTCCAGGGACCGTTTTCCCCACTTGAATGTTTTCCTCAATCTCTTCTACCCGCAGCGCAGCCCTCTCTAGCCCCGTTTTCTTCCTGATGGGCAGGGCTGAGCCAGGGGTCGTGTCCCGGCTGCGCTTCCTCGCCCGTCCTTCCTCACGAGACGCTGTCTTCACCGAAGACTTCTCCAATCCTGTCTTCTTTTGCTCCCCAGCTTGCCGGCCGTGTTGACTGCGGAATCGCCCTTCTTCCTCCTTCCTGCACCGTCTCACTACTCGCTCATCCAAGACCCAGGGACTGGACAACACCTCCAACTTGAGCTGCGCCGTTTTCTCCCAGAACACTATCTCTTGATCGGTGGAGTGAAGGTGAACGATCTTTTCGGCGTAAACTTGCTTATTATTGCGAAACGTGCGGACAGACCCTTTAATATCCAGCACGTGGCCGACGTCGATCGGCCGGTCGATGACTACGGAACGGTTCTGTCCTGCAGCTGGCGTTTGCTTTGTTGTCGCCGTCGTGGCATCCACCGTAATTCCAGGCGTTGCTTGGGGGTCGACCTTGACGACACATTCGATGGTTGCCCCGCTGCCGTCATCAATCATGTAAAAGCGAGCCCATTCGCGCTCATCAACCGACACCACGACACCGGAAACGCGCACCCATTTGATCGGGTGATTGAGATAAAAGTAGACATCCTGGCCTGGAGGGACACGCGCGAGTTAGCAACAGACAGTAGCCTCTTGTGGTGGAGGATCCCTGGTTTCCTTTCTCTCTTCTTCCGTTTTGGGGACATACCTTCGAAGCCCGTATGGCCCCTTAGTGTCAAGACATCACAGGCCTGGAAATGACACCAGCGGTTGATGGTGGGCGACAGGTGGAAGCAGTATTGTGGGTAGATGTCGCAAATGGTCGCGTCGGTCATGGTACCTTGCGTTGCAGCGGGTGCGCTAGCATGTAGCCTCGAAAACTAGTAGATCGCAAAACAATGAGGCAAGTCATGTCTGTGGTGGGCTTCCGGTCGGGCGTGCCGGGCGCGTTGGCTGCCTGGCACATGAGCTTGCCATTTGAAGTCTGGGAAGCTTGAAGTAACACCGTGGACTCCCCGCCTAGCTCAGGCGCGAGCAAGATCAGATAAAATGGCCCGTGCGTGTTGGCCAGGTGACGCACCACAATGGCTCAGTGTGTGGGGTCATTCATGGTCTTCACGTTACCTACACAGCCAAGGCAGCGCACGCATCCATCCATCAAGAAAACAACTTAGTTGAAACATATCTAGCTCACCAGATTGGTTACGACCCGGGCGATGATCCGTCGAATCGGCCCGAGGAAGCATGAGACCAACCTCGAGCGTCTAGAGAAGCAAAATGGCAAGTCCAAGGTCAATGAACGCATGTGATTGAGGTGTGGTGAATTTCCAGTTCAATTTCCGAGCAACAACGCCGATACCAAGCTGTTAAGCTATGCGCCATGACCATCCTACCAGATCCCCTACCTAATCAAGCCAATACCCCAGGTTCCCATTGCCCTCAGTCTCGTGCCGTCTCTCTACTTTCGCTTCTTCTTCATACCCGCCTGTATCGCCTGAAACTGCTCCTCCGAAATATCCGGCTCCTCTAGCACCCTCTTTTTTCCCTTCCCAGCCGCCTTGCCCTTTGCCTTGGGCACAGCACCGTACTTCTCGGCTAGCATATCCAGCGCGCTGGCCCTGGATGCCTGGTTCCGTTGGATCAACGCGGCCAGGCCAGCTTCCGCGTCCTTCTTACTCTGCTTCTTCTTCCCGTCCCCGCGCAGCTTCTCGTAGACACCCAGCTCCTTGGCCAGCTCATCTGCTTCTTGTGCTTCCTTGCGAGCCGCCTTTACCCGGGACTGCCGCGTCTTCTTAGTCTCCTTGACGTACGCATTGAAACGCTCGACCTCCTCAGCCTCGATTGCGGCATCAATCAACGCGCGGAAGCGCTCGTCATCTTCCAGCACGTTACTCAGCATGACACTCTCGTACACGCCATCCATGTCACCCTCAAACTCCTCGTACGCGGCCAACACATCGTCCTTTTCCTCCTCTGACCCCTTGTACTCCGCCGCAAACTTCTGGATCGCCTCCTCCGAAATGGCATCCCGGAACTGCTCTCTGTAGAAATCGCTCCAGCTGAAACCATCGGCATCGACAACCGCTTCCGAGGTCGAGCCAGTTTCGTCGTAGCGTTTGCGCCGCGCTGGGTCAGAAAGTACGGCGTACGCAAAGGCGACTTGTTGGAACTTCTCTTTGGCCTCGTCTTTCTTATCGGCGGCGGCCTTGTCTGGGTGAGTTTTGAGAGCTGTTTTGCGATACGCCGATTTGACCTCGCCTGCGCTGGCGCTGCGTTCGAGCCCTAGGACCTCGTACGGGTCGATTGTGGGCGGCCCTCCGTCCATGAGATCGTCGTTGTCTTCGTGGTCTGACATTCTGGTTGTGTTTTGTCTGCTTGTGGTAAGTGGGTGGGAAGGCTGGAAGCTGGCCCTCGAATCGTTTATTGAGAGACGCGTCGCGTTGCCTGCCGCGACAGGGCAGTGCGTATTACAGTGTGGTGCCTAGAAATTGGTCGATATTTACACTGTACCAAGCATTCTGCAGCTTTCCACAAATCACTCGGGGGTTGTCCGTTCTTCTCCCAACTCACAAACAACAGACCCAATAAAGCTGGAAAATGGCCACCATCGCACCCGACGACCACAAAGCTTACATGCGCCTCGCCCTCGAGCAGGCACGCAAATCGCCCCCGAAGCCCACCAATTACCGCGTGGGCGCAGTGGTCATAGACACCGCAACTAACAAGATCCTCGCAACCGGCTTCACACTCGAGCTTCCTGGCAACACGCACGCCGAGCAGACATGTTTTCTTAAGCTGGCCGAAGAGTACCAGGTGGACGAAGAGAATCTCCGCGATGCTCCATCTCTCCCGCGGCAGTTAGCCTTATACACCACCGTTGAACCTTGCTCGAAGCGACTGAGCGGGAATCTGCCTTGCGTTGAGCGAGTCCTACGTTTAGCGGGGCTGATCCGGACCGTGTACGTCGGCGTCATGGAGCCTGAGACGTTTGTCGCCAAGAACACGGGGAAGAAAAGCCTCGAGGACGCAGGAATAACGGTTGTCCATGTGGCGGGGCTGGAGGAGGAGATCTTGGAGGTCGCTACGGCTGGACACGTCAAGGGGTGATCGCGAATCAAAACGAAAAGCTCCAAATTTGGTGCCGTTTCAGAGCCGGACCATACCGCCGTACCAATGAAAACCGATTCCTAGCGGCATATTAAAGGGAGATCTAGGTTCCGGGTAACAACAAAGAAACAACGACAAACCACGATTCGGTTAAATTTTCTCGCCCTCCAATATCGGCTTCGCCTCCTCGCTCCTCCACCAGCTACCCTCCTTACCGGGGTATTCAAACCGGTCCATGCTCTCGGCCTTCATCTCAACGCTATACCCTGGCTCGGTCGGGGTTTGGTAGAATCCGTCCTGAATGACAGACGGATGCAAAAAGTGCTCGTGCAGGTGGTCGACATACTCTAGCACGGACTGCTTCCCGCTTACAACGACATAGTCGATGGTGCTCAAGTGCTGGGTGTACTCGGGCAGGCCGACACCGCCGGAATGGGGGACGATGGGCACGCCGTACTTTTTGGCCATGAGCAACACGGCGAGCACCTCATTGACGCCACCCAAGCGGCAGGCATCGATTTGGCATACGTCAATGGCCCCTGCCATGAGTAATTGCTTGAAGACGACGCGGTTCTGGCACATCTCGCCTGTGGCGACGCCAATGCCGTGGGGGCGCAACGCATCGCGCACCGCCTTGTGGCCAAGAATATCGTCAGGCGACGTCGGCTCTTCGATGAACCACGGCTTAAACTCGGCCAGCTCCTTCATGTACGCGATTGCCTCAGGCACTGACCACACCTGGTTGGCGTCCACCATGAGGACGTTGCCGCGGTCGAAGCCAATTATTTCGCGGGCGATGCCTAGACGCCGCTTGTCGCCCTCGAGACTGCCGCCCACCTTGAGCTTGAAGTGCCGGTACCCCTTGGACAATGTCTCCTGCAGCAGCCCGCGCATCTTGTCCTCACCGTAACCCAACCAGCCTGCGCTGGTCGTGTACGCTGGCACAGCCCGGCTGTTTTCAGCATCCCGGATACGCTCCGCTTTGCCCGTCTCCGACTCGGTCAGCATGGCCAGCGCCTCCTCAGGGGTGATGGCGTCGGTAATATAACGGAAATCGATGCAGTCGACAAACTGCTGCGGCGTCATCTCGGCCACCACCTTCCACACAGGCTTGCCCAGTGTCTTGGCCCACAGGTCCCAGATCGCGTTGACCACGGCACCCAGCGCCAGGTGGATCACGCCCTTCTCCGGGCCAATCCACCGCAGTTGGCTGTCGTTGACCAAGTGGCGCCATGTTTGCCCCCAGTGGGCCACCAGGCTGGAGAGCGTGCGACCCTTGATGCGCTCGGCGACGTGGTTGATGGCGGCACAGACTATGTCGTTTCCGCGGCCGATGGTAAACGTCTGTTTGCCCATCCTATGTTAGGCGGGGTGATAGAAAGGGCCGGGATAACCCTTGGGGGGGTTGGGCACGACTCACCATGCCGTGGCCAGTATACGCAGAGTCAGTCTCAAGTATGCAGTATGCAGATGAGTAGTCGCCAGCAGCATTCATGGCATCTGAGCCAGTTTTGTCCAATGAGGTGGGGAACCGGACATCGCGTGTTGTCCACCCGGTGATGGTGATTTCAGCCATGTTTGTTTTGTCGTGCGATAACGACTATGGGAAGACTGTTTGGATGAGTCCGATGTGTTGTTGTAAAAAATGAGGTAGGTGGCGACAGAATGTCCAGGCACGAAAGATTTCCTCCTCCACAGAAATCTCCAATGCGCTAAGAAATACACACGCAACCTCGCGGTGAACCCTCGGGACTACCTCACGGAAGAAATCCCGTGGCTCCTTTCTAGCGCTAAGAGTCGTGGGCCGGCGCCGCGGACGACGCGGGGCAATGAGGGGCATGGTGGGGTTGAACTTAGTCGCGACCCGGGGGTGGATAGACGTCCCGCGTTGTGATTGATGGAGAAACCATCGCAGTATGGGGAACGGCAGCTCTCTTGGAAGGTTTTTTGGAGTTCCGCCCGGGGGGATCGTGACATCGAGGAGCTGTTGTCACCTTGCTGTCGTCGTCTGTCGGGTTAATCCTGACCAGAGAGCCGAGATGGGGCGTCGAGTGCGCCGGTCACGGCCCAACGTTGGCGGCAGGCAGATGTGCGTCCTCTCATAAGACCTCGAATCCTGGATGTTGACCAAGTTTGACTCGGTGAGGTGAGAGCGACAGGGATGTGTGAGCTCCAAGAGGATGGTACCGCTCGGCTAACTGGGAGCCGCACCTTGACGGGTTGAAGGTTTCGCCACTCTCAGGGTTGAGTGTTTGCTATGTTTACGACTCAAGACGAAGTTGAGCCCAAAATCCGGGGCGGTGGATACACTCTCAGGCCTTCAACGGCTCACTCAGCATTGATAAATGTTTGCTGTCTCAACTTGCGGGGAAACACGACTCGAGCTTTGAAGAGACCGCTGATTCAAGAGAGACAAACTTTCAGTTTGACTAGAACAAACTCTTTTGGCCTCTTCCATCTGCCCGATGATGGAAGAGATGGAAGAAGCCGGTGTTTGTGGGTGGTGGGGATGGAAACATCAGCAACAAGAGTGCCTAACCTGGAGGCTCACCTAGGTCTACCAACCCTGCTATTTACTATCAGTGCACGTTGTCAGTGCACAACAGCCGTGGTGCCTCCTTCCGTTTGAACTTGTCTCCCCTCCTCTTACCCTGAAGTTGAGAAAACAGCGGTACCTTCCCTTAGAAGGTGAGTCGAGCACCAGAACATGTATCTCCAAAGTGGTATAATGGAATTTGGGGTGGCGATCCCATGGATGCACACCAGGCCCTTCCCATCAACAATCCGTTGAGCCTGGAGCATATCAGCTGATTTTTACCTTCGGCCCCAGTTTTGAATCGCCTTCAAAACTTTCCTCGAAGCTAGCTCCGGGTAATGGGTGTCCCTGATGTTGCGCATCGATAGGCAGCGTGATAGCTTCTAGAAGCCTTGGCACCCGCTTCCGATACCTTCGAGCCCTCGATCCATGTTGTCGATCAACGGCTGCTAGTCAAGCAGAGCAAACATTGCGGAACTGCGGGGGAACGGAATGTACTGGGCCTTTCTTGGCCCACCGAGGCCCGCCGGTGAATGAAAGCGTCTCAACTTCAAAGGACAAACACACCAGTCGTGCTCTATCGACAAAACCCCAACTTGTTCCTCGACAACACAGGCAGAACCCCGTTGTGTGGCCTCGCAAGCCGCATGACAAGCTGAGATGCGCTGACTCGAGCGCAGCCGTTGCACCGCGGAGATGGGACAATGGTGGCTAGTAAGAGGAACTATGGCGCGCCAAACCACTCCTTCCTTGCGGCTTGCCGTCGTTCATGATTCAGGTTGAGCAGGTGGTTTACCAGGACATTGCCGGTATACCCTTAGCTTTGACCGCTTCGCTTTCTCGATGTAGAGTATGTTTGGGCACTGGGATGATTACTACCCCAGGATGCTAAAGGAAGTTGCCGGGCGTCATCGCATCGAGGTGTGCGAGGTCATTTTTATGGTTTAGCTATTGGCAAAACGCACAATACCTACAGACATAAGATCACCTTTCCTCCGCCCACCGAACCATTGCTATTGTCTATTGTGCCCCGACCACTCACTATTACTCTATCGCCTAAACAGGCCACATAATCAACAATGGAACAAAAGCGCGAGGCACTCCTCGCCAGGGCTACCGCTCCAGAAAAGCCCTCCAACATGCGAACAAAACTCCAAAAATGTGTTTCGAGAAAACCCAGCTTCAGTCGCCGAGCACTTCCCAAAGACCTTGCAAAAGAAGGATCAGCTCTGTCCACACAACCTCGTGCATCTCAATCACCACCACCACCGGTACCTCCATTACCACCAAGCACCATGGCACGACACGGATCTTTTCGATCAGACACCGGTTCATACCAGGACGAAGCTTTTCGGTCCGTGGAGCGCTTGGAGCCCAAAACTTACACTGTCCCGGAGACCAGAGACCTCTTGCCGCCCAAGCAACAGGACACACCAGACAAACAGCAACAGTCATCATCTTCCGGTTCTGATAACCCCAGCTCCTCAAAACGCGGCTTGAGATTCCGCAAAAAGACGCCGAAAATCTCAACCGGGCTGGCGAGCGCTTTCCCGCGCCCTCCCAATGCCCTTAAGAGGACTTCGAGTGTGGAACTTATCGCTGCTCAGTATCACGCCATGTCCGAGTCACGGCACAGCTCTAGGTACTCGGACGAGTTTCAGCAGTTCAAGCTGTCGCTCACAGAGAGCGACACCAAGGAACAGATCATGACCCAACGGCCTCAAGTACCGCAACGCGGCGGAAGCACCGGCAGCAACTGCACCAACTGCAGCAGCAATGCTAGCAGCCAGCGCAGCGTGTACCACGCCCAAGACTACGACGTCGATGATTCAGCTCATGTGTACGTCGAGACGCCTTCCACTGCCGGACTGCCCGGACCGTCGCCTATCTCAGACGACGGCACGCTAGTATCATTCCAGGATGATACCGTATATTTCAAGCCGTTTTCGTCTGCGCCCAAGTCTGACCCGGTGTCACCACCGTACCAGGAGTACAACCGAGATCAGTTTCAACTTCGTGATGAGTATGACTGGAGTGAATATCGCCGGGACGAACCTCACTACAACGATCAACGCTACAACAATTACCACTACGACGATCACCACTCCGAAGATGGCGAGTATGACGACTACAACCACCTAGATGACCAACACTACGGCCGCCATTATGATGTTGCCGACGATCAACATGATAAGCCCCAGCCCCCCAGCCGTCAACTAAGCAGTGCCAGCACCGCTGCCGAGGCCAATCTTGAGTTAATGGGGGTCGATGATAAAACGGAAGACAATCTCGGCCTTCAAATCTGCCTCGACCTCCTCACGCGGGAGCTCTCATCGGCAGTGACAGCCATCAACCGCCACCACCCATGCCAGACTTCATATCCCTCCTTTACCTCTTCACCGCATTCGCCCGATAGTGGCACATCAACCCTGCAGGTGTGGACCATGATCGAGGCCTACGAGCGGCTGCGTGACAAGATGGCCGGGATGAACGGCACAAATGGACGAGCGCGGTCGATGGAGAAGATGTTTGACTCGTGGCTGGGGGCGTTGTACTCGGTACATGGGTCACTGAAAAAGAACGGTGGGGAATTCGTTGGGGCGAGGGATGGGAGGAGGTCTGGAGACAACGGCATTAAGCAGAGACTAGAGAGGAGTGAGAAGCATAGGGGTATGAGGGGGGGGCAGAAGTGAGACTGGGTTGGGCTTCTAAGGGTCAATGGAAGGAAGGTGGATATTGCCCTTCAGTTCGTCTCCTTTGAGTTTTGTTCTTCGTTTACTCTTCCGCGATACCAAAATTAGGTTTGGGCTAGGCTTAGGTTGGCGTTTGTCCAGGTGTTATGTACAAAATTGACTGTCCTTCCTTATTCTACAAGTCAACTTCCCCAACCAGGTCTCGGCCCTTCGTGAGGTGGCTACTAACTTTCATGAGAAACTGGGGAGAAACAATGTTTTGAAGCCAATTTCGAGGTAAAGTGAAGGCATCTTCAACTATGGACAATGACGCCCAAACAACGATATAATCAATTTATCCAAATACAACTCGAAAGTATACTACTAGACGTCACAATGGAAGCCAATGTTTACAACGGTTTACGGCTCGCTCCTTCCCAACGACCATTAGGTAAAATACAGGAACGACTCACATCAAACAAGACTCTGCACAGACTTTGATTTCAGACCTATTTTACTCCCGTTTTTCGCAAAAAAATGATGTAAACCTTTCAGGCATTGACAATTTACGCTGGTATGTAATTATTGATGAATAATGATGAAGACCTTGGGCCTAAGCCCCTCCCCCACGGTCTGCCGGTATAAGTGCTGGGCCTTTATAAGCCGCTACAATCTCTCCCGCACATCCACACTCTCTCACACGTCCACTCTCTCTCGAACGTCAACTCTCTTCTGGATATGTACATTTTCCTCGACAATACAGCAGCATGGAACAACTAAAAGTACGGCTCGGGCGACTCGACCTAGAGGTGCTTGACAGCATCGTGACGGCTACTGTGGTTGATCCCGATGCGGTGCGTCGCTTTGCCGACGACATCTCGCCCCCGGCAGAACCAGTAAATGACTATATCACGGAGGTGGACACACGCCGCGACCTCTTTGAAAAATATCGAGCGATTTGCCATAGCCAGGAGGACCAGCCAAACGCGGTGGTATTCGCCTTATTCATGGTCGCGCCCGTCACAGAAATTCGCACTTTTCTGGACGGTTACAAACCCAAGGGATGCGAAAAGCAACAGGGTTTTCGGACAGGCTGGACTCTCATGAATTCAGTAAAAGCCATCAGAACCTGTACGTTACTCTCCCCCTGTTCAAATCTCCCTACCATTTCTGGCTTCCCCCCTCCTACGCCTTCAAAACCATACTGACGAGGATAGACCTTGGTAACCCAACTTCTGTCGCGACCCTTGACGAACCAGAGACGCCAGTCCCTCCAGTCTCTGAAACAAGATATGGGTTTGAAAAGAGTGTACGTTGTGTTCATTCATCTTCCTGTGGATGGTTACTAACGGAGATACAGGTAAATAAAAGGGACGGAGGTGTTTGCGTATTTTCTGGAATGCCAGATCCCCAGGCAGCGCATATTGTCCCGTTTGCACTGAGCAGCAACCAGGCGTTCTTCAGCCTTGACAACATGCTCACGACATTTTGGGGTCCCAACCAGGCAAGGACTTGGCGTCGGACGTATGAGTGTATAGAAATGGCCCAGTCTCCCGTGAACGGCATTTCGATGAACCACCAGATACACTTCTGGTTCAACACTGCAAGGGTCGCTCTCAAGCCTCTTCGGCTAGACGAAGAAGGAATTACTGTGCAGTGGCACTGGCTAAAGAAAAGTGTCCTGAGCCCACTCACGCGTATTACGCCGGACATCGACATCCTCCACCAGGCTGGGGTGATGGACCAGAGCTAGGGCGACGACCCCGATACCTTTGCACCCCGGAAGAGCGGTGTAAGAATACAAACGGGCCAGACGTTCCTTTTCCCACGGAGTAGTGCTATGCCCAGCTGGGACCAGCTGGAGCTCCAATGGGACCTCCACCGAGTGGCAGCTCTTTGTGGAGCGGCCGATGTGCCCGAGGACTACTACGACTATGAAGATCCATACGATCGTGAGTATTGCGAAGTCGTGGCTGCCAGGGAACGCGCTGTCTGGGCTAAATACGAAAGCCGCAAGAAGGGCAAGGAAGTCGCAGGGGCTGAGGACAAGCCGGTCAACACGCCCAGAAGCTCCGACGCGGGTAGCGATGACACAGCATTCGAGATGGTGTTATAGAGAGTTTGGGGTAAAGGATGTTGGCCATCAGTTTGGGGGGAGGGGCATCTTGGCCACTGGTTTCAGTAGCATCCGGGAGAAGTGGGGGGGGGGGTGTGTTGTGAGATAGACGAGTAAATATCTGTTTTCTCAAATGATATCTATTATCTTGGACGTGTCTATGCTGCTTTAAAGATCTATTCTCTCTGTTAGTTATCTTGTTTAACTCTCTATTCTCTTTCAAATATCTCTTTTCTCTTTTGAACTACTTTGTTTTAAATACATATTCTCTTTTAAACATCTATTTTTTCTTTTGATCATTTCCTCTCTTTTCTTTTTCCTTCTTAAAATATTTATTCTCTTTCAAATATCTATTTTTTCTTTAATCACCCCTCCTTTCTTTTTCTTTTTTGAAAATATCTATTCTCTTTTAATTATGTGCTCTCCGAAATATTTACACTCTCCTGAACATCTATATATTCTCGAACAATACAGTACCATGGAACAAGCAAAAGTGTGACTCGGTCCAGTCCAACAAACAACGTATTACTCCAACACATATATTTCCAACAAGATCAGGGTATCGGAACGCTCCCCACAACAACCCAGTCCCCTCCACCCCCCGTCCCCATCTTCACTTCCACCACTCTCCCCCCTTTCTGAAGATAACACCGATTCTCCCCCGACACCTCTTCCAATGGCACCGGCAAATCCGCCGCGCTCTTTACCGTCGTCGCCATGGTCAGACACGCGATATCCGAGTCCACATCCGCCCCCTGCAGCGCGTCTGGTTTTGCGGTTTTCCACCAGCCCGTGCCGTTGCTATCGCTTGATGATGATGGGGTGGCGGTGTAAAGGACGTTGATGTTGGCGTCGGCGTCGCGGTAGAGCACGTAGGTGTCTACACGCCCGGCGGTGTCGCTGGCGCGGGCGGTGGAGAAGGCGGTGATGGGAGCCTTTTCGGGGAGGGTGATATTGGGGAGGGTAATTGGGTCCCAGGAGAGAGTGTAATCCGGGTCCAGGTCAGGGGAGTCGAGACCGGGGATGGAGGCGGCCAGTTGGTGTGAGGGTGTTTGGTAGAAGATGGCATAGCCGCCTTTGGTGGCGATCCGGGAGAAGTTGGTGGACATGGGGACTATGGCTAGCCTTGATGTGGCTAGGGCGGTGATGGCGAGTTGGGTGTCGGTCCATGCGGGATAGGGGCCGAAATTGGGGCCGAGGTTATTGCGGACCTGGCGGAGTTCGCCCGCGGTGTCTTGGTAGATAACCCAGGGCCAGTAGGATGCGAAGTCGCTTTCGAACAGGGTGTATATATTCACTTTGTCAACAGACCCTGCCGTAACGGGGACGGCAACCTGCTCGTTGATGCTGACGGCGAGCAGACGTGTCCTATAGCCGGAGTAGACGATTTCGGTTTGAGGCTGGACGGGAATCAGTAAGCAACTGCGTCCCTGGTATTACATACTTGGCACCTGGAACAAACCTGGTTGATATCGTCGTATAAAAGGGTACAACCGGCCAGGCGAGTACCAGCTCTGGCGTTGGCGTCGGAGTAAAATGCGGTGGGAGCTTCCCAGCATGTGGACTCGTTTCCTGGCGAGCGCTGGCTTCCATCGCACCGCGTGTATCGAAGACCATTATCCGGGTCTTGGAAGAAGAGGTAGGTCTCGACGCTATTGTCAGGTTTCCGCCAGCCTGTGATGCTCAATCCCGAGCCTTGTCGTATTGTTTGCGGTTTCGGCTCGTCTGTTGAGCCGCCTGCATCCCCAGAGCCTCCAGAGCCCCTAGAGTCTCCAGAGCCCCCGGAGTTTCCGGAGCCGCCAGAGTTCCCTGATTCACCGGCTCCTCCCGGTTCCCCCTGCGACGCTGGTACTGTCGAATCCCCTGAAGACGAGTTTGCCGCTCTGCTTCCCAAGACACCTCCCAGAACCGCAGCAACAACGACGAGCACGGCAACAACAGCGCCAACGATAAACCACAACTTCTTCTTCCGGCCGTGTTCCCCTGTCGTCGGTAGTTCGCTCGGCAGGCCGGGGGAATGTGAGGACGGGGCAACAGCCGGGAACGGCCCGTAGTGTTCTGGATACTCGGAACCCGCGTACTGGACGTTTTCCTTGCTTCTGTCGCTATGTTCGGCTGGGCTGACTTCGGGCAGTAAATGGCCGTGGCGCAACTGCTGATAGTGTGTCACCTCCAGCCCCGGCTGCTCATCGCCGTAACGCGGGTCATTGTGCGACGTCATGTGGCTGTATGCGCTCACAGCTCAAGGCCGTCATCCAATCGAAACGAAAACAATAGTGGCAACCGGCGGTCGCGGTACCATATTTCTAGCAATATCCGGTCGCCAGGTGACTGTGGTTGGCAAGAACGGGTCAAGATGCCTATAGAAGGGACGGGAAGGGAGGTCGCCGACAAGAATAAAAACATGAATGCGGCGGTGCAACGCGACAGCCGGGGACCTGTTTCCTATATACCTAGCCAGTACGAAGTAACGTTAGAGGTCCATTGGGTTTGGTGCCGGTCTTCCGGCCCCCCTGTCGACCGCCAAACGATCACACTCTGTTTCCTGACGGAAACTGCGTGAAGCCACATGCTCCATGTGCAAGGCTGAATCTGCAGGAGCCAAGCACACCGTGGCGCAGACGGTCAGCAACGATTTTGATGGATTTTGATGGATTTTGATGGTGCCATCAAACGGAACAAATATTGCACGGCAACAGGGACCCACTTTAACCCACATTGGCCGTCAACACACTACCTCGGTACCTTGGTCAATTTACGTTGATAGAAAGGTGTATGGATATTGACCTCGCGAGTCTGCCGCTCAAGCCCTCTTGAATAGGCTTTGTTCCACAAACGCGTGTGCCGCGTCGGCGTCCTTTTCCCACTTGAGCCAGTTATAGGCGCTCGGGAGAATTTTGGAGATGTAGTCGGCAATGTGCCCCACGCCGAACGCGTCGAGGTCTTCAAAGCTGTCGATGTTTTCTGACGGTAAACTGTTGATTACATTATAGCAGTTGTCCTGTAGTTTCTGTAGCTCTTCTAATATCCATTCCTCCCATCGATTGCCGTAGGTCTGGATCAAAGCCGGATGGTACATAGTCCACACGCGGCTGAAGTCGACGAGCTTCCCGCCTAGGTAGTTACCGCCGTACGTATCTCCCACGAAAATGCCCAGCGAGTGGAGGGCTTGTAGGTCCGCCCACATGCCCTGAACTTCGTCGGAAGTAGGCAATTTCGGGGATACGAGTTCCTTGACGATGGCGCGAACGGGCAGTGAGCAGTGCTGCTCATACCGCCCCCAGAAATTATCGCCATCTAACTCGCCGATGTCGGCACTGGGAAGATCACTAGATTCACCCGTCACCTTCCAGGCCAAATGGGCCTCTTGATGTGGGGTAAGAAGAAGATAGCCTAAGGCCTTGACGGCCAACTCCTCGCGCTTCTCCTCCTTAAGACGACCATATACACGGCACTCATAATTGAACGGCTTAAAGTAGTCGATATAGAGCTGTAGGTCGGCGAGCGGCAGGGCAAGATCCCGGGTATAATTCCTAACATAGTAGTCCGAGTAGCGGAAGTAAAACTGATCAGAGAGTAGACTTCGAGTTAGAGAGGCCAAGTAGACACGGGCACACTGCATCGTCACGTACCATCTTGAGTACAAAGAAGCCAGCTCCGTTGATCTTGGCCTTCCACACTTGAGACTCTACATCGTTCCCCCGGCCGAGGAACTGGACGAAATCGATATCGGCGCGGGCAGTTGGGGTTAAAGGTGCCAGTTTAGGGCCCGAGACGCGGGGAAGCGGCAGCGGCGGATTGGGAAGGAAGGCGAGGCGGAAGCCCGACGAAGTCATCTTGGTGCGGCAGACAAGTCGGAGTTATCAGGATTCAGAAATCAGAGTTGATAACTTGAGAACTGGAGTGGAAATCTGAGGATGAACTGTGTCACTGTGTGCACCGAGGAAATGAAGGTTTGGAGACGGCCCTGTATATTGTAGATGCTGGGCTAGAAATGTAGGACGATCTATGTTTGCCCGTTGCTGGAGTGACTGTAACTCTCTGTGAGGAAGGCTACAGGTAAATTGATAATTAGGAGATCCACAGGCAAACGGGGAAGCAATATAGAATGGGAAGGCTACGTATAGGGGTCTCTTAAAAGATCACGTTGCCATTAAAGCTGTTGTCCTAGGTTGTGAATTTGGGGGATGCAAATAAACCGAACAAATAGGTATTGTGGTTGACTGCACCAAAGGGACCTCCATTAGGTAAGGTACGGAGCGCATACCGAGTAATTAGGTGTACGAAGTACCTACCTGAAATGCCCCGAACCCCGAAAACAGCCGCCCCGCCCTGCCAAATTCAGCAGCCAAGGCAGTGTCGCCGTGCTGATTCCATCTTCTGTGTATGTACATAGGTCTCCTCACGAGCCTCGTTCACAGTTTTTTTCCCCCTTCATTTTCTCGCCCGAAATGCTGAGCGAGATCTTGGGCGACAGACCAGCTGCCCCACAATGAGGTCACTTGAAAGATCGACTGCAGGGGTATCCAAAGCTTGTCCGCCAGGGGAGCACAACCATTTCCCAACGCCACAGATCGGGCGCCCGCCACCTGTGACCGAGTCGTGGCAGCCACACAACTGTCCAATTTATCGTACCATCGAGGCCACAGCGACGACTCGCGGAAGATGGACGACGACGAGTACGGCGACGCCGACGATGTATTTGCCGATCTCGTCGCGCAATCAGGACCATCGCGATCGGCTCCCCAGGCAGCAGCAGTACGACCACCGCTAGCACAACCGCGACCGTCACAACCATCACCAGCCCTGAGAATCCAGCAGCCAACACCACAGCGACTCGACCGACCGCCACCATCCAATGCGTCCGGCACGAGCGGGCCGCCCAAGGTCGTCCAGCCCACCCCTCAAGCCTTACCAGCTCGTGGCTCTGGTTCATCGATCCTCGTCTCACCACGGCAAAAAGGAAATCCGGTGCTGGCTTGCTTGAAGTCGGTACAATGGGAGTTTAGCGACATACCCGCCGACTACGGGTTAGGTCTGACGACCTGTGCTTTGTTTTTGAGGTGCGTCCCCCGGGTTGTGTGCGGTGTCTGGTCGTTTCGTTTAACTAAATTGCTTCTTTTTCTGTACAGCCTTAAATACCACCGCCTCCACCCCGAATACATTTACACACGCATCCGCGGCCTCGCCGGCAAGTACAATCTGCGCATACTACTCACCATGGTCGACATCCCGAATCACGAGGACGCACTCCGTGAGCTGTCCAAAACGTCTCTCGTCAGCAACGTCACCGTCATCCTGGCCTGGTCCGCCGCCGAAGCTGCGCGTTATCTAGAGCTGTACAAGTCATACGAGCACGCTGGATTTGACGCGATAAGGGGCCAGCAGGCGTCGGGGTATGCGGAACGGCTAGTGGAGTTTGTGACGGTGCCGAGGAATATCAATAAGGCCGATGCGGTTTCGCTGGTGAGCGCGTTTGGGAGCTTAAGGCACGCGGTGAATGCCGGACCGGACCAGGTGAGCGTGGTCAGCGGGTGGGGGGAGAGAAAGGTGAAGGCGTGGTGTAAGGCGGTGAACGAGCCGTTTCGGGTGGCGAAAGCAGGGAGGAGAGTGGCCGCTTCTTCAGCAGCGGCTGGTGTGAGTGATGGAACTCAGGCACCGACGGATCCGAAGGGGAAAGGCGTCGCTGCAGCTGGGAAAGCCGTAGAGGAACAGTATGACGACTTTGATGACGATGATGCAGATGCTCTAGCGGCCATCGCCGAAATGGAAGCGGAAGCGCAGACCGGGCCATCAAACTGGCCGTTAAACCACCCGGCACCTATGCGATCGGCGCAGTCTACATCGGCGGTGCAACCTAGCACAAACGACGGACTGAGCGATGGCGTTGCTGCCGCATTAGCAAAGCTCCGAGAGAAAGGCTAACCCGGGCCAACGCACGTTGTGGCATAGACCTCATACTTCCGGCCACGTGTTTCCCTCGCGACCTTTGACGTCACATCAACTATATCGGCCCGTAAATCGATATATCTGGCCAGTAGCTAGCCCTGGACGGTCACTGAAAAAAAAGAACGCATCCTCCGCCAGGCGCGCCATATTGATCGGGAATAACCATACTCCCGATGGCCATGCAAGGGCGCTCGTGTCGGCGGTCCGCCCCGCATCGAGCAGCGGTCCGCAATATATCACGGACGAATATGCACGATGCGGAAGGTGCAGGAGAATCATATCTTGTTTCTCTTCCATCAAGTGTCTGTGTCTGTGTGCTCCCTGGCCCGTCGTATTCGGCGTATAATGTTGTGAAACCATTGAAAAGGTCGGGCACACGGCGTCAACCTGTCGAGGGAAATCAACGGGTGCAAAAGCCCGAAGGTCAAGACAGTCAACCGCGGACCAAACCTCGGGGCGGAGGTCATCAGCAACGGGCTACCATGAGCGTCGCTAAGGGTAGATTCAGCATTTCCACAGGTCAAGCAGTATGAACAGTGTACCGGGGCGGGAAGCGCACGAGAGCTAGATGGTTCGCATGGGTCCTAGTTGGGAACCCAGCTGCTGTGGCCGATGGTCGCCTAGGAAAGCCCTGTAGTTCCGTCATGCCTCGACGTTTGCAACATGTTGGTTCCCATGGATGCGGGGGAAGATGTCTTGCACTACGTATGTTACACTCCTCTCCCAAAGACCCTGGTCTCACTTGGTTGGTGTACCCGAATGTCTATTTTCGTCCTTACCCCTTAGGGGGCGCCGCTTGGTGTTGCCGCTGCCCGTCGAAAACGGGCTGCATAGCCAACGATAAATAAAGGGCGGTTCCAAGCTATGTTGGGGTTTAAGGCAGTAAACACCTTCGTTGCCTCGGGCTACCACTCGCAGATAACAATGAGGGCTTTATTGTAAGGAGTATAGCGGTCCGGCCGTTGAAATCAAATGTTTCCAATATGCGACCCCAAAATGCAACCCTGGACCTGTGTATTTTTATTCGGCCCGAGGCCGTTGTCCGAATCTTCTCTTTACCTGTTAACGTCACAGATGACTTCTCGGCCGTCAGCCCGGTTCGGTCCGTGACGGGCAGTTCAATAAACATCAAATGATGATCAACGGGCCGTGTCAGACCGTATCGGACCGCCAGCCGGGCATAGTGTCTGTGACGTTACCACAAGTTCCTTGTCAGTGAAGTGAGATGGAGATTTACCCTATGTGTACATAGTAGACAAACCAGCCGTCCCACGCAGGTATCAAAATCCAACAATTTCGGTACTCCTCAGAAGGATGAATGCAACAGCGCATCAACCAGGCAGTAGTGTAACTTTTCATGCTGGCCATCCCGGGTTTTCTTGACCGCTGAGGTGGCCCGGGGTTTTGGCTTGAGATCGCGGGCAGCGCATCCGAGCGCCTACCACAATAGGCAGGTATCTGTTCCAAAGGACCAATCATATCGCGGCCCACCGCAGTCACCCGGTCTAGTGATCGGCAGCTCTCTCCGGGGAGGGTCAGCTGGGAAACTGGGCGCGCTGGCAAGGACTGGGTTCGAAGGGTCGGGCTTTGTTCTGTCGGCCGCAGCCGCAGCCATCAACATCATGATGGTTGGATGTCTCTAGTGTAACTACTGTGTATGCGCGGTGACGTTAAATAACCAACTTCCACCAAGAGGCCGACTGCGTGATATCACCCTCGGGAGCGGACACAGCATGTTTCCTTGTATGAATAGAACGGCCAATTTTGAGAGGTGTGTTTCGGCCCGGAAATCCTTCCCTTCCCGTCAAATGTTTGTTTGTGCTGCCGTCTCAGGGGCAGGGGTTGTGCGCAGAATTTACAAAGCGTTGATGCCGTCTGATCGCAACGTAGCGCAGCACGTCCCATAGTTAACTAGCTACAACACAACACGGCACAACACAACCCACGCATTTGGTTCTGTGCGCTGGGTGCCTGCTTGTTGTTGCACTTTGTGTTGTCGAAGGAATCAACTCTCCACCCAAGTGCAACGTGACGGGAGAGCGCATGGTTTCTCCAAATTTCAAATCTCCCACAGGCATAACTCATGTTCCTTCAGTTATTACCTGACCTAAAACTCACACGCCTGTATGCCTAGAAGTCGAACCAGTCGAGCTTGAAATCCTTAGTTACAACGCTCTTTGCAGCTGCTCGGAGCTCCTTCAGATGACAGCTCCGGGCCGAGGTGGTGACGGTTGTACGAGGATGGTTGTGGGATGAATTGCAACCTCCTGCGGTAAGCTGAAGTGCAGGAGGTGGGGATGGGATCTTCCATTGAGATGTCTAAGACAAGCCCCCCCTACACCCCGTCCAATCGGCGAGGCCAACACCTCGCTCCCGACATTCTGGCTCTTCTGCTTTTCTCCCCATTCCATAACGTGAGCTGCGTTTGCATTCACGTTTATAGTTGTTGACATTTATACCCCGCCTGTTTCTGTTTTCCCCCACACTCATTCCGAGTTCATACCCCAGGCCTCATCATCACCTCCTGCTATGTCTACGAGCAGGGAAGGGTGTAGTTTTTAATTTTGTTGATATATACATTATCATATATACATTTCCGCTGCTTCGTCTTTTTCGCCCAACATCACACGTTCATCAACGCGCTCTCTTGTGATGCGCTCGCTCAGTCTCGCCAGTGGCGCTGCCGCTACGCTGCTGTCGGGCCTAGTGTCAGCAGCAGCGACAGGAGCGGTTCCTCGCTCCAACAATCCGCCGCACTATATTGCCACAGAATCACGCGCTAATTCGGTCCGGGAAGCGTTTCTGGTGTCCTGGGAAGGATATGAAGAGTATGCGTTGCCGCATGACACTTTGAAGCCAGTGTCGGACGAGTTTGAAGACGACAGGTAGGTTTTTCCTCTTTTATCTTTCGACTTTGTGAGAGACCGTTCGCTAATAATGGCGTAGAAATGGGTGGGGCGCCAGCGCGGTAGACGCCCTCAGCACGGCGTTGGTCATGAGGGAATGGGATGTCGTAGTTTCGATTATAGACCATGTCGAGTCCATCGATTTCAGCACCACCAAGACGGAGGTGTCGTTGTTTGAGACGACAATCCGGTACCTCGGTGGCCTGCTTTCCGGTAAGTCCGCTGTCTCACCCTCGCGACATCCGTTCAGTGGTTCTTTTTTCCCCCATTTTTGCCGTTCTAACGCGTTCCTAGCCTACGACCTCCTGGACGGTCCTCTAGCGGACGAACTGCCCAGCAACTATTCTAGCTCCGTTCCAGACATCCTGAAACAGGCCCAACGCTTGGCCGACAACCTCAAATTCGCCTTCGACACCCCCAGCGGGATCCCCGACAACAGCCTCTTCTTCGATCCTCCCCGCCGAGGCGGATCCGAGACCAACGGGCTGGCCACCATCGGCACGCTCGTGCTCGAGTGGACACGGCTCAGCGACATCACCGGCGACAACACGTACGCCGAGCTAGCCCAAAAGGCCGAGGGCTACCTCCTGGACCCGCAACCCAAGGACATCGCGGAGCCGTTCCCCGGTCTGCTAGGCGGCAACGTACGTATCGACAACGGCACGTTCACGGATGGAAACGGCGGCTGGGGCGGCGGCACGGACAGTTTCTACGAGTACCTCATCAAGATGTACCTGTACGACAAGGACCGGTTCGGCGACTACCGCGACCGCTGGATCGCCGCAGTCGACTCTTCGATCGAGAACCTCGCCTCGCACCCGACTTCCAACCCAGACCTGACCTTCCTAGCCGAATGGAGGGGCAAGACGCTCCAGTTCTCTTCCCAACACCTCGCCTGCTTCCACGGCGGCAACTTCATCCTCGGCGGCTTGACACTCGACGAGCCCAAGTATGTCGAGTTCGGCCTGCGGCTCGTCGACGCCTGCCGTGTCACCTACGCCGAGACGCTCACCGGGATCGGACCGGAGGTGTTTGGTTGGCAGGACAACAAGCTACCGCCCGATGCGGAGAACAACCCGCCCGCGCCGGACGGACAGGCGGCTTTCTACGAGGCTTCGGGATTCTGGATCAAGAGCGCTAATTATGTGCTGCGTCCTGAGGTGATTGAAAGTTATTACTACGCCTACCGCGCCACGGGGGATGTCAAGTACCAGGATTGGGCGTGGGAGGCGTTTGAGAACATCAACAAGACGTGCCGGGCGGGGAGTGGGTATTCGAGTGTGAAGAATGTGAATGAGAAGGATGGTGGTGGGTTTGATGATTTCCAGGAGAGTTTCTGGTTTGCAGAGGTGTTGAAGTACAGTTTCTTGATCCATAATCCGGTAAGTTTCGCTCTTGTAGGGGGATGCTGTGATGAAGGGAGGCAAAAAGGAAGAAGGGAAAGCTAACTGCGATAAAAACAGGATGAACCGTGGCAGGTTAAGGCGGACCATACAAACGAGTTTGTGTTCAACACCGAGGCTCACCCGATACGCATCTTTGGAGGGCAAGAGACGCGGGTGGGTTGAGATAACATGAGAGAGGGTTGGATATCCATGAATTGGGCACATACATTGGTCGTTAAAGAGCCGGACACTATTATTTAGCAAGTACCTTACCTTGGCTTATCTTGGTCGTAATGATTTGCAGCGCGCAAAAGATGTTTCTCAGATTAAAAGTTTCCGTCGCTGTTTGGTTGGTCTCAACACTGTAACCTCGCATCTGTGCATCACTCAATCGCTTGCTACTGAGTAGGTACTGTACGATGTAGGTTACCAGATCAACCTCAATCCATCAATTGTCATTATATTTACACAGAGCAGAGATGATTTAAACCATTATTCCCCTGGCTATCCAACCTCCATTCGACTCGTTACTGCGATGCCCTTTACCACCAACACATCCCAAACCCCCATTGAATCCCCACCATTCCCACCATCCTCTCTCAACATTCCTCTCTCAACAACCCACAACCCCCTCAATCTAAGCCCCACCCTCCCGCTTAGCATACTCCTCCTCCATAGCTTCCTCATAACGCCTATCAGCTTCAATCTCAGCCTCCGTCTTCGGCCGCGTGACCCCAGCGCCTGTATTGGCACCGGCACCGGTTGCGCGGGAGTTAGGGTCTTGTGTTGTTGCGGCGGGCTGTGAGGGAGGTTGGGTCTGGGCTCGAGGTTGGGTTTGAGTGCTTGTGTCGGCCATTATGAGGACGGGCGGAGACTTGTTGATTCTCTTAGTGCGGGTAATAAATAACGATGGTGTTGTTTAATTCTAAAATTAGAGTTGTTTTGGTGATTTGAGTAACAGTTGTCGTTGATTTGAAGACGGTGTTATTGAGTTTATATGTTGCGAGTCGGGGCTTGGCAGTGGCGAGGTTGGGTGGCAAGGCCGCGTACCTGCAGTGGTGACTTGAAGTATGTAAACATCACGTTCTGGGGCACGTTGGAGACGGTGCGAGTGGGGATGAATTCGGGAGTCTCCAGCCCGATTATACCCGATGAATATTCTCCGGGTTACCACGATGGAGCCTTGGGTCGGAGTAAGGAGACTGAATCTGACCATCAACGCCATCGGTTCAAGGATATTATTAGGCGTGTTTAAACGGGGCACTAGGTCGACACAACCTGAGAAATAACAGCAAAAACATCAAGAACCATAAAATAACTCCATAAGTCTCATTGACTTTCTCGCTGATCATCATGCCCTCTTACAACCCTTCCTTATCCTACTGTTGCAGGGCCAAACCAACCCCTTTCTCTGGCGACCATGGGATTCCCAGATCACATTCTCCCCCACGAGTCCCCCGACACCCATATCCTTCAACAGCTCATCTAACTGTCCTCGCTGACACAGCCCTCTCCAGACCCACTTAACGCCCCCCTCGATGTACTTGGTATTCACCAGACAATGCCGACCCTACTGAACCCATGAGTTGATTTAGAAAGCAAACACCCGTTTTTCAAGGGTCAGCTGGTCCAAGCCATGATGGTGGCTGGGAGTTGGAGTAGAGTGGAACCACGTCCAGCTTTGGCGAAGCGTAGGGTCGCAGGGCAAAGCGCAGGTTCATCGTCCAATCAATAGCGAGGGTGTGAATCGAGCAGTGAGCCAGGCAGGGCCGAGCGGCGTAGGGCGGGCTAAAACGACCGTCGGCAACGGCAAGGGACGGGCGATGAGTCCGGAAGTGAGTGTAGAGTTGAGATAGTCGAAACGATCGGCTTTGTAGCGGGATTCTTCGACGCCGATAGTTGTCGGCACGGCGAAGGGTGGATTGTGAAGAAGGTTGAATATGTCCCATTCGAAGGAGTGATGACCTGGGAGAAGTCGAGTGATGGTTTCGTATCCTTTGACAGTTGAATGTGATCTGTACAAAAAGAAGGGCGTGTAATTTCTGCAGTGTAACTTGTGAACTCAGATTGTGACGTGTTGTTTTTGTTGATGAGCTTGTCGAGAAGTGCGAGAGTTCGAGGACAAGGCACGGTTGGGAGGGAAAGGGGCCGGTATTTATGTAAGTTCAAGAAGCAGCTCAATGAGGCTCTCCAAGACTTGCCTTCCCTAAGTGCACTACAACGGGGGCTTCTCACCTGCCGCTCGTTCATCGGGGTCAGGAAATGGGGAGTTGCCCTCCAGTATCCCAGCCGCATGTAAGGTAGGCGCATATGCATTAAATTGGCTAATTTTCCACATGAACGATTCACTCCGTATCGATTCGCCCCTTCCTTTCGCTTCGTTCGACCTTACTTGGCCTTCCGACGCACCTTGAACGTCTTGAGGGGGTCCTTTCTCCCACCGACCTTGAACGACCGGCCCTTGCCCTTCCCCCCTTTCCTGTGTCTCCTGTCCTTGCCGCCTTCCTTCTTGAACGGCACAAACCCGATACGCTCCGACTCAAGTGCCTTCTTGCCGTCTTTGGGGAGTAGGTAGTCGGGCACGTGCTTCAGATGCGGTTGTTGGCGAGTGACCCGGCCAAGTTCACCGTCGTTTCTCAGATGGGAGAGTTCCGTCGGGTTTTCTTCGAAGTATCTGCGACGTATTAGGGCCTCGTCCACTTCCTTTTACCAAAGAGTAGACTTGGGGGTACTCACCGTTTCAACGTCTCGCTCCTCAACAGCTCCTGTCTGAGTTCCTTTGTCCTGGCCTCCCGGATTGCTACCCTCGTTACCGCACGCAGCGCTGTGACAATGTCAGCATAAATAGGCCGCCAAAACAGACCAACGGCCTGAACATACCATCATTCATCCGGTATCTAAACGCCTCCATCTGCGACTTGTTGAAGTTGTATGGCTGGAGTTTCCGGTTCAGCTTCTCCTGCTGCCTCGTAATCTTCGCCAATACCTTTTCATCCTTCTCTGTGCTTTTGACGGAGGTTGGCCGGTGCTTGCCGTACAGTTCCTTGGGGATAACAAATGAGAGCGCAATACCGGCGCGACCTGCTCGCGCCGTCCGGCCTATCCTGTGGGTGTATGACGAAGCAGATGTCGGCATGTCGAAGTTGACCACCGCCGCGACGTTCTTGAAATCGATGCCTCGAGAAACGCCATATTCCTCGTCCTTCTTTTGTCTCCTCTTTTTCTTTTTCGGGTGTTCTGGAACCGCTTCGTCCTCCTTTGGCGCCTGCTTTTTTGGCTTATTGACCTCGCCATCCACAGCCTCGTCTCCGAACAGCTCGCTCTTTTCGTCCGATGCGATGATAATGTCGTAGATTCCCTACTAGCACATTAGCTTATGACCGATGGGCTGCTACAGAGCAAATGGCATACCCGGTTGAACTCCTCAATGATCTTGATTCGAGTGTTGATGGGGAGCTCCGAGTTCAACACACAACTCCTGATGCTGAATTGCTCAAAGAAAAGCTGGAGTTCGTTAGCATACCGCGTCTCTCCCGCTAGCATTGTCCTACTGAACACCGTACCTTTAACCGATACGATCGATCAATATCCGCCACAAAGATCAAACACGGTCCCTTGATCAGCTGCAGTTTAAAGATGAGATACGCAATCAGCCACTTGTCGTCCTCCGCACACTTGGCATAAAACTGCGTCAACTTCTCATCCTCCGCCCCGAATTCCTCCTTCAAATCCAGCACCACCGCCTCTGGCCCGCCGCGCGCCCCAAAGATCTTGCGTAGCGCCTCCAGTTCCGCCGACAACGTCGCGCTCATCATGACCGTCTGCGCCCCCTTGGGCAGCGCCCGCGCGATATTCTCCATGTCCTCGTCATACCCGTACGACAGGACCAGGTCGGCCTCGTCCAGCACGAGACACTGTAGCTTCTCGAGCGAGAGCGCGCCAGAGGACTGTACACTGTGCCAGGCGCGCGCCGGCGTCGCGACGACCACGTCTGGGGCGCTGGCAAGGAGTGACCGCTGCACGGCGTCGGAGACGTTCTCGGTCAGCTTCGCGGCGTGGATGTCTTTGGCGCAGAAGGCGGAGAACTGCTCGATCGCTTTGAACACTTGGTCGGCGAGTTCGCGGGTGGGGACGAGAATGAGGCCGGCGGTGAATGGCGTTGGGTCGGTCTGGGGTATGGTTAGTAAAAGGAAAATGTGTGCTGGGAGCCAATTGAAGGGGAAAAGGACCCTCGGAATGTTGCGACGTACCGTCTTGCGCTTCAGGATGACAGACAGCAGCGGGAGCACGTAGGCGGCCGTCTTGCCGGACCCGGTCTTGGCCTTGCATAGCACATCTTTCCCTTGTAGAGCAAGAGGAATAGCCTTGCGCTGGACAAGTGTCGGTTTCTCGAAGTTTTGTTTCGCAATGGCCTGCACAAGGCGCGGATCGAGGCCTAGCTCGGCGAACGAGGGCTCGGCTTCGGCGGGCTTCGTTTTCGTCTCGACGGGTTTAGATTCCGGTTCTGGGTTCGGTTGGGCCGTGGCGGGCTCGCCGTCCGCATCGTGTTTCCGCTTCATAGTACTGAGGTGTGTGTTTTGGTGGGAAAGTGTTTGTGGTGTTGTTGTTGAAACTTGCATCGGCTTGCGACATCACGAGTCCAGCAGCAGGCAGAGGGGCCTTTGGCTCCAAAAAAATTTGGGAGACCAGCGCTGCGAGCCGCGATAAGCACGATAAGATAGCGAGGCGCCCCACTTGGTGTCCCTGCAGGTCCCGCTCCACCCCATGAGCTTATTTCCTTCAGCGCAACTCATCCTTGCACCCTTTGCATCAACAACATGCATCAGAACAGTTACGATCATGTTCAAAAGTCTCATTTCTAGCATGATGTGCCAACCAATGGTTAAGCGATACACCTAAATTAACTACTCAGGGCGACGAGTACTTGTACCCATACTTCTCCTTGGCATCCGCCACGATCTTCCTCGTCTCCTCCACCCCCTTCTTCTGCTCCTCCAACCCAGCCTCCCCAGCCAGCGCGCGTTCCAAAAACGGATTCGTCGCCTTCGATGGCTCCCCGCTTGGCACCACAAACCCCCTCTGCACAGCGGGCCGCGCCAACAGCCTCTTCAGCCACGCATCGACGTGCGGGAACTGACCCGGCAAGTCGATGCCCACGTTGAGGGTGTAGTTGGTCCACCCGACAATGCTGATGTCGGCAATGCTGTATTGGCCGCGGCCGGGACCCACGATGTAGTCCCGGTCGGCGAGGCGGGTGTTGAGGATGCCGTAGAGCCGCTCGGCTTCGCCGACGTACCGCTGGATGGCCCAGGGGATCTTTTCGGGGGCCGCGCGGAGGAAGTGACCGGCTTGGCCTTGCCTGTGGGGTGGAAAGAAAACACATTAACACCAAGGGAAGGTAGGGGTGCGGTAGGTGAAGAAGGAAACTCGGATGAGAAAGAGACTTACATCGGCCCTAGCCCGCCGTGTTGCCACGCAATCCACTGTTCAGCAACCGAGTAGTCATCCGAGTCGACGGGGAAACTGAACTTGTGCTCCGGGTCGTAGTGGCGGGTGAGGTAGGTGAGGATGGGGAGGCCCTCGAAGACGGCAAAACCGCCGCGGTCGTGGTCAACAATTGTTGGGATGCGCCCGTTGGGGTTGAGGTCCGTGTACCATGGCTGCTTCTGGATGTTCTTGCCGATGTGGATGCTCTGTACCGTGTACTCCTTGCCGTACGCCTCCTTGAGCTCTTCGAGCAGGATGGACGCCTTGACGCCGTTGGGGGTGCCTGAATGAGGTGTTAGTGGACCAATTCCCTTCAAACAGGTTAGAATGAGGTCGGTGGAACAACTCACCAAAAGTTAGGAGTTCAATGCCAGATTTGGCGATGAGACCAGTGGGGTCAGCCATGTCGCTTGTTCTGTCTTGAAAACGGCGAGCGGAAGAAGAGAATGCCCTCGTTAGAGAAGCCACAGTCCGGATATGCGGCGAAGAAGTAGTAGATATACGAATTGGTGTGAGTGTCTTAGTTCTTATATCAATAACAGAGCTGTGAAAACTGCGTTGATAATGAGACCGAACATAGCCAGCGAGGAGGGAGGAATTCCGGGCTTTTATGCCCGACCCCGCAAACGACCCAGCTCTCAATGAAGTCATGTTGAGTGCTGCAGCTGAAGCTATGCCAGCCTAGTGGGCGATGGCGCAATACTAGTTGGGGCGCTCCCTTTTGGAATCTTGGATATCTAAGCAAACTGAACTTTTGTAAGCAGTTTCGGCTGGCTCGCATTCTGCATGTGTCTGAATAATCAGTAGCCTGCATGAGGTGCTCGGGGTTCCACTGTCACACACTGCAGTTCCCCACTTGTTTCTGAGCGTTGTATCACTAACAAGGGGTAGACAGACAAGAGAATTTGAAATACCGTCGTACAATCGTACAATTTGAATTCAAATTGGATAGTGTTCGTAAAGCTTCGTCGTTTGTCAGCGCCATGCTGCCGTCGAATCGGCAATTTTCCTCACACACCACCCCACCCCACATTTACCCCCCCAAATTCCCGGGAAAAGGGACACTAGATAGCTGAGCACACCAAATCACCGAGACAAGACATGAACGTGACGAGGCGGGTATCTTTTAAGAAGTTCATCAAGTACCATTGTCATGAGTAAAACGAGATGAAAACAGACTACGAACGGATTCTGGCTTTACCCTCGCCAGTGCGAGAGTGAGAAAGTCGAGAAATCCGAAGCAGGAGAAGCACTAGCCCTTGTCGTGCGTAACTGGAAATAAGCCATCATGAGGAAGCGAGAAACACGCAAAGACCCTCCAAGACACCAGGGCTCCGGCCGTTGTTCTGTGGACGTACGTTTGACCTAGAAGGGAGCTATGAGACTAGACGATGGAATCCATAAATCCGTACCTCCGTGTCATTTTCCGGAAAGAGAACCGAGAAAGAGAAAAAGAAAACAATAACCGAAGAACATCAAGTACCGGGATGGGGAGCGCTCCGACTTTAAAAACAAACAGGATTTTCGCGTCATACTTCGCGATCATACTCGTGTCAAGGGGTCCGCAGCTCTGGCACAGCCGATCCAGTGCGGGGTTTCCAGCCACCTTAGTACCGACGCTCGTAGTCCCGGGGAGGCGGGTAGGGTTCCCTCGCATATGGGTCGCGCGGGGGGAAGTCCGGCGGAGGCGGGCCCCGGCGGTCGTGGTAGCCGCGCCCGTTCATGTACGGGTCCGGAGGAGGGTAGTCGCGGGGTCCACCGCCCCGGTAGGGGTCGTCGTATCGGCCGCGCGGGTAGTCGTCCATGGGCGGTCCGCGACGCGGGGGCGAACGATAGCCTCCCCTCCTGTCATCATAATAGTCCCTACGAGGGGGAGGGGTGCGCTCACGGTACGCTCCTCCTTCCCGGTACCCATCACGCCGAGGGCTGTACCCACGCGGGGGCCCACGCCGATCGTAGTCATCCACCGGGGGAGGATACGGGCGGCGCGGAGACCGCGAACGCGCCCGGTCCCCTCTAGGGATGTCGGGCTGAGTCTGCGGGAATATTAGTCGGCGATGTGGGCCATTGGTAAGAGGTGGGCTGGACATACATTGGGAACGCAGGTGACACGCGCATTCTTAAAGTCGCGGCCGTCCAGCTTCTCGACGGCGGTCCGGAGGTCGGCAGCCGTCTCGAATTCGACAAACCTACGGTGCAGTATTAGTGTCTCTGTTGTCGCCGCGGGTATGATAAATCCACCTACCCCTCGTTGCTACCGTTGCGGTTCGTCTCGGAGTAGACGACGTCAAGGCCAGATTGGCGAGCGAAGTCTTTCAGGTCCTAAAGCCAGAGTCCATGTAAGTTGAGATCCCGGAGTTGTCGTTGGCGAGTCCATATGTCGGAGCCAGTATGGTCCCACGAAACCAAGGGAGAGCCAGGAAAATGACGAGGAAGGTTTCCGGCTTCGAATCCTTCCAACAACCCAAAATAAACAGCCAACAGTAGTAGTGCCAGGAAAACGGACGACAAGCGAGGCAGGGAACTGGTCGCCGAACGACAATGGAGAGAGACAGAGAGATCATAAGCCCAAACAGATACGTCGCCAAAGGAGGCGGCCATCGCGTCACGATTCCCGGGTGTGGCCAAGGAGTCAAAATCCAGGCCGGCCGACCAAGTCAGGAAGGGAGACGGAACAAAACAAGAGGGGCGTGGGCTCATCCATGGAGGGCGGGCGAACCAGTGGATCTGGCCCGGTTTCCAAAGTCTTTGATGGGGTGGTGTGTGTCCAATCTGTGTCCGTGGAGAAGGAAGTGGGAGAGCATTTAACAGACCTGCCAGCTGGTATCATTAGGGAGTCCAGTAATTTGCATGCGATGCGGTGTACGGCGCGGCCGGGGGGCGCTGGTGCGATCGTGGGCGTATCCGCCGCCGCCGCCACCACCACCACCACCGGGCTGTTCTCGATGGCGGGAGCCGCGCGCGAACTGGACGGTAAGGCGTTCACCCATAAAGTCAGATCCATCTTGAGTGAGAATTTGTCGTTAGCCAGAGGAGCGGGTATTCATCAGGGTGTGTCGCAATTTCCAAACGGGAGCGGAGCTGGGACCTCAAGACGTACGGAAGGCTGAATGCGTGAGCGCATGGTTAGCGACTGATTGTTCATGTTGCGACAAAGGAACAAGAGACTTACCGGGAACCACATCACGGGCATCCATCGCATCCTTATACTCGATGAAACCAAACCCGTTCATGAGCTTGATCTCGGTAATTTCACCGGTGCCATGGGTGGCAAAGTGCGCCTCGACATCGGCCTTGGTGGCTGGAGGAACAGAAGCAGCCTGGTCAGTTTCTCGTCGTCTTGTCGACCGCACAGGTTGCGATTGGGGTCCACGGGTGCGCTAAGAGGATTTCCGTGTCGCGAACGACTCACCATTACGGGGCAGGTTGCCCAGATAGAGGCGGGTCGACGAAACCTCGGTCATTGTGGAAGTGGTCGGCCGCGAGGTTGTTGATAAGGAAAGGAGAGAGAGCGCGTGGGGGATGGAAAGGAAGGCTCCGTTGTGTGGGGTTAAAAGTCGAGGAGAGTCGAAGCTCGGGCCAGGGAGCCTCGCGGCGGGTTCTGCGCTGCAGGTTCTGTCGCAGCGGCTGCGGGTTTCGAGGACCTGACGCAGTCGGCTGCGAACAGTCCGGTGTGCTGCGGCGTCGCTAAAAAGGTAACGTTATCAAGAAACAGGGCGGGATGGCACCTTCGGCCTGTGAGAAGAAGGCGGGCGCACACTGTTGAGATGGAACTTGCGAAGGTCGGTCTGTTGTGGATGATGGGGATGGAAAAGGAAAATTGGCTTGCGCGCGCCTGCTCAAGCGAAGAAGGTCCACTGACCGGGATAAGCCGGCGAAGGGAAGTGGAGGCTGGCTGCGAACCACCAAGCAGGGATCAAGTTTCCAGCCTCAACACCTCCTTCCTTCGCAGACTTCCAGGTTCCAGTCGCTTGCACATGGTCGTCCTCTGTCCTGTTTCTTTTGTTCCTCCCGTTTTCTGTTTCTAGCTTCCTCTCCCGGTTCAACCCTGTTCTTTTTGTATCACATAACTATTTGAATCAAGGGTGCATGTTAGAAGAGAAAAAGAAGAAACGGCTTGTACCTCACCTCACACTTCGTAACTAATTCACTTAATTAACTTGAGCTTCATCGATAACTTGGTGGTAACTAAACCGATCACCTCCATGGCATTTACCTTGAGTTTGAGCGTTTCCGACGTCACAATGCTTCAATGCAGAGAAACCTGGGGATGTGCCAAGGACCCCTGTTTTTCCCAGTGATGGCAGCAATTGACGACTCGGAACAGATTCCAGACAGGAACAAACTGCCCGCTCTTGCCGCTCTAGTTATGCAGGTGCGTGACGACCCGCAATTGGGAAAGCTTCCAGTACCAACCCCTGACCCTGACAACGGACCTCCGGGCTGCAAGCTTAACATTGAGACAATCACGATTATGGAACCCGTATCCTCGCCTCTGGAAAATGGAAGATAATTATTACAAGAGAAGAAAAGCTGCAAAAGTGACGCCCACCCCTCCCTTCAACGCCCTGCAATAAACAACCGTCGACAACGGACAGCAGCAGGAGACGTATTTGCCCCTAATAGAACATAAGGAACGCCATCCAGCAAAAACACCAACGCCGCGGTAATGCGGGCCTAGATCTTCATCATGAACCTTTCGGTTGTTCAAATAGACATTATGTTTCCTCCCCCATCTTGTCGGTCTACGACTCATCGAACAGGATATCAACCACTTCATCCAGCAACGTAAAAGCAAGGTGCGCACTGGTTATGTTAAAAAGGAGGGTCAGTCTTGCCATGGCAAAAGTGTGCTAGAAAGGAGAACTTACTTCAACCGCGCGTTATTAAACGCCGCAAACACCCGCCGACTCGCCCCCTGCGCATTCACCCTGCCTACCACACTCCCCACCAAATCCGGCACAAGCGTTGCCAGCATCAGTCCGGCCTCCGTCCGTGTCCTCGCCTTCTCCGCGTTGGTTCTGGGCACCCTATCCTTTGGCGGGAATTGCCTCCCACCCGGCCACATCGCTTGCTTCAGCAGCCCGATATATTTGACAAGCGCATCTTCCTGCACGAGCGCTCGCACGTTCTCGCGCAGCTTGCGCTCGATAGTGCCGCCTAAAAGCTGGTGCAAGACGACGACCACAGCGCGTCCGCGCAACCAATTGTTGCCGCGGTTGAGCTCGAAGACCTCAAGGAAGATGTCGCAGATGGGCTTCACAAAGGGTTCGGGTTCTTCCAAGGCGAGGGGTGAGTCTTTGGCGGCGGTGGCGCTTCCAGGTCCATTTCCGTTAGCGTTCTCGAACGCATTGAGCTCGGCTTCGGCCTCGGCAGTGTTCATGCCGCCGGTACTAGCAACACCATTTGCAGCCGAGGCGTCGCCTTCGGTGAGTGCAGCTAGTGGCACGTTGCCAAGCTGGCTGGTTGCGGCAGCGATCAGGTTCTGTCCGGCGAGCGAGAGTTGATCGAGTACGGGGATGTTCCCCAGAATGTCCTCCATGCCGTCGGCGACCGAATCATACAGTCGCGTGATCATGTCCTTCTTGATGCTCGCCTCATCATGTTCTGGCCCTCCAGGACCCAGGTGAGCTGAGGTTATGACACTTTGTGACAAAAAGGCGCGTAGATCCCGGCTTCGGCAGACGTCGGGTAGCAAAAGCAGCTCGCTGAGGTACTTTTCCAGGGCCACGCGACGTTTTTGGAGGAACTCGCTCTGCAGCTTCAATACGACGCGGCGGCGAGGGAAGTCCAAGTTACGCACGGAGGGGTAGCGCGAGCGGAGGTTTTGGTGCAGTTCGAGAAACTCGCTGTATCGGCGCGTGACGACCCATGTGGCGGCAGGCATGCGTTCGCCGGCATTGCGGGAAACTTCAATGGCATAGAAGGCGACCTCTTTCCCATCCTCCTCGCGGTCAAGCCGAATTGATTTGATCTGGACAGTCGAGCGCCCGTACAGGCTGTTGTCGCTCTCTTGGATGACGTATTGCTGCCGCTGCAACTCTTTACGTCGAATCTCGCGTTGTAGGCTGGCTTTGGACTTGCGCAGGATGCGCAGCTCAGCGGTGTTATTGGTTAACTCTGCCTTTTTCAGGAGTGAATCAACCACGGCTTCTTGTGCGACCAGCTTGTCGATGTCGTACGTCAGTACTGTAATTGCTTCCGCCAGGCCGAGATCGCCTGGGGCGGCCTGATGGACGGCATCCGCGTCATCATCCTTTCCGTCGTCGTCTAGATCTGAGGGCTCGTCGGAGAGGAATCTGTTTTCGTCCCCAAAGAGGTCGTCGTCCACAAAAACCCCGATGCGCGAAGCCGCGCTCACCAAACCTAAAGAAGCTAGGCTGGGTTTCTCTTGCCCCTTGCCCGGTCGGTCGACATCTAACGAACTCCTCAGCCGCGGGAGTTCACCGGAGCGACGGGTATCGAACGACCCCCGGCTTGAACGTGGCTGTTCTGTAGGCCGAAGGAGGTCCAGAGAACCCCCGCTAGACCTGGTGAGATCAACTGAGCCTCTAGCAGACCTGGGCGCAGGCAACGGTGTTGGTGTTGGCGACGCTCTCTGCTTGTTTGCGCTTTCAGCAGTAGAGAAGAGACTGCTTGTCGACTCCACTGGTTCATCGTCAAACAATGATGCCCGCAAATCCTCCGCCGTGGGCGGTCGGCTCTCCTCCATGATGTTATTCAGTGCTTGTTCCATAGCCTGCACGACTTTGGTGTCCGGCAACGGAGGGGCGCCGTTCGCGTCTTGGTCGAGGCTAGCCACAGAATCGAGGAGTGCGGAATCGCCAAGGGTATCATCGGCCCCTTCATCGTCATCAAACAGTGGAGGCGGGGAATGCGGCTCGCCCGTAACGGTCCGCGGGTCAAATTCGGTAGGGCCATTAGTGTTTACGATGGCGAGGTCCGAACTTGACAAGGCGCGCCTGTTAACGGGGGGGCGTAGTCTTGGGGCGATACGGGTAACCGGAGTCGGCTTAGAGGATGGGTTGTGGTATGAGGTGCTCCTGGCGATAGGCGACACGGGACTGGGCGCCACTGCAGTCGACATGGCGGTACGCTTGGACGCTTCTTCGGCGGCTAGGGCCTTGAAGAACAAGTCGGATTGTTTGAAGCCATGGAGGTGTTTCACACGCATTTCCTCCAACACTGCACTCTGTGCGCGGAGGATTTCTCTCCGTGCTCTGTAGTACTGCTCGGGCGTGGCGCGTTTGCCGCTTTTGAGGAATTCCTGGATGATACGTTTTGAAGAATCAGGCACCTTAAGTTCGGGTCGACTGAGGTAAGCAGCATCGATCTGAGCAAGATCGAGCCTGTCCGATTCTGTCCAGGGGGGTAACTGTAGCGGGAGTTGTTCCCCTCCCGGTCCGTCGTCCTCGAGTGGATTCCGAAAACCATCTACCACGAGCCAGAACTGGACCATAGGCATGAGTCGCTGTCGATCCATGTACTCCATAAAGTAAGATAATGTCGACGGGTCCCGGAGTAGGTCGGCGAGCGAGGCATGTTCGAGCCTAGACTGGGTCGGGACGGTGATTTCGGGTTGTTGTGGAATCGGCCTTCGACCACCCCCTGCAGCCAAGTGTTGAACTCGTTGATCTAGTATCCTTTTCCCCATTTCCAAACGCCTCAAATAGACCTGATCCGCATTCTCTTGCTGTGAGTCCCTCTTGAGCTGGCTGGCCACCTCGCTTCGAAAGCGTCTTGCGTCCGAAAGGTTATTAACCTTCCTAATAGCCCTGATGAACTTTTCGAATCTCCTCTCGCTATCAGCCGGGGTCAGTCGGGGAAAGGCAACAGGCTTGCTAGTTTTCGGCGCCGGTGAGGCATGCTGATCGAGAGCAGCTCGGAGCCTTCGAACGGTAGACCGGTCCTGAAGCATAGCCCGCCCGTAATTTTCCATCAGCTGGTTCCAGGTGTCCGGGTCAGACAGCATCTGCATCACGGGAAACATGACTGCACACGAGGTGATCTCGCGAACCAGCGTCGAGACGGCCCTTGAAGCGAGCAGCTTCTCGGGTAGAATGATGGGCACGATCCTAGACATGGTTTTCCGCAGGTAATCCTGTTGTGCCGTCTTGGTATCTGAAAACGCCAGGCTCGCGGCTGGATGCAGCTTCCCATCTTTGTACTTCGAAGCAATCGCCAAGTCCAGCTCCTCCGTCTCGGTAACCGACCGGTTCAACTTACGACCACGCACGGAACGTTCGGCGTTTGAAAAGTTGCGGAAATGTGCCGTCATGATCGGAACCAGGCGTGTGGTTAGTACCTCGGCGAGGTCCAGCCTCTGTAGGCGGTCGCAGATCCGGAGTACGGCATAACGGATCGCGCGGTCCACCTCGTCGGTGAACACCGGGTTTGCGCTGATATGTGCATACCACACACTGATGAAGTCGCGGATGATGTACTCGAGGATCTCGTCGAGAGCAGCCGCGAGCTGCGGGGCATCGGGGCATAGCGAGGGTCGTGTGTACGTTTGGCGCTGTCGGAGAGCGGCGATTTCGGTCGGCCACAGGTCCGGGGAGAGGAAAGCAGCAGCTCGGGGACGGCGGGAGGAGGTATTGCGTTGAAGCGGATCGCGACCGCGGGAGCTGAGCAACACGAGGGCGAGCAGCGCAGCCAGCGTCAGCAGCACGCCGGCCACAAAGGCGTGGGCGACCCAGCGCAGGGCGGGGAACCAATTGACTGCATACCCCCAGGCAATGAAGCACGCGACGCCCGCGAGTGCTATGTCTCTCCCTGAGAGTGCCATAATCTGGGGCAAGCGGCGGCCGGCCGTCGTTGCCGCATGTTTCGGCACGGCAGCGTGGTGGTGGTGTTGTTTGGCTGTTGAAGCAAGATGTTTTAGATGACGACCCTCCCAACAGGTTACTATGTCGAGCGAGCAAGGACCTTGCTGGTGTGTACATACCCTAACCCTGAGTAGTGCTTGAACATCTCCTGATAATAGAGCGTACCTTGCGATTCCAGAGCCAGCTCAAGATAAGAGAAAGCATCCCATTGCTCCTTTTAAAGTTTAAATGAAGCTAGTTGTTTTCAATATTATTCTTTATTTCTTTTATCATTCTCGGAGCAAGTAATGATGTGGTGTGTCTTATACTGCGTTGCTTCTAGGTAAGGGGCCAGGGTTAGGGTCAATTGCCTGAACCCAGAAACCGGCCGTCCTCTGCCGTCTTCGAGCTTCCATTTTCATCACATGCAGTTCAAGAGGGTGATCTTACACCTCGCCCTCACATAGTTTCAAGCCCATATGTTCCATATCTAACTCTCTCATATCCTTCAACACCACAGCCTCATACCTCTGAATCTTAGATTACAATAACTTCGTAACCATGACAACCCCTCCCCCACTTCACCCCTCTTCCTCAACATCCACACCCTCCTCTTCATCTTTCGTCTTCCCACTCGACTACGCCTTCCCCCCCTTCTTCACCCGTCAAACAAACCTCACCACTCGCCACGCCCAGCTCACCAAATGGGCCGCTCTCGTTCTCTCTTATTGCCACCACTACCGGCTCTTCAAGATTTCTCTCTCAGGCAATCCCATCACAGCCACATCCAATCCCGGAACCACCACCAACACCACCAACCAAACAACCTCAGCCTCAGCCAGCGGCGGCGAACGCGACACAACAGAACTCTTCTACAACCGCACCCTCAATCGCCGGCTCAGTCCCGCCGACATCCGCGACGTCATCGCCTTCCTGCGCAAAGACGGACGGGCCGAGTACCTGTTATCCCCCACGGGCGGTAGCGGGGTTGACGGTGATGTCGGCGGCTGGGGCGGCGGCGGCGAAGGTGCGGGGCCAGAAGGGGGGGACATTGTCTGGGTGTATTGGCGGACACCGGAGGAGTGGGCGTCGTTGGTGGAGGGGTGGGTGGACTCGACGGGGCAGAAGGGGGGTGTGTTGACGGTGTATGAGTTGGTTGAGGGGGATGGGACGAGAGGGACTGGTGAGTTTGGATTTCGCATTTTCTTGCCTAGCTTTGTGTGACCCCTTCGGTGTCTTGCTGGTTATATTTCACCCTAGACCCAGGACGAGGTGAATGGCTGACGGCATCCGAACAGAGTTCCACGGGATGGACCAGGACCTCCTACTCAAAGCCCTCAATGTGTTGGTTAAGCGGGGGAAGGCACAAATTTTTGGACAGGAAGACTCGTTAGGTGTTAAGTTCTTCTAAGAGGACCAGAACGATACCGTTTATTCATTCAGCTTGTCTGGCGAGAATGGCCACCAACTACCCGACTAGCCACCTAGACAGCTATCTTTCGGGCCAACAGGGATGTAAAGAACTAGCCACACACAATTTCACCACCAACGGTATAAAAGCAAAACCGCAACGCCAGGCTACCCCTCGCTACTACCTCCCACCGATCAACAACTTACACCCACCAATCCCGGCCTAGAAGGCCTCTACTCCACCCCCTTCAGCGCATATCTCGGATCAAACGACAACTCCTGCCGCATGGCAACATCCAACAGCCAGTCTGCCATCACGATCCGCGGTTCCATATGCCCCTTGCGCGCCATGTCTTGAAAGCGCGGCCATAGCTGCCGCTCCGCCGGCGATGATCCGCTCAAGAGATACACTGGTTCTGGTTCTGCGCCGCCATCCTCTTCCTCCGTCGTGGGCTTAATGGTAGTGCCGCTGCGGGCGCGGTACACCTTGAAAATACCCCCGTTCGCCTCAGCGATAGTCTTGAAGGCGTCGGCACCGTTGGGGATTTCGGCTGTGCAGTAAATAGGCACGCCCCAGAGCAATCGGCCGCGGTTGGCGCGTGCCCGGCTGATGGCTGTGTCGAGAGTGACGCCAAATCGAGCTTCGCTGTCCTTATCAACCAACTTGTGGTCTTTAACGGGTGGTCGTTTGCCGGTCTCGATACAGGCTGTGATGAAAGATGAGTCGATCACATCCGGGCCCTTGGCTAGGCATCGGAGGAACTTCATTGTGCGGACCATCTTGTGGGCAGCAAGGTAGTCGCATGGCGCGTTCTCTTGCACAAGCTGGATACCAAGGGCGCGCAGCTTTCTCTGTAGATAGTTAGTTAGCGGTGGAATTCAAGGCATTCGGGTCTTGGAAGAAACATACCCGGTCAGCTTCCTCGTTAACGCTGCTTTTCACCCACCGCGTGTAGCCCGTCAGGCAGATGCGCATATCGATGTCAGGAAGCCCGACCTTGGCTCTCTTAGCCGGTCGTTTATTTTCTGCCTCATCCTCGAGATCCTCCTCCGGTGCACCCTTCGGGCTGGAGCTTTGGTGAACCCGTTCCTTGTCGAGCTGATCCAAAGCACGCTTGCCGCCCCAGACACCGTGGCCATCTTTCGCTGTCCGCTTCTTTTCTTTTTCATAAAGCGCGATATCCGGCGCCAGGTCTTGCAACTTATTGAGCGCCTGCGCTTTCGCGCTGCGGCTAGCGCTAGACATGATAGACGGGGTGTCATTCTCCTTGCCCGACCGGACATGGCGCGACTTGGCGGGAGTCGCAAAGTTGCCCAAGGCCGGGCCAGCTCGCGCTTTCTTGACGGACCTCGATGGCGTGGGGTTGCTGGAATCCTGCATCACACTAAAATCACGATCCAGGCCCACGCTGAGCGCATTCTGCTGGGCGCGTTCGTTGATCTTTCTCTTCTTTCTAGCGGCTGTTGTCATGTGTTCCTCCCCACCCGGATAGTACCGCTCCCGCAAGGTCGGTTCATCAAACGAGGTCTGGCCAATAACCTCGCCCAGGTTCGTCCGTGGCGGGAAGTGACGGTATTTTTGATTGTTGAGAGGCAGAACCTGGCAGGCAGCATAACACTCCTCAACCCACAAGTGGTTGACAATCTCGATGTTCCAGTCCTTGGCGGCCTCGCATTTTTCGCTGTGCATCCGTGCTGTCACAAGATGTGTGTTTTCGGACTTCATCGTACGGGTGTAGGTCGCGCCCAATGCTGTAATCAGGTTCTCCAGGTATATCCGTGCCTCGCCGCCGTAGTTGGAGAGCGTGATCCGCATGTCCTCGAATCCAGGAATGCCGCCCCTGGGTACTGGGTAGTGGAGCAATCGCCGAAAGGGTGACGTCCACTCATTGTACACCATCATGTGGTACAGCCACGCCAGGTTGCCCACGTCCTTCCCTTGCTGCGATGCGCGGATGTACTGGTCGCCGTCTCGGTACTGGCAGACGAACATGTCACAGTCATCAATCGCATCCACAACCTCCCCATCACCCTTGGAAATCTTGTCCGTAATCGTCTTGCGTAGCATAGCATTGATAGGCAAGTCCTGCGCGAGCATGACCTTTTTCTGCGCAAAAACAACCAGCTTCTCGCTGCCCTCGGTCTCGTATGGCCCGGATGGTATGGTCGACACGGCGCCCTCCAGTCGTTGGCTCGCGGGGATTTTGACGGCATCTTCTGGCGCTTTGGCGAGGATCTCTGGGTCGGGGAGAAGATAAGGGCCTTCATCGATCCTCTTACCAAGGCGAAAGCAATCGTCGAACCTAGCACAAGTTAGACACATTTTACCAGTCACACAAAACCATCACAGCCGAGGCGGAGCAAGAGATCCCTCACCAATGCGGAAGAACAATCTTGCACTTGGCAAATTTCGCCTTCGCCACAATACACTTGGGATGGTCGAGGGACAAGGCACAGATGTGCGTCGTCTGCCGCGTCAAGTCCTTCGACTCCATGCCACCCAACGCCATAATCGCACCGCTGATTGCCTCCTTATCCGTGTCGGGAATATCGGCACATGTGAGCATGACATTCGAAAAGATCATACGCGGGTCCGGCGAATACGGGCGGACCTGGGCGACTTTGCTGCGGTTGATGGTCGCCTTGAGCCAGTCGGACCGCACGACGGGGATCATCATGGCTTGCGCCTCGGCGTACTGGTCGAAATCGACCGTGTTGGACACGATGTGCGTGGCTTGTGGGATGCGGATCTTGCCCTGCCGGTCAGGTTCCAGTACCTCGGCGCCATGTTTACGAACAACCTCGGAAAACTTCGTCGCAGGACTGTTAGCAAAATCTAATGAGGGGGGCCAGGAGAAGTTGGGCCTTGTACCTGGGAAATGACCGTACTCGACAGCGATTTGCTCTGGACAAAAGCGATCAGGCAAGACTCGAGCAAGCCCGGCTTCCCAGTGTCCTCCGCCATTGTGGAATTGTCCTAGACGAAGCTGCTGCAACAAACGCGACCGAGACGCGGTTTACATCAAGAGATGTATCGAAATCTCAATAATTTGTATGCCAATCGCGGGCACAAGCTGCAAAAATGAAGAGACCGAACTGGCGCTTCTTCTCCTCCAAAATCCGTGTCGTAAACCCAATTTTCCCACCGCCAGACAGCTTCGTCGTCGTCAGGCAGGGTGCAGGCAGCTGGCTGTGTTTTAATTGAAAACGACGCGCTGCTCAAAAAGTACCTAGTGGGGAACTCGGTGGTGGCCAAACGCGAGGCAACCGCGTCTCACATGACCGGCCCACGCCAAGCCCATTAAACAAACGCGAGCGTGGGGCCAGCCTCCGAGTCCTGAGTGGCTCAAGATTGCATGTCAGGGATCTTGGGAATCTTGCTCACACCCTTGCTCAACTCAGGAGCTTCTCGTTGAAACACTCAATTCAACCTTCAGAAAAAGGCAAAGCTAAGGAAGAGAAGAGTCATCTGCCATTGACGAATCAGAATTATCAATCCAGCTAGAGCTCAACCTCCTTGATGACGTCGTCCGCTGCAACTGACTCCAACGTCACATATTACCCTCTTCCCGTGCGCCCAACAGCTCCAGTGCATCGCAGCTTTGACTCATCAACCCCGCGTGCCCGCCATCTTCCCGTATATCTCGGGCAAGAAGGAAAGTTTGGGGCTGGTTGGGGGGTAACAATGAGTCAGATATGCGGAAGTGAATGAGCACTCTCCGTCACCGACGAGATATACCCTTATGCAAAGTGCCGACATTAGGGTCGGGGGCGGTTTTCCGTGCTTGCATTGCCCGCGGCGCGCATGATCTGGGTGATGAGGCGACGGTGCTATTCCGGAATGATGTGGAATCAACTGTACCCGAGCTAAAGATGGGACCGAGATTTGAAATGTCTCTGACTGTTCATCAATCAGGCATGAAGTCAGTGAAGGCTCATTCATCCGAGCCCCCTCGGCAGAGGCGCCGTGACCTCACATCCAGCACGAAGGTGGACAAGATCAACGAATAGCTGCCGTTCTTCCTCTCTATTGTCTAGCTAACTCAGGCCACCTCTGATTCGAAAGAGCAGTAAGGGTGGTCGCCGTGGAAGGCGCCGAGGCATGTCCATCCCCGTCACCGTCATGGACATGACGTGACACATAAAAACGCCCGAAACAACAGCCCAGTGCTAGATGAATAGCCGGGTGCTGACCACGAAGGCCATTTCTAAAGGGCTCAAGCAACAATTGGAAAAAAAGAGGAAAACGAAACCTGATTATGGGTACGGATCGTCCCATCGATCGTATCCTCTCTTCTATAGCGGAAAAAGCCCCGTTTAGGAGACGTCCCATCCCAATCCTATCCCGCCATTCCTAAAAAGCATCCACCCAGCATACCATCTAAAATAACCATAGCAGCAGGAAAAAAACAAACAAAGATGCCATGCCAACTCCGCCGCATGTAGATATCTACCATTGCTTCAAGCGCCGTCGCCGTTTTGCAGTGCTTGAAAAGACACAGAATGCATCCCGGATCTATTAAACCCTTTAAAGGCCGAAAAGGGAAGGTGTCGCGACCGGGCCCCCGCTTGTCTGTCGTCGACCGCGGGCCAGCCCTGTTTTATGGTTCAGCACGATGCTGCAGCTCTCCAATTACTGCTGGACCTCGTAGGTGCGCTTGAACATGTCGTCGACCTTGGTGAGGTAGTAAGCACCGGGAGCGATGGTCGAGACCTCACCCTTGGGAGTGAAGTCCTTCTGGAGGTGGGCCTGCTTGCGGAGGTCGCACAGCTGAAAAGACAGATAGTTAGCAAATGCTCTCCAACCAATCTTGAATAAGGAGAGATAGCGGTTCACTTACAGCATCGTATGTCGCGGGAGGCACCTGGCGGCGGGCGGCCAGCCTGCCGGGGATGTCAAGGACCTGAGAAATTTTCTCGGTGCTCCCGTTGACGCGAATGGAGAAAAAGCTAGCAGCCAGGCCAGAACCGTAGCTGAAGAGGCCTATCCTCTTGCCCTGCAGAGCGTCGGAGCTGATGTACGAGACCAGGCCGGCGAGACCACCCCAGACGCTGGCACAGTACATGTTGCCGACGTTGGTGGCGACCTGGAGACTGGGGTTGACGCGCTCCTGGAAACGCTTCTTGGTGAGGCCCAGGAAGGTTTTCTCAACGACCTTGTCGGTCAAAGACTTCTCGTAATCCATGTCGCGGATATCGGGCGAAACCTCGGCAAAGGCCTTGTGCTCGGGTTCAGCGAGGAAGTCGTGGTACAGGAGCCGAGCGTACGACTTGGACACCAGCTTGCAGGTGGGGGCATGGAAAGCCAGGTAATCGAACCGGTCCAGGGGAGACTTGGGAAGCGCAGACTCAGTGGCGCCGTTGGTGTGGCCGTTGGTACCGTTGCTGCTGGGGGCCAGCTGGGCCTCGCGCTTGCTGTAGGCGCGATACGCGGCGTCGAGGGCTCGGGTGTAGCAGGTCAGGGAGAAGTGGCCGTCAACGTAAGGGTACTCGCTAGTCAGGTCGGGCTTGTAGAAGTCATACGCGTGCTGCATGAAGCTGCCGCGGAGACCGGGCTCAAAAACGAGAGGGGCATCAGGGCCGATCAGAAGGGCCACAGCACCAGCACCACCAGTGGGGCGAGCATTGCCCTTAGCGTACAGGGCAATGTCGCCAGCGACGACAATACCGTCACGGCCATCCCAGGCAGAGGACTCGATCCAGTTAATGGTGTTGAAAACGGCATTAGTGCCGCCGTAGCAAGCGTTGACGGTGTCGACGCCCTCAATGTTGGTGTTCTCGCCGAAAAGCTGCATCAACACCGACTTAACCGACTTCGACTTGTCGAGGATGGTCTCAGTGCCGACTTCAAGACGGCCAATCGAGTTGGTGTCGACATTGTAGCTCTTGAGCAGTTTGGACACAACGGTCAAGCTCATTGAGTAGATGTCTAGAGATGGCGGGGTAGATTAGCCCCCTGAACTTTTGGAGCGAAAGCACGCGCCCGATTGCCGTAAGTCCCAATCAGCCAACCACCCACCCGGTTCAGGGACCAGGGGATGATCGGTGCGACGGGCAAGTGCAGCTCCGAAAACGCCCCTCCATTCAAAAAAAAAAAATATATGGCGACAGGTTGAACGAGGCGGAAAGTGTTATTTTATTGCTAGGAGTACTCACCCTCACGGTCATCACAGAAGCTCATCTTTGTCTGCCCAAGGCCGATTGTGTACTTGCCGGCACTCACGCCATCGAACGCCTCCAGTTCAGATTGCTCGACATACTGCACGGGTAGATTGTTAGCAATGCCATCGCGCTCAAGGTTGGGAAGTTTGGCGAGGGGCTGATGTGCCGTGCGATTCCCAACTTCCAATGGCGGGGGACCTCATGGAGGGGGGGCTGAGGAAGGGGGGTACCCAGGATCACATGCACGTACCTGACTGGGGAAGTAGATCTCAATGGCCTTGATGCCAATGTTCTGGGGACGGGAAGCCATGATAGGCAGGAAATTGGCGGGTTTGTGTTGATGAGGAGAGGAAGATAATCAACGGCAGAGTGTGGGGATGTTGAAGGAAGAATCCAGCCTGGAAGAAATAGAGAAGGAGGAGATTCTCTCGGGCCTTTTGGAGGGGCAGATAAGTTAGCGCACGGTGCGATGGTATTTCAACAGCCATTCACCGCCTGTTTCCTCGTTGTTGTGGGTTTGGGCCCAGTTTTCTAACATGCACCTTGTTGGGCTATCTCGGTGATGGAGTTAAGAGGTGGCAGCTGGCGAATATGCGTACCTGATGTTGAATATGGAGGTTGACAGGGGTCTGAGTGTTGTTCACGGGAAGGGGCCCGGTGATGATGGAAATTATCTGTGAGAAAAAAGATCAAAGCGAGGAAAAGTAGAGAAACAGGAGAGAGCAAGCAGAGGAGAAGATCAGACGGGGAGAGCACAGGTTCAAATATTCCCCAGATCGGGGAGGGGAGAAACGACCCTTGAAGCGGGACAGACAATACACTGTAGTTGTGATCCCGGGAGTTTACTAACTTACGTGGGCTGCCCGGAGACGAGACCAGGGAGGGAAAACGGGCAGTGGACGATGTCGGAGGCAAAGCGGAAACTCAAAAATACTGCCGTGACAACGAGGACCGTCTCTCTTGCGTGCCCGGGGGATTCCGCCCACGTCGCTCTCCTCGAGTGGTCCCGATTCCGCCGTGGGCGCTCTCACAGTGCAATACTTTCATCCGATCTACTAATCTAGTGGTGGAGGTTGTCTACAAAATTGATAAAACTCATTCCCACATATGTGTGCAGACAGGATCTACGTGTTGCCTTTTGAGAATCGAGTGTTCAAATTGTGAGGTCAAGGGCAAAACTTTGAAGCTCGTGATTCTGATTCGAAGCAGCCGTTGGAGGTTGCAGATGCACGCGATTCCTGTGGCTTCAGTGTGTACTCCCCTCATTCGCCGCCACCACGCTGATCTAGCTTTAGGGCCAAACAGCTAGCCAAGACCCGATCAATACGTTGAAGCGGTCTACAGACGTGTTACCAGGTATCTCTCTCCTCCCCTCGGGCCGAAGACTCGAGATTGACTCCTAAATCCAGGCTAGGGAAAGGGGGATGAGGAAATATACACGGTGGAATGGAAAGAAGAAACCTTTTCGAACCAGGACCGCCCGTGCAACCCAAGATCCCCAACATCCAGGGGAAGGGGACCCCCACTTACGCTCTGCCACCCTATTCGTCAGCGGGCCTCAGCGCTGCAGGAACCAGCCGGAAGGAAACCAGGAGCGCCCCTTCCATCGGTGGCTCTCCCCCCGCCACCAAAGCACACTTGCCGTGGACTTCTTTGTAGCGTTGATCGCTAGGCCAGGTCTTGTGGTCAGACAGAGGACGTCAGCAGCTCTGTGGCCGAGCACCAATGAGGTGACAGTGACATCGCGATAGAGACCGATTGACAGGTCTGCCGGGCCGGCTCCTGAATGTTGTGAGATCCGGCGATCCAATCCCGCTTCGTCAGCGGCCGCCAACTACTATGTAACCGCATCGAAGTCGGGCCCGTTATCAACAAATACTGTCGAGGTGGAGGGGTTGAGTATGATGACAGGAAGGAACGGCTATACTTGAAAATTCGGTCCGTACCATTCATTGCCTTGCTAATTGTGAGCGATAGGGGAGCAAAAGCGGCATCACTGAAGTCGATATCGGCTTTTTCCACGAACCATTCGGTGTTTTCAGACCACAAATTATGCGGTCAGCAAGCGGTTCATACCCAAATTCCGGCTTCGTCTGCTCCCTGAGCCTCGCTGCAAACACGCACCGTTATCGGTTGACGTTATCACGTTTCTATTGGAGAAGATGAATTGCGGTCATAAGGAAATCTTTATGCAGTGATTTCTGCGACTCTATAATATCGTATCTCATGGTTATCATTCTTTCCCAACGAAGCCAGCACGGGTGCAACCTTCCACGCAAGACAAATTTCCCAGATATCCCAAGACTGGCGCAAGCCCGTCATCTCAAAAACCCCAAACCGTTGACGCCATCCCGAATTACGTACCACCATAACCCGATTTCCAGGGGGCTCGAAAGGCTCAGCCACAGCCCAAGTCGTTCAACACCCCCGGTCGGTACCCACTCACGACGGCGTCCCATACCCAGAATCAGCTCCGGGTGTCCGATCTGTCCCCTCGGACACCTCCTTGGCCTTGGCGGTGGTGTCGACGGTGATGGTGCTTGGTGGGGTGACGACGACAACGGCGGGGGTCGATGCAGACGCGTCCTCCTCGTCCTTTGTTTCCGTCTCGTCCTTCTTGGGCTCCACAGGGGCTGCGGGAGTCTCAGTAGTTATAGCAGTGGTGTCAGTGGCAGTGGCAGTGGTGTCGGTGGTAGTCGTGGTATCAGGAGCGGCTGCTGTAGCAGCATCGGGGGCGGTAGAGACCACAACGGCCGGGACAGTAGCCGCAGCAGCCGCCGCCTTACGCTGCTTCTTCTTAACTTTCTCCTTTTCACGCTCCGACTCAGACGCATCGCTCTCGGAAGACGACGACGATCCTGAAGCCGACTCCTCACTCTCCTCCTTCTTGCTCTTCTTCGACGACTTCTTCCCCTTCTTCGCCTTCTTGGCCTTCTTCTTCTTCTCTTTCTTTTCCTTTGCTTCCTTCTCTTCCTTCTCCTTCTTCTCCGCCTCCCTCTTCTCCTCCGCATCCCGCAACTCCTTCTCCTTCTTCTCTTTGCGTGTCGTCAGCACCCACTGCTCCGCCCCTTCCACCGCCTTTTCTGGCTCCCGCTTGTTCTTGAGAAGGAACCCTTGGATCTCGGCGGGCGAGAACTCGTGCGCGGGAATCCGGGCCGCGAACTGCACGGCCAAGGCGTCTACTTTGGCGACCGTCTCTTCACGCTTGCGGGCTGCTTCGGCAGCGGCCTCGGCGGCCTCGGCTTGCTTCTTATCGTCCTCTACCGTGGGCTGAAGTGGGGTGGACTTGAATAACTTGCTCGACAGGAACTCCGTGGTTGTCACTCCCGTAGTTGTGGCATCAGTCATACCGTTAGCTTTGCCAGTTAGGCCATCGGTTTCATCGCCCTCGAGGGGAGCGTAAATCGCCTTGAAGATCTGCGCAGTCATGGTCTCGTCCGCGCGGTCAAACTTGACGATCATATCGACACGCCCGGGGCGGATGAGAGCCTTGTCGAGCTTCTCTACATGGTTAGTCGTCATGATGAGCACCCGCCCTTCCTGCGAGGCCACACCATCCAAAATGTTGAGCAGACCAGAAAGCGACAGCCGGCCGGCGACGGCGACCACAGGCCCGGGCTTCCCTCCGTTGTTGGGTGTCTCTGTGCCCCCCGCGGGCGCCGCAGCCCCCTCGGTTGTTGCTCCGTCCTCGCGCGTGTGGGTCAACCCGGCAGTGTCGATATCCTCGAGCAGTACAACGCAACGACGCGGCAGCTCAGCGAACAGCGAAGCCAGATTCTCCTCGTTCGCCGTCACCGAGCTCAGACTGACCATGTAGATGCGCATCCGGAAGAAGCCCGCTAGGGCCAAGCTCAGTGAAGACTTGCCAGTTCCTGGTGGACCGTAAAGCAAGTACCCCCTGCGGTAGGGGATCCCGCGGTTCGCATACCACCGCCGGGTCGACGGATCAAGGTAGTCCGTCACGTCGTCGATCAATTCCTGCTTGACCTTCTCGTTCAGAATAACCGTCGAGAATGGCCGCGCGGTCCTCGACATGCAGCGCTGCCACTCCGGCTCGGCACTCCCCGCCTTGGTAGTGCCGCGATAGATCGCCGTTTTAGTCTCGTCCCTCTTCAGATAGTCATCGCGGGCCTCATAGAGGAGCTCCTTGAGGATCCACGGGTTGCGGCCGTAGCACGAGATGGAGATCTCCTCCCGCATGCTGGCGGAGCCGTAGGCGCCCTGCTGGGTGTTCTCGGTGCGGCGGAAGATGAGAAGGTGGTTGCGGTACCAGAATTGGTGGCTCCCAAACGTGGGCGTGTATGCGAGAGCCTTCTTCTTGCGGTTGGCGGGGTCTCGGCTGTAGTTGTTCTCGTCGTCCTCGTCATCGTCGTCTTCATGGAAGCTTCGCCATCTGTTGTTGTTAGCGTGATTTGTAATTACTTACTCATTACTGACGCCAGTAATAGAAACTAGGGGTTTATAGTAGTTACGTACAGATGCCAAGACCGCTGTCGACAATGTCAGTTTAATATCACTTATGGGTGGATTCTTTTTCCTCAGTTGGAAAATAAGAGCGGACTTACACTATTGGTATTGGTGTTAACGACAAAGCGCCTCGACTTCAATGCAAACCGCTGCTTCGACACCCAGGCCATCACATAATTAAACGTTTCATCGTCAACCCTGACATCACACCGTCTGAAAAAAAAGAAGGTCAGATACCACTTTGTAAGGGCATGGATTTTCGTAGGTATCGCGGGCTCAACTTACGACATCAGGTATTTGTCGATTAGATGTTCAGCAAAGTCGCTAAAGTAGCGCCATGTAAAGAGAAGGCCTGTGAGAAGAAGGGCAAGTGGAATGTAGAGGTTGAGGTCGACGTGAAGGTATGTTTGAATGAGGTTCGAGAAAACTGGACGATTTGGTTAGTAAAGTTTTGCCCTTTTTCTTCCAGCGAGTGCCAGAAGTGAATTATTTTTCTTGGTGGTCACCCGAGAACCTAGAGAGCGACATACCTGAGAAGCCCGGGATAAAAAAGTCCAAGGCTTGAAATGGTGGCGTGCCTTGCGGGGGAAGTCCCTCCGCCGCTGTAGGCTCGGCCATGGTGATAGTTCCCAAACGCCGAATCTCAAAAGTCGTGATAATACCGTGTAGGGGGTACGGTCAATAGGTATTTAAAGGAGGGGAAGGAATGTCCTAAAGTAGGACGAAAAAGTGAACGGAGGTCCTGCAAGGTATTTAAGCAAAATACCTATCAGGCCTACCTAGGATTCTTGAAAAGAAGTGGACGACTTTTCTCCAGTAGGATTCTGACTGCGTCACGGCTAGCAAGGTCTTTCTTAGCATAGGGCTGGGGGTGTGCAAGTAACAAAGTGGTTCTACCAACAAGAGGCGAAATGGTTCGCTCAAAATTCATCGTCAGTCGGTCACTCGGATCACTGGCCCCTTATGTATCCCCACACTCTGAAGGCAGCAGCACCATCCATTGCCTTTCATCGTAATCGTTTTGTTCCCTTCTTTGCCTTTTGGGGGCCGGAGGCATCCCGTGTCGTCGGTTGGGCTGATGCGTCATGTCGGTCAACACAACACAACCCAGGCCCAACATGCAATGCTTGCGAACACATGCAAGCAGCCAACACCGGCATTGCATGGCTCCATGGATTGCTTGCTTCCCATGAATGGAACCCCGGGTGCCGCAGCGGGAACTCTTCACCGGGATCGCTGCTCCTGTCCCTCACTTCCGCACCCCCTGCATCCGGGGGGGGCAACTTTTTTTTTCATCTTGTGTGCTCCGAAGGTGGCGGCCTCTTCTGGCTCCCCCGCGGAAGGACCCCTCCTGCCCTCTCATGGGCACGCCCGCGCTAGGCCGGCTAGACCACGGGCGGCCGTCCCGGGGTTACGGATCCCTGGGCGCGGCCTATAGTGTGGGGTTGTTGAGGACGGCCGGCGGTCGCGCTTGCCACGGACACTGTTGAAAACGCCGCCTTGGCCCGGCCGGTATTACGAGAAAGATGATTCATCGGCGGGTGATGATTAAGGCCGCTTGGAATGAGGACAATGATTTTTGTAGATCTTAATCCGAGCCTCACTAGGTACACTAGGTATCTTAAAAGTCCTCAGTCCCTCCGACCCTATCAAATCGCTCCATTGTCAATTCTTTTCGGCAATTACTTGGACGGCACGCTACAGTCGATCACCACCAATGCCAAGCAACATGTTAGAATGTCCCGTCATCCATCCTCCCGCCACTGAGGCTATGGTCAAAAAATATCCCACCCGGAAAACCTACCCGAGAGAGTGCGACAAAACAGGAACACAGCAGGCGGATGAAACGCTTTGTCCTCACACGCCGGCCGAACCTGTGCATGGAATGATTTCTGTCCACACGGCCTAGTTGCGTCTGATGGACGACTCGCGGCCGCTGTGCTGCGCATGTCCGCGTGTTGTGTGTCGTGTGAGTACCTAGGCTTTGAGAAAGTGGTCAATCGGGCCGTCGCGATAGGACGGCCGGCTGCCCGCTGGGCTGAGCAACAGGTCGAGTTATTCATCGAAGCACCGTGCATGAATTCTTTTTTCTCAATTCGAGACGGCTGCGTACTTGGGGCCAATGGGTGGCAAGTAACGAGGTTGACATTAGAAAGCTCACAGTTGACTTGCTTCCTGAAGAGGTCTTAAGATTTGAGAAGTTGCATGTGAGGCGGTGTGGTTCTGACGGGACGGGATGGCGGGGTGAAACTGAGTGGCTGAGCTCGTGTAATCGCCCCTCTGGGGCTGCTGCAGTCAGCGATTGCGGGGTGATTTCAGGGCCTTGGCTCCCTCCCCCGGCTGTGATGCCCCTCTTGAGATGGAGCTCTAGGCTGGGTGGCTGGCTGCTTCGATAATTGGCTCCCTTTTGCCGATTGATGGAAAGTTCAAGGCAGCATTTCGACACGACAGCTGAGTTTACCTGGAGCTGAGGAAGCGTAACCTGAAGGGCGGGGGCCGAAAACGCCGGAAAGGGAAGGACAGAGGATCCAAGAACTTGTCTGCTCCTGTCGTCAGCGTACCTACGTATGTGCACGCATGTACGAAAGTAGGTGGAAGTTTCAATCGCCGGTAGATACCAAGTGATTAATAAATTCAACTGCGTGGTTTTAAACTCTATCTACTTCTCTTTCGGTTACCGATCCTTAAACCTTCATGACACAGCTTTAACGGCTTTCCAAAATTGTCTCATGTGTGCCTTATCTTCTTGTTTCGTTCACTTACACAACATGAAGAGGCAAGAGAGTAGATACACAAGAGAATTTACCTTGCAATGTAACTGTTCCTCAACTCTTGCCCCCAAACCTGGGAAGCCAGTTCCACAATTCCCTCGAACACAACACGGCGATGTGGGAAATTATGCCTTTATTATCAGAAAGTCAAGACCGCACGGCTACTTCTCTGAACTCATTCTCGAATTCTCAAATTCAGACGAACCAACAAAACACGGGACGAACAACATGAATGACGTGAGACAAAGAAAATGGCATGGGGCCAACTCGAAAACGTTCCATTCGACAACCCAGCCTCGCTGTGGCCACAAAAAGCGGCAGACAAAAACAGATACCTTAAGTCCAATACATTGGCATTCGATCAAATCTTAACAGATAATTATTGATTGATTGACTCTTTTTTGTCATTTTTGACTTTTTTGATTTATTCTTTTTGGTCTTTTTTCACTTTTGCAGAAAAGCAAGTTATCCAGGGTCTTGGTCTTATAGCGTCCAGGGCCCCCAAACCCTCCCAAACCCCGCTGGTCCTGACCAACCACAATGGTTTTCACCACACCTTCTCAACACCAGATCTCTCCCTTCCCAGTTGGGTTTCAAGCTAGGTCCCGTCCCAAGACTCCAGGCAGCCAGGCCAGGCATGCTATCGATCAAAACCGATGTGTGTTTCCGGGGTTTGCCCACACCCGCCCGATTGGCTAAAAAGCCAACCGATGCATCAGCCCGAATGAGACGCCTTGTTAAGTTGTTGGTGCGCAAGTGCGCGCGCACGAGAAACGGTTCGCCAGGACAGGCGAGGACCGCTGAGGACCGCTGCTCTGGCCGAGCCTCAACTCCGGTGCTCGGCTCCGTGGGACAGCTGGTTGATTGGGCGTGTTGAGTCCTGCTGTGGAGGGTGTGTGTTAAACATCACAGATCACAGGCATCTTGAGTAACTAACACGAGGAAGGCACTCAGCAGCAAGTATTCGTATGCTCCTAACTTCGTTATCCAAACCCCCTCCCTCATCGATCGACCGATGTGTGAAACACGACTTGCTGTATGGGCGTTGGAGGGGTTGGTTCGAGACTCTTTTGGTGCTACGGAGAAGCCAGGGCTAGAAATAGGAGCACTCAAAACGAACACCCTCTCTAACCACCTTCCCGTTCTTCTCGCGTTGTTTCGTCTCGTGTAATTTTTGGTTCGCTCGATCCCGTTCGATTCGGCCCCTTTCGGTGATACACCGTTACAGTGTTACACCTGGCACGGGGTGATGTGGTTGGAACAAGTGTGCGGTTGGTGGTCCATGTGGAACGGTGCGGCGATCAAGGAGCCGTCTTGGGCCGGCAGATGGATGGATGCTTGATACGGGTGGGTGGCTGAGAATTGTTGTTGTCAAATGTTGCTGGACGTGTCGTGATTTGGGTTGGAAATTTATAAGCTTAAAACTCTTCCCTTCCTGGGCGGGTTAAGTGTCAAGAGTGGCTGCTAACGATTAGGGACAGGTTGACGTTTCTAGCTTCCAGTACGAGCCATTCTGCGAGACGAGAACACATTCCAAATTCTTTGAGGTGTTAGTCATGCTAAGGCTCTCCCAAGAAGAAAGCTTATGTCTCATTACATATGCAAAATCGCTGTACATGTGGAACGCAACCCTCGGAACATGAGACAAAGGAGATAGCAATGAGTGTCTGGCTCCCCGCCGCCCCAAAGAAACAAGTCAGCCTGTCCCGTTGGATTAGAGATCGAGTTCGCCCCGGCCTATGATGTTACACGACTCCGCATTCCACGGAGACGATCGAAAAAAAAGGGAGACAAGAGCAAAGCGCCGTCCTGAACAAAACTCCCAAAGAATCAGACGAATCAGGTTAACATGATATGGTATGACATTAAGATCCCTCGATCTTGAGCCCAGAGTTTCGAAAACCTAGGCAAACACCTGTATCCCACCCCGACCGGGAATAAACTGCCCTCCCGGTGGCCGCGGCGGTGGTGACATGCCTGTCGCTCCCGGGACCGGAGGGGGTGGTCCGGGCATATGGAATCCTGCGGGAGGCATATGGTGTGAGGCGGCACCTTGCGGCTGCTGCTGCGGCGGTGGCGGCGGTGGATAACCGTACATGGTCTGAAACCCAGCCGGAGGGCCGCCGGGCATCATGCCCGGATGTGGCTGCGAGTGCGGCATTGGACCCGGCATTGGGCCTCCGTGGTAGCTGCTTTCGTCACTGGTAGTACTGTAATCATCGTCGTCATCCTCATCGTCGTCGTAATCGTCTACTGTGGCATGTCGCTTTTCCCATAGGCCCGGGGCGGCGGGGTTGCGTTGTGAGGAGGTACGAGGGGCTCGGGGCTTCCTCGAGGATTTGTGCTTGCGGGAGGAAGAGGAGGAAACCGTACGCGACTCGTCCCCGTCTACGAGCCAGTAGGGGGAGGTGGTCTCGACGAGGTAGACCTGGCCGGATCCGCTGGACCACGAGAAGATGGAGCCGCTGGAGCGGGTGCTCCGGGCATCCAAGTCGTCGTCATAGTAGCGGCGAACGCTCCTCGCCTTTCGAAAATCGCGGCCACAGAAGTATATTAAGGAGTTGACGGCAAAACTATTTGGGAGGCGGACCTCTTTATAGTCGCCTGAAGACCGCGAGGCCGAGCTACCTGGGCGGATCGACATGATAAACAGACTGGCGTGGGAGTGAGGCGTGGGTGGATATGAGCTTGTGCGTGGATGTCACGCGGCCTACGGCCTTTTTGCCCGTTGATGAGAACGGATATTGGTTCCTCACCGAGGAAAGGTGGCCTATGAGTGCCCGATGAAGAAGTCGGGGTTCAAGACAATCGGGCGGGCTTCCAACAGGATGGTTGTAAAGAAAAGAAAGTCGACCGAGACAGTAAAGACGGGCACTTGCTGACTGAAATACATGAGGATTGCAAACGGAGTGCAGCACCGGAGGCCTGCCAATGCATCATGCTGGCTCCTGGCAAAGCAAGCGCCGCCCCTCACCTCCAACCTGAGCTGGGCAAAGCAGGCGCTTCGAAGCTGTTGCGGTGTTGTCCAGGTTGCACAACGCGGAGGTGGGCGGCGGAGATGGCCCGGTTCAAATTGCACAAGGCTTAAGCATCGCAAAATCACGGCCGACCTGCGAAGCGTTGATCAAGCTTGAGGTGAGCAATACTGATTCGTCAAAGGGCGCCAGAGCTGAGTGCTTTTGGGTTGAAGGGTGTTTGGCACACTAGCCGGGCAAGCCGGGCAATGCTCCATTGGTGTTCCATCTCACGAGGCCCCTCTTGCCCGCATCAGCCACACGCCCTGTTCCAGAGGGAAATACCCGGTCACTGTGAGAGCCTGCAGTGAGTGGTTCTTTGCCACCTCGTCCATGTTTTCTTGACGGTCAAGACGCACGCAGCCGCACCCCGGCCAGGACCTGTCTTCTTCTCCCCGAAAAGAGGGGTGAGGGAGACACAGAGGGATTTCAGGAGTGTCCGTGGACCTCGCAAGAGTGCTCGGCCACTCTCTCATTTGAAAATATCCTTGGGATCATTGACAGTCTGAATTGGAAGTAGCAACATGTTGAATACCCCTCTATCTACGAGAAACGCCCGTCATGACAAAGCGGAGGTTAAAAGCTTCCGGGTGTTCCAACAGAAAGCAGCAGGCTGTCTCAAAGAAGCGGGGCGAAGAAAAGGCCCAGCAACCTTCATGCAGTGATGACCTCGCAGGAAAAAAGTCGACTGAAAGAGACGTCGGGTTCCCTTTAACGTTGGGGTTCCTTCGGATTGGGGCCACGAAAGGCCAGCTTCGCTACCGAGAAGGTGCAAAATCGAAGCGAGGCTAGGTGTCAAAAGACGAATTGCCAAATGGGAAACCAGGATGCCACACCTTCATCGTCAGGAGGTGGGCAGCGAAGCGGCTCACCGAGAGAACGAGAAGCAGTTCCTGCCCAATCATTTAAGCGCTCGATCGACGGTGCGCAAGTGCGGCAAGTTCAGGGACGGCGAGTTGGTCCGACCAGCGGCTTAACATGGTGGCCATTTTGAGGATTGTGGATGTCGGGAGACTCTTGTTCGATGGGAGCTCCGATTAACTACACTACCTAGTTATGGGAAGAAAAGTTAAAAAGTTGCTGATCCTGGCCCGGGGTTAGTTATGCTGCTTGGGCAAACGTTAGTCACTTGCCCATGCATTGGTAAAGTGTCGTCGCAGGCCGCTTGTCTTGTCGTCGGTATGAATGTCACTGAATTTACCGTGCAATTGATACATCTTGGTGCCCATTGGGAAGGGAAAATGTGTATCGCGTATTTGCACCGCTTTCTTCACATCTGGTGAGTAATAGATTATTCCATATGTCTAGAGTCGGGATGGATCGAGAGTCCTAGTGTGGAAAGGGTAACTCCGGGAGGTCTAGACCCGAAATGGCAGGTGGCAATGGCCTCATGCAAGTGCCGAGCAGTGGGGCTCACCATACCTCCGTACATCCCCGCGTCCGGGCTTCCTCATCAAATTGCCTTTGCGCATGTAAACTCAATCTATGTCCACGACGAAGTATAAAGCGGTCGACCATTGCACCAACTCGTAAATTTGCTACTTGTTCTTTGGCCCCCTCACGGGCATGTATTATGCTAGATTGAATTGGGCACAGAGTTGTGGTCTAGGCCACGTCTTGGTCTTCCCACTGCCCGGCAATCGGCTACCTCCGGCGAGCTCGAGACTCCGCTGGTCCAAGGTGATGAACTGATTCACTTCCTAGAACGAGAGCAAGTGCTAGTCAATTACCTACCGACCTTGCGAGTCTGCCTCCTTGCGCTGTCGTCAGGGTGCAGAGTCGTAGTTGGACGCGGCGGATTGTCCTGGGTCCACCCTCCATCTTTTTCCCTTTGTCACCTCGTTAGGCTCAAATCACCGGCAAATTTGAAGCACCGGGAGATATTGGCCGGTTGTGGGCGCCAATATGAAGAAACTGTAAAATCAAGGTACAGATCCACATAGAAGGGAGAGCTGTATTATTTTCGGCATGCTGAGCCGAATAACATGTGCTCTTAAACAAGAATGAGCTCCTGGCACCATTGGCGCATCGGATGATGGAAGAGGGAGCCAAGACGGAGGAGAGGAGGGCTCCATACTGTAGGATGATTTGAGAAAACTATGTCCACATAACGTTAAAAATATTCCACCATTAGAGTAGAAACGATAATCCGGCAACAAGCATGCAATGCACCATCCCTTGTGTTGATCTGCCCACGTCTTCCCTCAAGCTTCGGTTCTATGTCGGGAAGTAATGCCCGCGGGGGCGCTATTTCGGCCCTCCCACACATTCTTTGAAAAACACCCGATCTTCTGAGGTCGAGCGCGCAGCTTCTGCTGCATTTAATGTTAGGTAGCATCTTGCAGCAAGCACCCCCTGGGGAGTCCGGGCGCCAGACACTGGTTCTCTCCCGCCCGCCAATCGCAGTGCCCACTTTTAGAGTTTCGAGATCTCGCCGAGACTCCATCCGGTCGAGTCTGTTCCTGGATTCTTCGAGGCACCTCCTGCAATCCATCTCGCGTCCGCAGCGGCATCTCCCCCCCCTTTTCACCGGCTATCACCCGCTTGTGACGCCACTTGTTGAAGTTACCATTCCCTCCAAACTTCCTGCGTCTTAGCGCGGGGGACCGAAGGTGCTAAATGTGAAAGGCTCCACAGCGGAGATTTGAGGGCGCATTCCTGTTCTGGCAATTGACCAGCAATTCCAGGTTGGAGACCAGCGACTTGACTGGGCGGTCTTCCCAACTCCCTGATCATCACAACACGCCCAACATCACTTCACCAGAATCAAACATACCCTCGACGACACCAACCGCGCCACCCCGAAAGACCTACAGTGACATTAACAAGAGGATCAGCGACTGGGCAAAAGTACCCGGCAAAAGTACCCGGTGCGTTCAAGATTAGGCGAGAAGAAGAATCGAGGATACCGATGAGTTTGAGGAGCGGCGGCGCCCGTCACTAAAGGGTCGGTCGGCTGCCGGCAGCCGTCTCTCTGGGCACGAACAGGTGCTCTTCCCATTTGTCTCACGAGTCTCGGCCATGGAACCGACCGGCGATAAGTCCGGCGATTTGGAGCGCAGGCGGTCGACTCGGGCATCAGTGAGGGTATCAGTCGACCACAGAGACGAGGACTACGACTACGACCTTGCGCTGGAAGGAGGCACAGTTGCCGACGGGTTTCGACCGCCACAGGCTGGCGTGCCATCATCACCACCACCACCACCGTCGGCACCATCCCTCACTTCGACTTCGTCCACGACACTCGTCTCCCCGGGGACTGCAAACTCAACATCGAGCAGTATCCGGTCTTCGAGCACCGCCAAGCCTCACGGTCCTCGGTTCTCGCTCCTCGTCAGAAGTGAATCCAACGCATTATCCCGTCAAACGACGGGTTCAACCGGCTCGACCGTGTATTTTCCCGAAGATGGCCCATACCAAGGTCCGTCGAGTGCATCGCACCCATATCACATGTATACGCAGAATGTGCGGCCAGAAAGGACGCTCAGCATGACCACATCATCGACGAACCCCATGTCGGAATCGTCGTATCGAGGGCCCAGGGGGCCAAGTCACCCCTACGGACTCTACCCGCAAAGCGATAACATCGAGCCCGGATTGGGTCGAACGGATGCAATCCCTCTGGGATTTCGAGGACTGCAGCCCGATCCGTACCAACGACGGGTCGGACCTGAAGGGGAAGAAGTTGGCGACATGATCGGGCCAGACGGGCATACAGAGCAACTTCCACCGTACACGCGATACCCGGATGCCACATACGCGCGCAAGGTGGCGGCGGCCGATGGTGCCTTTGAAGCGGCCACCGGTGCCACAATCCTCCCGGCGGATGTCACACCGACTTCATCGCCGGCCCCGACTATCCGCGGTGCAGGTGGCCTTGGATTAGCTACGAGAAACCCGGAGTTCGAGCCGGTAGATGAGCTCGACTCGCCAAGATCGCGTTTATCTACGCGCAGCTTTCGATCGGACGAGAGCATGCGAGGGATCCGGTTGGACGATGAGGCCGTGTCGGAAAAGAACCGGCCGCCCAAGGGGTGGCAGCTCTGGATGAGAAAGAAGGCCTGTGGCGCCATCCCGTACTGGGCCATGTGCTTAACAGGCATTGTCCTCCTGGTCTTATTCGTCGTACTCGGTGCCGTGATTGGGACCTTTCTATCGAACAAATCAGACCCACCGCCACATAGGAACCCGGTCTGGTAAGTTAGCAATGGCTCTTGGGGGTACATTCTGAGACTAATCTTGTTGCTGTAGGGGCCCACCGGATGATACGATACCCATTTTCCCCCCTCCAGACCTACCGCCCCTGGCCACAGGCACTTTTGCTCTCCCCCTCATGACGAGCCGGGTGTCCAACACGTGCTTTGAGGACCCGACTCTGTCGCAAGCCTGGAGCTGCCAGCTCGTCGTGTCTGGGATGCAAATGAGTGTTTCCCGGCACGGCGATGATTACCACGCTTGGCTGGACTCTAATCGCTCGTACACCTTGTCAGAAAAAGTCTATGCGTACGGGGAGCAGCCTCCATCAATCCAGAAACCGCTCACTCTTGAGGTGGTCCAGGACCGGTTCGAGTCGGCACGTGGGCCCGCCTGGTTTCAAAAAACGCTGTACAACAAGACGGTGGTCCTTCCAGAAGACTGGCTCAATTTGGGGGATGACGACAACAGCAACAGTGGCGCCCAGCAGAGAAGGGCTCGTCACGTTACCATTGTTGATGGGGATATACCCAGCTTAGCGCGCAAGGGGGTCGCACAGCCAGGCGAGAAGCCGTGGATTTGCAGCTGGCCGAATACTTACCTTGAGCTCTTCATCTACCCCCTGCAGAACTCGAGTTTTTCCAACTGGCCTGGGTCCGAATCAGCATCTGCTTCGTCGACAGCCCCAGATTCAACCACCACCCCACCACCGCCAGAACACTCAACCACTGGGACCGAAGATGAAGCAAACAGCTCGCCCTCCGGACCACCGCCTGGTGTCTACACACCGCACGACAACACCGATCTCAACGACCCGGATCTTAAACACAAACAGTTCCATACCCCACAGAACTATGCCCGCCGGCCCAATCCCACGCCTGCTCCCCACGACGACTACGACGATAAAACCAAGACTTCCTCCACCACGGCTTCTAACACCCACACAACAACCTCGACTGGCACCCCCGCCAACCCGCTCGGTCCCATCGACACGGGCATTCCCTCTGCTGCTCTATCGCCCCCGTACCCCCGTGTCATAAAACTCGCTGAGCGCCGGCTGCCAGGTGCGGCTCCAGCCCCAACGACAACAAAAAGAGATGCCGAGGACGAAGAGGATAAAGACGAAGCTGATGGAGCTCCACCACCGCCACCGCCGCCTCCACCACCACGATGCACACAAGTAGAGATCGGTGCACACGGGGAGAAGGCAAAGCCGGTACTCGGCCCAGATGGGATGCCGCTGGTGGTGGAGATCGTGGAGTCAGCGCCGTTGGGGCCGCCCCCTCCGCCTGCGGGTCCTACTACCTATGGGGAGGGTGCTGCGATTGACGTGAAGAAACGGGGATTGGGGCATGTTGATGCCGGGGATATTTATGGGAGGGATGAGGGACCGAATCCGGGACCAACCCCGGACCCAAATCATGGTCCGGGTCCGGATGTTAGTCCGTGTGGGTGCGTGTGGTTTTTGACATGATGATGTCGGTAAGGGGGCTGGGTACTACCTACATGGTATTTTCTATTTTTATTAGGCATTTATTACCCCGGCGTTTGGGGGTCTTGTTACTGGTTTGTCACGAAAAGGTATACCTGGTTTGTTGGGTTTGGGGTGTGTTTTCCGGAATGTTAAAGGAGTGTTCTGTGCTGCGGTGTATCGGGATCTAGGGCCATGAGATGTGCGTCTGATGGATGGTTTCTGGCGTTGACAATTCTGTCGACTGTATCGGTGATTAGGTAGTGGACCGGAACGGCAAAGAAACAAGTGCTTGGAGTCGGAAACGACAGCGAGATATATCATACTCAGTATACTTATCAGCGTTGAGTGATAGTTGTGTTTGCTGAGGAGTAGTAACACAGGCGAACCCTCCCGGGCGGGTTTTATTCATCATCTAAGCTTCCTGATCCCATCTGATGTCTTTGGTATCGTCTCATCCGGTAATTCTGGCTGACAGTGGGGCGTTGGCCTAGACTCCGTTAATCCTCGCTAAAATGTTCCTTTTCAGCCCCTATCTAGGCACCTTGTCTGTACCTTGCAGCAATGCGTCACACTAACTAACTTTCACGCTCAGCCATGCAACATTTTTTTTTCGTTCAATGGATGACCTCGGACATGGGGTCGAATTCGGAGCACGATGCTGGGTTTCTCAGCCGCCTCGCCTCGCCCTCTTCGTTTACTTTTTTCATTCCCACAACCACAAACCTGAGTGCATACGGTAGCCCTGTCAAAGCGACGGAAATAGAGGGCCGTCACGATGTCGGACAATGGGCGTTCGCCGACGGATGTTATCACGTATATCGGCGTGCCGCTTGTAAGTTACAAAATTGGTGTTTTCGTCGCCCTATTCCGCCCCCCCACGGTTTTCACGATCTTTGAAGCAGAACAAAGTATTGACTTACGTCCCAGGCCGTCCTCGGGGTCCTCCCGATCCTCTACAACACCGTCGCGACGCTCGTCGCGCTCTCACGCATCAAGCGCATGCTGCGACACAGCAAACTAACCGCGCTCACCCGCAGCGACGTAGTCAACCGCGTAATCGAGGTCGAACTGCCCCGGTACGCCGTCCGGCCCATGGACCGCCTAGCCGACCGCGACGCCTACTGGACCCTCTCGCGCCACCCCTCCAGCATCCCCGGCGGCAGCTGGACCACCTTCAACTGGCGCATGAACGTCATCGGGCTCAACACGCAGCGCGTCGAGTACGCTGACCAGCTGCGCCAGCCGCAGGTGGATGTAGCGTTTGATGAGTTGGTGTGTTATTTGTTGGATCTGGGCGCGCATCCGGATCCGCATGGGTTTCGGTTGTTGAGGTCGTCGGGGCTGTGGACGCCGGTGGGGTGTACGTTGATGAGAGCGCCGGATGGGGTGAATAATGCGTTGACGATTGCGCCGCTGGATGGGTCGGATGGTCATTTGAGTTTGGCGGTGACGTGGACAGGGCCGTGGACGACGAGGGATCATTCGCATTTGCCGCCGTATTGGGTGCGTTTGTATCCGGCTCCGGCAGCACCGACGGCGGAAGAGGAGAAGGGGGGTGAGGAAAACAAGGGGGGTGAGGAAAACAAGGGGGGTGAGGAAAACAAGGGGGGTGAGGAGGAGAAGGAAAAGGGGGAAGGAGACGCTGAGACTGGGGCAAAAGCACTGGGCCAGAATGAGGAAGCCGGTGGTGATTCCGCGTCGGCAACAGAACAAAGGACCTCCGACGAACAACCCCAAAAGAAGAAGACACCCTCCTCCAGCAGCAGCATCCGCAAAACCTCCCTCGACTCGACCCGCGCCCAAGCCGCGTCCAACGCGCGCAACCCCATCACCTGCCAAATATCCGCCGACGGCATCCTCACCGCGCTCTCCCAGTCCCAACCCGACAGCTCACTCTCCCTGCCTCTTCCATCCGCCGACCAACCCTCCCTCAACTCCCCCGAAACCCTCTACATCGACCACCTCCGCATCCGCTCCTCCTACGCCTCCTCCTCCTCCTCCACCACCACCACCAACCCCTCCATCGGCACCTGGTTCGCCAGCGCAGCCACAGCCTACGGCACCTCCAGCCAAACCATCCTCTGGAACTACAAGATCCTAGACTCGCTTCTGGCGTTCGCGCGGCGCGAGACAGTGCCCTGCGGCGTGTTGGTGTTGTTGGGGATGGCGGATGAGGATGCGACGCCGGAGTGGGACGCCACGGGGGGGAGTCGGGCGCTGGCTAGAGCTGACCAGGCGAGACAGATGGACGAGTTTATGCGGCGGACGAGGGAGCAGAGGGATGCGATGGCTGCTGAGGCACGGATGTCGCCGGTGCAGAGGGCGGAGGCTGCACGGGCGAGGTCGATTAGGGAGTCGGAGGCTATGTTGTTTGATAGTAGGTTTCTTGTTTTTTCTTTCTTTTTTTTTTTTTTTTTTTTCTTTTTTCTTTTTTTTTTTTTTTTTTTTTTTTTTTTTTTTTTT